GCATGATGAACGATACTACGAGGAGACACAACTTTGAACGATTTTGTTGAACAACTTAAAACCAAACTGATGACTTTAAACAAATTTCACAGCAATTTATATTGATTCTAACTATTAGATTTTTATGCATCTATATTATCATTGCACCAGAGTTAACAAGCAGAATAATTTGACCTCGAACACAATATTTGACCTACAATACAGGGTATTACTCTGTATAACCGTAAACGTTGACGGATAAGTAGGTGACCTTAAATTTAATTGAGAATGACTGAATTTATTGAAGTTAACTAGATAAGACTTTGCTTAAACAAGATCAAGAATAAATCATCATAATTGTTCAGACAAAGAGAAGATGTAGCTTACTAATTAGCCATGATTTTTCATATATAAACGACAAAAAACCTCCATTCAATTCATGCAAACCGTCTTTCTCCAATTAATAAATCAACAAGTATTATTGTTAAAGCTTAAAAGTTTGATTTTGTTTCCTTAAATTCAAGTTTAAATCTTTAAATTGCTTTCATTAATCTCAAAGTTTCTACACATTAGAGAAATAAATTGAAAATTTAAAAGAAATTGCCTAGATTTTACTATTAGATACAGAATTTACTACGCGGCATATCTACGTCAAAAAAGATTTCATAACGAAAGAATCTCTCTTTTAACACAGATTCGTTTACTTCGTTTAGATCGTAACAGTGAAGAGAAGAGCCACATCCCAGTTATCAGAATTGGTCAAAAAGCGCCAGATGTAAGTCGAGCATTAATGTACCCAGACGAACCTGCCTATAATACCATCACCAGCGAACAACGATAGAATGGCTCTTGCTTTGGAGGTCGTATCGCGAGAAGACGGTTGTAATTATAACCAGGTTGCAGAATGCATCTGTTGCAAATTGAAAATACTTACATAATAGCCTACTTATAATCCCATCTAAGTTTAAGAACCAGTAGTCCAATGATTTTAAACAAAGTCAAACTTATGTAACCGTGACTTGAGAACCTAAGTCCAGAATAAATGTACAGTAAACTCTCACTTATTTTGACAAAAAAAACAGCTCCATCTAAGGTTATTTATTAATACCAACATGTCTCCAACAATTGATTATGACACTTCTTTCAACAGCTGACCAAGCTTGAGTTATCAATATAATAGCCTCAAGTACATCAATTTGTTTTAATTGTTCAAAAGAATTAGCTTCATCAATACGGTCAACTAATTTTCTATTAAGTAGCCTTTTATAATGTTCTTTAAAGCTTTTTATTATTCCACCATCCATTGGTTGCGTCACTGACGTTGTGTTGGCGGGCGAAAATTCAACATGTAAGTTGTTTACATTTTCTGGTATTTTATGACCTCTGAAATTGTCTAATAATAATAAGCCTTTCTGTTCCTTTTCTTTGTCTCTTTATCCAGGTTTGCTACCCATTCACCAAATATCTCTGAGGTCATCCAAGCATTTTTACTATCTTTATAGTTGACCATTTCTTTGATATTAATGCCTTTAAAGCAACGAGTATTTTTGGATTTACCAATTACCATTGGTGGCAATTTGTTACCAGATAATGTAGTGCCAAGTAAGAGCGTCAACCTTTCCTTTTGAACCTTGTAACCTTTAACATCTTGACCAACCAGACAATATGTCCTATTATTTACCTGTCGATAAAACACAGCAGTCTCATCAACATTAACAATTAGATCCCCAGTATAATCTTTTAACAAATTAGGTAGCTCAATCAACCATTTATTAACCTCACTAGTATCGGACTTGGCTTCACCATTGACCTTTCTCAACACAATTCCATTCTTTTTCAATAATTTGTCAATCCACCAAGATGAAGCTCTGAATGTTGTCAACTCTAATTGTTCTGCTTTCTTTAAAGCTGTTGCTTTTATTAGTGGACAGTTAACTGGAATGGACGCATTGTTACACTTGGTGATGAAGGCTTATACAGCTTCTTCAATTTGATCGTATTTGTTGTTGTTGGATAACCTTCTTCTCTTCATCATCATCTCATCATCAGCCACCTCTTTGTATTCATCTTGTTTGTTGATTATGTAATTAACGGCTTGTCTTGATAATTTATGTTGACGAGCAACATCAGATTCTCTCATGGTTTCACATTCTTGAATTATTTGTAATTTCTCAGGTAAGGGTATTCTTGCTAATTTACGACGAATCATTGTAATTACAAAATAACATGAGACTAATCGAAAAACTTATCTTCTGATTAATCATCTTCTCTTATTAATGACCAAAGATGGAGCTGTTTTTTTTGTCAAAATAAGTGAGAGTTTACTGTAGTTGAATTGGATAATAATCAAAAAATTTTATTCAAAATAATAGAAAAGACAAATGCAAAGAAATATTATTCATTCTGAGTCAGCAGACTCGATCACAAAAGCCTTTGCTTTCGGCTCCTTGGACTTCGGAGGTTGGTTAGCACGCTTTTCATCATAAAGAGACTTTTGAGTACCAGTTAGAAACTTCCCAAGGACCTTGTAAATGGTTGGAAGCCAAGTGGCGATAAATATTTCGCCTAAGCTTAGGATGACATGGAGCCCCGTGGTTACAAAACTTACAATAGATCTTATCATCTACTATTTTAGTACCTTCTTTGTTTTGCGTCGCTCTTCCACTAACTCTTCAAATTTTTCTGTAAAGTCAAGGCTCAGGTCAACGTCAGGGGCGAAGAGTTCCTCGGGTTCCTTTAACTTTTTTCTCTGCTTGAGACCGAGAGCCAGACTTGGTATGACCATGACCGGAAGTCCCAGGCACTGTTCCATTTGAAACCCGTTCAATGATGGTACCGCTCTTTGATTTCCTCTTTGGAAGTCCAGGAGGTGCACAAATAATCAAAGGACGGACGGGAGAAGGAGCGGGTAATGGGATCGGGTCCATCCTTGCTCTCAGCGGTGTAGCTTCTCCACCATGCATTCGGGATAAGACTCGTGCCTTGAGAGAGATTGGTGCAACTGACTCTTCATCTTCCGAAGACTCATGACTCTTTGCTGCCTTAAATTCAAGTTTAAATCTTTAAATTTTTATCATTAATCTCAAAGTTTCTACACATATACATAGTAGTGGAAGTTTACTTTTACTTTCAATAAAATTTATCTTGGGGAAATATCAAGCTGCGTTCAACAGTTACCGTTCATCTGCAACAAACTCTAAAAGTAAATATAGTTGTTTTTCACTAAACATATGTACTGTAACAATTTCAGCTAAAATTGATTTTGCCAAAATGTCTGCAAGTCATTTAGAGTTGTTTTTCTTTAAAGTCTGTACTCATTGGAATATTAACTGTAATAAAGTACTGTATGATTGTACAGCATTGATTGATTAAATTATTACAAGCGTTAGACATAAAATAAATAGGTAAATTTGGATCATAACAACTCGAGATGTACAGGATAGATTTTGATGTATTAGATATCGTTAGTTAGAGCATTATTAGACAAAGAGAATAATAATACATTGCAAGTCTTGATCGTGCCAACCAAATTCGTGAAATTAATGTGTGTTCTTCTGTTTCCATGGAAATACATACATTTTCACGGCGATGAATTCATAAAGCACATTGTTTGAATGTACGTTAAATGTGCATTTTGTATCATTAGTTTATTTTACGTGTTGTGAATTCTACGTTCAAAAGTCAAAAACGCATGAAAAACTTTGAGTTTACGTGGAACCGATACCATATATAAAGTCGAAACATGAAATTTTTGCGTAAAGATTGTGGCCAAACTAAAAGGATTCTAAAGAAATTCACAGCCTGAAAGCCATGAATAAACCACATTCACGAAAAATAGTCTGAACTTCTTCGGAATTCAGGTACCTGAGAAATCAGCGTTCAAACAGGGCAGGGGAAAAATGCAGAATCCGTATCTTTTACCATTGACTTTGGGGGAAAAATGTTTAGGTTGTTCAGGTTGATTGTTGGTTTGAATTAGAAGGATAGGTTCGAGCATTTTTCGAGCAAAGCGTTAGGTAAAAAATATGTTGCCTCAACTGTTGAACCAAATTTTATTTTGTTTTTTCTCATTGACAATGGTTTTTCATCAATAATTTGAGTCTTTAAATGTGAATTGGATTTATTGTATTCAGTGAAAAGAAATTTACGATCAGTCATGATCGGGGGCTCAGCTTGTAATTATAATGTCAAAGAATGCTCACTCTAATCTGCATTTGCGAGCTTAATGTTTGGCTGGGATTAAATCACCCTTAGATTTCTGGAAAATTTTGTGTTCCATGGTAACTTTTCCTATTCAGATTTCAACTAACAACTAACTTTTCCAATAAACCAGCATTACCTTGAAGGATTCTGGCTTATATAATCAAAAAGGTGACCAAATAATATCTCAAATGAACTTAAATCATAGCAACGGTTCAGATCAAAATAAACTTTTAGTCGATCCTCATTTGATCACAAACTAATGAAATTGCATCTGTTTCATTGCAAGGATATTTGCTGGTCACAATTTATCCTGATGTTAAGCAACTGAATGGCAATCAAATGCAAACCATTAACTAATCAATGACTGCCAAAGTAAAGAAGACAATCGATTGACAACAATTAGATGATTAAAAAGCATTTGACAATTTAAAAGTGAATTAAATCAATTTAATTTGCTTTCAACTGACTCAGCTTTTTACAGAGAAGAAGATAGTTTATTAAAAATTGTCTTCATGAGCTAATCAGCTAATGAACAATTAGAAAGTGAACAGAAAGAAAAACGATAAGCTTAATGATTATTTATGTTTCATTCATTTGTTGATTCATTCAATATTATATCCACAATATTGATTCAATTTTTACCTTTCCTTACTTTTTCATCATTTTTACTGTTTCTATTGATCTTACTCACCAGTAAAACTCAATAGTTTGTCTCGGCTTGAGTTTCATTCAGTTTTCATTTCATTCTTTACATTTTAATCATGATTAATCCATAATATTTTCATATTTACTTTTTTTGACTATTTGATTGTTGAAAGGATTGGAAACAAATCATTTGTTCAAGTTTGTTTCATACAAAAGTGGTTCAATTTTGGTTCACTTTTTTTCACCTCGCCGGTCTGGTGTTTACATTGTTTAACAATAATGAATTTTTTGACTCTGGTTTATGCTGCTTTAAAGGTACTAACTGCCACACCATCAGGTAAACCATTGATACAAATCAACCCAACAGAGAAGGTAAATTGATTGGTTTCCCCTTTATTTCATTTTCAATCATTAGAGTCAACTATAAGTAAAGTTATACCTCCACATGAATCAACTTGGACTTACGATGGTAAAGGAAATGGTAAGGTTTTGTTTCTCTCTATTAATTGTGTTTTAATTTACCCACAATTAGTTGGCCATTAATTAACAATTGACTGTGTTGAATTTAAGTTATGGATTCCAAGACTTGGCCACATTTATTGCTTATTATTAGTCGCTGTTTATCAGCTGTTGCTTGTCTTGTTTTCTGGTTATTCTGGTTCATCTCTAGTTGGTCTTTTATGGTTATTTTGTTTTAATTGTTTCAGTGTCTTGGTCAATTCAATTGATAAAGTGTTTATTTGATCATTGATGACAATTATGATCATCTGGTTCAGTGGTTTACTTAGCAACTGGTTTACAGTCGTGTTGCTAAGTCTAGGCTTTAGCTTCAAGGAAAAAGGTTTTATTGAGGAAACTTAACCAGTTTTTATCGGCCAATTACGTAGTCTAAGAGTTAACCTAATTGTCAATTAATTTGTTTCCAATCTACTGTCTTAATTGTTTTGGTGTTGAACCATTTTCCGTTTTGTGTTTGTTTAGGTATCAATGACTGGTATCAACTTTATCCAAAATGTAAAGGACAGTTTCAATCGCCAATCAACATTGATACCAGATTAGTTGATTATAACAGTTCAATGAAAATTGACTTTATTGGATTTCAAAAGCTTTACCAGGCTTTCATTGAAAACAATGGCCATACAGGTGAGTTTACCTTTTAATCTAGCCTGCATCATCTGATCATCTTTTGGTTTACAACTTGATCAGTTTAATTTTTGCATCTATTATTGAATATTTAAAGCTGTTTAGTCGATTATTGTAAAATGAAGGTTGAAAAATGATCACAATTTAGAGTTAAAAAAATCAATTTTGCTAGACAAACAAAACAAATTAATCGATGAAGGTAAATGTTTAAAAAAATGAATGATGATTTAGTTCGGTTCATTTTCTGTGCTCAATAACATTCAATACTATCATGTTTAATTTTTGTTTCAACATTGATTATCGATTAGCTTATGTTATTTGATTATATCTGTTGATTAAACTTGCCAGACAAAATCATTCATCATTATATTAATCGTTAAAGAAACGTTGAAGCCTATTGCTCTAAACTGAACCTTATTAAACTTTCTAAGCTTTTATAAAAGGCGAATCAATTGTTTTGCATAAAATAGTAAATTATGTTTCATATGTATAACAATATAACTGATTGTTGCTCAATAATATTAATCACCTAACGACGGACTTGAAAAATTGCTTGCGTTTTCCTCATGAAATGACTATCATTATAAGATGAATTCATGATTTTAAACACTTTTTGTCATGAGAATATCTTGTCACAAGTAAAGAAAAGCATCTAAATTGGGTTTGAAATAAGGTTCAACAGTAATTAACGACTAGAGTTAAGACTTAGGTTCACAAAAGTATATTTTGATTAATTTCACCTTCTCAATAAGCCATCTTTTTGGCTAAATTGTCTCAAAAGCTTCCTTTTTGTACATATCAATGTACAGTAGTGTAACAGTAACAAGCAAGAAAAAGAGCCAACTAGCACTTTCATTTTGAGTATTAATATACACTAATATGGGATGTTATTGTATGTACTAAATTATTTTAACCACTTTAATTCACTCTGTAGTTCAATTAGGAGTTGAGGAATCAACAAAGCCAGTGTTGACTGGTTCAGCTGTGGACAATAAAATTTATGTTTTTGCCCAATTACACTTTCACTGGGGAACAGATTCACTGTTGGGATCGGAACATTCAATAAACTCAACATTCTACCCATTGGAGGTAAGTTGGTCAGCACGTTAATTATCACAATTAAATGAAAAAGTGTCACAAAATGTTTACTCTAAAGGTTAACTTGACCAAATGAATTTGAACAATTCAAGAACGTAGTCAATTTGGTTTTTTCAACACATGTTTGATAATCACGTCATCTAGTGTTTCGGTTTAAAACTAATCTTTTGCTCAAATTAAAATGTAAAATTGACATTTTTCGTCAACCTTGATTATCCCAAAAATTGTTGGTGATTAATGACAGTGATTTTCATCTATTTTTGAACAGGGCCACTTGGCATTTTACCGTAAAGAGTATGAAAGCTTTGATAAAGCCCTCAACTATTCAGATGGACTTGTCGTTGTCTCAATCTTCTTCAAGGTAAGGAATATTTTTTGGTAATTTTTGCTTACTCAATGATTCGGTTACTTTTTTTATGAATCTTTGTAACTTTACATGGCATTAATGTTTCGTTTTTTTTCCTTTTTGTTCCTTTATTTCATTGTGGCTGATTCTTGTGTTTGGATTACCTGTACAACCCTGTTTCTTGACCTTGCCAAAGCATGCGGATGAAGAAAATCATGCCTTGGATCGATTGATTAAAGGAATCCAAAAAATTCCCAGATATCGAGACAAATCACTGATACCTGGCTTTTTCAATTTCTCTGATATATTGCCAAGTAATTTAAACAATTTCTATAAATACTCTGGATCACTGACAACTCCACCTTGCCTTGAGATAGTCACTTGGTTGATTATAGCTGAGCCAGTCAACATTTCAGAAGGACAAACGGAAATATTCCGACATGAAAGAGCTAATATGATTTCTTCCAAGACTGGGGAATACGCTTACCTTAATCACAACTATCGAGAGCAATCACCATTAAATCATCGACGAGTAACTGCATCATTCATGGTCAACTCAAATACGGACCAAAATGAATATATAGCTTGATCACTGAATATAGTACAAATATTTACTTGTTGATATTGAACTGGCAAGCTTTTCTGTAAATTTTGAGCTTGCAATTTTTGTTATTAAATTATCAAAATAAGCTTAATGATTATGAACTAAAGATGAGACAAAAAGGTTAGTGATTTCTGAGTGATTGCTGAATAAATTTTTATAGACATTGGTACAGATTGAAACATAAATATTAAAAGCTTGTGTTTAAATTATCCTAAAAAACAAGTAAATATTGTAAACCCCTATAATTGTGTTCATTTAATAATCAATTTAATGAAATTGGTGTCAAAAGAAAGATACAATTATTGAATATAAACTCACTGATTGATTAAAGTGTAGTTCACCATTGTACTAATTGGGTTGTTAGACCTTACACACTGTAATTGTAATTGTAATTTTAACGTTCAATGTACCCTAAATTGCACTCATTTTTGAATGTTTATCAATCATCTTTAAATTGAGATCATTGGGAGTTAAAAACTAAAATAACACAACAAATTTTGACATTGATTAAAAGCGAAAGGTTAATTTCATTCACAATATGATAACTTAACATGATTTGATGGCCAACAGGGTAGCTTCGTATTATTATGATAAATTAATTACATAATGAGAACTATCGACTCCGCCTGGAGTTGATCAAAATATTGAATGTTTTATGAGTGTTGTTATTGTTTTTTCTGCAATTCAATTCAATCAAGTCAAGACACCTTTAACCCATTCTTTAAATTAACTTAATTGATTGTGTCTAAAATTAAATCACATCTCTCCTGTCTCCTGTGTTAAGCTTAATTAATGAACATCATCTTTGATTTCCAATACAATCACTGATTCATCTTGTTGCTGTTTATTAAATGTCATGAATGCCATCAATTATCGCCATTAATTGTTAGACTTTTGTTCAGAGACAGTTGAGAGATTATTGGTTGTGAAAAATGAACAAATTTGATAAATTGCTGCTCATGTAGATTGTATTGAATAATTTTTCCGTCGAGATTGGAATAAACTGTGCTCCATCATCAATTGAAACCATAATACTCAGCGATAATCAACAATCATCACAAAACAACAGTTCACTTTCCTGGCTTGTCTCTCATTGTCTCTCGTCAACCATTCATATCCAAATGTAAGCCATGTATTTGTTTTTACTTGAAATCCAAACTTTCCCTCTTTTTTCCTGGTTAATTTTTGGGTTAAGTTTAACCATTGTCTGTCTTGAACTGTGAAACTCATGGTCCAAAAATTCTAATGTCCAGTTTTTTCTTTCCACCCTCAAGAGAAGATTAAACAGCGATGGGCAAAGTTTCAACTCTAGTCTCTTCAACATTCATTGTTTTAGGTGAGTTACCGGCTAGTTTCCAAATTATTGCCAAATATTTGTTTTGATTCGCTATTTTTCTTCTTCCATGGTCTATCATGAAACAGGGCTGGTAGTTAATGGTATACATTCCTGGAATTACGAGGATGAAGACACCAAAGGTAAGTTATGGATGTGAAGATCTTTACTTTCTTCATGTAGACAACTGCTATGTTTTTGAAAATATTATAATATCTCAGTTAGTGAGTGTTTCTGGTTGTGTTTATGATCGTCTGACAATCCTCTGATTTTGTCAGCTTTGAATCTTTAATAGAAGATTGGAAAATAGTTGTAATTATTTTAGCTGTTAAAAAACAAAAAACCATAATATTCAAGTCAATGTCTTCTGATTACCTTCATATAATAGGAGTTTTCCGTTGGGGTGATCAATATCCAGAATGTGATGGTTTGAATCAATCGCCAATTGATATTGAAACAGCTAGAGTCCAAGTGAACCGTGATTTAACCGTTGAAATCGGTGGATTGGATGAGACACATGAAACTTGGATTAGAAACAATGGACACACTGGTAAGTTGATTACTGAAAATACTGAGAAAAAATTGCTTTAGTAAAGAGCTGGAAAAATATGATCTAAAGAGTCACTAAATAGGATACAAGGGGTTAACAGATGGTTAACACTTTACATTAATTGGCTTATCTTTTAAAGTTTGTTTACTTGTATGATTTCACTTTGAATTTTAATGTTTCAGCTCAACTCGGATTACTTGATTCACCAAAACCCAATTTGACTGGTACCGCTGTGAATGGTAAACTGTATGAATTTGCTCAACTACATTTTCATTGGGGTGAAAAATCAGATAGAGGATCGGAACATTCCGTTGATTCTGTTTTCTATCCAGCAGAGGTAAAGTCTGAAATCTCATTGGTTTAAATCTGTTCACTTATTAATTACAACAGCTTTAGTTTACGACTTAATAAATCATTTGAATTCATCTGAATGTTGTCTTTTAGATGCACATGGTCTTTTATCGTAAACAATACGGTGACATAGAAACTGCAGTGAAATACAAGGATGGTTTGGCGGTGGTCGGTGTCTTTTTACAGGTATTTTTACTCTGAACAATTATATTGCTTGACTTGGCTGACTTGATTGTGAGTGATGTTTCAATTTGGATTCATTTTCTTTTGTTGATTCTTCCAACAGAATTCCAAGACGAATAACCCCAACTATGATCCTTTAATATACGCTGTTCGCCAAGCTCCTGATTACAAAGCAAAATCATTTTTACCATCAGAGATAACTTTACGCCAATTGTTGCCTCGAAATACTCAAAAATTTTATCGCTATTCCGGTTCATTAACAACTCCACCTTGTGATGAAATTGTAACCTGGATACTGTTGGCTGATCCTGTTGAAATTGGTGAACAGCAGTTGGAAGTTTTCCGTCATGAGAGAACCAATTATGTCTCAATGAGATCTGGAAGTAATAGGATTGACCATAATTATCGTTATCAGGCTCCCATCAATCGTCGAATTGTGGAATCTTCATTTAATCCGAGAATAAGCTTCTCCACTCCATTGAATGCACGAGCCATTAAGCCATTCTATAAGAATGTATTCTTCCCGTCCTATTAATTAGACAATTTGCCCTCTAAATTCATTAAACTAATTATTTAAAATAATCTTGTTATCTGAAAACGAATATGAACGAATTAATATAATCAATTTTCAAACAAAGCAGAGTTTTTAATGAGAAAATATGAAAGAAACTTTGATTATTGAACACATTTAAACATTTTATGGAAAATGTAGTACAAAAATAACGGTAATGTATTAATATTTATAACTGCTTGACTTTAACAAGACATAATCTAATGAAACTTAAAAACACGGAATTAGAAATTTTGATGAAAAATAAGTAGCAGTTGTGTTTCGAACAGGAATGTCACTTTTAAGGTAAATTTCCCCAATCGATGGGTGTTTTTCCCTTAGCTACCAAATGACTATTGGTTTTAGAAAAATGTTTGCAGCCGAAGAAGCCTCTATGAGCTGAAAGCGGTGAAGGGTGAACCCCTTTAAGTACAAGATGACGCTTAGTGTCAATACAAGCTCCTTTCTTGTGAGCATAATTTCCCCATAGGATAAAGACAAGGTTCTGCATATTTGCATTTAACCATTTGATAACAGCATCGGTAAACTGTTCCCAACCTTGATCAGCATGAGAGTTAGCACTCGAGGCACGAACTGTAAGACACGCATTTAATAATAATACTCCTTGCTTTGCCCAACCAGTAAGATCTCCATGATTAGGCTCAATGAAAGTATCAATGTCTGCTGCCAATTCTCGGTAAATATTTTTCAAACTTGGAGGCGGATCAACTCCTTTTTGAACACTGAAACACAAACCATGAGCTTGTCGAGGTTGATGGTATGGATCTTGTCCTAAAATGACAACTTTAACATCGTAAATAGGAGTCATTGTAGTCCAAGTAAAAACTTGATCTTCGGGTGGAAAAATTGTTCTTTGCCGCCGTTCCATGAGAAGAAAATCAGACAATTGAATGAAATATTCTTTGGAAAATTCACTTTTCAACTCTTTAAACCAAGTCAGCCCCATATTAGAAGAAACAGCTCTCTTTTTAGCAATCAACGAGGCCAATTCAGCCTTCAACTGGTCTTCTTCACTTTTGGACAAATTTCTCTTTGATTTATACAGACAATCAACATCTTCCCGTTTTCTAGCAGGACTTAAAGGACCGTTGCTACAACCATTGGAACCATTAAGAGGCTTTTGAAAATAACTGGTAATACTTCTTTGGGCCATTTTACACTTGAATAAAGAAATAGAAACTTTAAACATGAACAAAAGAACAAAACTGAGCGCAAATTTAACGATGAACAAACATGTGTTAAGCTAGCAAGGATTAAAACAAAGAGTAAATTAACCGCCAAAATTAATGTATCGATAAATATATCGACATCTATCGATAATTAACCTAAAACAAAATCTGCGACTAATTCAAAAACATTAATCGCAAATTTTTGTACTCCATTAAAATTGAAACGATTCAAGCTCCATTAGTTTGTCGATTCTTGAAGATTAAATAAATTAGTAAAATTAAGAAATACTCTCAATGTTTTCTCATTGAAATTTTACCAAACGATAAACTTTGTTACTGCTGCCTGTACTGGTGTTACCAAAACTAAAACGGCAATTCTACGCGAATTCAAATGATGCAATTAGTAATGCTTGTGATATTCAATAAAATCTGAAAATGCTAAAAATTTTTCAAAAAGCGTCCAGTTATTGCGTTATTTATGTGTATTAGACTGAAATTCAGTCACTGAAACGCAATTGCCAAGATGTGCAATCAAATCGTTAGAGGACGCTGCCTGTCACTTCATTCAATCACTTTTTAATTCACATCTTAAGAAGACAATAGATGGCGCTACATCGCAACACAAAAATTAATTTCCTTTGAATAAGTTTCCAAAGTCCAGATCCTTGCGATGATTATTGACCTTGAATTTCAAAATTACTTTCGATTAAGTTCGAAGTACGATTCCCAAATTCGCCATACGCATTTATGACACTGCAACGTTATCCATTAGTCATGAAAGCGCCACTGTTATGTAAAGCTGCTGTACTGACAAGTTGAAACACATTTTACCCAAAGTCGGGTGATTGGTGTAAATGATTCAAACGTTTAAAGATTTACCATCATTAGTAAATTTTTGATCAATTTTTATTCACAGTCGACTTGACTGAGTCCATTTATTTTCCCCGAGAAATCAAAATCTAAAACATTTCCCCGACAACTATGATTATACATTGTATTTTGAGTAGTTTTAGCTTGCTCTAAATGATGGAGTCTAAACACCTATTGGGTTAGCTAAATGATTGGAACCAACTCTGAAAATCAGAAAAGACTGAACATTTGAAACCAAACCAATGATTTCAATGTAATTATGCTTTATCAAACCATTAATTGATCACATTTGGTAAAAGTTTTTGCAGTCAAAATGCAACATCTGAAATGATTTATGTTGATTGACAGTTTGTGTACTCAACTTATTTGTTTTGCGTCTTTTTTGTTTGAATGTGATTAAACAACACAATCGGTAGGACAATTTGACATTGATTTTGATTAACAAATGACAAGACATATTTATTCAATCAGTAAGAGATTTAATAAAAAAAAATTGAAAACAAAAAAACATTAATTGTTGGCTGAATAATAAAATAGACGAGCGATAAATTTTTTGCGTGTTTTATTATAATTTTATAATACGAATGAAAATTGCAATTCTATTGATTATGATTATTCCTATTAGCATGTTAACATGTTAAGAATAAATAATCTTATTAATCCAATTGCATGAACCAACCGGCAATTTGATAATAACAAGAATAATGTTAATAGTAATCATCTTTATCCTTACAGTAAGATTATTATTATTGTGATGTTATTTACTTAACCATATAATAATATAATAGGAGTGAAGGTTTGAAGTGAAGATAAATGGTTGAATGTATTTGAATTGAAATGCCGTCTAATTAGATTAAGTAATTGTTGTCCAAGGCTTGAGGCTGTGCCAATGTTTAATATTGGCTCAACTAATAATCATTACCAATTGCAAATGTTTGATAACTGTTAATACTGGATGGGTAATAATGAATGATAATAGAGCGAAATAATGAAGCGCAAAGTGGCTAAAAATGTGTGTCTTGATTGTTTTGTGTTAAATGTTGGTAATAAAAGGCAATTATCGAACGCAATTTCAACCTGTTTAATCACAATTAAAATGGACAAACAAACCATCACCATCCAATTGTTCATCTAATCATGGTTACCACAGCCTTTATCCAGTAACATATCAAATTGAAAGCAACTATTATAATCATTTTGTAACCGTAATGAAAAGTGTGATTAAAGGCCTTCATTGAGCTACATTTAATGGGGCAAGAGTGACTTGTTAGGTTGATGTTTGAATGACTCTGAGCCTGACTAACAATAAGACAGTCTTGTAAGATATGAATTTAAATGTGGTAAATATGATGATGAAGATGATAGTGATGATGACAATGATGAAAATGATGATGATAATGAGGAAGATAACGATGAAGGTAATGATCATGTTGATTTGTATATTGATGAAGATGCTGATAATCAAAGTTAAGATTATGCAAATTATTTTACGGACTAAGACCTTTATCTTGTTACATTTGATGGGGTGAGAGTGACTTTGTTAGGTTAAGATTTAGATGACTCTTGGCCTATCTGCACATACTTGGATGGTGACAAATTATTATGAAAATCAGATCGATAATGAAGCGATGATGAAAAGCAAACAATTAACATTGATTGATCACAATCTGGGCAGTTTTGATGAAATGTTTAATTCATATTAATAAGCTTTAAACCATTGCTACCAAAAATGAGCATGTTTAGATGATAACCAGGGCTTTTCAAAAGGCATTAAAACATTTTTCTAATCAAAAGGCATAAATTTTATGCCTATGTCTATCTTTTCCCTTTCTTTTCTCTTTCTTTTTTCATTCTTTTTTGAGTTTTATCGTCTTGATCTGTCCTGATTAAAAGATAGACGCCTTTTTTTTGACCAATCTTGTTGATAATTTTTCCCATTGAAAATCAATGGACTTTTCTTAGGTTTATCTTTTATGCCTAATGTAACTTACATAAGATAGACGAAAGGCATAAAATGTGAAAAGCCCTGATGATAACAATATAGACATGTGATTTATAGATTTTTGTTCATGATAATGTTCAATGCGCACCATGATGATCACCATAATTTTATTGATCACAATAGTTACAATCAATTTGTTCAAAATGTGTATAACATTTTGTTTGTCACAATCAGAAAGAATACATTAAATTGAATCAATACTATAAATTGTTTTGTTCAACATTAACATTACAATATTATATCATTGCAATAAACTGAAGACACAAACCAATTAACGTACAAGCAACGTTTAATGAAGACAATCAAATTAGCCTTGATTACTTTTCACGTGAAACTTAATTGACTCAATACTTACCTTACAATTTAACAACAACAACAAAAGTAGTAAAAGGAGTAAAAATAGACAAAAAAATTATTTTGATTTAATCATGTTGATGAAAGGTTAAACTTTTGTTGCAACCAAATGATTAAAAATTAGTTTATCCAATTATAAATTAACCAACCAAAAGGGAAGGCATAATTTAGCCTCAATATATTACAGCAATTCCCAATTGTATGCCAATCAGGCAAGTTAACTTTCATCTTGTTCAACCTAATCAAATCAATAATATTCACATGATTCCAATTATAATCATTGCCAACGATCATTTTAATGAGATGCTCTAACAGCAAACAAAGGTTGATCAACTCAACTTAATTCATCCATTAAATTTGTTTTAACCTTTTATCAAATCAATCATATTTCTCACTAATTGTTGCAATTGTCAAATGGTAATCAAGAAAAGTTTGATTAGTCGATTCCCTGGAGCTCAATTTATACAAGTGTAACAAGAGATGAAAGATGATTCTTACCTTTTATCAACGATTCCAAATCAATTTAAACGCTTTATTATCATTTACTTTACCTTTTCATTGCAGCATCAACTGGGAGTTTCAAATATTATTATTGTTATCATAACCATTTTGATATCAAGGCAATCAAGCTAAATATCATTGATAAACTTGTGAATGTAAATGTCAAATAATGTTACCAATTGTGATAATAATAATTGAAAATTGGATTCAATTTGATTCGTGACTTGACTTGGTTATTGGTCAATTGTTGAGTTTAACTTGTCTTCATCAACAATTTTAACATTCCCATCTCATCTTTCATCATCATTACCATCATCATCATCATCTCATTTTATCTTGATGAAAAGATGATAACAATAATGATCATCATCATGATCATCATGAATAACTTTTATAGCTACAAGAAACATAAATAACAGTTTGTTTCATTTGAGAATTGTATTTGTATTTTCATCTTCTTCTTCTTCTTCTTCTTCTCATCCTTATTATCCTCATCATCTTTATCATCTTGCCATCTTCTTGTTACAAAATAATATACAATCTATTACTTATTTCATCCATTTGGTTATTCATCATCCTTCAATAAGCTTATCATCATCATAATCATCATCATGACAAAATAATCTTCATCTTCTTCTTCTTTCATAAGGTTGACTTGTTTGATTCCATTCAATTTAATCAGAATCAACAACAGAACCAACAAAAAACCAAGTTTGTTATCTGTTTTATTATTTCCCTTTTTTTGGGTGACTCTTCCTTCCAATCAAAAGTGAAATGACAAGAAAAAACAAAACTACAGAATCAGACAATTGTCAAACGAACCGGAAATTGAAATTCATTGAAACATTATTCAGCTTCAATAAAATTAATTGTCTACCATTTCACAGAAAAGTGCTCATTAAATTAATAACCAGTACTTTGAGCGACCATAAAATGTTCACTCAGACTCTTCGATCAGTCAAAGTAAAATCAAATTTTCAATCAGTTAACTGATGAGTCTTATCATGGAAAATCTGAACCCTTTAGATTCTGGATTTCCGAGAAATTCAGTTCAATCCAATCCACTTTCTGCTAAGTTTCTGAAATAAGTTTATTCTTGATCCTGAACATCATGAGAAGGCCTTGAGTGAGTAGGATTTTTTATGAACATTTCGAGTTATTATTGTAACAAGAAACTGATGCGAGTTCAAGCTAATCGTACTGAGGCAAGTCCATGATTTGTTTCATTGGAAACTTGATTGACTCAAAGTTTATTGAATTCATTGAATCATTTTGCATTATTATTGTGACAAAAAATGGCTGAATTCAATCAGTTGATTTGATCCTGATAAAGGTTCATTTACAAACTGAGCTCAGTGACTCGGGTCAGGTTAAGACTTATTTTAATCATTGAATGTGTTATTACAGCGACAAACATCTTAAAGTGTATCACTTACAAAAACGATTACACTGATGAGTTGATTTGATTGTAATAAAATGTTTAACTCAATGTTTAGTCAACGGACATGACAAGTCGACCAAATTTGCACCATTAGAGTAACACACTTTTGATGATGCTCAATTTCATCTTGTCAATGGTCTGACAATGTATAAAATTTTCAACATTTTCTTGTTCAATATTGTTAGATTTTGACTGATTAATCTAGATTTTGATTGCATTAACAAATCATCATCATCATCACCGCCATCATCATCATCATCATCATGATTCTGAAAAAATATAGAGCCACTTGGTTCATCTGATCATCCATTTCATCCCTCATCTTCATCTTCATCTTTCAATGTTGACTGCGCGTCAAGTGTTGAACAAGGCGGAGTTGCACTGGGCAACAACAGGGTGGTTAAGATACAAAACCACTCCCAGTAAAGGTTAACTCAATTCAATTGAATAAAAGTGGTTTAAGCCAATAACAGAGTCTGGCAACTGTGTTTAATACAGAAACTAATAATAATATTAATAATATTGAAAACTAATGATATCAACATGAAAACAGTTAACATTTTGTTATTATTATTATTATTGTTGTTGTTGTGTTTTAACAACAACAATTGAGTAAGCGTAAGTCGCCTAAGTGTTGTTGATCAAGATAATTCAGATGATTCCTTAGCGATTCACCATTGTATTTGTAACACTCAATTTTGATTCCATTGCAAACAATCTCACCTAATCGTTGATAATCATTATCCTCATCATTATCACCAGTAATCATCATCAAGCTAATCATTGTCACCTTTACAACTTGCACCTTACCATTGACCATTGGAATGATGGAGAGTCCACTTGATGTTAGTTTTTGTGGAACCAAGAAAAGCTCTCCGTTAATCGAGCAAAGTGACCTAAGCAATGGTGAAGCCAACAATTGTTCACCTGCCGATGTCAACAGTAAATCCTTTAGTATAAGTCGTCTTTTATCATCACCCAAATCGTCATCATTCAGTGTTGGCCTCAGCTCACATGATACGCTGGTTAAAGGTTTTGATAATTTGATTGGCAACAACCACGACACCAACAACACCAGCAACACTCACACGACCAACACCAATGGTCATCACAATGAAACAAATGGCAACTTGAATGCAACCAATTTTTATCATCATTACCTTAATCATCCTTTAAACGATTCAATGTTGAAATTTTGTGATTTTCATCCTCATCATCATTCCTTTTATCAGCATCACTTTAACCATCCCAACATGAGACATGGAAATATCTTTAAACACATTTCAGCTCATCAATCAGGTAAATGCTTCCCGTTTCCCATGTTAATCAACTGTCCATTTCATAGAAACAGTGAAAACTAAATTATCTCGCAAATTGGTATCAATCAGTGTTTACCAATATATCAAGACTTATCACTTATGTTAATCCCTTTTTATATGCTTTCTGCATCAGCAATCAAGGTAGACTTGAAGGTACTTAATTGCTGTGATTAATTGATTAATTTGATTGATAAACTGTATAAAGTCCAGTTAGTCAATCAATAAAAATGTCAACCTGAAAAAAAGGTTCAACTTTTGTCAAAATAACATTTTGCTTCTCTTCATTCCTTCATATCAATCATGAAATCCATCGTTTAATTTACGTATTCAATGGATTGATTAAGAGTAATTAAGTCAACATAATAAGTGTTAAGATTGTTTGTCTTCATCTTGTAATTAAAAATCTTGTAATGCAATTGTTAGCGCTTTAAACTGTATCGGGTGAGAAAATGTTTCAAAAGCAATTGCCGATTGTGATTACAATCAATTACAAGTGGTTTTACATTGATTGCTTGATTAACTCTCATTAGTTTTCATTTTTTTTTTGTATTTAATGTTAACATTTAATTCATTTGTTAATCTCAAGAGTCTACAAGTTGATTAGTTTAATCATTTCAAATCACTTTTACATTTGTAATCTTTTTGTGTGTCTTTCATCCGCTTTAACCATTCAAACTCATTGATAATCTTTGAGAGGCTCTTCATCAAAGCTAATTGCTGTTACCTGTTGTAGTAATTACAAAGTTGACTTGTACAATCAATTTTGATGCGCATCATGATTAACTTTTTCATACAATCAATTTTGATTAGGGAAGCTTTAATAACAATAACAGCAATAAACAAAAGTAAACGTTTACCAAAAGGTAAACATTTCAGGTTTCACTTTTTTCCTTTTCTTCTCGTTTACTTTTGTAACATTATTTATGATTTTAATTGTTTCCACATTTATTAACTGTTTTATAGTTGGGACAATTAATTAGTCAAAATGATTTATGTTAAATGTTGAGGAATGGATAAGATTTGATTGAACATTTTAAGGTTTAACAGTAAACCAGTTTTGTTTGCTCATTGATGATGATCAGTTTTGGGTTTCAATTAATCCGATTCTTGATTAAACATTGAACAATAGGGAAGAGCACAGTTTAACTTGACTAATGCTCCGTTATTTTCAAAGTTACTTTGTTTGAATAAAATTACAGTAATTCGGGTTCAACCGAAAAGCAAATAAATTTTTCGAGCTTCAAGACTCGACTGAGTCAGTTTTCACTCGAAAGTTTATTGCTTCATTACATTGGGTTATTGTGTTATTATTGTGAACTGGAAGGGTTATTTAGTTTGTGATAATTAGGTTCAATTAAGTTTATTTGTTTCTAATAAACAATGCATTTACAGGTTCAACTCAAACTCAAAGTCAACCAAAGTTTATGTTAAAGTTTAAATTGAATCATTAGGTTATTTTGCATCATGAATGTAATAGAAAGATTGATTAGGTAAATAATAATGGTTATTGGATGAAAATTTATAAACATTCTGTACCATAAATGTTGCTTTCAAATAATGGTTATAACTTCAAAATCTAGAAAATTGAATGCTAATATTAGTAAGTTAGGAAAAAGGCAAAAGAGAACTGGACAAAATAAAGTTCGATCTTATTGGTATCTGAATTAATGTTAAAGGGTGACTGTGGAAATGTCTGATTTTAACTTAATTTTGACCACCACTGCAACTAGAGATGTAGCCTAGGCTTGAGTCAAAGAATTGGTCAATTTGCAATTCCAGACTATATTATCCAACAGCTAAAGGGTGTTGCGTGTTATTCCTGGCAATCATCCTATCTGAATGGAGATTAAACAACTGATTAAGATGGAAATGCCCAATGGAAATCTTAAACTTCAACATGTATTGGACATTTTCATCTTTATCAGTATCCTTTATTCCAATCAATATTGAATTTTCCATCAATGTGTCAATAACAATCAGACAATATGAAATGATCAATAATGCGAATTTCACATCTAGGATCGAAATTTGCACCTAGCAGTGAAAAAATGTTAAGAATCAGTTCAATAGTTTATAAGATAGGTGAGAATAGATAATTCAAAACAATAATGCATCCAGAAAATAATGCGAATCATTGATTGATAAGAAGTATCTTCATCAAGTTCTGTATGATTTTCATTCGATGCGCAACAACAAGAACTTCAAGTTTATATATTTACAAATCTTAGGTATTCTTCCTCAATTAAGGACAAGGGTATTCAACCAATGCCTATCCTAATTGAAGCCACCGCGATATTAAACAATAACAATGTAAAACTGGTTGAGAGTAAGGATTTGATGATTGCTCATTGAGAGTTACAACAGAAAAAATGAGTTTGATGAAAAAATGTGTTTGCACAAACCAACCAAAATGCGATCCAAGTTTCAACTTCGAACTTGATTTTCTAAAAAACTCGATTTTTTCAAAAGCAAAAGGTTTATTTCTTTACTCTTTTGGTCATCTTTGCCCCTCATCATCATTATAACCTGTGGGGAAAAAGTTTGGGGAATTATTATTTAGTAATCAATACACTTCAGATTGTTCGTAGATTTTTCATTCTCTCTTCGCAAATAGATTAAAGAAGGTTCAAGATACGTGCTGATATAATTTAATTCAAGATCTTGTGAAAACTCGATCTTATTTTTAGGATTTAAAAAATTACATGCGATGTATTTTTGACTAACCAGAGCCTGATTAGCTTTCTCCTGGTTTGTTAAGAAACGTTTTGAATTGTCGATTTCAAACCTTATTTTGCAAAGATGCAAAAACAATGAAGCCGAGATCGTACTGACCTGAAATTTTAATAATTCACTGTTTTAAGTTCTAAATCAATGTAGAAGAAAATCTGAACTTCTAGCTTCAAGGAATTGATCGATCAAATCGATCAAACTGATTAGTCCCAAACTTTTCCTCACCGATTACCACTTAATAGCTCAATTTGGCCAATTAAAATTTCCTATCATCTTTGCAATTGATTGCATTTAGTCACTTAAACCAAGAAACTTTAATATTAAAGTTGACAAATGCAATAATCAACTTTAATTTCCTCCAAAATTTCAATCCCAAAGCCAGAAAAAGCAGCTTCTAAAACAAAAATGGCAAACGATTGAAAATCAATTTAACAAATAAAGATAATTTGATCCTAAACATTGAATAACCTGTAAAATGGTCAAACAATATTAGCCTCGAAAGCTAGTAAAGCTCAAAAAGGTTGAAAATTGTAACCAAATTGAAAGAGTCTGAAGTGAGTGGAAACCCGAAAAGGATATAAAAATGAATTGAGGTGTTAAATGATTGATTAAATTGGTTAAGAAACATTTAATGGACCATAAAATGAGCAATTGAAATGATGCACTTAATCGTAAACATTTAAACATAATATAATTGGCTTTACACGAGACTTTAATTCCATTAACAATAATGATGAAAATAATAATAATACCAATGATGATGATGACAATAAGGCGACAGGTTATAAAAGTAAGTGTAAACCAAAAGATTAATAGTAATCGACAGATGGTGCCAACTAACAAAATACACTGGCACTTTGATAATCCTCATCCTTCATTCATGAGCATCACCATCAACAATGATGACAACAATCACTTTCCTCCTCCTCCATAACCTCCTCCCTTCATCCTCCTCCTCTTCAATCTATTCAATCATCATCCCTATCATCACCTTCATTCACTTTTTAATAGCAACATATTCAACCAGATTGAATTATACTTACAAATAAGGTTAGAACCTTTTTTTCACCACAATCAACTTGAACAACATTTCATCTGAAGCAAAGCCTTTTCCTTCACTTCATCCTCATCAGTTAAATTGATAAGAGCAAGAGAGTAAAAAAGATGATTATTTTACGTTGTTTGATCAAACATCTCACAGGAATTGATGTTATTATCACCAGTTTGGATTCATTTCAATTTTCACCTTCAAGTATGAATTTTTACTTGAAACATGATAAAGTGAAAGAAATGGAAAGAAATCTCAATCTTCTTCTTGTGATGAAAAATCATTAAAATAACTATCATGATGATTTGTTGAGATCAATTGCTTTTCATATATTTTCATTTCTCAAATCACATTAATGGAAATGAGAAATCAATTTATCAACACCAAATCAACAAATCACCGTATAATTTTAAATTTCATCTTCTCATTTACAATTTACAATCAAAATTCATTTTCATTTTTCCAACTTCAATCACAAGGGAATCTTTTATTAATATTTATCTGTTTAATGTAAATGAAATGTGAACATCAATGTTGCTGAAATAATTTCACTATCAATATCATTTTAATGATACTTTACATTTAAACTGTCTTTACTGATTTAGATTAGTGAATAAATCAGTGAAGGTAAATCAAGAGTAATTAAGGCTGAAAATATTCACAAACATGATTTAACCATTTAAGTGGCTCTATTAGTTACTATGAATTAATCTGATGTAAACTTGATAAACACCTTTGACAGGGAATTTAAAATAATATTCATTATTCAATTGTTATTGTTAAACATTAGCAATTGTTGTCACTGATCCATTAGTTAATTTAGTTTACTGTAATTGAGCTTAATCAAATAGAGAAACCATTTCATGGTCAAATATCGTATTCAATGTAATATTATGTTAAATTGATTTTTGCTTTGGTCATTTACATGAAGATGAAGATGATGAAGATGGTGAGGATGGTGATGGTAATGATGGTGATGATAGTAGGGATGAGGAGGATGGTGAGGATGGTGATGATCCTATTTGCCTGTTAAAAGGTTGTAAAAAAGCTTTGTTTGACATCAATTGTTGCCATTTTGCTTTCACCATTTTTCCTCCTTTTAAATGTTATTTGCATTTACAAAATGAAGCAACCAATTTTGGCTTATTGTTAATCACACTGAAAATCAATAAATTATTATTAAATAGCAGTCAGATGAACAGCAAGTACACACAATACAAATCCTCTTCAAATCCGTCATCACTTAACAACTGTTCATCTTGAATCCTTTACATTTTTACATTTATTAATATTCATTTCTAATATTAGTTGAACAATTTGATTCCATCTTTGATTCTAATCTCTATTTGATACAATTTAATCACTAAATCATCTTAAATCACTCTAAATCACTCTCAATTACTTTGAATCACTTTGAATTGCTTGTTAAATGGCCTTTTAGGAAAAGCCTTAAAAATCATTTTCCTTTCCTTGAGTTTCAATTTTTTCCTGTTGTTTTTTTGATTCCTTTACCTTTTCATTTTTTGACTTTAATGGTTGAACCAATTGAAGTCAATTGGAACCATTAATGTTAATCATTTAGACTGTTGATCAACTTGAAATGACACACGTCGCAAGGCAAACACAAGGCGACCTTTTTTAATGTCTAACCTTTTAATCTCATCATTAGCTGTTTGATGAAATATGGTTAAGAGCTACAACTATTAATAAGGTAAATTAGATTGTATTTAAATGCAAAGTTGGGCACACTCATCATGATGACCTTATGCAATTTAACCAAACAATAAATAGAGACACAAGTCAACTGATTATACAAGATAGAGTAATTTGATTCACACTTTAATGCTCAACTGCAATCAACTTAATCTGATTGACTTTGCAATTTAGGAAACACTTTGAAAGGCCATTAATATGATCACAAGTGATCAACACACGTGCCACAATTTCAACAGTCAATCAGTGCCCAAAACTCAAGCCCACCATCCTCACTCAAACATTATACACTCAACTAACAAGTCATTTTTGCACCAACCATCAACATTTCATATTAGTTACAGTTTCACTGAACCCAAGTCCCTTCAAACCGATTAACTTGATTCCTCAACAAATCAATTCACTATCTAATGACCTTTCACTATCAACAGGAGCCATTGGAAGCGGAGTTATGGGCAAAACTCGTCGACCTCGAACCGCATTCACTAGTCAACAATTATTAGAATTAGAGAATCAATTTAACACCAATAAATACTTATCTCGTCCAAAACGGTTTGAAGTTGCAACCAATCTCATGTTAACAGAGACTCAGGTAAGTCTGAATACAAACAATTACAACCAAAATCAAAATCACAATCAAATTGATAATCAAAAATAAAGTGTTGAAAAAAGGCGTTGAAATAGGATTGAAAAAGCATCTTTAACCAGTTAAAAAGGTTGAACCTTTTGCTTTGTTTTTTACAGCTTTTAACACAACTGGGATTGTTAACATTTACATATAAACACTATCACTGCTTGTTAACCTTTACTTATTATAATTAGTCAATTAGGTTAAAAGCAATTAGGTTAAGCAAATTATTCATCATTCGTTATCATCTTTTTTTGCTCATCTTAATTATTCTCAATTGACCTTAACAATATAACAACTACCTATAAAGGCTGGGAGTGAAAGACCAAGAATAACTTATGACAATATATTACAGGGAAGGAGATACAAAGGAATAGGATAAAAAGTATTCTTGTTCATCTTCCTCTTTTCATCTTCATCTTCTTCCTCTTTTTCAGGCCATTTTCATTGTTTATAGGGTTTTACACTGGATGATAAAGTTGGATCATCAGTTGAAGGAGGAGAATGATGATGATCATCATCATGATTGGCCATGATTATCATGGTTAATCTAATAACCTGACAACTCTAATTTAAGCACATTAACCAGTTTTACTGTTTACCAATGTTTTACTCATCATCATCATCATTATCATCCTCATCATCGCCAAACATTAATCTAATCACAAATTAACTTAACATTCTCACTACAATTGAGGTTTAACATTATTTAGTTTATTTTTTTCTTCTTCTTCTTCTTCTGTTTGTTTTCATTTTATCTTATCCGAGTAATCAAATTTAATCAACATTAATCAATCATTTAATCAACCTTATTTAATCATTTTTAGCCTTTTCTTTCTTCTCATCCCTCAAATTATCTCAAATTGTGATTATTATCAACTCTTTCAATTTCCTTTGTTTATCATCAACTTGATTACTTGATATTTGTCATCTGCGATTAAATTGATAGTTAATTTATTAATAACTGTGTAACTATCAGGTGATGATAATAAATATAAAATGGCCTCTAATCATGTTTGTTGAGATGATATTTAACCGTTTATATCAGATACTTTTTTTGGTAATCACAAGAAAACTGTTAACAAGGATAAACGTTGAATATTAGCATTAGAAGAAATCAAGCACAAGGTTATTTCGAGCGGGTTCTGGCCTTAAAAATCTTCCGAAATTACATCGTTATTAAATGATTATTGGAAGTTTAATCGTAAAAAAATCCTTTACTTGAAATGAAAAGTCAAAGAAGTAAAAAATAAGTTAACTTCTTTTATCCACCAATAGATGGAGATCAAGTAGAAGTAAATTTTCAATTTTGTTTCAAACGAAAAATTTAAGTGTTTCTGGTTGAAGGCGTCTGGAAAGGACTGAATATTGAGTCAGAGTTATTAATTAGTTAACGACAAAATTTTTCATCTTCAACCCCATTGAACCCAGTTGCGCCTTTAAAATATTGATTGTAAGAAATTTTTGTGCTCATTAAGCTTGGAATTAAATTGAATCCGTTCAATAGATGGTGTTGATGATGGCGATTCTTAACCTATTTTGTTGTTAACAATGACCAATAACTTTAATTCAACGTTTAGCCTGGTTTCAGCCAGACACCCTTCAGTAATTTTAGCGTTTTATTCGTTATATTTTCTGAGTAAAACAGGTGAGAAATTAAAATGGTGTAAATTATTGTTTTCCATATTGTGATTTGTTATTGGTTGTAGTTGTTGCTCCGGGTTTTGTTACATTTTACTCGATTACTAAACATTTGTTTTTGTCACAGGTTAAAATATGGTTCCAGAATCGACGGATGAAATGGAAACGAAGTAGGAAAGCTTTAGAAGGATCATCAAAATTAAAAGGAACCACAACAGCTGCTCATATTAATGAATCTTCATCATCTGATTGCGGTAAGGGCGAAGTAAAATCAAATGGTAAGATTGAGCATTATAACTGCCAATGTATAGAAGAAATTATTTTGAACATTTAACTGCCCACAATAATGGAAGCTTTTCAAGTTTCAATTACATTCTATTTAATAGAAATCTCATTTATAAGTAATTTTCCCCTTGTTTTGACCTATTGACTAATTAATGTACATATTTATTTTACAGGAATCAAAGCAAATGTTGATAACCTTATGGCATCCACATCATCTTCATCTGGATATGATATGAAACCTGATAAACGTTTAATCGACACTGGGTCACCCAATGGCTCAAGAATGATACCAAATTCACCTCAATCACCGGCTTCATCATCCAACTCATCTTCACCCTCTGCATCATCCATTTCATCTTCACTTTCATTTCCAATTAATCCTGTTAACCAGCAACAAACAACCTGTTCGGGAAAACAGTTGTCTTCACCCACAGCACCAACAACCTGGCCAGTAAACCTGAATCGTCACATAAGCGATTGTAATCGGAATGCAAGTTTAATCAATCCCATTAGCCACAATAAGCAACTTCAAGATCCTTTTTACAGGCCTTATGTGTCTTGAGTATCCACCATCTAAATCAACAATCATTAACCATTGACCATTAAATCACCGCATCATTGAAAAAAACTGTCAACACACACACACACACAATTTTAATGATCAAAACACTATCGAAATCATTTCCATTTGCTCTTTAACTTGATCTCAATTTTTGCAAGCTTTAACATTGACATTTAATAAGAAAGCCAACTCTAACTTTAATCTATAATCAATTTGATTGCAATTTAATTCTTTTGATTAACTTATAAAAATTAAAAGTATAATTAAAATCAACCAATTTCAATAAATTATAAGTGTATTATAATGGCAAACCAAACTCTGCTATGTAAATCTAAAGGTTTGGTTTAAAACACTTCTAGCGTTTATTCAATTATTATTTGCTTACAATAAGTGAAAATAAAAGCATTATTAGTTGCATTAATCAAAATACAAATAGCATCATATGTGGACTCATTATTTACCGATAATATTTTGATTAACCTGATCAATTGATTGTTTACAATTTTGGTTCACTCTTTACTCGGCCTCAAGTTTACTCTTTGCTAGGGGATTGATGTATTTGTATTACAACAATACCATTTGATTAGTTTTGAACAAGTTGCAAATCTCGAGAGAATCAACTGATTATTATGTTAATACAGATCAACTTTTTCCTCCTTAATTGTGAACAGTTAAAAAAAGGTAAACTAGTGAAGAGTAATTGAATTGCATAAAGTATGGTTTATCTGCCCTTGGAGGATTTACAAAATTTACATAAAATATACAGCTTTTCAGGTTAGGCTTTTGTTGAATATATATTTTCTGGTGTCGTTAGTTAATTTCAGCATTAACAGAGCATGAATATACACAGATTGATAAAAAATATAAACAGCAATTAGTTGATTAAAGTGTTTTTTTCCAAGTTATCCAATTTATACGACGTTACTTGTTCATTAATCAACCGTCACAATTTTTTAGCCAACATCTTGGGCCCTTCAATTTTCCTATCAGCTTTGCTACCAATCCAATTATCTTGCCGTCTATTTTTCATTTTGCGGTAATTAAAATTTATTCATATTTCACTCTTACCAATTAAACATAGGAAATAGCTTGGTAAATATGAAAATGAAACTGTTAAATTAACACCCATTAATCATGGATGCATAATATTCAGCCTAGAATTTCTGGATTCCGAGCAATAAGATGTTATGATGTTTCATTTTTTGTACATTCACTGATAAAGCTTCTATCTCAGGTTCGCTTTCTGCCGAGCTTACTTTTTATTCAGCACAAAACATCGGTGTTTTTTATCCAACTCTAGTCGATAGCTTCCAATAGGATCAAAATACCTTTAATAAATTATTTGCTGAGTTAAGGGAAAAAATATTGATATTATTTTTGCTTTGCAAATTAAAAATTAGTGAAAATAAGTTTAGGCGCAATCAGTGGTTATTTTCACAGCAAAAGTAAAAATGGTCAATTGTAATTTTCGTTCAGCTGTTGATCTTTTGGTTCAAATAATTAATTACCAATTTATACATTTATTTTACGTATTTTATGCCTTTTGTTACCTTAATATTCAAAAGTAATTTAATTAATCAAGCCTCGTATTTTATGAAAATTGTAAAAGCCTTCAATGGAGTCTAAATTTTTAAAGGCAAGTTCAAATCTACTGAAATCTTTGGTCCGGTCAAAATTGGAAGCTACTGTATTTTTGGTCAAAGGTATGTATTGCAAATTTGTATTTTATTTCAGTGTAATCATTAATATAACTGAATATTACAATGTAATACATTGAAGTATAATATTCCTGTATTAATATTACTTAATACTTAAGCTGAAACAGTGTCTGTTCCATTATCTTTACTCATGTGTTTTGTATGGGAAAAGCTATTGTTTGTTTGAAATACGATCCAGTCTTAGCTACAAATCATTTTAAAAAGTCAATTAATCAAATATTATACCCAAACTTGGATTAGCTAATTTAATTGCTCCATAAAGTTCAAATTAATGTTTACATGTTGTTAATTTATAGCTTTACCTTGTCGCTGATCTTAATTTATTTATTTATTTAGTCGTGTTTTGGTTAGTGTTTAAGCTTCAACCTTGATTATAGCAGTCAAATTGTGTTGCACTGTTTATTAAATTATTATATCAATAATGGTTTGTTAACTAAACGATAATCTTGCTTGTAAATTAAGAAAAATTAAATTATTAACTTTAACAGGTATCAACAACTGTTGCGTGCATCAATGAATGAATGAATTCAATTCTACTTACCGATTTGCTGAACAAATCAAAAAGAGATGAAATGAATTAATTAAACACACTGTGAGAATGTTAATTGGAACGAAAAGATTGATGTTTTTATATTGTGAAAAAAACTAATATTTAAAAATTGTGTTAAGTCTGTCAATGTGTAATTGAATCCAGTAATTTGTTGAGGTAAACCTGTTTATACAAACAGCTAAGTGCATGAGATAATTGTTGAGATTCAATTTTTGTTTTCCAATAATTTGATCACTTTTTCTTGAACAATCAACAATTATCTCATGCATTACATATTTACTAATTGAGCATCAATGATAACCTTCGGAGTGAAACAATGGTAAACAAAAAGAGTAAAAATTAGCTTCATCACAAGTAAGTCAATGACAAGAAATCTTAAATTGTGACAATTTAGTTACGGTTAATAGCTGGCCTGTCAAAACAATTGGATTACCCTCACCAATTTAAACATATGAGCAACACCACGAGTCAAATTAGCGAGTGAAAATGATTACTTATCCAACAATTATCCCTAAAACAATCAACTAATTCATATTTTTTCTCTCTCTTCTTCCCTTGCGAATATAGCCTAAAAAATGGACAACTTGGAATCAAAGAAATGAAAAATTGTCATCTTCCAACAATTGAAACAACTCGTATAAGAATAAAAAAGGATACAATGATTAAGCTTTTGGTTAATGATTAAGATATATTTATAAGGAAGGAAAGGACTGATGATTGGAAGGAGACATTCAAACAAAAAAAAAAGCGAATCGACATGAAAACCAATGGATCGTGAAAAGAAATTTGTTACCGATTACGGTTAGCGAGAAAAGTGAGGCCTGTGCAGTTAATTAAACGGCAATTAAATTTGGATATGATGACAAATTAAGTGGTCGATGATGCATACCAAGAATAGCTAATTTAAAATACTCATCAATGATTGTGATCAAGCAGCTGAAGCGAAAGCTTGTAAAGCAAAAAGGAGGCAAAAAAGACACGAAATGAATTGAAAGTGGAAGAAGGTTCAACCAAAAGGATTCAAATGAAGAGTCTCATCCAGTCTGATTAAGATTTTTGTTGAGTGAAACGATGAGCGGGTTAAGAAAAAATTAACGATCGCAATATGCCAAACAGACGAGTAGAAATAGTTTCAAAGTGGATTTGATGATTTCTTGGTAAACATTCTATCCTTACTAGCAATTGGTTAAATGGTTTAATGTGAAATTGATACAAATTAATACAAATTTGCTGTTAATCAATTGCTGTTCACTTAGTCCAATTCAGTCAGTCGTTATTTCAAACCTTGTCGCTCTGTCTCTTTCTCTCTCCTGTCCTCCCTCTTTTTCAATCTTCATTTCAACTTTAACTATCTAAAGCATATTCACAACTTTATCTTCCTACTTTACATTACTTTTTTACTCCTTTAATGTTTTTCTTTTCACCGATCGACTTGTTTGATTTCTTTTTCAGTTTTCAATTGACAATCACCTGTTAATGCTAATGTAACTAACGGAGTGTAATCTAAGACTGATATATACTCTAGTTTGGCCGTTATTCATAGAGACTTTAATGGAAACTGTTTGTGTGGATTGCCTGTTTCACAGTTTTTACGTGTTTTGATTCAAGTGTCCAAGTTTGCAAATTTTCATAATCATCGACAACATAATCACTGTTACCAATGAAATGGTTTACAAGGAAAACCTTTTGCCCAATCATCATAGCTTTCCTTATTCCAATCGTTGCTGGTAAAATTTTAACCTCAAATCATGGAAAATTATCAACAGAAGCTTTCTTTTTGAAGTCAGACGATGTGCCCTCAATGGTTAAGGAGTCAGCAGTGTCTGATGAATTTAAATTACCAGTTACAGCAACAATTGAGGAAAACAGTGATAAAGAGGAAACATCGCCCAGTCAATTAATGCCCTTCTTCTATGTCGGTGACACTGATCAACCAGAATCAGAAAAATCATCTGTAAGCAATATAGTTCCTGCAATTAGGCAGAAAAGGATTGGATCTGACAGAGAGAAGAAAATTGTTTCAAAATCAACTTCAAGACAATTTCAATCACCTTTAGCTGTAAAAGCTTTACAAAAATCTAAGTTAGTTTCCAACATTCCGGTTCTTGTTCCAAATTCAGTTACTTCAAATATTGAAACTCGCCGAGTTTTCAACGATAATGAAGCTCCTTTTGTATCCAACATTGATTCACCTAAACCTGCATCCTTCAAACTTCTCTGGTACATTCAACCAACTTCATCACCTTCATTCACCGACTCACCGTCTCCATCATCGTCTTCATTAATACAATCTTTTCCCTTTACCTCTGCTAGAGCATCAAGATCAGCTTATGATCCAGATTATGTTCCGCTCTTCAAATACAACTCAATGGTTTCTAAACCTCCTCTACCTGCCCAGTCAAAATCCTATTACAACTCTAACTATCAAAGTCCAGCATCATTTTACAACCATTATCAATCAATTTATCATCCAACATCACTAAGTTATCCAAGTTTTCCCCAATTTTCATCGAATAGTGATGACGATGACGACGACGATGATGATAGTAAAAGTGAAAATACTAGATCATTTTACGCGGCTCCGTTCTCTCTACCAGTACCAACTATTTCAACTTCCTCCTTCAGCCCATCAGGACTTAATCATTATTTTGGAAAACCTTATGGCAGTCCAATGAGACGTCAATATGGTGGGAAATCAGCCAAAACCGCGGCTTTCATTCATGCCTCGAAAGATATCCTTCAAGATCCAGATATTGAACAGCTTTTGACATCATTTGATATAGAGAGAGATATTGGCAAAGATAAACATTATCGTCCTCGAAAAAGCTACGATGAAATGTCAATGAATGGCAAATATTCCGATAATTCTGGTTCAAGATCTAAATCGTTTGACTCGTTTTCTGATCCCTTCATGAGTTCACCAGAATCAAATACTGGCCGTTATGGGGGTCGCTCTGATTTTAAACCATATTTTGGTTACTATAAAGGCTTTCAAATTTCACCTTACAAGGCTAAAGGTTTTAACAAATTACCAAATGAGAGATTCAATATGGACAAACATCGTAATAATTTCAGCCGGAATATGAAACCTTTTTGATCGTTCAAATTCATTTTCTTCATATTCAAATTCCCATTAATCATAAGTAACTCAGATTGTAAATATAACATGGTTAACATATAAAAACGAATTTGTTTTTAATAATTTTTTTGTCTTTATTGGACGGTTATTGGATAACTATGACATTTGCTAAATGACAAGTTAAAATTAGCCGAAAGGATTTGGCAAATTGCTGGATTTAGTTAATGAAAGCTTTATAAAACCAGATTGTAATGAAAAGTCTCAATATTATTTATTTTAATTATATCAGAAACCTTTTCTTCTATTCATGAACTTTTTCAGGTTCACTGATACCTTTTGTAGGCTTTTAAATAGTTAATTGATAATTGTAACCATTTTGAAACAAAAACCTCCAACAAATGTATTCTTTTGTTTATTCTTAATGATAACAATTATTTTCCTGAAATCATAAAAAAGAGTAACAATCAAGACGGCTTAAATAAAATTGTCACTTTTTGATTTGATTGTTGTAATTTAATGTTAGGATGGTAGTTTGTGTATGCATTAGATCTAGCCATGAAGAGAAAAGAAAACGATTGTACAGTAAAAAAAGGTTGACTTTGTTCGTGTGTCGGTAAATAAGCATTTAGTTTTTATCAATCAAAGGACAAGCCAGAACAATTAATTCAAATTGATTATCGGAGAAAAAATGTTTTACAATTTAGTTTGTCCAAATTATAAATGGGAATCATGAACTGGTCCAATAAATGGAGGGCTTCAGGTGGTTTAAATTTTTTTGAACGTGTTTTAATATCAGTCAAACGTATACAAAAGTATCATCTATTATAACATATCTGCTTGTAATTAACAATATTTCCGTCTAATCTAGGATTTAATATAGGATGTAGATTCAACTTTTAGAAATATCGGTTTTAATCTAAGAGGTTGTAATTTACAATATACATAAATGTTAAGTTAATTAATTTGTATACTCAGATTGAGCCAAAGTATAGACACCGTCGTTATCTCGAACATAATTAAATCTAGATTGACCAGGTTTAAGAGTATAGCCATGAATGGTGACCAAATGTCGAGTAAGATTATTACCGCGGGTGAATTTTTTATCACATTCATGGCAAAGATATTCGTTCATGGTAGATTGATGAAATCGTTTCATGTGTTTAGCCAGAGTATGACAACAGCGACATTCAAATTTACACAAGGTACATTTGAATGGATTACTTTTATTATGAGTTTCCAAATGTCTCCTCAAATCAGATCTAGTTTTACATTTAATCGTACAAAATTGACAAGCGAATGGTCTGTCCTCACTATGTCGATAGGCTTTATGATGTTTTAATGCTGAGGGTGAATCAGCAGTTTGGCCACAAATATCACATTGATGATAATGAAAATGACGTCGGTTGTGTTCTCGAAGAAGCGAGCTTGAATGAAATGATCTATCACAATGTTCACATTTGAAAGCTGAAGAATTTCCTATAGCTGCTGCATTTGGATGAATAGTCACCATAATTTCTTGATCATTAATCTCCAATGTGATAGCCTGGTCGTTAACTTGAACATCATATTCGTCCAATTGACGTAAGAGATGATCACGAAATTTGCCTTTATTTGAAAACATAGCTCCACAATTTGGACAAGCAATTATTTTTTCTTGAGTGTGGCTTCTTAGGTGTTGAGCAATATGAGAATTAGAGTCAGAAATAAATGAACAATCCAACCAATAACATCTAACTGCTTCAGGGATTGGTTTGACACCAGAAGAACTAGAACATGGTCTTGGTTCAGATTGGCTATTGAATCCTCCATCATCCAGTCCATCGCTATTCTCTGTAATAGCCAATTGTTTCATATTACGCTCAAAAGGATGTGTTTCAACATGTCGATAAAACTCCTCTGCTTCGTAAAATATTTCCAAGCAATCTTTCCAAACGCAGACGAACATATCAGGCAAAGGTGGAAGCAAAGTCCGAGTACTACCATCTATACCACAGTTTATGTCCTTTCCCAAGCTTTCACTAATAGATTTCATTTCAAGTAGGCCAAAGCTCATCAACTTAGTATGGAATCCATGGTAGCTAATATGAACTTTCAACTCGTTAGGGCTGCTGAAGGATTCTTCAGAGCATCCAGACCATTCACAAATAAGTCCCGCGTTTTGTGTTTCATGAGCAGTAATAACATGGTCAATATGACCCTTGAGATGCTCAACGAAACTATCAACATCATGGTGTTGAGGATCAGTACATCCAGACCATTCACAAACAAGATTTACCTCAAGATTATCACGTTTCTTCTTTTGTTTACCCATGATTCCGAACTAAGAATGAAACAAAAGCTAAACATTCAGAAGAGACAGCTGAGTTGGTTACACTGTTACCAATAGTTACAACAAAGTTTATCATTGTTATCAATATCAATGAATACTCACAGATATCTTGACTCTCAACACTATCAGTATCAGTAAATACATAGAAAAACCATTGCTTCAATGATATTTTTTATCGATACTTCAACATATACTAAGTACTCGGATAAACTAGCAGTAATTATCAAAGAAATACTTCAAACAACTAATAGCCGGGAAATTCAATTTTGAGGTCAATCCATCCAAACTTAAATCCTTTCAAGCAAACAAAAAATATTAATGTTGTATTTTTTGGAATTTTGATAAATTTATTCACAAACCTGTAGAAATGAAAAGTAACAAAATCAGATTGGATAGACAATGATTTGACTAGGAAAATCCCGAATCTATTGATTTACGAATTTCAAGAACTGTAATTAATTTCTTAGTGGAATCTACAAGTGATATCTTTGTGGTATCAACAGTTGTGATAATTTACCAGCATTTATCAGTTGACATTGATTTTCTAAATGAATGGTATTCTCCAATCGAAAAAAATGCATTGTTTAGCAGAAAGCAACAATTAACTATTGTTGATTTATGATTACAATTTTTTAGCAATTCCAAGAATCACAAAGGAGCTACAATTTGTGAAATTTTCAGCACGGACGTTTTTCGCGATTCGTAAAGGCATCAATGAGTTTTATCTTATAGAACCTCATGTTAAAGCCTTTTTGAAATTTAAAACGGATAAACTGATCCAAATTTTACTAAAATTGATAAGTCGCTGCAGCATCTAATAGACAGCAATTTAAAACTAAATACAAAATTATCTCAATCAGTTTTGATAAAAAGCGAAAATTTCTAAACTTTTTGCTCGATTATTTTTAGTGTATTGCAATCGATCGGTGCTATTAACGCTTGAACTTCCACTTTTTTGGTCAATTTTTGGTAATCTTATGCTTCAATTTGCTGAGAGTGTCCATTCTGATTTTAATAGATTTCCTAAAATAAGAAAATAAGTAATTAAACAAAAACCACAATCTCTAAAATTTTGTTGAATGAATGCTTGAAAAATATATAATAATGTATAATGACTTAGATCATTTGTACAAATAAGTTATTCAACAAAAGCCACGATCTCTAAAATTTTTCAACTGAATAAACAGTGAGTAAGATGTATTAGTGGTATCAGTAGTAAATATTATACTTAACACTCATAGACAACAGCTGAATAATCGTGTATTATTCAAGCATACTGATTAGCGTACAAACTTTAACCTTGATAAAAGAAGCCAATTAATCAAATTATCATGCTAATAATGATTCCTAACTAAATGGTAGTAATTATTTTGGACTTGCTGAACAAATCGACAAGAGATGGCAATGAATGAATTAAACACTCTATGAGAATGTTAATTGGAACGAAAAGATCGATGATTTTGTTATTGTACAAACTAATATTTACAAACTGTGAGAAGTCTATTAATGTATAATTAAATCCAGTAATGTGTCGAGGTAAACTTAATTTACAACAAAAAAAGGATGTTTTTATAAAGCAGTAACCTCCCGTTTGGCTGGAAAATTTTTCATTCAAAAGCTTCCCCCAATTAAAATCGAATGATGATGATAGTTGAATGGTCAAGGGGAATCATCAACATCTGGATGAATTGGAATTTCTAGCTTGAATTTGAATTGTTCATATTGTTATTGTTAAGATGTTCAACCGGTGACTGTGTCTGTGGAGTTGGTGGAGCTGAGGATGAAGAAGGTGAACCAGCTCCATGATCTTCAACCAAAATTGTGGCAATTTCATTTTGCATAAAAGCCCAAGGAACACTTGACCCAAGAAGAGGACATTTCTCTCCGGACGGACAGTATACTTCTCCTGGGCCCGGTCCACCCGTTGATGCGTGTTGTTGTTGCTGTCGTTTGATTGCAGTTCGAGAACAGGGAAAACAAAATTTATGTGAGGTAACAGATGGACATTGAACGAAATGGGTATCTTCTAGTCTTTCATTGCAAATGGTACATTTAAGAGGAGCTGAGTGCTGCGAAACCGGCGGTGTTCCTGAAGCAGAAGTGGGAGGTGTAGTAGTAGGTGAGGTATGAGTTCCACCACCACCGCCACTGTTGTTACTGCTGCTCTCGACTCGTGGCTTTTTATTTGCTGAATAAAAAAAAGAGATGAATAAATATTAGTCAATTTGTTATGACAACTACAAAAGTCTTGAATAGCTGCACAGCCGGTTAATACGCTTTATCAATTATATTCAGTTTTATTAGCATATATCAACCAGTAAAAGAGTTGAATTTTATCTCCAAAACAGGATATTTTGTTTAACTAGCTGATTAGCTAAGGGATGATAATTACTTGCGGTTGTTGTGGATGTTGTTCCGGAGGTTGTTGTTGACGGCGTCGTCGTGTTAGGAGGTGAAGATGGCGAGGCTGCTGTTGAGAGAAGAGAAGATTAGTCTAAAATGAACAATAACTGATAATAATTGATAATCAAGGTAAGGGAATGATAGTTTAATTTTAGATAAGAAAAAGATTTCCAAGAAAAAAGGTAAAACTGTTTCACAATTGTATAGAAAAATGTCAAATGATCAAAACAAGAATAATCGATAATTTATCTAACATTACTCTTATCAATAGAGATATGAATTGTATATTGTAAATGAGAAGTAGGAAAAATTGCCTTTTATTATCAATTCTGTTGAAGAATAGTTTACCTCATTAAGAATAGGCAACATTATCTAGTACTCATTTGTGCATAATATTACATTTCAATGGATTAACTTGAACAATCATCTGATAAGCAAGTACTGTGAAAAAATGAGGTGTATTAAGCAGAAAAGTAACGTTACAATATGAAATTCATGGGAAGGAAAACAAATGAAAATTAAGTTACAATTGTTACAATGAAAAGATATGTAACATAAGTTTCAAAGTTGAATCATATTTATCGAGAAATGAGTAAGTCAATAATCAACATTACCGATTCATTGTTGAACAGATAAAGCTATCACAAAGTGAAATTAAATAACTAAGCTATTATCAAAACTGTAACACTACAATTAAAGTAAACCCCGAGATTAATATACAATTAGCAAGTTCATTTGGATACATAAAATGATTGAAATATTGAAATAAATGAAGTGAAAAAGTTAACTTTTGGCTTTTGTTGAACACAAAATTCAAAGAAACTTCCTTTTTTCATGTTATTCAAGTTATTCAACCACAAGAATATACTTCAAGCAGAAAATAGATTGATAAAAAGGTTAAAGGTTGCATATAAATAATTTTTACATGCTGAACATATAACATTGAATAATTTCGTTAAAAAAAGTATAACCTTCGTTTTGAAATATTTTCAATGTTTTCATACATCAAAGGGTCTTAAGTCATAGTGGAGATGAGCATGAAATGAATTATTTTTTAGAGAAATTCAATTCTCAATCGACAAATATTATTTTCAATCTTTATTAAACACTAAATAGTCCACTTTTATTTCAATCGAAATAGTAACTTGATTTCATCTTTTTAGCAGCTTCAGTCTCTCAGATCGAAGGGTTATCCGCATACAAATTTTGAACAGCACTTAAAACTTGGGGTCATTTTGAATGGTCGATCTGGTGAAAAATTTGCTTCACTCTTTTTTCATCTTTATGCCTTTTTATTATGCGGTAAATGTTGAACTTGGAGTTCCTACAGTCTTGAAATGCCAGGTCACTTTGGATTAAAATGCACCAGAATCACAATAAAATGAAATAACAGCCTGTTAGGCCTTATTTTAGGCCTTATCAAACATATTTAATTCATGAAATTGAGTCTAATTTTGGTTTCGAATTAAAAAAGTGAAATCTTTTGTATCATAACTTATTTTTTAAAATCCTAGTTAGAAACCTTTATTTTTACATTTGAATTCATTTCCATTATTTCTTAGGAACCCTTTATAATAAGATACAAAAGGTTGAACATTTAAACTATTTTGTCTGAACACCAAAATTAAGGCCTAAAAATTGTGAGTGCATATTTAATTTTCTTGTGCAAATTAAATTTTTGAAGTCAATGGTTAAAATTTCTCACGGCAATAAATATCTGCAGACAAATGATCAAATTGCGAAGTTCGGATACGGAAGTTTCATGAAACATTGATTTAACTAACATTGGAGGAGCAAATCTACAACAAGATCAGCATAATTATCATGATAATCATCATCAACAAAAACATCTGTGTGTTTCCAGTCAACAGGTTTTTATTGGATTGCAATCTTTCATTAAACTAATCAACAAGCTTCACTATCTGTTAATTATATGATAACAATGAAACAGGGAAATTAACAAGGAATTGGGTCGATTTGATAACGAAAAATAAAAGTGATGAAAAGTCAAATTGTATAAAAGGTGCAAAGGTTTGTATACATCGAGTAAATGACCAATGAAACAATTAACAATTAATTACAAAGTTGCCTCATATTTAATGATGATGTTGGCGAAAGGGAAGAAAGCAAAATCCATCAAACACATAAATTACTATTAACAATGGATGAGAAAAATGCAATCAAAGATTGTGAATTTGACACCAATTTTCATATCAAACACAACAATCAATCGTCAAGGCAATTTATTATCAGATGCAAAATTATCTCAATATTGATAAATATATAAATATATATTGCAGTGTGGATATTGATATGAAACAAGCTGTTCAATGATTGTTATGCTCTTCAAGTTGAAAATAAACTTGAACCATTGTTTTTCTGGTGTTTTGTTTTTTCTGTAACATTTCACGTTTGATAACATCTGAAAAATATTAACTAATCAGTGAAAAAAATGATTTGTACAGATAATTATTTTTACTGCTATTCAAGTAAATTTGCACTGAGCTGAGTAAACATTCCTGGTCAAAATTAATCGTAACCATGGTAAGATCAAGATGATTGGTAATGATAAATAGGACATTATAATTAGTGGCAATGATGACGATCATGATGGGATGTTACTTGACGAGGAAATGTTAACTTAATTGAAATGATTATGATATCACGGAAATCAATCAAATAATAAATGATAAGAGTGAGTATACAAATAAGAATGAAATATGAAATGAACATTATCAGTTTCTGTCTGTTTCTCCTTCTTTTTTTGCTCATCATGTATTTATTCAACTTGTAAGGATAAAATATGAAAAAAAGGAATCAGCGAAAGCAAATAAAAACATAGAACAAGATAACAAATAAAAGGGTGAAACATAACTACAAGTTGATAAAGATTGCGTAGGTTGGTGGAAAGCGAGTTTCATGGTGAAAAAAGGAGAATTGAAACGAACCAAGTAACAACATTAGAAGGTATAAAAGAGGAAGAAAATGGATGATGAAAGAGGCATTTTCGACGAAGAGTGAAATGGACAAAAAAAGGAGTTATCATCGATCTTTCAATGTTTTTTTTCTTCTTCTTCTCATTGCATCATGAAACATTGTATTATCGATTTAAGGAGGTTATGCTTTGGCTTTGAAAGCTGGAGATGTTGAATTTCATCTAATGGATGGTGATGATGATGATAGTAGACAGAGAAGCTGAAAAGACTGGAAAAGATATGAATAATTGACTTGCGCAAAATATAAATTATTTCAATTAAACTGAAATGTACAAGATAAGATATTGAAGACTTGTGAGTTTAGGTGCAAGTTTCTATTATCTGATTATCCAGTGTGATAATCCCTGGATTAAATGGTAAAGATCAAATTTTACTTGCACTCAATTTGTACTCTTTTCCAGTGGGTTGAAATTAGGAATCAATTGAAACACGCAAACCAATTGTAAATGGGAAATTTTTAGGTTTCAAAAATTATCTTTGTGTGTGTTGCGTGTGTCAATTAATGTATTATTTTTCAAGTTTCAGTTTCAAATCGACCAATATTTTGAGTCTTTTTATTTATTTATAAAAAGCATGAACCAGAAGGTGATAAAAGAGAGACTGGAAACAAGAAGATTGATAAGAAAAACTTGTCATGCTCAACTGGCATGATGATAGTTGTGATGACTATGAGTTGAGTGACGATTACGATGACGATGGAAATGATGATGAGAATGATGATGTGAGGATGATGGTGGCGATGGTGGATATGATGATGTTGTGGATGATGAACATGCCTACGTCGCTATACTACGTTTACAATGAGAGAGTGAGATGAATCACATGCTGACGTAGGGATACGCTTAAGATTACGTTTAGGGAAGGGTGTTACTAATATGTCGTACTGCGTTTCCAAGGTGAACTCAGAAATTAGATAAAAAGGAAGAGATGATTCTCAAGAAGAGTAAAAAAAAGTAAGTGGAGAGAGAAAGGAAAAGAGCAAAGACCGTGATGGAGAAAGTTTAGTAGAAAGAGACTGGAGTGAGAGTAAGTTAGCAGGTATTCAGTTTTTATAGTCTAGTCTGAGATTGAAAGCTTAATGAAAAACTTCCCGTACTGGGTCATAGTTGAATGAGGAACAAGGTAATCAATATTACATTGATTTCAAGTTTGCTCTATTGGTGGTGGAAACTATGCGTAAAAAGAAAACAATAGAAGAAGAAAAACATGAAATCTTATGTTTAACCATAAATAGGTATATTATGCCTGTTGTTGATTAATGATAATGATTGTTCTGGCTAGAAATGTGATTGTAAAAAGAGAGTAACACAAACAAGTTAAGTCATTATAAGCTAAAGACCAAGATAATGATGATTATGAAGATCGAATTGAAAAAGCAAAGGGATAGAAGGGAAAAAGAGCGGGATTTTCTTTGGAATGAAAACTGGTTCAAGGTTTCCCCTTTTTTAAACTTAAATTTGGGGTAAAAAAAGTGTAATATTCACTCACCTGAAGAGGCGGCAGAAAAACGGTAAAGTGACGTAGCGACTTTATTTGTTCCTACTAAAGCTGCATCGAAAGAGTAAACTCGACCGACCATTTGATGACCAATATGATCTCTAGATGGCTTACGAAGTCCTGACGTTACATGGTCACTAAGGGCTGCAACTCCAGATGATGTTCTGACTGCGGGTAAACTTTCACCTCTTGTTAATGGCGGTCGGGTTACAGTTGGCCCAGAACTTTCTTCAACTGCAGCTAAAAGAGTTGACCTATTAGATGGCGTTGGATCATCGATATCCGCTCTATCTGAATCTATCGTGTGTATAGTACGCTTTCCTCCCGTAATACTTGATCTTTGACCTGCTGAGACAATTTGTTGGGTCGAAAAAGTACGAATTGGACTTGCTGTGCCTCTTGCTTGTTGTGCAGCCAACTCAAAGTGAGCTGCTGGTTGAGGTGGAGTGGTACGTTGTCCTCCTTGTGTGGCTCCTGGCTGATGGCTTGGATCATAACTGATGGCGGCAACGGCCGCAGCAGAAGGCATACCACCGTTAACTTTGTACTGAGCTGCTTGTCTTAAAAGAGGTGCTGATACACTATGATGTAAATCTCCGGACACATAGTTTTCCTTTTTCACATAGCTTCCTTGGGACACTGTTGGCGATGCACCAACAAATGGACCAGAACCATGAGAGGATCCTGTTGCTACAGCAGTTGCACGTTTCATGTGACGTGCATTTTCAATTATAAATTCAATTCTATCAGCTCCTTCATAATTAACACATCCTCGGCAAACAACTTCACTGAATTCGTGTAATAAAGCCCATGGCATTCTAGGTAAATCACAGAGGTAGCAATGTTGCCTCTGAGAGGAGACAAGATTGGGTGGTATCAAAGTGTTTTGTGCACCAAGAGCTGACCCGGGTCCTCCGTGACCTGACATCATGAGTAATTCAGTTGACCAATATAAATAAAACCAAGCACAAAATCAGATAGGGTCTCATTCAGGGGTAAAAGGTAATATCCATTCTTTACAATAAACCATTGAATCTTTAGATAGTCTATCATACATTCATACTCGTAATACTTGAGGATTTTTTTGATAGACAGGCAGATACTGTAGTAAGAGAGGCGTTTCCAAGGGATCGGTTCATAATTATCAACAGTTACTCAAAAACCAGGTTCAGTCAAGTGTTTTATCATGCATGTTAAGTTAGAGGTTTCGTTTAATGGATCTAAATGTATTTATTTAACATGACAAGCTAACCTGAAACCTCATCCGTTCAGGACTATAACGGGGCTTCTTGGGACTAATTGGTAGATGGCAGTAGTTAAGTGTTCAATGAGATAGAAACTCTTCATTCACAGAATAACATATTTTTTGGTTGACAAAATTACACCAATTTTGGTTAAGTTTGATATTATTAATAATAATGAATTAGTTAAGGGTCATTACTTATTTTAGAGTTTATACTTTTACTTATAAACGCTCGAAAAAACACAAGACAATGAGCTATGAAGATTTGCTTTTTTGTATTCCATTCATTTTGAAAAACAGTCATCTTAAAATATCAAGCAATTTAGAGCGATTTGTCCGATAATAGCAAAAAAAATATTCCAGCTATTGCACCGATTGATTTTGTGAGATTGAAATCGGTCGAAAAAATTGTTTGGAAATCAGAAATTTTAAAATTAAGAAATACAAAAGTATTTTTTTTAATATACTTTATGGTTTGTCTATTTTAAATTAAACAGATTTTATATCATCCTATTTTAAACAATGAGCCAATGTAAAAGGTCCTTTTTTGTCGTTGAAATTGCACCGAACCCAGAAAGAAAAGACTTCTTTGCCTTTGAATGGTAAGACCAGAAAATTTGTCGATGAAAAAGAAACTAGACCTTTTCCGTTTCCTTCATCAGTCAATAGCTCAAAATTAATTTTGCCAAACTGGTCAGTACCAGAGAATTCGATGTTCCAGGGATTATCCCAGTTGATTTGAAACCCTTTAGATTCTTCATATTTACATTCAATATTTCGGACTGGTCCAGGGTAAAAATTGGATGAAATTTGCATATTTGGTTGAGAAAGTGTTGAATTTGAATTTAAAATGTCAACTACGGTTTCGCGAAAATGGTTTACATCTACAAAAGTGTCTTGATAAATACGATACAACCAATTGGGATCATGGCAACAAAGATGAGGTTCAAGATCTTCTGTTAGATTTTTAATTTGACTTTTCATTTTATCTGGAAGATCGTCAATTCCTCCTAAAGATACAGGATACTCTGGATGTTGAATTGAATTGTTAAGATTCTGATTTACCCAGCGAATGTAGTTTAACTTGAGTGTTTGAGCAATTGTTTTGTATGGGGTGTAATGTTCCGGATTAATTCCAAAAGGAAACATCTCAACAATAGATGAACCAGGAGGAAGAAAGAGAGATAAAATTAATGTTGATCCATGCATCCCGATGAGAAGGTTTGCACAGCTTATTTTGATGATTAAATTGACAAAGTCATCATTAACATTCATCCGAATGACTGTTGCTGCCTCTTTGTTTAACATTTTAATCAGTTCATCTTCATTAAGAATTAACCGATTGTAGGTTCGTGAAAGGAATATCCCGTATGGTGTTTCAGAACAACGTTGCTGTTTAAACAATGATCTCAGTTGTTTACTAGCTAGTTCAATGCTTCTTTTTTGCTGATCTGTCTTAAGAGCAGGTCCTTGTGGTGAATGGAAACCATACTGATACCAAACAGTTTCACGGTCAAGGCCCAACCAAATCTCTTTGAAGCAAATCAGATTATCCGAAGCCATAGATTTGATGAATATTTCATTAAAATTGAACACTTTTTTATAAAAATATAAATTGAAAGAAATGTTGTCCGGATGAGGCCAATCATCGTACATAAAAAGATTAGCTTTTTCATCCCAACCAAGACCATCCAGGGTCCATTTCAATGGTAAAATATCATCATGGAGGGAATGCATCAAATTATCAGGTTTAAAGCGAGCAAAGACAATTGTTTTGTGTTTAACAAAACGAAATTGCAACTTGGATGAAACATTTTTCAAAAACTGTGATTCAATGGTCACGTAATTAAAATAAAATTGATTGTGGTCGTTTACTGAAGATACAGACAGCAATGCAGGTCGAAACTGATCATTAGGTAAGCCACTCTGGACAGAATCAGGTCCATTCAAAAAAACCCATTGGCGATGAGTACTATGATAGCAAATATTTATAGCACGGCATCTTCGGGTATTCACATCTTGTCCCCAACACCAGATCGATGATTGCAAATGCGGATTATCCTTTAGCAATTTCGAATAGTCATTTTTTATCAGAGAGTCAAGCACTTCGATGATTGAAATGGATAAAAACAAAACTAAAATAAAATTGACCAGTCCGCTTTCAAGGCCAAAATCAACCATTGATCATTGAATTGGTTTATGCATCACACAAATTTCATGATTAAAGCTTATTGTTTCAGAAATAATTCTGAAACTTATTGCGTCAAGATTGTGATATTAACATCCACGATTTGGTCAGCAGATTTTAATAGTTGTAGCTATCATTGTAATGTCTTCAGTATCTTTTTCCAATGCAATGTTTACATCAACTCCACCTGAAATAAGAGAAGGATTACCGGAAATTTTTAGATAGTTAAGTTAAGTTATTTATCATTATCTTCCACGAGAAGAAACTTGATAATTGTTAGAAAAACAATCGTGCACGAACAGGAAAGGTTAATGGTTTCAATTGAAGGTGAAAAATTAAAGACATTAAATAAATTACTCATTATGTTGCAAATACGTTCCAATCAAAAATTCAAGCAATTTAAACAAACTGAAAATAAGACTTCAATTAATGATCACAGCAAAACACAGCTGATTTCCATAGTTTTCAAACAATACTGTGTAAAAGCACTATGGTTGAGGTTTTATTTTGTTTGAGAAGCTGGCAATTGATTTGTAGCACCGAGTCCGCTTCATTTATGATAAAAACTGTTAACTAGTTTAAAAAGTGTTATTAAATAAACTTAAATTGTCAGCAAACTAAGCCAACAAAAAAGGAATAGAAAATAAATAAATAAAAAGTAAGCTTATGAGTTACAAATTTTTAGGTTGTAAACAAATGTCTATTGACACGAAAAAACAGTGAAAATAAGCAAATACAGACAGTAATACTTTGAGCAAATACCTTGAAGCTTAATTCACAGTTAGTTAACAATTTAAATTATCTTCAACTATAACCAATTAATAGCTGAGTCAAAATGGTTTTATAATTATTTGAAGTCATTAAAAGAAACTTAGATTGCTATCATGAAATCGGTTTAATTAAATCAAATATTTTATTTGTTTCCAGCGGTTTGGTCTTAATCTGCAAAACAAACAACGCTTAAGGTCCAAGTTGAAAGCCTTTTCTTGAACTAATTACACCAACTTTGAGACAAAAAAGGGTAAGACAATTGTCTTAACTCATAGAATCAATTGAATTATTACAATTGATATTACAATACAAATTATTATTAATACAATCTTTTAAGGATCAGGCATCATCCTGGTACAGAAATTCAAATTCATGTTGATTAATATTTACGGTTATGAAAATGGATGCCAACACTAGCTTCAACATGATCGGGATCAGTATATTGATCTAATGGAAATTGTTTGATAGCGTTTATAAAAGCATGATGCTTTAGCATCAAACAATTTATATAATTTTGAATTGAATTCTTTAAATTAAGAGAAGCATATTGTCTCAAAGTTGGTGTAATTAGTTCAAGAAAAGGCTTTCAACTTGGACCCTAAACATTGTTTGTTTTGCAGATTAAGACTATACCGTTTCCAGCTAATCTGTCAATTTGGATAATTTATCGAACCAATATAAAAATGATTATTTTCAACATAATAATGATATATTTTAATTGAAGTATGAGAAAAAAAACAGAGTAAATATCTGAACGAAGAAAATTGAATTAAAGTACAAATCAGATGCTGGATGAAAATGTTTTGTTTACATAGATATTGATGTTTTTAATGGCTCATCTTAATTAAAGATTTCTCATCCATCTCACTATATTTAATTTTTTTCCATTTAATCTTAACACGTATAACAATAAGAATGCGACCAACTATTGGACGACCATTGCATTTATCAATTACATCTGCTGTGTTGAATTACCATTCCAAGTACCATCATCGTCTTTATCATCATGATTGTCTCGGAGTCGAGCAACATTACCATCTCGATTTAGAAGCTTGCTTTCCTTTTGCCTTTTCAATAATCTTTGTTCTCGCTCTTCATCAACTCGCTTTCTTACTGACGAGCCTGCTTGGCTACCTGATGAAGAGGGTGAAGATGCAGATTGTGCAGGGGATGGAGGAGTTCTAAATAGACTAGTAATAAAAGTCCAAATCCAAAAAAATGGAGTCATAATATACGGCCATATTTGAAGGAATATATTAGTTGAAACTATTGAGGTAGCTTTTGAGACTACCGATGGACTTGATATAACAAGCAATACTGAGCTTGGTGTTAACTCAAGATCTCTCAAAGATCTAGTCAAGTCATCTGAAGTAAAAACTCTTTTAGGGTATGAAGTGGACAGAGTGAAATTTCGATATGGTGAAGTATCAATGACAAATTGTCGTAAAGCACAGAGGGGATCATCAGCACCAAAGGTTTGATTAGTAAAAGAGCCATCAGGAAATCGAAACTGAATTCTGCTTTCATTTTCATTGCTCTTTGAACTTGATGTACCACTGTTTCCTGATTTGGGTTCGCTCTTTTGACAGCTTGGAACTTTGAATAGCTCATTTCTTCGACGCCTTTCTTCTTTGTCAGCTTCTATTTGTGCCAAGATACGCTTACGGGCCTCGATTGCTTCTCGTTTTTCTTTTTCCCTTTCTTTGACAAGCTCAGCCATTTCCAATTCTTCTCGTCGAGCTTTTGCTTTAGCTAATTCCTTACCAGATCTAATTCGATCTAATTCTTGCTGTTTTGTTTTTTCTTCTTCTTCTTTAGCTTTTTTCATCTTGATTTGTTCCAGTAATTGCTGAGCTTTGGCAATTTTTTCATCGAATGCTGGTTGTTCATTATTATCAGAAGCTACTTCTTTCTTGTCCCCAGAAGATGAAGTAGGCACAGAAGTGGTAGTTGATAATGCTGGAGCAGTTGATACTGATGCTAAGACTGGTTGGACTGGTGTAACTGGGTTAGTCACTGGTACTGATTGTTGTATAGGCTGAGTTAAATTTGCTTTATGAACAATTAGAACCTTGTCGAGCTTATCCATAAACTCTTGCTCTGTTAGAAAACCAGGAATAACTTCCAAATTGACTCCGGTATTGCTGATACAGTATATCGAAGGAACCATTAAAATTGGATATATTTGACCAAATAATTTACAGTTTTCACTTCCTTCTTCAACTTTAATTGCAACAACTTCGCGTTGCATCACAGATAAAATTTCATCTCTAAGGTTAGTTAATAAATCAGACATCTTTTTTGACACATCATCTTTACCTGGAAACAGAGTAAAAATAAAGATTTCAGTCAATTGAATTGCAAAACATAAGAGTAAACATTAAATATAGATGCTGGATGAAATTATGGCAGAGGAAGTATGACCAATTAATCAATAAATTGGAATAAAAACAGCAAAACCAGGAAAAAGAATGAAAATAAGAAAGCAAATTACCTTCAATAAAAACTAAAAACAATTTTTTCTCTTTTTTTGATTTATCCACAGCTTCGGCTACACTTCCAGAGAACCACATGATTGTTAAGTAAATAGTGAGAATTATAATTAAATTTTAAACAATTAAACAATTAAATTATAAGATTTTATTGATTATTGATGAAGAATCGGGATAAAAATCAAGGCAAATACGCTGACAGAATACAGACAGCTTTTCAGAATTGGATCCATTACTTGAAGACAGTTTATCCGGATCCAACGTTGAATTGATTTGTAAACATTGATTTTTTGAATCATACTTGCTACTTCTCCATGATTTATTTTATTAATTTTTGTTAATTGACATTGTATCTTACACTATGGCTTTGAAACAACATAATCTGACGTGTACAGGACATACAAGGCCTGTTGTATTTTTAAATTTCAGTGGAATAACCGATGGTAAATACTACCTCATCTCTGCTTGTAAAGGTAAGCTAAACATTTATATTTACATTTTTTTCTGACAACTAGATCTCTATTAATGCGATATTTTTAATTTCTACTGCGTTTAGATGGAAAACCTATGCTGCGACAAGGGGAAACTGGTGACTGGATAGGTACTTTTGAGGGTCATAAAGGAGCAGTTTGGGGTGCAGCTCTAAATGTTGATGCCTCGAAAGCAGCTACAGGAGCCGCTGATTTTAGTGCTAAACTTTGGGACGCTATTAATGGATCCGAATTAGCTTCACTGCCTCATCGTCACATTGTTAAATCTGTTTCATTCAGTACAGATAGCTCACAACTGGTAACTGGAAGTAACGAGAAATTAATGAGAATATTTGATCTTAATAGACTGGATGCTGGTAAATTGTTTTGATGTTCGCATTTGTTTCAGTTTGATGTTTTTTATTTTCTAATTTTTTGTATCTCACTCTTTCAGAACCACTTAAAATTAATGGCCACACATCATCTATAAGGCATGCATTGTTTTTAAACGATGATAGATGGTTAATATCTGCTTCGGATGATAAAACAATTAGATTATGGGATCTGAAATCTCTTCAAGAAATTCAAAGATTAGAATTCTCAAGCATTCCAAATGACTTAGAGCTTTCAGCTGATAAAAATCTACTGACGGTTGCATCCGCAAATTCTGTTAGTTTTCATGAAATCAATGGTCTGAACAAAATCAAAGAGTATCAGGTTCCAACTATAGTTTATACAGCATCCTTGTCTCCTGATAAAGCTGTTTTTGTATGCGGTGGCGAAGACTTTACTATGTACAAATATCAATTTGAAGATGGAACTGAATTGGGTAAATTATTTCTTCGATCTTTGTCATTCTTATTCTGACCCTTTCTTTTTTATATTTAGATTCTTTCAAAGGTCACTTTGGTCCATTGCATTGTATCAGATTCTCTCCGGACGGTGAATTATACGCTAGTGCCAGCGAAGATGGAACCATTAGATTATGGCAAACAGTTATAGGTAAAACTTATGGTCTCTGGAGGTATGAAATGTAACTTTTCGAGGTCGGGTTCGAAAAGCAAGCATGTAATTTATGAAACAGACTTTCAGCTGGTCAATTCTCAAGCAGCTAAAAATCTAATCATAAATGAGTTTGTTTTTTACAATTATATTGGTATTTGAGAAGGTCCAATATACCGATATCAATTGATATTACTTCACTTCGTGGTGTTCCCATGACAGTTAGTTGGTTGCCTAAAAAAGACATCAATCCCAATTTATTAAAAACAGTCTAGGTAGACAAAAAATTTTAAACGAAAATGGAAAAACCGGTGAAATATCATTGGACACAGATGTTTCTCACGTGATAAAAAATGTTGACATTTATTTTTGACTTACTCTTTCTTTTGGTTGTTAATTTATTACTTAATTATTATTTTAATCATTGTTATGGCCTTTCGTAATTTAATCAACAATTTAAAACAATATGCTCGTTCAGTTCCTAATAAATTTAGTCAATCACCCTTGAATGATCATATGTTAAAAGCCATGGACTCTTATGAAAGCTACATTGGTGTCAAAGAAATCAAGAAGATTCAACAGAATGTCCTCAAGGTTTGTTCCTATTGTTACTGGTTCAAATTCATTAAACTATCATTGATTTTTGCATATTTTTCTGTTATTTACAGGCAGAAGAGGCCTTCATCGAATCAAGCAAAGCTAGAAGAACCATTCAGGATGGATTACTTAAGGTGCAACAAAATCTTAAACAAATCCGCTCTAAATTGGGTAATTAACTAAGCTCTGTTTAATCTAATTCAACTTGGGGTTTGAAGAGACCCAAATTTGATACCATTTTCTATTTTTAAGACTAAAATTACTAACGTCTTTTGATATTTTTCATCTTTTAGATTCTATGAGCCGGTCAGATGAGGCCTATTTGGAGCTGATTACTAATGAACACAAATTGTTAAAGAACGAGATGAGTTTATTAAATGAATTAAGGACAAAGGAGGGATCAGAAAGAGAATTGTTTACAAGTTTTTCTCAGAGATTAAGAGAAGCACATGAGGTAAGATCCATGTATACTTTCATCATTTGATGTGATTTTGCTTCAAGTACAGTAGTGGTTAGGGTTAAGTTAATAGATTTTCTTGCGTGGACCGGCCAGCCGCGACAGCTTTTAAGGCGCCGTCTACCCCTTGCTACCTAGGTGTTTTACCGACCCATAGGCGCCAGGCTTTATCCAGCTTAGCTGGGAATCCATCAGGAAGGGAGGATGGGATAGTCCAGGGGGCTTGACCCTGAGTAAGCTCTACTGTATGCGCCTTAACTTCAGGACTTGGGCGAGATTCGAATGGGGAGATTTTTTTCATAGTCGCCATCTAACAATAATTTAAAGTACCTTTAAGATCGAATTTAATTTTGTCCATTTCTCCATTGTCTAGTTTCTCTGAAAACTAATTATTACCGAGATGGTGACACCTGAAAATTAACTTAAGTCTGGCCCTGTTTTGTTAACTTAACCCTAACCACTACTGTATCATATTTTTTCATTTGATTTTTAATACTTTTAATGATTTATTTTTGTGCTTCGCATTCAGTTTGAGCGAGTACGCCAAGAGAAAGTTAAATACTTATCAATATTAGGATCAATCATCGGAGCTTTTCTCGGAATTCTAGGAACTAGTATCAATCACGCGTTAAAGATGAAGGATATCAACAAATTAGTAAATACTATAGAAAAACAAATGAATACTTTTAGTGCGTTTTCTGCGGAAATAAGCAGCCATCTATCTCCAGGCAACAAGTATCGGGAAAAATCTACCAGTGAAAGTTGTGTTGAACAAAATTTAAACAATCTAAGTCAAGCAATCATCAAAGAAATCAACGCATCTCAACAAACAATTCAAGCATCCCAAGAAGAGCTAGAAAGCCGAATTAGACTTAACAATTTGATCATTGTTGGACTATTCGCGTTGTTTTTACCGGTTGTTATGAGATTTGCATCTAATTAGAATTCTTGTGAACTAGAATTTATTTACATGTACATTACCAATTGAAGTGTCTTTCAACTACAAATTCAATTTTTCATTATTGATAATACCATCAGAGAGAAAGGTAATATTTGAGCGAGAGAGAGAGAAAAATGAAGGATAAAAGTTGCATTCCAAATGTTTCAACTTACATTATCTGCAATCGGTTCCTGTCGGATGATGATTCCTGGATGTGCAACTGTGTATTCAAAGGTTTTATTCATCATTTGACAATCACCATTACTATCTCTAAATTATCATTTGCTAACATCCATGCTTTGTTCACACTGTGTATTGGCAATTTCCGTACATTTGATCAGTTAATTAGACAATATCTAAATTATTACCCGCTATCGTCAGTTTAAATTTTTATTGATTCACATTTACATCACCTGGCTTCAACGTGTTGTTAGGAAGCTTAATAGTCTAGAATTGAATGAAAATTAACAGCAAAAGGCAACTTTTCATACAAAATCTCAATATAATCTGGCTCGTTACAATACTTCCAATCGTATTAGTTTCAATAAATCTATGAACTGATTGTGATTAATGTACCAGATGGTTTGGCAATGCGATGGAAACCTGATGATTTCTCTATAGTTTTCTGATAGTTGCAGTCATCTGATCAGGTTGTGGAAATAATTAGTTGATAATTACTATTTTGAAAGTCAGAAATATTAAAGTATCATGTATCATGTCTAACCTGCCTATATGATTATTTGTGGTTTTTGAGCATCCATCAATGACAGCGCAATATGTGAGCTCAGCTTGTTATGCTGATGCTGAATTGCTTTAGGAAAGCTGGAAAAACGAGTTTATTTTCATTTCTAAACTCCATAACAACATAAACAATGATAAAAGACTGAAAAATAAACCATCGATACGTTTCAATATAAACTCAATTAGAAATATAATAACTAACAGTTTGATTATTAAAATGAATGAATGCTCGATATTTTTATAGAGTGAACTGTGAAAGTTAATCAAATATTACCAAAAACTACATCATAATACAGCAATAAAATTTCCTTTAAAACTGCTTAATTATTTTGTGTTTAGTTTTTAATTCCTATGCAATTGATTTTTCTTGCATCTATATTTAGTTAAATCATCTTCAACTATCCATAATAATATTAACTGTTTTAAAATACGCTATTTATAACCTTATTTTTACACTTCAAGACCAACCTGTTATAATCAGTTATAGAGTTACAAGGAAATGACTTTCAGTAAGGAACCACCATCAACATCAGACCAACCAGTTGTATCATCAGTAAAATTGATTGATAAAATAACTAATTATGTAAATCAATATGGCAAACCATTCTTTTCATTGGAATTTTTTCCCCCTCGAAATGAAACTGAATTAGAATCCTTTTGGCCCTTGTTGGATCAGCTAAAGCAAGGCAATCCTTTGTTTATGGACATCACTTGGCATTCAAGATCATCACTTGACCCAAACAATCATTGTTCAAGTCTAGCAATTGCTGGTTCAACTTTAAAGCAGCTTAATCATGAAACTGTATTACATTTAACTTGTTATGACTATGATATTACCACTTTGGAATCTATACTCAATTCAGCTAAATCATTGGGTCTTCGAAATATACTGGCTTTAAGGGGTGATGTACCAGCTTCAAATCAAGATGAAAACAAAGTCTTTAATGGAGTTTCCAATAACTCAAGTGATGTCCCTGACGGTCTTTCCAATGTTGCCTCCAGTGATATCATTGATAATACAAAAGGTGAACAATTATCTCCGACAATAGATCAGCTAAGTAACTCTAAAAGTGACCAAATTATTAAATCAAACAATTTCCTTGATAAACTAACTTGTGCTCTTGATTTGGTTAAATTCATTAAAACTAAATATGGTGATTTTTTCACTATTGGTGTTGCTGGTTATCCAATGGGACATCCTGAAGCTAAAACATACTCAGATGATTTGAACTATTTGAAATCTAAAGTGGATGCTGGAGCTGATTTTATTGTTACTCAACTGTCTTTCTCAGCTGACCAATACATTAGTTTTATCAAGGATTGCCACGCAATTGGGATCAAAGTGCCGATTATACCAGGAATATTCCCTATTCAAACCAAGGCGTCCATTCGTAATATAAGCAAATTAACTAAAATTGATCCTCCTAATGAAGTTAAAAAATCCATTGAAGCCTGTAAGGGAGACATCGAAGCAATCAAGAAGTATGGCTTACAACATGCTGTTGATTTATGTAAAAAGCTAATTAGTTCTGATGTTAATATACCCGGGTTACATTTTTATACATTGAACCGTGATAATTGCGTTACTGAAATACTCAAACAACTCAATCTGTGGAATCCAAGATCTGATTATGAAGAATCTATAATGGCTGGTGATATTCAAAATTCACCACTCGTTTTACCAGAAGGTATCCAGCAACCAGTTCATGAACAATGAGACCTTGTCGAGCTTATCCATAAACTCTTGCTCTGTTAGAAAACCAGGAATAACTTCCAAATTGACTCCGGTATTTCTGATTCAGTATACCAAAGGAACCAATAAAATTGTATAAATTTGACCAAATAATTTACAGTTTTCACTTCCTTCTTCAACTTTAATTGCAACAACTTGCGTTGCATCACAGATAAAATTTCATCTCTAAGGTTAGTTTATAAATTAGTCGTCTTTACCTGGAAACAGAGTAAAAATAAAGATTTCAGTTGATTAAATTAAAATAACAAAAGAGTAAACATTAAATATAGATGCTGGATGAAATTATGGCAGAGGAAGTATGACCAATTAATCAATAAATTGGAATAAAAACAGCAAAACCAGGAAAAAGAATGAAAATAAGAAAGCAAATTACCTTCAATAAAAACTAAAAACAATTTTTTCTCTTTTTTTGATTTATCCACAGCTTCGGCTACACTTCCAGAGAACCACATGATTGTTAAGTAAATAGTGAGAATTATAATTAAATTTTAAACAATTAAACAATTAAATTATAAGATTTTATTGATTATTGATGAAGAATCGGGATAAAAATCAAGGCAAATACGCTGACAGAATACAGACAGCTTTTCAGAATTGGATCCATTACTTGAAGACAGTTTATCCGGATCCAACGTTGAATTGATTTGTAAACATTGATTTTTTGAATCATACTTGCTACTTCTCCATGATTTATTTTATTAATTTTTGTTAATTGACATTGTATCTTACACTATGGCTTTGAAACAACATAATCTGACGTGTACAGGACATACAAGGCCTGTTGTATTTTTAAATTTCAGTGGAATAACCGATGGTAAATACTACCTCATCTCTGCTTGTAAAGGTAAGCTAAACATTTATATTTACATTTTTTTCTGACAACTAGATCTCTATTAATGCGATATTTTTAATTTCTACTGCGTTTAGATGGAAAACCTATGCTGCGACAAGGGGAAACTGGTGACTGGATAGGTACTTTTGAGGGTCATAAAGGAGCAGTTTGGGGTGCAGCTCTAAATGTTGATGCCTCGAAAGCAGCTACAGGAGCCGCTGATTTTAGTGCTAAACTTTGGGACGCTATTAATGGATCCGAATTAGCTTCACTGCCTCATCGTCACATTGTTAAATCTGTTTCATTCAGTACAGATAGCTCACAACTGGTAACTGGAAGTAACGAGAAATTAATGAGAATATTTGATCTTAATAGACTGGATGCTGGTAAATTGTTTTGATGTTCGCATTTGTTTCAGTTTGATGTTTTTTATTTTCTAATTTTTTGTATCTCACTCTTTCAGAACCACTTAAAATTAATGGCCACACATCATCTATAAGGCATGCATTGTTTTTAAACGATGATAGATGGTTAATATCTGCTTCGGATGATAAAACAATTAGATTATGGGATCTGAAATCTCTTCAAGAAATTCAAAGATTAGAATTCTCAAGCATTCCAAATGACTTAGAGCTTTCAGCTGATAAAAATCTACTGACGGTTGCATCCGCAAATTCTGTTAGTTTTCATGAAATCAATGGTCTGAACAAAATCAAAGAGTATCAGGTTCCAACTATAGTTTATACAGCATCCTTGTCTCCTGATAAAGCTGTTTTTGTATGCGGTGGCGAAGACTTTACTATGTACAAATATCAATTTGAAGATGGAACTGAATTGGGTAAATTATTTCTTCGATCTTTGTCATTCTTATTCTGACCCTTTCTTTTTTATATTTAGATTCTTTCAAAGGTCACTTTGGTCCATTGCATTGTATCAGATTCTCTCCGGACGGTGAATTATACGCTAGTGCCAGCGAAGATGGAACCATTAGATTATGGCAAACAGTTATAGGTAAAACTTATGGTCTCTGGAGGTATGAAATGTAACTTTTCGAGGTCGGGTTCGAAAAGCAAGCATGTAATTTATGAAACAGACTTTCAGCTGGTCAATTCTCAAGCAGCTAAAAATCTAATCATAAATGAGTTTGTTTTTTAATAAATTGTGATTGATGTTTTTTTGGCAACCAATTCACTGAGATCTATTTTTAAATTTAATAAACTTTTGATTTTAACCTTTTCAAATCAAAATCAGATTTTAGTTCCTACTCATGGATCATTTCATTTTCCCTTATAATTTTATTTTAGAGTATCTTATTTATTAAAGTTAATTTCACTCCTCAAATTAAGCTGAGTCTCTATTTGCGATTTCAATAAGAGCTTGATCAAATCATTGAGCAGGCCAAGTCGACGAGCTTCTTTAAGCAGATCATGGATTGACTCAAGGCGGACTCGCTCTTGATCAAGCGATGAAAGTAGAGATTCATCAATAGATGACACCACTTGAAAAGTCATATCATATGTGAGGAAATTGAAAGTGAGAAAAATTCATTTTTATGGCATTTGATTTGTTTTGGTTTTTCTGGTGTTTTTACCTGCGCATTTTAAACAGCTGGGCCTACCAGGCGAATCGCCAATGGCGATTTAAAATATGATGTGTTGTTATTCAATTTCAATTTTACAATCACTATTCAAACAATTGATCTGTGTTTAATTGCTGTTCGTTCTCAATTTATCTACCATGAATGCTGGATATACTACTAGAAGTCGTTTTGTATCAGTTTTGGACTTAATACTTCGGGTTCCTCCGTTGTTTGTTATGGACTCAATTTTGAATACTCCTTACACTTACACAACTCCTTCTGAACCTGTATATTTATCACTTAACCAAACATTCAATGAATTAGGAGTAGATAAAGAATCAAGTATTACATTCAACTCTGAAGATTACTATATTAATCGTACTCAATCATATGGATGGATTTTCCTCTGTATTAATGGTAAGTTTTGTTTTTCGCTTTATGTACACAATATTAATAATATGCTTCATTTGTTCCCACAGGATTTTTCATTTCATTCTCAATGTTTCTTCTGTCAACGAGTGTGTTGATATCCATCTATCTCTATCTTTCTTCAATTGGCCTCATTGTTTGGTCCTACATTTGCAATGAGGAGTTTATGCGTTACGTGAAAAATCATAATCATATAGCATATGATTTGATTTCATTAAATTTAAGTGCTCTTCCCAGATTTCTCGGTAATTACGTACTGCAGGTAATTATTATTCTTATATCTAGAATGTCTCATTGCTTCCGATAACCTCTTTCCCACTCAATATTGATTATCTTATCTTTCATTTTAGATCTTTTTGGGTATACTTTTCTTCTTCGCCATACCCCAAAGTCATCAATTTGTCACTGGAAAATTTATTTGTCTATGTTTCATTGCACCACCTATGTTAAGCATCATTCCAGGTTTACCAATAGACATACTTTCATGGATACCTGAAGTTTGCGCTTCATTAGCACTTCTTTATCTTTTTATATTTTTAATCGATCGACTCAAATACCTACTCAATACAGTAATTCGTGATGTTCGATGGAGTCGAAATATAATTCGAAGCTACGGACCGTACACTTTAATTCAAACACAATGGTTTAGGCTACAAGTTCCTCAGGTATTTAAAAGGATTGTCTAATTGTGGAAGGGTCATTTTATTCATTCAGTATTATCTTCTTCAGGTTTTAACCATATTTTGGATCATTCGTTTTTCAGAGCAAGCTGCATTCATGCTCGCTGATACTGCTTATCAGTATTATTATGGACCAGGAGGGACTTCATTTCCATTTGATCTAAATTATTTCTGCTCACTAATGAAACAATTAATCATCAAAGGATGTGAAACAACCGTTGCACTATTTGGAATGACAAGTATTATATCATCTACTACAAATCAACTTGGTCTATTCACACAATCATTCCTTCAAATGGTTGAACAAGAGGATACAAGCATGGGCACAGTGTCAGCTATATTATTCCTAATCCTAGCTTTCCAAACTGGTCTAACTGGCCTTGATCCTGAAAAACGTTTCGTTCGTCTATTCCGTAACATTTGCCTTATGCTTAGCGCGGCTCTCCATTTCATCCATAATTTGGTTCATCCCTTTCTCCTGTCACTTAGTGCGTCAAAAAATCAAAATTTCAAAAAACATTCAAGAGCCTGGCTGGTCTGTCTCTTTCTAATTTTTTTCCCAGCATTTTTCTTGCACTTTCTTTGGAAATACAATCCTTTATCAACATGGCTTTTAGCAGTCACTTTTTTCCAATTAGAGCTTGTTTTAAAGGTAATTTCAATTTTTAATGTCGGTCGCATCTTTTGAATAGCAATTGAAATTTACCAGAAGTTGATTCTATGTGCTAAATTTATTCGATGAGTTAGCGTATTTCTTCACCAATTGCATTTTTATTGCTTACCAAGCGTAAAAAAGTTGTTACTCACTATTTTCTTCTTTTGATTTCCTTCAACAGGTTGTGACAACTCTTCTAATTTACATTTTATTCATGATTGACTCGTACCGAACCACTGTCTGGGAAAAGTTGGATGATTATGTTTATTATATAAGAGCCACTGGAAATACCATAGACTTCCTTTTTGGTATATTAATATTTATAAATGGCGCTTGGATTCTTGTCTTTGAATCAGGGGGAACAATTCGAGCTCTAATGGTCTGCTTACATGCCTATTTTAATGTTTGGAAACAAGCAAAAGCTGGTAAGTTGCTTCTCACAATCCATTAATTTGTAATTCAATAATTTAATATTTATTTCTTTAATAATAAATTGTTTTTTCAGGTTGGCAGACATTCATCAGAAGAAGATCTGCTGTACACAAAATCAACACTTTAAGAGAAGCAACTCGTGACCAATTGGAAAGTCTTGATGACATTTGTCCCATTTGTTTCCAAGACTTCTCAGAATTAATAACTGCTAGGATAACTCGATGTAATCATTATTTCCATGAACTTTGTCTCCGTAAATGGCTTTATGTTCAAGATGTATGTCCACTTTGCCATAAGACTCTCTACGGACCAAATGAAAACAATCTATCAGAGGAAACACATCCAACTACAGATAATAGTCATGAACAAACCAGCCCATCGTCAGTAGAGCAGTCAAATGAGCAAACCCCTGTGGCGGCTAATCAATCCGAAAAATCTTAATTTCTAGTGACTAATTATCTGTCATCATTTCATCCAGCCCATTGATGTTGGCATTGTATTAGATTCTCTCCGGACGGTGATCTAATCATAAATGAGTTTGTTTTATAATAAATTGTTATTGATGTTTTTTTTTGCAACCAATTCACTGAGATTTATTTTTAAATTCAATAAACTTTTGATTTTAACCTTTTCAAATCAAAATCAGATTTTAGTTCCTACTCATGGATCATTGCATTTTCCCTTGAAAGTTCACCAATTTAGATTTTAAGAAATAATGAGAGAATCGTTGTAGTTCAAATTATCATTTATTTGATTTTTTGCTTATTTTTTTCTAACAGTTTTGGTTAAAGTATTCAAAATTAAAGTTTGACGAGTAGACTATTGACAGTAACTCTAATTTAATTTTGAAAATAGGCTAGAATTTGTGACTCAATAATTGAGTAATTAATTAAAACAATTTATCTTGTAATTATTTTCACGATAAACATAATATAGAGTATTTTTTTATAATATAGTTTCATGCTCATTTTAACATATGCATATTTACAGACCATTTAATATATCTGATTTATAATATAATCAGCACACTTTTTTCTCTAATTTTCATATATTTCCATAATTTATAATTTTATTTTAGAGTATCTTATTTATTAAAGTTAATTTCACTCCTCAAAATAAGCTGAGTCTCTATTTGCATTTTTCAACAAGAACTTGATCAAATCATTGAGCAGGCCAAGTCGACGAGCCTCTTTAAGCAGATCATGGATTGACTCAAGGCGGACTCGCTCTTGATCAGGCGATGAAAGTAGAGATCCATCAATAGATGTAATACCAGATGATGACATGGTTCCAACAGTATGATTGGTAAGTGAGGTATCCATATTGAAATTGCGAAAAGATGAAGAGGCGGATAAGGAATTATTATCTAAAATCACAGGGCTCCTATGATCAGGTCCAAATGGTTTAAACAAATTACTGTTTTTACTATTTGCAATCATTGATGAAGATGATAATGAAGATTGAGGTGCTGCAGAATTTTGTTTTATTGCTGTTGATGTTGTCATGAGTGCATTACTAGTATTATAAGGTGATGATGATAAAATTGATGCTTGTGTGTTAGATCCTTGGTAAATATTGAGGTCGGAAAAAAGACTGATATCATTAGAATCCCATTCTAAACTTGGTGTTTGAGGATCCTCTTTGTCGCCTAAAACATCCAATGGAGGATGATTATCTTCAAGCGACTGTCCAATCAATGTTAATAAATGTCCATCATCTTCATCGATAGAATTAGAAGCCAATAGACGATTATGATCGTATGAGTGGACATTGAATAGATCTGAATTCATTTCTCCAACAGATTCTTTGATATCCTCAATTTGGTGCAATAATTGATCAAGTTTGGCTATTGTTCCTTCGCCTATTTCTCCTGATTGAGATGAGATGGAGTGGGGACGTTTTAGGTATGAGTATTGATCCATTGCTTTGATATAAGAGGTATCATTTTCATCAATATAGTAATCTCCTTCCATATCATCGTCCGAATCTGAATATGAGACAGTGTATGGCGTTTCTCCAGATAATGGAAGACCATGGGAATCAGCAGAGTTAACTTTGAGATTAGAATGATGATTGAGATTGCTGTACACTGCAGCAGCTGCTGCAGCGGCAGCGGCGGCTGCTGCTGCCGTGGCAGTTGCGGAAGAAGATGGAGAGGATCGATAGTTGAACAATTTATCCATTCTATCAAAAATTATTTGATCATTTATATTTCGATTCGAACAAAAAGGCATGGGTTTTTTGGGTTTAATTTTCTGCTTTCTTTTGATTATCAGTTTGTAACACAGCCAAGAGCCAACACCAAGAACCAGAATTAGGGATGATAAGCGAACTGGAAAGAATTGAAGCAAAAATTGAAAGAGTTGATTTATAAAACATTTTAACTCATTATTGTTAAGATTGAGAAATTGAAATGAAAAGAGGTTATTAAATCGTGGAAAATAAAATAAAAAATGCTTACAATATGATTCTCGAAAGTAACGAGAGGCAACTGTGAATTGAAACAAAAAAAAAACAAAAAAATTAAAAAAATTAAAGATAAAAAAATTTCATTATTGAGGAATCACTGAACCCCTTTCGACAGTTTTTTTTCATTCTGTTCAATTGTTTGGATTTTGAATGAAAGATTGACTAATACCCATTGTCTAACCAGTCTTAATTTGATGAATTGATTTTGAAACTTAATACTCAACTGAAGCGTAGTAAATACTAAGTCTGTAAAAATCTTGATTACTGACATGACGAGAAAGTTGAGTATTTATCACTGATAAATTATCAGTGTCAACTGATGAATGAGTAAATTTTTTGCCAAGAGAAAATGTATGTTGTAAAGAAATGATAACTTACAATTTCGGCATTTACAACTCTAACCACCTCACAACGGCATAAAATAATTCTGATCACATAAAACAGTAAAATCAATCTATTGGCAATAAACATAAACATTAATTATAGGAGATGTTTGATAATCTGAACAATTGACGTTTCTGGCGTCAGATCAAGTTTACTCGATAAATCATCAACAGAATGTCAAACAATCGAACACAATGAAATAATTTATGCATGCATTGATAATGAACAAAATAAGTTAAACAATCAAAGGATGTATAGTTTTTCATGGTAAATTGTAACATAAGAAGCCAAAAAATTGACAAACCTTCACTAAGTGTTTCCGGCGAGAAGAAATATCCACATGAGGGACAGCATTTAGGGGTAGGCTGTTGATAAAAAACTGAGAACTCAATGGATGAAAGACAGACCTTAAAATCGCCTGCTTTCAACATAATAAAGACACAGCATCAATCGGTGATTTAAAGGTGCACGAAACAAAACAATCAAAGCATCAAAACGAACATTTCAGGAGTAAAGTGAGGTTTGGTGGTATTATTACTTGACAATCTTGTGATAACAAAACGATGGATGGTTAATGGTTGATGGTTGATTATAATGGTTAACACGAAATGGTAACAATCAACAAGATAAAATAATTGATTCTAATGAAGAAACAAAAATCAACTAAACTATATTAATCAGACTACAACTAGACTTTGGTGGTGTAGATGAGATGACAACATAAACATTAAGCGTTTCACCCTGCTTCATGCAGGTCTCCACCTTTTCTCTCTTCCCAATTGATGAGAATAGTATCACCATGTAATTGTTGATTACGATTCCGAATGAACAGATACTAATAATTACTAATAATTGGTTTAGGTGAGAACAAAAAGAAAATAAATAAAAAAATAAATTCTCAATCTTATGGAAAGAAGAGAAGTGATTCAAGGTAAATTGACAACTTTTACAGGGTCAACGTGAAGCAGCTCCATCTTTCAGTTTCATTAGTCATAACCAAAAATAAACAAACAGAAACCTTTGAATGATAAATTGACAAATAAAAAATGATTCATTCTATCGTAATTTGATAATTTTGTTTCATCCATTTTGATTTAACTATAATATTGCCACAGCAATTTATCAATCCTATGCTTAAATTTTTAATCAGTTAATTGCTATAACAATTTGAATGCCCGCCAACCTATTTGGTGCCATCTGCCGGTTCATTTAAATTGATTTTGTTGTTTTCAATCAGGTGAGGATCCGGCCAAAGTAGAGATACGTCGGTTACAGGCTAGTTTGGTTAGTATAACCAGTAACTGTGGTTCTTTCACCCCCAGTTACAAATAACCGGTTACTTGCTGGTTACAAATTTCTTACCGCCAAATTCAAAAATAAAAAGTTTAATTTTTCATCTTTTATCAGCGCCATCTATTAATGTATTTAGAAATCTGTTGTTTACTTTCTTTACTTTCTTTTCAAATTTCCCTCTCAATGTAACCAGCAAGTAACCGGTTATTTTGTAACCGGTTATAGTAACTGGTTATAGTAACCATACTTGGTTACTTTTTTCCCCCTCTAACCAAGTAACCGGTTACCAGTAACCAACTGGTCTCTAGGCCAAAGAGTATGGTTAAGATTATATTGTCTGACCAGTTTTAAACGGATTAAATTCAGTATGGTTCACTTTGACAAAAGCGTTTTATTATAGACAGTACCATTTTTAGTTCAACTATGGCTTAATCTGTCATCATCTGTACTTCGCTTTTTTTCTTTCCTTTTGCTAGTGCGTTTTCATCATCGTTTTTGTTTAGTTGCGTTTTTAGTGTTTTATTTTGGTGTTTTTAATTTGTTACCATGATAAAGATAAAAGCTTTAAATGAAGAAGTATCAGCCAGTGAAGATGAATGTGAAGAGCCGGAAAATGGTCTTTTAACTAGTGAGGCTCAAGAGGAACATCTTCATAGTCTCTATTGCCAAGCTTTAAAACTGATCGATTCAGATAAAGAACAAGCGAAAACTGAGTTTATCTCTCTCTTAGATAATCTCGATCAACTAGATGAAGCTCCTGGAATAAACAATATAAAAAATTTAAAGTATTTATCCTTAAAAAATTTGGGTCTTATATCACCCAAAAATTTGGATTATTTTCTTGATGCGCTGACAATCGATGGTGGAGATGTTACTCTATGGATTGAAACTGGTCGTCGTGCTCTCAATGAGTTTATTAATCTTCCTTTAGCCCGAGCTTGCTTTGAAGAAGCTGCTAAAATAAGCCCCTGCAATTGGCTTGTGGTCGATACTCTTATTGGTCTATACTTTGTGCTGAATGATTACGTTAACTGTTTGGAGCTCTGTGCCAAAGCTTTACTTAAAGATCAACACTACTTCAAAGCACGACTGATAATCTCTGAAATACTAAAACGATCTCCTGCCCTTCTTTCAGAGTTACCCAAGAATTTACATTTTCTAATTAACTGGAAACCATCTAGCAAAGACTTGGAACGAAGTCAACGAATACTATTGGAGTTCAACAATCTTAAAGAGCGAAGAAAACGAAAATTCATTGAAGATGAAACTAATCAAAATGAAAAAAGGAGAAGATTGAGTTTAAATCTTGACTCGTCCGTTGTTGGTTCTTTGCAGACTTTAGGAACTGCATTGAAGAATATCTTATACGAATTGGAGAAAGAAGGCTATCCTCGAAGTACTATTATTACAGTTGACTTGGAAACTGGATCAGATGAAGCACCAAGCACTGATGACAACATAAGTGACGAATGTTCTGAAAAGGATAAAAATGTGAATAAATCTGAAAAGCGTGGATCTTTTCCATTTGAATTTATTGATAAGCGACGATCAACTCGTGTTCAAAGAATCCACAATAAAACAAGTGACGCTTGTGAACTTTCTAGTGACAACATTTACGAAAAAGTGCTCAGTATGATACCCAATAGTATTCTGAATCACCAAGTGAAAGTTAAGAAGCCGGAGATAGAAGCTCCAAAGTTTAATGATGCTCAAGTGGAGAATTCGATATTGTCGAGATTCATGGCCAAGCAAAAAGAGTCTAAATCAAATGGTAAACGCATTAATCAATTAATTGCTGATTTTTTATTTGGAATAGCAGACCAAGCCATTTCCATTAAATTACCATCCGTTTTCATTGAATTATACAAAATTCATCGTCAAACATACGACCTACCTTGTCCTTTATCCTGCCAATTGGACAATGATGTCACTTTCGAAGAAATCAATTTGATTCTTACTGCAAATGAAATGGAATTTCAACAATCAGAGATTATATTTTTAACACAAATGCTCCCAATCCTTCGTAATAACCTGACGCCATCAGACTACGATCAATTTTATGTACGTCTTTTAACCCTTCGAGGAATTAAGGAAAATCAAGTTGACTATCTTCTAGTGGCCAATGAAAAAATTGTATCTAACAACATTAAATTGATCCAAGCTTCTAATCAAGTAATTTACAATTCATCTAGTCTTAAATCAATGATCAACACATTGAATGAAAACAATTTGGATAAATTGTTATCTGAACAGCGGCATGAAGAGCTAATTGAGCTCTTGGCTTCCAAATCTGACTTCTCAGAACCTGAGGAAAACTATCTTTGTCAAGCAATCGAATCATCTCAATCTTGGCATCGTGGAATCGAAATAATTTCTGGAAGTAAAAAATTAACGGATCAATTATTGAAATTATTAAGGACGTGTTTAAAAAATGGTTCTAATCTTACAATCGGAGGTGATTTAGTAACCAGACTGTTGAAACTAGGAACTGAACAATATAGTGCCCTAGCCTGGACTTGTATTTTGTATATATTTATCAGCGAACTAAATCGAGGAGTGGACGAAAAAAAGATTGTTTGTTTAATCGTAACAGTGCATCAATATTTGGGTAGAGCAGGTACCTGTACCCAAGCTAATGGTGAATTCTTACTTTTGGCACTGGACTTTGCCATCAATCAATGTTCTAGAACCAAAGATGATTTGATTCTTCAATGCTTTGCTTGTCTATACAACCACCCGCCTCCTCGACCTGGATGTACATTCCTTCAAGCTCACCCCTCAGTTTCCCAGATTCCTTTGCAATGGGAACATGTTGATATTATTTACAACTACTTTATGCCTGAAATTTTACCAGAATTCGATAGTGTTAAACGTGATTCCATCGACTCGGATACAGAAATACTTCTTTGTCGTATTGTAGCTTTAATACCTGACCATCTTAATCCCGAAAAAGATGCTAAATCAATTAGTGACTATCTTGAGAACGGCACACCGATGACCAGGGAATTAACTATACCAAAGCATCAAGTTACTCAACATCTCTTCTATTTCTTAGCAGACTATTATTTCAAAAACCAAGAATTCTTGTAAGTATTTTTAATTTATAATACATAAACACATTTATTAGTTTTAAGCATCTTATTAATCATTAATTAATTCTTCCATTTTATTTCCAGAAAAGCCAAAAACTTTTATATCCTTGACTTGACATTAAACCATGATCGTTTTGATTCATGGGCAGCCTGTGCTTTATCAATAACTCATTTAATTGAACAATATTTTGCAAGTGTAAGTCGATTTTATTTTATTATTTTCACCGTTTATTTTATTTTACTAATTTTCAATTGTTCCATAATCTTATTTCCAGGGTGACGACATTTTCTACAGATCTACCGATGAAGTTATTCGTCTTGTTGAATCCTCTTTTCGCTGTTATGTTGAAGCTTTACATATTGAGCCAAACAATTGTAAAATATGGATTGAATATGGTAATCTAGCTTACAATGTTGCCAGCTACATATCACGAGTGATTAAAAGAATTTCTATGGATCCATCGGATAAAAAAAACTTGATCAAACAAAAGAAAAAGATGCTTCAGAGAGCAAGAGTTTGCTTCAAATCTGCCAATAATGTAGCTGATGCCGAAGAAGTATGGTTACATTACTATTTCCTGGGAAAAATTGCCGAAAGAAATAATATTTTGCAAGCTTTAAAATATTATGAACTATCTGATCTACACTTGGCTCTTAGTGGGGCAACTTATCCAAGCAAGATTAGCTACCACAATTCGACCCGCCTATCAATTGAAGCTCTCGAAGTGCATTATAGGATTCATGCTTGTGTTCTTAAATATGTTCGTCGTCATAATGGTCGAATGCCGGCAAAAACGTTATCTCAAATCAAGATCCATTTACTGCGTGCTTTGAGGAGTCCTTTTACTAAGCAAGCACAAGTTTCAAACTCAACATCTGACCATGATTATATTTCCAATGAAATTCGACTAAATACAGTTAATAACCAAATTTCAAATGATGTCAGAGAAGTTGTTTCTGATTTGGTTACTCTTGTCGATGATGGCGTACTTGAGGGAGATGAGAGACGATTAAAACCAAAAATAATGGAAATGTGTTTAGAAGCTATGAATAGGTGTTTACAAAGATTTCCAAATCATTATAAATCACTTTATAGACTGGCTCACCATTTTTTCTCACTCAAGGATTTCATTGCGGCCAGAGTAGTTCTTCTTGGTAGATTTACTGCTTCATCGGGGTCATCGTCTTTGCTCAAAAAGCCAGAAAATCTTTTGGATTCAAATAATCAAGATTCTTCTAAACCGGAACCTATTCTCGGACTTTTTTCTGACCACAAAAATAATAACTTGTTTAATGGAATTTGGAGAATCCCGACAGATGATATTGATAGACCTGGCAGTTTTAGCACTCATATGTTTCGATCAACTCAACTTTTGATTAAGATTTCTTGGGCTACATCTGATCTGTATCGTTTGTTGGCCATAGCTATTCAATTAAGCAAAACTCCTGAGGTGGGTAAAAAATATTTACGAGATGTTGACCGTGAATATCTTGCTAAAGATACTCTTCGTCGATGCTTCAGTATTTTAAAAAATCGAATTGAAGAAAGCCAACAAAATCGAAATAAATTGGACCAAATTAGGAATGATGTAAGAAAAGTCTCGGAGAGACTAATGAAATACTCAATCTATCAAAAAGATACTATGAGTTTTATTGGTGAATGTGAACAGCTTCTACAAACTGTTCAATTATCACACTAACTCTGTATTTTTTTGTAATTATTTTCCTTTTTTTTTGTATTCAATGTTTATAAATTGTAGTTAAATCTTCGCGCCTGTAATAATTTTTTCAAAATCTATTTATTTTGCATATAAAGGAATGATTGCTCAAAATTTATTTAAAGTTACCACCATCACATCCCAAATGTTGATCCTCTTTTGAAAGTGTCGTTATTTTTATCAGGTGTAAATTATATAACGAAGGTCATTATGCTGCTTGAAATTATAAATAATTGTGAATTAGAGAACAGGACAAGTTTTAGACTTTTTACGTTTCGATGTCGGCACATGATTTTCTGCTGTCGGTCTTTTACCTTCTGAATTCTTTTCAAAATCGATGATAATTTTTGCTCTTTTTGGAACAAATTCACGAAGATGAATGTTGGCCATATCCAGCATTTTCTTGGAAGCTTTGTACTCTGGCTTATCAGTATTTTTCGGTTGAAAATAAACTACCTCCTTGATACCAAATTGAATAATTAACTTTGCACATTCATTGCATGGGAATAAAGTTGTAAACAAAGTACAGTCTCTCACATCAGCTGAGTTTTTATTGGTGATCGCGTTCATCTCAGCGTGGCACACATAAAGATGTTTATTATCTAATTTCGAGTGACCATTTTTTGTCCAAGGCAGCTTATCATCGGAACAGCCATTTGGCATTCCATTGTACCCGACTCCTACGATTCTATTGTCTTTATTAACGATACAAGCACCAACTTGTGTATTAGGATCTTTACTTCTCAATGAAGCTATATACGCTGTACCCATGAAATAATCGTCCCATTCCAGATAATCCTTGCGTTTGGTCACTTCTGGCAAACTTGTCATTGTCCAACTTTAAAGAACGAGTTAAATTCAAAATATCAATTATTAAATAACACCTTACTCTCGATGTTATCTTACCATGTAAACACAGTCAATCATTTCAAACTTTGAGACTCAAAGTGAGAATAGCTAATGGTCTATTCTGCGGTCAAGTACGCGTATTTTAGCCAAAAATCAATCTTTTAGGTTAACCAGAAAGTTTTAAACTTATGAAAGTATTATATTTCAAAGAATCAATTAAAATGATAAAATTTATTTAATTGTTAATAATTAATAAATGCTCTTGCTCTTTGCCTTTGATTTGAACCTGATTTCATGATGAAAAATATTGATTAATTACTTAAATTTTGGTTCAATTAAATGATTTTTTGCAACTTTTAACAATCAAAATGAATTTTTGATACAATCAACAGTTGAAACAAATTAACATCACTCAAGAGCGCAAAGCTCATATAACCATTGATTGTAATTTGAGACTCTAGTGATTATTATTTAATTATTATTTCGATTAACGTTCAAAGTTATTTAATTATTTCATGATAATCAGAGTTTAAACATTGAATTTCCATAGAAAGGATTCTACATTGTATTTAATTGTTTGCATCTTTTATAAAATCCCATTGATAAATCTCACAGAGAAAGACAAAAATGAGTCTTTTGAACTTTAATCGAAATAATCTATAATTAAATAATGATAATGATTAGAGTTTTAATTATAACCAGTGATTTTATGAGCTTCTAGCTCTTGAATGATGTTGATTTGTTTCTATTCTTGATTTTATATCATCTACAATTAACAATTCAATTTGATTTTTAAAAGTTGCAAAAAATGATTAAATTGAACCAAAATTTTAGTATCTTAATCAATATTTTTCATTATGGAATTAGGTGCAAATTAAAGAGCAAATATTGATTTTTTTGATATTTGAATAAATTTTACTATATTCATTGATTGTTTGAAATATAATTACTGTCAGAGGTTTAAAATTTTCTGGTTTACCTAATACTAGCTTCGATACTTGGCAAGCTGTTTGGTTCATTGCTTGGAAACCTCTAACTTTGAGAGTTGACTGTACAAATTTTTATTCTGAGAAATCCCCTTAAAAACATAACATCTCATAATATTTGGCGGTTCAATTGTTTTTCTTCCCTCTCTAATCTTTTAATTTGTGCTTAGCATTTAATCAGTTTTTCCTCTAAATATTTATCATGACCAAAAGAAAATTCTGCGATGTAGATATTGAAGAATCATCAATTAAAAAAATCTGTAAAAATGTTAGTCTAGTTCAAATAAAATCAGGTAAGCTTCAGTTTTTAATATTCATCCATTTTAAGGCTTTCACTAACTGTAACTAACATTGTTTACGAGTTTGTTCAATTTTTGAACATTTTGACGTGAAAAATGTCGGATCAAATTTCTTGATTATTTGCTGTCCCAAACTGTTTCTAACCTTTTGGCTTATTTTTAATTTGTGATTGTCTCTGGAGCAATATTGTACTTCCTATCTGACCTTTAGCTTTGCATTAATTATTTCTTTTCAATCTTTCTTTTAGAAGCCCCTGTTCTGAGTATTTTACGGAAAGCGGCCCAAAAATTATGGTCATCGACAACACAAAATTCTGAATCTATAAATCTGCCGGAAAAATGCAGAATTTGTGCAATAAAACTGGCGTCACAATCTCAAGCTAAATGTAATTTCTGTGAATATGCCGTCTGTCATCAATGTATAATTGATTGTAATCAATGCGGTTACCAATTTTGCTCATTCTGCGCTGTTAATGTTTATTCCCCTGTTGGAGATATTGGACGCTGCCTGACCTGTTTTTAAAGATATCAAATTATTTGACTATATGATAGTATATTAAAAAGAAAAGTTGTTTTATCCAATATAGTTATAACAATTTCATTTTATTAATGTTATTTAGCTGATAGAAATTCAGGATAAACAGAGTAATACAATACTTGGAAGATGATGGACCTATGGTTATCTGAAACATTGACATTGAACAGATGGATTAGAATTGGGTTCATAAGGAATACAATCTACTGGTTTCAAAATAGTGCGGAAGAAATTACAACATCCTGATACAGTTTGAAAGACAGATTAATGTGGACAGTTATACAAAATTTTGATACAAAGCCTGATTTTTACCCATCAATTCATTTATCATTATTGTTCTGTTTTCAAAGATATGGTCGATTTGGATAGCCATTTGGATAGCCATTTTGGTAGCCATTTTGGTAGCCATGAAGCGAATGAAGAGAGTGGTATGGTGATGTCGGTGGCTGCTGTTGTGATCCTAAGTACGAATGAATCCCTGGTGATGAGTGCATCCCTGGAGTCAAGTGGCTATGATAAGTAGTATAGGTGCGAACAGGAGGTCCAAATTTGGAGAGAAACGATTTGGGTGACGGAATTTGAAACGATCCTGGAAAGTTGAGTGGAGGGGAAAAGTAACCACAAAATGATGGACCAACAAGAACCAAGAGAACGAAAAAAATCTTTAAAAAGTAGAAAACAATTGGATTAGTCCAAAATGAAAGCAAAACATTGCTCAAGTAGATGAATAGAGTAACAAAAATGAACAAGTATCATCTTACCTGAACTTTATCGACCATTTTAAGATGAATAAAATTACTTTTACAAGCTTGATATGTATAAGAATTGACTTGTTTGGCTTCTTCGGAGAACGATAAACGAATAACAGTTTTGCCCAAAAATTTTGCTTTTAAATATGGATTCTAATTAAGGCCATTGAGCTCATTACATTGATCAACATCTTTGTACAATTAACATAACAATAGACCATAGGTAAACCTCACAATTAATGACAACAACATGGCAAGGACAAGCTAAGCTTGGCGATTCAACCATCAAGCTGATCCTCTATTACGAGATAACTTCACAAGACAGTGGCAATCATTTTCTTAATCGTTTGAATTCCGTTTTTTTCTTCACCTAAATTTTTCCTAAATACATAATTCCATTGAATGTTTTGTTCCTAAAATGGAAACATGCAATACTTGAATAAATTATGAATTAGTAAAAAGAGATTTAAAAATTACCTGCTTCAAGTATTTCGGGTTAACCGCAATTGAAGGTCTTTTGTCATTTTAAATCATTATGTTTATTCCTTGTTCTTTAAATAATTAACCGATTAATTTCGGACGCAACCATGTTTTACCTTCTCAATGTTGTTGGTGCATTGAAAGGGTGCAAAAATTCATTTCACACCTTTTGATTTTGTGCGATTAAAATCATTCGCTTGATTTCTTAAGAAATTTTCTTAATGCTTAATGCCATCATGAGAAGATTTAGGATTCTCTAACTCTAATATGTCTTGTTTAATCATTGCAATTAAATTGTAATACCATCACGCTGCAGTAGTTTAGTTTGATCTGAGTTAAATCTTTGTAATTAACTAACACTCATGACGATACCAAATAAGGAAAAACTAAGGTGATTTGATAATTCATTGTTTCTGCTTAAACAGTTAAGCAATTGCGTTGGATATTCACTTCAAGATTAAAGGTTGGCCATGATTTGATCTAATGATCTACTATACGTGGACTTTAAATTGATTAAAATATAATAATCAACCTTTGCTCCTAGATTTACAATTAAAATGAAGGGATTAATGATCAGATTGGGTTGATTTGTATTCAATGTCACCATATTATTTCAATACAATTCAGTATCATTGGTTAACATTACGTGTAAAATGAATAAGCCATTGTAATTTTATCAATTGGACTTTACCATTATTCATTTTTGGATCAAAGAAATTAATTGATTGAAATCTTTTGTTTGATCGTAATCATTCAATATATAAACCAGTAAAACTGAGCCATCTTCATTCAGTTTATATCTCCGTTGAAATTTGTGAAAACAATCAAACCCAAAACAAAACCAAAATGAAATTCGCCATCGCTTTAGTCGCCCTCTTCTGTGTCTCAGCCATCAGCGCTGCCCCAACCAAGGGTAAGTCTTAACCAACCTATTGTCAACAGAGTCGTTATAACTTTCCGTTGCTTTTACAGAACCAAGTCCATTTGCTCAAGCCATCATCAACCTTGCTGAAGGTGTTGTCAAGCAATTGGAAAAGCAAATTCCTGGTAAGTTAATTGTCTAATTAAGAGTTAGTGTGTTATTAACTTGATTGCTGTTCCTTATTAGACTGGGATCCAAAGGCTACCCTCGAAGCTAACTTATTGAAGGTTGTTGACAAACCATTAGAGTCTGGAGTTATTCCTGGTGAGTTCATCTTTTGCTTATTTCATTGAAAAATTTATTTATTTTAATCCAAATATCTCTATTGTTAATAAAGGATGGAACCCACAAGCCAGCATTCGAGACAATTTGGTCTCTGCTCTTGAAACCTACATCAAAAACCTTAAAGTCGAAGGTAAATATTACTGAATATATAATATTTTGAATTTTCCTTAGATTCTATTTAATAATTGAAATCACTTTTTTGTTCAATTTCAGGTTTAGATGAAACCAAACCCGTTGCTGAAAATGTTAAGGTTGTTGTTGCTGACCTCTTCGAAAAATTACCCGTCCCAGCTTTCTTCCCAAAAGATCAAATTGAAGCACAAATTGTCGCCAATGTCATTGAATTGCTCAAAAAAGTCCAACTTAAAGGTGAATATTTTACATGAATAGCAATAATTGTTGTAGATGAAACTTTAAACCATAAAAAATTAATTTCATTTCATTCGATTGCTTTGATTACCAGGATTCGATGTAAACAAGACCGTTGATGATGATGTTGCTGTCGTTGTTGATGACAGTCTTGCTGATGTTAAAGGATTGGACCCTAAGGCTTCATTGGAAGACTTTGTCAATGCTGCCCTCAAAAACTTCCTTGCCCAAGTTAAATTACCTGGTTTCAGCCCAGACAAGACTCTTGAAGACGATGTTGCTGAAGTCCTCACCAACCTCCTCAAAAACTTACCCTTTTAAGTTATACAATCCGATACAATCAACTTATTGATTTAAATAAATAATTTTCATTTACTTGATTTGCCTCATCTTAATTTAATACGTAGTTAAACCTAATCGTATGAGAGTAACAATCATCGTTAAATCATATTTAACAATGTAACCCAATCTAGATTATTGTTGATTAATCTAACAATCCATTTATCATGAAAAACTAATTTCTGATTCCGATCAAGGTTTCATGTGCTGTGAGCTGTTATAGCTAATTTTATTATAACAATCAATTTACTAATCTGCAGTTAATTACAATAATACAGACGATTACAATTATTTAATCACAAATAGCTGTTAGTTTCAATTTATATTAAATCAAATAACTATAACTATACAGTTTCTAAGTTCTTGATTCACACTTTATTTTCAGTTTGATTCAAGTTTCTTGTTGCTAATAATGACCATATCGAGTATCCAAAGTTGCATAGTTTCATTGTTCAAGGATTTTGTTTTATTAGCAATTCGATAGATAAATTCGTAGGAGTTTCAATTGTATCAATATCTCGTGTAATGATTGTATTGGGAATTTATGCAGAATTCATTTGGATCAAACAGGAGATAATACAATTATAAAAAGTTCTTGATTGAAAATAGGATTGAATGGAGAAAATTTTGCTTTTGATAAGAGTAAGGACAGAGGTTAATAGGGACACAAAAACTGAATGCATTAGAGTCACAAACATTCTCTGACTCTTACGATTACAGAATGCAAAATGTTTAACTGATTTGTTGTGTAAAAAAACAAAAAATTTTATTTTTCGAATTAAGTGCATTTTCTGGTTGTTCATCAAAATTTAAATCAGTCTTCAGTCAAGCCGTCAAAACTTATCGCAAGGATTACATGTAAACACTAGAATAAGATTAAAAACAAAAAATACATTAACCAAGTACTCGAATGTAATCACACTTTGGATCACCCTCCTACTGAAAGTAACAGTTTGGGTGAAAAGATTGTGCATTTGTCTGTCTTGTAGTTCAGAAGTACTTGTGAAACCGAAAAAACAGGGAAATATCGCTAGGCTCGGAACTTAACACTTGTCCGACTTTGACTCTCACAATACAATGTAAAATAGTTGTGTAGTTGTAATGCAATGTAAAATATTGCTACTAAAAAGCACATAATGAACACAATTGTTACATTTATGCATTTTACACAAATGCTTAAAGAGAATGGACAAGAACTAGTGCACATTGATTTCTTGCAAATTTGAACTCTGTTAGCTTGTAGGGACAGAAACACTGATTCTATTGGCACCATTAAAAAGTTCCTACGATCAACAGTTTTCGAGAAAATCGAGTCCAAAGTTGGAACTTCGGTCGCCGTTTGTACAATTATGGAAGAAGTTTTTTGCATGAAACACATTTTCCTGATACAATAATGTGATACATAACCAGAAAATGCATTTACCGTGAGGAATAAAGTTTTCTGTCCAAAATAAAAGCGATAACTTCGATTTTCAGTTAAACTGACCTTTTTCTGTGACCGTGAGTTTTAGAGACCTGAAACTTATTATGAGTCGATAAAAGTTGTTGGCAAGTATAAAAAATCTAATACTTTTGGCAATTTCGCAATAGTTCTCTCGATTTTGGCCATTGGCCTTAGAACTTCGAGCCTCGATATTTGGAGAATAATAGCATCCACAATCGTCATTGTTTGACCAAACATTAGCTCTCGTTATGGGCTATAACTCAATATGACTGAAAACCTAAGAAATCTGATCCAATTCATTTAATTTATGATATTATCTAAGTAACCATTTACCTTCTTCAACCAAATTCCAAATCTGACAACCTAAGTAATGCAATGTTATAGCTTTTTTTGCAGGATCTTGAATTATCTTAAATTTGAGTATATTATAGCCAATAATGAAATCTAACGTTTGATCAAAGAATGATGATTGTGGGTGATACACTTCTCGAAATATTGGAGTTCAAAGTTTTAAGGCCAATGGCCAAAATCTAGAGAACTATTGAGAAAGTGAAAATAGTATTCAATTCATGATATGTACAATTAACTTTTATGCACGAATAATAAGTTTCAGGTCGCTAAAACTTACGGTCACAGAAAAAGGTCAGTTTAACTGAAAGTCGAAGTTATCGCTTTTATTTTGGACAGAAAATTTTATTCCTCAAAATAAGTGCATTTTCTGGTTATGTATCACATTATTGTATCAGGAAAATGAGTTATATCAAAAAATCAGCTTCCATAATTGTACAAACAACGATCGAAGTTCCAACTTTGGACTCGATTTTCTCGAAAACTGTTGATCGTAGGAACTTTTTATTAGTACCAATGGACTCAGTTTGCATGCAAATACAAACCCAGCAAGTCTCAAATCTTAACTTAAATGTTCGAGCTTTTGGCAGTACTTTTTGTATTACATTTGTAAGTTGAACCAGAAAATTGGTTTATTTACCAAGAATTAGGTTGAGATGAGTTTGCTTTGTTTAATAAGTTGTTTCTGACACATCAAACACTTAAAAGCAAAACATCAAAACCCAAATGCGATGATATAAAGCAAGTGATCTTGAAGTGGGTCTTTATCGATCAATGATTTAATTTGTATATCCAAATAGACCCACTTTGCACAAGACTTTGTAAGCCCATAAACAGTAGAGAAGCTTGAGCTGTTTTCTCCCCTTTAGCATATCGACTTTGTTTTTATGTCCCTGCAAACCAACAGATTATAAGTTTTGAAGCAATCAATTTTCACCCGTTTTTATCCATTTGTTCATAAATGTTATAAATGTGTTAATAGCAACAACCGTAAAATAGTGCAGAAATTTTCTGGTGTCCAACATCGCTGTGAAATGAGTAAGCTTGTAAAAATATCAATGTTTCAAACATTTCATTTGGACTCTCAGTATACTTTTTACATTTTACAGGCTTACACAATTTAATTGTTTCACACCATTTTTGTAATAATTGCAATTGGCCTGAACTGTACTGTTGAAGATGGATGCAGTTAGGCAAAAAATTTATAGCAAATTAGTTCCATTTTTACTCTTGACTTTGTCATTGTTGATGATTGCATTCAATAAAATTGGCCGATTTTTGTGCGATTCACATTTTTGACTTACAAAGTGCGCGTTTTGATTTTTGTTAGATGATTTGAAGATTTAATAATTTTGTGGAAAACGAAACTTTGGATTTAAACAGTCTCCAGCTATAATTTTTATTAACAATTAAGACTGGAGGATATTGAAATCTCTGCAGTAATTATAAGGATTATATGTAAACACTAGAAGGAGACTAAAAACAAAAGATACTTTAACCAGGTACTCGAATGTAATCACACTTTGAATCACCCTTCTACTGAAAGTAACAGTTTGGGTGAAAAGATTGTGCATTCGTCTGTCTTGTAGTTCACAAGTGCTTGTAAAGCCGAAAAAACAGGAAAATATCGCGAGTCTGGACACTTACAAATTGTCCGACTTTGACTCTCACTCAGAGTCTAACATCTATCGAATCGTTAATAAAACTAAATGATTGAACAATGAAATTATGTTAATGCAACTTTAATATATTCATTATTAGCAACAAGAAACTTGAATCAAACTGAAAATTAAGTATGAATCAAGAGCTCAGAAACTTAAGATAATTGTATCGGATTGTACACCAGTAATTTAGAATGGCGAGTTTCTGAAGAGGTCCTCGAGTAATGCAGCAGCATTTTCCGCAAGAGTCTTGTTAGTGTTGAAACCAGGAATCATTCCATAGTCGATGTAGTCACTCTGATGCAAGTCTCCAAATTTAACGTTTGGGTTGAAACCTGATTAAAAACAAAAATGATTGAATTTAATGAAACAATACTAAACTTACAAAACGAGTGCCCTTGCTTGTACGATCAATTTTTTGAGGCTTATGCTGTAGAGGAAGAATCTATGAAACTGTATTTTTGTTTTGCTAAACGGTCAATGAAATTTAGGCATTTTAATTAAAAATAGTAATGCATTGGTCTCAATGAAAATAGTGATTTACTTTCCAGTGACTCCAACAGATTACTACGTAATATCCTTATAAACCCGAAAAATTTAAAACATCGTACAGTAAAGGGCACTTGCCTGGTTATTGTGCATTTCACTACAAACCTTTAACATCCTCAGTCTTGTTTGCTTCAGCTTCTGATAATCGAAATAATAGAATGAAATGAAATTAATTTTTTTACTGTTCCAGGTTTCAATTACAACAATCATTTCTAATCATGTAAAATATTTACTTTTAAGCAAGAATCTTGAGAATGATTCAAGAGCATTGTTGGTGAGCAGTTGTTCAATTGGCTCTTTTGGTACGAACGCTGTAAATAATTGTAAATCAAGAGGTTAGAATGAAATAGAAATTATTTCAACTAGATATTTACAGAAAAAGGGCATTTTCTCGAAGACTTCAGCAACAATGATCTTAACATTTTCAGCAACGGATTTATTATCATCTAAACCTAGAATTTAAACAAAAAGTGATTTCAATTATTAGTTAATCCAAAAGAAGATTAAAATGTAATATTTACCTTTGGTTTCGAGAGTTTTGGTGAGATTCATAACAGCATTCAATACGTTATCTGATATATTGGCTTTAGGATTCCATCCTTTTTTAGCAATAGAAAAGATTCGATAAAAATTAATAAATTGTTCCAATAAAATAAGCTAAAGATGCACTCACCAGGAATAAAATCAAGCGCTATTTTTTCGCTAAGATGAGGCAATAAATTATCCTCGATTGCGGCCTTTGGATTCCAATCTAATAAGGGACAGCAATCAAGTTAATAACAAACTAACTTTCAACTGAAAATAAAACTTACTAGGAATTAGCTTTTCAAATTGACTAATAACACCTTTAGTAAGGTTGGCTAAGGCTTCAACAAATGGTTTTGGTCCTGCAAAAACAACGGAAAGTTATGACGATTCTGTTGATGCTAGGTTGGTTAAGACTTACCCTGGGTTGGGGCAGCGCTGATGGCTGCGACACAGAAGAGGGCAACTAAAGCAATTGAGAATTTCATTTTAGTTTTGTTTTGGGTTGATTGTTTTCACAAGTTTCAACGGAGATATGAACTGAATAAAGATGATTCAGTTTTACTTGTTTATATATTAAATGATTACAATCAAACAAAAATTTGCTATGAATTAATTTCTTGGAAATGATTATCGATATGAAGATAATATAATTGCAAAAATTTAAGAAAGGAGAATGTCAAATTGAATAGGGATAATTGCCTATTCCAGATGATGATTAAATGATTGCAGTCAAACAAAAGATTTCCATGAATTTCTTGGAAATGATAATTGTAAAACTTTCATAGATTATTCATGCCACCCATAATGTTAACACTGATACTGAATTGAAATAACATGGTTGACATTTAAAAACAAATCAGCCCAGTCGGATGATTTATTTATTCATTACAATTGTACATCAGGAGCGAAGGTTGATTGATTATATTTCAACCATTTTAAAGTCAGAGAATAGTATATCACTAGATCGAATCATGGGTTGCCTCTAATCTTGAAAGTTAATATTCAACTTAACTGTATCAATTAATTTGTTTTCGGAATGTGTTCTAGTTAATTATCTAAGTTCAAAGAGAACTATAGCACCGAAATGGCAATAAGAGTTCAATTGCGATGATTGAATTGGGGGTCAATTGAATCAACGAAAGTTTCTTAAAAAATGTTCATTGAATTGATTGCACCCATTTTGTATTCCGCAGGTTTAAGTGATCCATAACGTTGATAGTTCTCGATCCAACCGAAGTCAAACTTAGCAAATCTGTCATTGTTTATAGCTTGTCCATAATGAACCAGATTCCACCATGAAGTTGCCCAAAAACCTTGTGCTATGTATACGGGAAGGCGAGTAGTATTGAACTGTTCCGAATGACCACCAAACAGATAAAATATGGAAGCACACATTTCTTTGACTAATTTTTCTTCGCAAATTTTGTCCGCAAAAAGATCAATCAAAGTTGTTGGAAGACGAAGTTCTCCTCCCAATAATCTCCGACAATCACCTCATAATAAGTGCTGAGTGCTCAAAATGAGTGCATTTTCTGCTTATGTATCAAAAGTTATATCACGAAAATGAGTTTCACGAAAAAACCTGCTTCTATAATTAAACAAAAAACAATCGAAGTTTCATTATTAAGGGGTGCACAAGAAGTAAAGGCTTTTTTCATTCTTGATTTTTGAGTAAATACGAGTAAATCAAGATTTAATTTTATTTTTTGATAAATCAGTATTTTTTCTAATCATCTTATTGAAAAGAGTTTTAAAATTGGCTTAAAAATAATCAAAATAAACCCAAGAAACGAAAACCAAAAGCGCCTCTACTTCTTGTGCACCCTTTATATGGCTATGTTTTGGACTAATTTTTCATAATTCAATTACGACAGTTAGACCAGACTTACAGGCTCCATTCAAGCATAAAAATAAAGCTAAACTTTTCAACAACGTATTGTGAAAAAATTAATTAATTTCGATCAAAGATTGTCAAGTTATGGCCTTAAATGGACAAAGGCGTCAAAAGCCATATATTTTAAACTTCATACCAGGGTTCTGAAGAATCGAAAAATGGCCTCAAAGTTGTTTGTATGGAATTAGTTCACCTAATATAACTCAAAATAGATCGATTGAAAGGTTCAGGTCAACAATGAGGCTAAATTTCACGGACATTTGATTAAAAACGAGATTTTTCACGGATTGAAAAGGGACTTCGATTTCGAATATTTCAAGAGATTATTCTCAAATAAAATGAGCAGAAGTAACTTTTCTTCTGTAGATAAAGTTCTGATCTTTTACTTGGGAATAATCTTTTGGAATATTCGAAATCGAAGTCCTTTTTCAATACGTGAAAAATCTCGTTTTTATCAACTCTCCTTGAAATCTACGTCTCTTTGCAAAGAAATGTGCGCTTCCATATTTTATCTGTTTGGTGGCCATTCGGAACAGTTCAACACTACTCGCCTTCCCGTATACATAGCACAATGTTTTTGGGCAACTTCATGGTGGAATCTGGTTCATTATGGACAAGCTATAAACAATGACAGATTTGCTAAGTTTGACTTCGGTTGGATTGAAAATTATCAACGTTATGGATCGCTTAAACCTGCGGAATACAAAATGGGTGCAATCAATTCTCAGGATATATTTATCCTCAGCGCAGTCAATGATCCTCTAGCCAATCGACAAGATATGGAAACACTAAGAAAGTCATTGCAAGGTGAGAGATTAAAAACTAACATTTTTTAAGAAACTTTCGTTGATTCAATTGACCCCCAATTCAATCATCGCAATTGAACTCTTATTGCCATTTCGGTGCTATAGTTCTCTTTGAACTTAGATAATTAACTAGAACACATTCCGAAAACAAATTAATTGATACAGTTAAGTTGAATATTAACTTTCAAGATTAGAGGCAACCCATGATTCGATCTAGTGATATACTATTCTCTGACTTTAAAATGGTTGAAATATAATCAATCAACCTTTGCTCCTGATGTACAATTATAATAAATAAATAAATCATCCGACTGGGCTGATTTGTTTTTAAATGTCAACCATGTTATTTCAATTCAGTATCAGTGTTAACATTATGGGTGGCATGAATAATCTATAAAAGTTTTACAATTATCATTTCCAAGAAATTCATGGAAATCTTTTGTTTGATCGTAATCATGCAATATACACCAGCAAAACTGAGCCATCTTCATTCAGTTCATATCTCCGTTGAAACTTGTGAAAACAATCAAACCAAAACAAAATCAAAATGAAATTCGCCATTGCTTTAGTCGCCCTCTTCTGTGTCTCAGCCATCAGTGCTGCCCCAACCCAGGGTAAGGATACTTTGCGTACACAGGCGTTGAGGCTTTTACAGAATCAAGTCCGTTTGTTCAAGTCCTCATCAACGTTTTTAAAGGTCTTATCAGTCAATTTGAAAAGCTAATTCCTAGTTAGTTTTATTTATAATAAAAGTTAGTTTGTTATTAACTTGATTGTTGTATTTTATTAGACTGGGATACAAAGGCCACATTCGAGGATAATATATCGCCTTATGCTGCCAAAAAATAGCGCTTGATTTTATTCCTGGTGAGTGCATCCTTTGCTTATTTTATTGGAACAATTTATTAATCTATTTTATTCTAATTTATTCTCATTGCCGATAAAGGATGGAATCCTGAAGTCGATACCACAGATAACATATTCAATGCGCTTCAAAACTTCCCAAAACTCTCGAAACCAAAGGTAAATATTACATTTTAAATTTCTTTTGGATTAACAAATAATTGAAATCATTTTTTGCTTAAATTTTAGGTTTCGATGATAACAAAACCCGTTAGTAGTAAAAAAAAGAGAACTGTCTCTCACTTCCGCACCTTCCGGTTTCCCTCTCCCCATCCAGGCACTTGTATTGCATAAAATTGACTCAAATTGGGTAAGGGTCAAATTGATTGTTATTTATTTTGGCGCCAACTAACTTAAAGATTATCAGACTAAACTTATCAGATTTTTACCGGTTTAAACTTATGTGCAATCTTTTGAATCTTTTTAAGCTTATTTTACTGGCAATAGCTTGGTTATTTTAACGGTTGAAATTTGATTTTGAATTAAATTGCCATTGTTAATCAAATTTTAACCTTTAACTTAACCAAGATATTGCAGCAAATGAAACCAAATTTTAACCTTTAACTTAACCAAGATATTGCCAGCAAATGAAACCAAATTTTAACCAGGGGAAATAATAGCACATGATTTATATTAAATAATGAAACATGTTTAATGAATAGAAAGGCAGTTAAATATAGATAAAAATGGCTCAGAAAACAAGAGTTACATTTCTGGAAAGTGAAAATTAATGAATTAAATGTTAGGGTGACAGGCTAATCTATTCAGCTGATCAATAAAATAATTATTTGCACGGTCGAAAACAGCCATAGCATTGAGAATTCTTTGACTCTGTTCGATTAAATTGTTAGCGAGGTTATTTTGAATGTTGTGAATTCTTTCGAGTTCATGACCCAAAGAGTCAGTGGTATGGTTTTCAACTCCTGAGATGAATTCCATCACTCTTAAATATTGAGTGCGCTGTCGATTTTGCATTCTTTCGTTGATATCGTGTAGATCATCCAAGTCTCTAATGTTGATTAAAATGTTGGTGGTGTTGACTGAAACTTGATTGAGTATTTGCGTGGTGTTTTCCTCAATTCTTCTCACCACGGCCATAACAGGGTCAGCCAATAGGGTTGAAATTGATGAAACCATCAAGATGATGATGGTGCTGAAACTGGTGATTGAGCAGGAGCATCAGGAATTTCATCTTCATCAAATTTATCATCTTTACCTCAATTGTCATCAATTCATTTTCGCCATTTTTATCCACATTTAACTGCCTTTCCATTCATTAAACATGTTTAATTATTTAATATAAATCATGTGCTATTGTTTCCCCTGGTTAAAATTTGGTTTCATCTGCTGGCAATATCTTGGTTAAGTTAAAGGTTAAAATTTGATTAACAATGGCAATTTAATTCAAAATCAAATTTCAACCGTTAAAATAACCAAGCTATTGCCAGTAAACATTCTCTAACTCTTACGGTCACAAAATGCAAAAGGTTTAACTAAAACGAGCTGTACAGAAAACAAAAATTTCATTTCTCAAAATAATTTCAGTTTCTGATTGTTGATCCAAAGTTAAATCGATAAAATTAGTACCCTGCAAAAAAGCTCCAGTTAAGAAAAAGTTATCAACACTTATAAACATAGAGGTCCACTTTTCGTTGGATTGCAACAGGTGCAGAAAGCATTGTGGGACCGAAGCAATGACTTTTTTGAACAGGTCCGTAAAACCAGCAGAAGCAATAGTGGAGATGACCAGGACGTGATTTATTATCAAGTTGATAAATCGTGCTCAGTTTTGGCACCGGCGAAACATCAAGAAGAACATTCTCTTGTTTTCCAGACAGGCTACAGAATGGTCTCCGCAATCACGCTTCCTGTTGGTATCGGTTGTATTAACACTCCCCGGCTACCAGATTTGCGCAGTGGCGATCAAAAAACTTATTGGACAGTATCGAAGTGCACAGTTTCATGGTTGAGCGCTGGAGGCCGGGACAAGTATGGAACATTGTTGAATCAAGGAGCTAGGGCATTAATAATTGTTGGCGATTTCAACGCAACGCGGACAATATGTCCGTGATGAAATCCATGATAATAAAAACCTAATGGCTCTGATGAAAGAGTTCAATTTACAAGAGACATATTTTTGTCAACATAGCAACACAGTCGCGCGATATGATTACATTTTATATTCTGCAAATGTGGCCTTCTCCAGAAAATTAGAGGATTTGGAAACGATCCAATCCGACCATAAAGTGATTTTCTGTAAATTACAAATTACAAGCAATCCATCAAGGAACTGGCCTTTTGCTAAATATAAAGACAAAGAATGGCTCAAGTTTGGACGAATTGTTGTAAAATCTCAACAGAGATTTTAATTCATTTTTATTTACCAATTTATTTGTACATTTAGCTACAATTTGGTAATGATGATGGCAGTCTTGCTGGTTCCTAGTGAAATTCACAATAAACAAGGTAAGTGCCCGCAACTGTACGATCTTTTTCAATTTTTTGGGTTCATATTGTAGAGGAGCAAGAAAATAGGTTTGTACTTTTGACTTTTGTTATGCTGCTGCACGGTCAATGATATTTAAGGACATTAAGGATATTACATTTTAATCTATTAAAGTCGCTGAAAAGTAATCACTATTTTCATCTTTGCTATATTTTGTTTAGGTACTTCTCAGTGACTTCAATGTATTACTGTCTTTAATTCAAATGTCTAAATATCATCAAGCGCCCACCAGGTCTCATTATTTTTCGTGATTTACAAACCCGAAAAAATTTACAATGGATCTTACAAGGGCGGGTACTTATTTTGTAAGTTTACTTTGTAATTGTTTCATTAAATTCAATCATTTTTGCGCCAACATTTATCAGGTTTTAACCCAAACGCTACATGTGGAGACTTAGTTGATGTTGGCCCGGAAAACTTGCTTGTTCAAGGAATGTAACCTGGTTTCAGTAACAACAAGACTCTTGAAGACAATATTGCTTTCGTCCTTGAGGATCTCCTCAAAAAATTACCATTGTAAATTATACAATCTGACACAATTAACTTACTCATTTAAGTAAATAATTTTCATTCACTTGATTTTCCTCCTCTTTATTGAATACGTTGTTAAACCTAATCTTATGAGAGTTTCAACCAACGTTAACTCATATTTAACAATGTAACCTAATTCAACACATTTTTATACAAATCTAGCGACTTTCAACTACAATTAGCTGTTAGTATCAACTTATATTATTCATAAAACAAATATTTTCAACTATAAAGTCTCTGAGCTGTTGATTCATACTTCATTTTCAGTTTGATTCAAGTTACTAATGTTGAGCATATTGAAGATGCCTGAACACAATTTCATTGTTCAACAATTTAGTCGTATTAACAATTCGATAGATAAATTCATAGGAGTTTCAATTGTATCAATATCACGTGTAATTATTGTTTAGGAATTAAAGTAGCATCAAACAGGAGATAATACAATCATAAAAAGGTCTTAATTGGAAATAATTTGCCCATTTGTTTGGTTAAATAATTTAGTTTATTCAGACATTAGACATTGAAGAGTAATTATGAATTTAAATTTGTATTTTGTTGTTACTTTTACATTTTTGTTGACCAATTCATTTGCTGATTTGGTACCAGAATTAGCCGATGAACATAGAACGCCTTGTCAACTAATTGAGTCTCGTAATTTCATTTGTGATGAACAATCCATTATAACTGATGATGGTTACATACTGACAGTTCACCATATAATTAATCCAGTTTATAAGGCAAACAATAAGTCAACAATCAGACCAGTAGTCATTGCACACTGTCTCTTTGGTGCATCACCAGTTTGGCTTATCAACTCTGAAAATGGCTTTGCCGCTGATTGGTCCAATGGTACAGACTTTCTTGATCTGGACACTGAAGGACGCAATTTACCTTATTTACTGTCGAATCTCGGTTACGACGTTTGGATGACAAATTCAAGAGGAAACCAGTTTGCTCGAAATCACACTTCACTCAATCCAGATACAGGTAAGTCACCGGTTGACGACAAATCATTCTAGTTTTATGATGTTATGAACCGAATCGTGTCTAATTGTATTTTATTTTCAATTTATTGTTAGATAAAGCATTTTGGCAGTTTTCCTTCGATGAAATGATTACTTATGATACACCAGCAATAATTGATTATGTTTTGGAAAAAACTGGTTATGGTAAGACGAAAGCTGGGAAAGTCATTTTCAGAGTTTAAATATCTTTTTCCTTTACCAGAAAACCTCGCTTGGATTGGTCATTCGCAAGGTGCTATGCAACTTTTCGGGCTATTATCCGAGAAACCGGAGTATTCAGCAAAAGTCAAACCTTTTATTTCTTTAGCACCAGTAACTCATATGGCTCACATCACAAGTCCAGTTAGACTTATAGCAAAGGTGCCTTTCCTTCAAAAGATTGCCAAACTTTTGGGTGGAGAGCTTCGTCTTCCAACAACTTTGATTGATCTTTTTGCGGACAAAATTTGCGAAGAAAAATTGGTCAAAGAAATGTGTGCTTCCATCTTTTATCTGTTTGGTGGTCATTCGGAACAGTTCAATACTACTCGCCTTCCCGTATACATAGCACAAGGTTTTTGGGCATCTTCATGGTGGAATCTGGTTCATTATGGACAAGCTATAAACAATGACAGATTTGCTAAGTTTGACTTCGGTTGGATTGAAAATTATCAACGTTATGGGTCACTTAAACCTGCGGAATACAAAATGAGTGCAATCAATTCTCAGGATATATTTATCCTTAGCGCAGTCAATGATCCTCTAGCCAATCGACAAGATATGGAAACACTAAGAAAGTCATTGCAAGGTGAGAAATTAAAAGCTAACTAAAAGCTAATCAAATCATCAATAATACTCATTTCACCTTCCTTACAGTGCCTTTTATTGAATTAACGATTGATGATCCTAACTTTACTCATTTGGATTTCATGTGGGCCGAAAACGTTTACCAAAAAGCATATAAACCGGTAACTGAATTTTTGCGAAAATATGATTCATACAAAACCACTACATAGATAAATAACGTTACAATGAAAAGATCAGTTGATCATAACTGCTGCTGTTGATCAGCTTATTTCTGCAGATTAATTAAACTCAATTTCAATATTTCATCTTGTTTCCATTTTGCAATATTGATTATTCAGTTCGCGTAAACTTGACTTTGCTAAATAGAGTAAGATTGTTGTGATTCAACATAACAATGAATTTTCCCAGTCCTACATGAAAAAGATCATAATCACTAATCATAAAATAAGATTAGAATCTTTGATGGGAATTTGATGATTAGTTATTTGAATGCAATTTCCAATCAATCAAGGCAATCACAATTGAGTTGAAAGAAAAGATTCGGTGATAAATTGACACAATGAATCAAATCGATTTATCTTTATAAGTGGTTGAATAAAACTAAATATTGTCCGGTGAATGATTGAAGCTCATCATTTGAAATTTCATTTTATACGCATTTTGATGGAGAAAAATGGCAACTAAACCTATCTAGCGGATCAATCAAAGCATAGTTCTTGATTGAATTTAATCAAGAGAATTGAAAATTAACATTAAAATCGATTTTTATTCATTTTTCATTGGATTCGAAGATTGGATTCGAAGATTGTTTCAATCGATAGGAGATGGGTAAAGGGAGAAAAAGAAAGGGAAACTCCACGAACACAATATTTTTTGATGGGGTTTGAGTAAATTCCAGATCTCAGATCAATAGACAAGAGATTACATTTCTCAATTGGGCTTTTTGTTTTTAACGTCTCTGCACTTATAACGGGCAAAACACTTTATTTAAAACGTGTTATCATTTTGGTCATTCCAGTCAATGCGAGGCTTATGGTCATTGTGATGAAACACTTGAGATTGATGATGATAATACGATGTTTCCTGCTGTTCATTGTGGTTGTTTTGTCCACTTATAGTTACTCCAGGAAAAGTAACAATTGAAGGTGGCTCATCATCATGTGGAGATGGAAGAATATCAGCTGAGATTCTGATTAGTTTAAATCGAGGTAAGGCAAAAGAAAAGGGCTGGAGATTGATTCGGAAATTCAAGTGAATTTCACTTTTCACACACAGTAATAAAGCCGATAAAGCCCAAATGCAGATATGGTTAAGCTATCAACGAGAAAAAAGTTATTACATTGTATTAATTGGGGATTAAATTAAACTTTGGTCAACTTACCTTCATTAGTTTATCAATAGCCAAATGTTGACAGTTCACCAAGATAATTGATCACTCCGAAAACATGACTAGTCAAATAAATGATATTCAGAACACTAAAAACTGATACAGGACTGCGATTAAGTCATTCGATGCAAACTGTTGGCTGTTATGATTGTCTCCTTCATTAATCATGATTGAATGATCGTTTACAAACCGAACTTATTTAGCTTGTTTTACTTCAGTTAAGATATTATTTAAGTATCGGAATGTTACTGTTCAAAAATCATCAAAAAGTCATCAAATGTTTATATTTTATCGCTCTCTACCTTATATTAAACGAAGATTGTTTGATTTACTTCCTTAATTAAAAGTATCCCAACAGTGAAACCATAATCAATACAATAGCATAACCGGGAAATGCAAAACTACCATGCTGCCATCTCATAGATAAATCTAGAGTTAAATTTAATGATCGTAATTTGATTTTCATTTGGTATTAGCAATAGTTGCTATTTTACGTTAATTTGTTCCGTAGAAAATTAGCAAAATACAATTTAAACAAAAGATAATAAATTTTCAAAAAATCCTAGTCATATCATTCCGTCTCACTACTTATAAATAAGTTTTTAATAAGTAAATCGTCAAGTCTCTGCCAAGAGCTATCAATGAAGCAATTAACTCTTACAATAGAATGAATATGTTTAAAAATCAGGCAATTGGATGATTGTTCTTGGATAAATAATATCAAAACCAAATCAGCTTCACATCTTGTTATTTGTTCATCTCTACAACTAGATAGTTTCATACATTATTTTCTGGTGTAAGTAAACAAACAGTGAAACTGAGTAAACTTAAATTCTGGTTAATTTAAATGGCAAGGAAACATTAACCCAATAATTTTGTTAAACGTTTACAATAGTGATAGACTATTTATAAATTTATCTAAATGGCTCTTCCAACAAGTTAAATGGAAGTGAAATGGTTGATTTAGAGTTTCATTGGGTTTCTCTATTCACTAGAAATGAAGTTGAAGCTATTGTTGTGGACAACAAGAAAACTGAAAGTCGTTAAATAGCCATCTAAATGTATGGTTAATCACTATTGTCCAAAAAAAGTAACATCAAATTGATCGGAAGCAATTACGACTCAATAAAAGCTCTTGAAGACACTTAATAGTTGTTTAATCAATCCAATGCTAAAAAAGGAAAGGTGATTGTGATCTTGAAGACGATGTTGATTGATCTAGACAGGAACAAGATGACAAAAAAAGTAAATTAAGCCCAAAGCAACCATTTTTGGTTTGCCTTACTCTTATTGTAAACATTTAACCTGAACCAGAAAAATGGTCAATACTAGACAATATTTACGCACATATTGATGTAATTTCAATGGTCAACCCTCACTCCTCATGATAATAATTGACTTGTGATTTAGGCTGAATGGAGTTTACTGATTTTCTCACCCAATCATTATATCTTAGCGAGCACATTCAATTAGTGAATCTCATGCAAAACATAAATTCATTAAATCCAGATATTTAAATCATTTCTTTTCTGGTTTTCCCCTTATCGACAGAACACTGATCGATATAATTCCTATTTGTATTGCTATTCTGTTAAATTTCGAAAGAAATGAGCAAAAAAACAAAATTGGACATCAAATTATAAAGATATACAAGCGAAAAATTATGAATCAAAATGAAAGAATCCTGATTTATGGTTAATGTTATTATTTCGAGGCTTCCTAGTTTCTCCTTTCACCCTTTTATCATCATCTTTTGCTCTTTCCATTTATCTTCCACATCTCTTCCCTTCACTTCCCATGTCTTCACTCATCTTTCATCTTGTTTCCTTTCAGACTCTCACTTCTTCTCGCATTATGTTTACAAATCAACAAGATCCTATTGACCCATTATAAACAGAGAAAGACCAACTCAAACCTAATGACAATTTTTAAAATTAGCCTTTTATTTTACTGTTTTTTAATAAATTTCAATCAATTTGAGTAATAATGAAGAAAAATGTTCCTTCTTAAGTGATTATAATATGTAAAGTATATTATTTTCCAGTTTTACCCACTTATGATGCATATTTACATCAGCTGTTTAAGTCATCAATGATGGTTGCTGTTATTGGATTTTTTTAAGTGTCAAAGTTATACCATGTGTAATTCATTTTAATTTTATTCTAGTTGCTCATGGAATAATCAGCAGATCAAATCAATGATTTAAAAATTATGTTGTCGCAGTAACCTAACCGCGCATTGGTGATATAACCAAGTGATCCTTTTTTGGCATTCGTAATGATTATAAATTACCCGGCAGTCTCAAGGTTGGCTTGGTTAGATTCAGCCAACTTTGACAAAGAAGGTTTCCTGTTTGTCCGTGAAAGACGAGAAGGTTTGTTTAATCATTGGAAAAGTGAAACATTTATTGAACGATTATGTCGGCTTCGTGGTAACCTTTTATTTATCCTGGCAACATCCAATCCAGATACCAAGAAAACATCTTATCCCAGTGGTAACAAAGTTACTAGTCGAGATAATAATCATACCTCTAATACTATCATTAATAGCAGTGAAGGTGGCATTGATGAACCACATCATCATAATTACCAACAGCGTATCAATCATTCATCATCCTCTGAAGCCGTTGGTAAGGATTTATCATCTACTGGAGAGAATCGTATTGTTTTCATCTTATTTTTGGAAGAGTGTGTTATCAAATTGTCCGAGGAAAGTAATAATAAACACTTCTCGTTCATCATTGAGTTTGGTAAAAATGATCCAACCAAGCCTTTCCATTTTACCACAATATCTCAACAGGAGAGAGATTCTTGGGTTGAGTGTATTCATCTGTCTAGTTTAAACTATCTTAAATCACTTCGTAAAACCTTCATTAATCTTAAAATTTCCACTGGTTTAGCTTCAGCATCACAAGACCCCATTCTTGACCCTATTGGAAACAACTCCGTTTCAACAACAAATACTTCATCAACATCTTCTTCATCTCCTAATAAGGCTTTCTTTTGTACCAATTCTTATATGAAAATCAATCTATCCTGTACCGTGATACTATTTGATGACCATCCGTTGGAACCTAACATTTTCATTGCTGTATTTTATCGCAAGGAAAAATTTAGCTCTTGGACCTTTCTGGATAAAACTGAAGTTGTTTCCTCACAAAGTGCCAAATTTGCCAAACAATTCAATCTACCATCAGAAGATTGGTCACAATATCAGCTGCGATTCAAGGTTTACGATGTGGTTGAACGTCTAACTGATACCCGAGTGCTCCTCGGTGAATCTATTTATGCACCAGCTTCTCTTATTATGGGATTGGCTGAAAACCAGGATAATTCACAAGTATTTGATCTTGATATTACATCTACCCTGCGAGACTCTCAAGTGATTGGCAAACTTAAGGTCACCATTAAAGGACCCGTTTATCCAGACGATAAGTGGTCTACTAACCAAACTGATTCTATATCATCTCGTCGGCCAAAAAGTTTACCTCTTACATCAGTTTCATCCAGCAAACCAATGGCTTTTACACCTTCATCTTCATCATCATCCGCTAAAATTGGTGTCACCCCATCATTATTAGAAGAAGCACCAGAAATGGAATCGGAAAAGGAAGTTCAACTGGAAAAACAGGAATGCAATAATACTGATTTGTCTACAGGAAAAAATTCTATATCAACATCTGAATTACCTAGACGTTACTCTGTGCCCAATAATTTTGACATCCAAATCAGCCCCATTACAAACAATACCGTTTTAATGTCATTACCTGGCTACTGGAATCTTGATGATGACCTTTTTGTTAATGTTATCCATCGCTCTTTTCAATTTGATGTACCACTAAAAGGTTTATCCATTTCCATTGAGGAAATCATGGCTGAATCCAAATATTGTATGCTTTTTCCTCAAATAATCATGTAAGTAACTGACGATACTTTTCTTCTACTACCATCTTCATCAATATTTAATTATTCATGTGAATGATAGTGTTTTAGGTGAGGGTTAATAGTGGGAAATAGTAAATAAAAAATGAAGACAATACAAATTGTATAAAAATTTACTGGAATCGTGTTCATCTCATTCTTTAATGCAGTTTTACCGCAAACTCATCCATGAGTTAATTTTCTGACTCTTTTTGCTGTTGTATAACATTACCAAATCTTGCAGTCAGCTGTAATTTTTTTGTACTTTCCTTCCAATCTTAATTAACTTAATAGCTCTTAAGAGATTCAATGTTTTATTTAATCTATTAACGTTTCTTTACCGTTTACCATTAATATTTATAATTTATTTTCCTTTTCTTTCACAGGAATATCTTTATGGATGATGAAAAAAAATTGATGAATTGTGTTACTTATTCACTGGGCGAAGTTAAACCAGATTATCAGCGAACTCAGATGAGAGTTTTAGAATCACATTTACGTCTTGTAAACGTTGTCACCGAATCAATTAATGAACTGTATCAAGTTCAGTTGGACAAAAAGTTCTTTAGACCATCAATTGCCAAAAAAGAGCTGTTCTTCCAATATGTGCCACTCAATTTTCACTTACAAAGATGTCTAGTCAGTGATTCTGATGGAGTTAATAAAAGACGATCAACAATCTGTTGTGAAAACAGTTCACCAATTGGAATGTTGAATGAAAACAATCTGAAAAATTCATTGGATGTTTATTCTGTTGGAGTTTTTGCTGCTCATTATTTTCGATGTGATCAAGATAATTTGAATATAAACACTTTAAACCCACACATTAACATTAAAAATATTCCTTCTTCAACATCTTCATCAACATCAGTAGCAACAAACCAAAATAGCGGCACAAACAAAGATAGTGGTTCATCTTCTGTTACTAAAGTTTGGAAAGCGATGAAAAATTTTCTCCATATTTCATCTCTAGTTCAATTGATTGAAGTTTCCATGAGAAAATTAATGTTCTACATTGAAGATGGCTCATTGGCTCAAGAAAAATTGAAAACTCTTTATGAAATGATTGATTCAAACGCTCATAAATTAATAAATATTTTGAATCCACGGGAAGTTGAGGAAACGCTTATGGCATTGGAAGTCTTGAAAAACCATTCATCAAATTCTGGTCACAGCAATACCATGAGTGGATCAATCAACCAGTCTTTTGGTGGTAAAATTACAACGGCTGATTGTTCAACAAATGATATAAGAGCATCCAATGAACCCGTTTTCAGGAAAAACAGCCAAAGCATTTCTGAAGAGCAACAAGAACTTGAACCAGTAGATCTTATTTATCTTAATATCAAAGCTAGTTTAATAAGTATATCGGGTAAAATTAACAATACACAATCGATAAAATGCTCACGATCAGAAGTTGAACCCAGCAAACGTAAACTAATCTCAGCCAATGCCGCACTACTTCGAATTAGCAGTATTTGTTATGCAATTGAAGCTATTAAATTGGAGCGAGAAAATTTGGAACTTTTCTACAACCTTCGACTGAAAAGAGGGATGATTTTTAGTCAAATATTAACAGTTTTGATTACTGCTGTAGTTAATCAAATTAAATCAACCAGTTTCCAGCGAAATTTAGTCAAAACAAAATCAATCTTTGTATATTTTCAATCTTTACTTAGTTGTTATGCTCAAGAAATTGGTATGTTGAACGATATGGCTGCTGCCACTTCAGAGCTCAATCAATGTACTACATTTGTTTTCATCAATTTCAAAGATTCTTCACGATCAACTCTTGATTTACCAAGAATCGAAGGAAATGGGTGAGTTGATTCATCTTTTATAAATCAATTGTAATAATGGGTAAATCATCAGAAAGCTAAATCTCTAAATCTCAATGTAAAAGTTGAATTCAAATTGTCATTGATTGAATGCATTAGCCTTGATTTTTGATTTGATAGTTGACCAGTTAACTGGTCTAATGATGCCAATCGACTCATAATGATTTTTGATGAGACTTGGAGTATGATTTTAGCCTAATGGTTTCAATTAGATTTAATCAAATATGCAACATAATTCATTTTAAGCTTCACTAGTCATGCCATGAATTTGTAATAGATCAACTTGCATTCTAATCTACCTAATTATTACAAATCTTTGTCATTAACTCTGATTAACTAATATTTTTATCGCAATATTTTTCTATTCACAGTCACAATGTTAGAGTTATCATCTCTTTAACTTCACAAATATTACCTGATTACCTTGAAGCTCAACCTAAAGCATTTCTCTTCAATATTGGTATCAATGAACAGGCAACTCTTGCAGAGACGTAAGTTGACTTATATTATGAATAATATCAATTGCGAAAATACAATGTTGGTAAATTAATCAACTAAATTTCGCAAGATTTATAATAGTTCATGTAATTAATTCTTTGTTTTTTCTCTATTAAAATCTTTATCTAGCCTTGGTCTGGTCAAATTGCAGGAGACAATTAATCAAAGCGCTTTTCATAGACTCGAAGAATACATTATTGAATTCAAAGAGAATCCAAATTTAGTTGATTTGTTAACTGCGTTAAAAATTGAACTTTGGTCTCGTCGAGCTAAAAATGTCCGTATTCTGCATTTAATGGAGCAAATTACTTATCATCTTGATGGTATTCGTTTTACAAGTTGTAAAAGTGCCAAAGATCGTACTTCAATGGCCATAACACTGGAAGAGGTGCGATTTTGCTCGCGAAAGTACAATTTCAATGAGATTGATGATTCACATCTATTCCAGCAAATGTTAGACACTTTAAGAAGGTAAATTTTGAGCAATTTATCCAATTTTAAAATGTTAAAATAATCTAATTATAATTTCTTTTTCTCTATGTTCCAACAGTGAAGGCACCAGGAGGGAAAATACTCGAAAAAATATCGGTATTGCTAAATACGCATTCAACTCTCTTAAAGCTATGACTTTACCAAAATTATATCGTCCTCCTCCAGGAACTTACAGTAATGTTCGTGATTGAACAGAATCGATCTATTCCACTATTATTATTACCTTTAATATTAACATTATTACCATTACAATTTATAACATATGATGGACAATCATCAAAAAGATACTCGCGAAAACGATTATGTCACAAATCTAGTCAATCATTGAAATTATGTTATTAGTAATACAATAGAAACAAATTTCCACTGAAATTATTGAGAATCAAAATAATCAATGTTGTCCATTTGCTTCATTGCGAACAAACAAAAAACATTTCTTTTCTCTTTTTATTTCCAATGTTACTTAATTAAATATAGAAATAAATATACATTATGTACAATTGTTACAATGTATTCCACTAATCAATTTGTCTTATTGTACAACGAAATGACTTTATGACCATTTCAACTGTTTTGGTAGTTAATTGTAAAATCTACTAGATTTAGTAAACATTTCTAATAATTGTAAACATAGAACCAATCGACATGATTCCCTATCTGCCTTAGGCAAAACAATTTCACTCAACATTTTTTTCATTAATCAATTGGTGTACATTAATAACCTTCGAGAATAATTTTCTGCCTTCAGTTTATTGATTAGCTTCTCAATGAAATACTAATTGAAAAAAATTTAACCTTATATGGCTGAGTTGGAGAAAGAAATAATTTTACACAAATCTAATGTGTATTTAATTGCTTGTTGTCAATTTTTCAATGTTGTTTTTGGCTTGATTACAATTAATCTACTGTATTATCCAGTGTATTAATAGATGAGATGGACAAAGTGAAAGTTTTGTTGAAATAATTTGATTTTTTATTGTGAGTCAATCACATAAAATGATATTTTGTATTTTACTCAGAAAGAGTTTCAGGTAAAAAAGTGTTGTTAAAAATATGGGTTTATATGATTGCAAAAGGTAATGTGAATATGTATGAAAGTCAAATTGTTCATTGATGATTTTTTGTTGTAAAAAATGTAACACATTATAAAAATAAAACTAAAATAAAACATGTAGAGATGATCATGAGGAAAGCAAATATAACTGCTCCATTGGTTATCATTGTTAGTCTGTTTGAAAGAAATACAAAAAAATCGAATTAGTGGCTTTTAATTGATAGATAATGCTTTTTAATGAGTAATTTTACGATCAAATTGACTGACCTTCTCAATCGGCCAATAGCAGCTTTCGTGTTATCGTCATCTTCATGTAAAACAAACTTCCTGATACCATAATAACCAGTATGTATATAAGATTTCCAGTCCATATTTTTCATACTCATTGGAAATAATTTCCTATCATGTTCATTAAGATGGTCCGTTAAAGCCAAATAATTTGTGTTGATGTAATGCCAGTCTTTAGTTAAAAACCATCGCACTGATTTAATTGTATTCACCATTTTGATCATAAGCGCACAAATTCTGAAAATTAAAGTTCAATTTTAGAAAAGGTCTTGTAGAACTTCAGATCAATCAGAAATGAATTATATCATGGAAGGTTAACTAAAATGAAAAGTAAACAAAACTTACTGAGGTGAGCTACCAGTGCAAATCAGAAATAAATCGGAAAAGATGGCAAAAATAATGTGTTGAAATATAATGGAGTATAAAAGTTTGAATGGTGTCTTGGGTGAAATCATTTGTCTTCCAGGCCATCGAATTGCTTTAATGCTGGGCGATTCAAAGACAACGTCTAGTGAGTATTCTAATAGTTTTCTCCAAGTAACTGAATTGTCCTCTGAAGGGACCACATTATACACCGGAACAGTGTCTACAGGCCTTTTTTGTCCAGTAAACCAGGCAGCCGTGATCATTACATTGCAAACATAATCAACTGGAGCCACCTCGATTCTGGTGTCAGGGTCCCAGGTTAAACACCTACTCAAGCCCATGACCCAAAGAAGAATCATAGCATTAAAGGCTTGCATTTTATTGGTCCAACCAGGAACCGGAGTAGCCACAGAACTGGACACTATTGGTGGTCTCACAATACAAATAGGAATATTGCTATTCTCAGCTTGGCATAAATTTTCAGACAAGGCTTTAGTTAATGTATAAGCATTTGGAAACATTTTCATGTCTTCACGTAAAAATTTATCGATAGCCTTAGCATCACCTGATTCCATGACTGATAAAAATTGTTCCGGTGTGCATGGGACTGGATAGATTTTTTCTTCAATGAGAGACTTGAAATGATAAGCTGTTGCCGTTGAAACATAAACTAAACAGGCCAGATTCGTCATTGAACGACATAATTCGAGGACATTCATGGTTCCACGGAGATTGGAATTGGCAGCTTGACTGTAAAGATGAAGCAAAAATATAGCAGTTAGTCGATCAAAAATTTAATAAGTTACATTGAAAAAAAATGACATTGAAAAAGGAGATGTTTTCGGTTTGATTAGCATAACCAATTGATATTTGATAAATGTTAACACATTGTGGTTAGCAGGTTATTAATATTGGGATAAATGTAAGTGTGATCAAAAATCAATCGAATTGAATGCTTACTCGGCTCCTTTGTAACCAGCTTCCAGTCCAACTGAAGCAGCGGAATGGAACAAAATTGAGACTTCTGCTGTTACTTTCGACAAAATATCATTTGATAGACCTAAATTTTTGGCATCAACAGCACCTTCAATGAAAACTAATTTATTCAATAGATTGGGTGTTTTAAGATTTTTAAAAATATCATAATTAAGATAACGTTCACGTCTCTGATCAAAACTAAATTCACGCTTTTTTCTTAGCAAAAGATATATAGTACCGACATCAGGACAATTGGCGAGCAAATTGTAGACCAAGCATTTCCCAATCAAACCAGTGCCACCGGTAACTAGAACTGAACGTTTTTCATAAAATTGGCACACTTCACTTTCCATGATTAAAATAATTAACACAGTAGATGAGATAAAAAATGAAATAAAACAACAGAATCACAAAAATTGAATAAAACAGATGAAAAGATGCGAGGGAAAATAAAAGTGGCGCAAAAGAAACGTTGATCAAGAAAAATAATCAAGTCCAGTTAATACTGTTGAAGATATTGATTGAAAAAAAAGCCAAGGTGTCACTAAAGAAGATACAAGAAGCTAACAGCAAGATAAATAACAACAACGACAACAGCCATGATCAACAAATTAGCAAACAATGACACAAGAGTTGAAAGAGTTGATGGATTTGAAATGGAAAATTTTAGTCCAAAGATTGTTAACATTAACAGCACAATGTTTAAAACATTACTCACTAACTCACTTTGATTCTTATCTTCATTATCATCTTTCCCTCTTTTTGTCTCACCAATTTTCACTTGTTTTCCCTTTTCTCTTAATCTTCCATTGGACATTCCCAAATCAAATCATGTCCAGTTCCCTCCCCATTCATCATCTTTCTTCCTCTTCCAATGTCAACTCTTTCAGGTCACACCAATAGTCATGTTTATCAACAATTACCAGGCAATCAAACTTGATAATCAACATATAGCAGCCCTTAAACTTGTAGCAATCAATAAAAAGCATTGAATAAATCGCTTTTTTTCTCGCTTCTCTTTTTAAGATTCAACATTTTTTTTTGATTAAATAGTAATTAACTGATCGATGAAATATATTTGAAAAAAGGAGGAAAGTATTAAATGTAATTTTGTACAAGAAGGAAACAAAAACAGCAATAGACACTGATGATTAACAATTACCGTGTTTCCCCGCATTCTAGCACCGGGCTTGCTAATGAAAATTTTCACTTTTTAAGTCATGTTGACACTCATAATTTAGCTCTGTGTCTTAAAAATGATTAAAAAAAGCAAGAATCGATAACAAAAAGATATGTATCCAATGTAATAAAAACCAGTTTTAAGTTCATTTTTAAGCCACAGTGCTAAATTATGAGTGTCAACAAAGCTTAAAAGTGAACTCACTCATTAACAAGCCCGGTGCTAGAATGCGGGGAAACACGGTAATTAACAGCCAAAAGAACAATCAAATCTATTGAAGAAACAGTGCAAATCTCACTTTTCACTTTGGTTAACCTCGTTCTCAAGGATTGCTGTCCGATTAATCATAGCCACTAATGGATTAGTAAATGGATTTGACAAGATAAGATAATCCAGATTTCTTGCTCATTACAGATTCAGTTGAAGATGCTTTGTACAGATGGATCATGATATAAATCTTTGTGGATTCCCATAGTAAAAGGTAAGTGTTTTTAAAATGTTCAAATCTCAATGATAAGCCATAAACAACGAAAAGCAAAAATAAATAAAAACAACAATTCACCGAATAACAAGGTTAATATTGTGATTAACATGTTGTTTTCTGGTCTTCTATGAATCATTGGGTTTCTCTGGTTCTTCAACCAATTTTATCATTCAATTTTCACACCAATTTGTCTTGCAAGTGTTCAATATACGATAATAATTATAGTTAAAGTAATTTCTGAACTTTCTCCTAAGGCAAGGTTTTAATGAAAGGCAAACAAAAACAGTGTTGTTTGTAAAATTGAGGGACATTTACAATCAATTTATTCATTCTCCAGGTTGATACAGATTAAAGTTACTCAAAATTCAATGTAGACCAATAATTTTAGCCGATAATTGAACTCATAAATGAACCAATGATTGAACCAATGAATAAATCATTCAACTAATGATTAAAACCAGTATTTGAATGAAAAACAAAGAGGTTGATTGTTGATCTAAACAAGAACCAAACTCAATCAGCTGTATTCACTTGGTCTTTCGGATGTTGACCTTAGTGTCTTTGTTAACCATTTATTGATCAGCCTCTTGATTTGTGCCATTTTAAACAATCAAATAATGTTAATCAAAGTACGGTTGCACCAAAAATTGAGTTAACACTTTACATTTGATCAAAATCATTTGAATTACCTTTTTTTGCTCTTTTTTTACCCATTTTTTAAGCCTCAATCAAGGCAATTTGAAGAGCAAAAAACACGAGATTTTGTGCATAAAAAGTCGTCGAAGTGGTGTTTGCTTTCAATTTTAATTAATAAACCATCTCAACAATTATTGAAATTTTAATCCGTTTTTTTCATGATAAAATGACCAAAAAAATTGATCATTTGAAAGTCGCCATAAAAAACAGGCAATCAAAGTGACGCTCAATGGATACAGTTCAATGTTGCTCAAGCATAATCTGAAAACTGAAGATTATTATTTCGACAATCAGTTTATGAACAATTACTTCCTGATTTCATCGCAATTGTCAACTTTCAATCTTATAATCATTCCAAGTTGATCTTGGGTTTCGATTTGATCAACAGACTGTCTTTTTTGGGTTAAGATTCATTCAGGATTAGCTATTTATTGAGGATCATAGACAATGTCTAATGAAATTCACCACTAATCGCAATATTAATGATTGTAAACCTTTAACCTTAACCCTTTTGGCTAAATGGCTTTTTAATGAATCCAGTTGTATTGACATTGAAAAATCATATCTGATCTTCAATATTATTTGTTTTGTTTTTGGTGTGTCAACTCTTTTTGTTAAGCATTTACGGGTTAACTCGGTTACGTTTCATTTTTCGACTCTTATTTGGCCATTTCCTTGATTACATTCCAGCTTAATATTATATTTATAAATTTAATTGTCATCAGAAAATGGTTGTTTAGGTTAACATACCATTCATTTGAATGTAGAAACATCCAGACTATTAGTGATTTGTAATTTTAAGTTAGATCAACATCATCTCATGATACAAGGTTTTACTGGTGATGATGATGATAATGATTAAAATAACGTGAAATAAGTAAACTTTCAAGTTTAAATTACATTTAAATTGACTGAAAAAAAAACAGTTGATATCTTGGTTGTTTTCAATTTGGGTAAATGGTTAAAACCAATTTTACCGAAGAAAATCAGTATAACATTAGATGGACACTAATTATTATTGGAAAAATCCTTGAGAAGAAATCACAAATGTAAAGGTTTTTAATCGATTCAGAGCTCGACGCAGATTAACATATTAATCTTGAATGATTGCCGAGTTAACACAAGTTAAAAGAGACTGAATAAATACCAATAAATTCAGGTGAATCCACTCATTGGGTTAAAGTTGACTAACACAGTAACTCATGGTAACATTAACATCTGGAGCAAATACTGGTAAACATTGTACATAGATATTAGCAAAATAATACAATGACAAGTGAACAATCAATTACTCAAATTGATTGGGAAGTGCTACTAATCTATTGGTAGCTAGTTCAACTAAAATTATAGGACTTTGATCACAGAACAAATGCTTGGTGAAAATTCAAACACATTGCCGCTAACCGCTTTTTTTGCTAACAATGTAAGACATTGTAAGACAATGCGCACTAGCTTTATTTTTGTCTATGTTTGTAAACAACTTAACCAACTTATACATTAACTTGTTGAACTTATAAGTGTTGGATCTTAACTATGGCTGCTTTAACTGTGGAGATAAAATTAGCTTTATTAGAAGCATATGTTGAAAATGGTGAATCATATGTAGCTGCAATAACTCATGTTCATGATCTTTTTGGCCATGAAAATTGCCCAAGTGAAGAAGTCATGATAGGGTAAGTAAACTTGTTATCAAGTTATATACAAGTTATGTACTTTTCTCTTGGTCACATAGGCTATCATTTTTCTTTCACTTTCCTAATCGACTTTTCGTTTTCTTTTCTTTTAGATTTATTGACTATTTTTTAAACGACGATTTGAGCCTCGATGGACTTGATGATGAGGAATACGATTCAGATAGCTCAATTGAACAGATAGTGCGTGAACCTGTTTTAAATATCGATGCTCGAGCGTTACATGGTTTACAAGATTACTTTGAAAAAAATCCTACGGCTAGCCTGCTTCAAGCGGAACTTGATATGCAAATTGATAATTGGATAGATGTAGCAAAAGAGTATTTCAAGCTGCTTCATCGATATTTTGTTCGCATTTTTCATCCATCTGTAGAGGAAGAAGCTGTTGCGAGAAAGTTTTTGGCTGATAATGTCTTACGAGCTGTCAACTCTCAAGAAATGGAAATTGAAAATGTCATCTTTGCCGATATTATTCACGTTAATTTAGATAGATATGTCTATAAAGGTTACTTTCGCTATTTTGGAGACGAGCTACCTTATTTTTCTCGTTCAAGAGTTCGCCATAATGTTGATTTGGTTGTTTATGCAGCAATCTCATTTGATTTTATAAAAATAGCCTTCATCGAGGAATCAGAAGATGGATCTTCTCTTGTTGATGTGATCAAAGAGCAATTTGGTGGTGATAAGCTTGGAGATAAAAAAGATAAGATGTGGTACATTCAAGATGGCACTGACACTTGTCAGCTAACTTCACCAGATTTACACTCTGCCTTAGCTGAAGCATTTGGTCATCGTGTAATTGGAATAAAAAATTCCAACTTTTATGGTGGAGGAATAGAGTATCCGTCAAATACATGCTTTTTATCTCCTTGTGACTTCTTTTTATGGGGTTGGTTAACTTCCAGAGTCTATGAATATGAGTCTCACACCGCTGCTGACTTGAAGCTCGCCATTGAAGAGACTGTAAAGGAGATAACTCCTGAAGCGCGACAACTAGCTATACGAACAGCTATCCGACGATTAGAGTTTATGCAACAGACCAATGGTGAACATTCGATCAATGTTTACATTTAATCACTTTTGTACCAGAAAAGAATTCTTTTCTACTATTTCTCTACTTTTCTAATATTTTCAGTACCAATAAAATTTTTGTATTTTGCGATTATCCCCATTCGATGTCACTACCTTTATTTAAAACCTACAAGATGTAAACTCATACAAATCTTTGTTTTAAACAATCTTGTCTTCGCGATTCATTCTGTGTCTTTTAAAAGTCTTACGAATTTGAACAAATGAACGAAAATAGCTTCCCTATTGTATTAAATATTTCAAGTCTTGAACAAGATTAAAATTGGTTGTATTTTGTGTTTTTTGTACAAAATAAAAAATGAAAACGTATTACAATTGGATTGATGAAACAAAAAGAACGATAACAAATATTGTAAATACTGTTTGATAAAATTTAGATTCAATTATTAGCGATTCAGAGGGTCCTTTAGTTTCACAGAATTGCTCCAATTGAATCAAATAGAGTTATCTAAATTTTGCAAAACTGTTTCATTAACATCAATCAACTCTTTCAAATGAACCAGGCGAACACTATCAGGTGCCAAAGTAATCCTCAATTGTGAAGGTAAAATTTGATCAAAAAGAGTTGAAGCTGAATGAATGATGGTTGCACCTTCGGGGTGATGATTAGATGAACTTGAAATTAAAGGTTCATCAGCAGTTAAACGGTAAACAAGGTTAATATTGAAACTTGTAGGTGAATCGAGAGAATGATTAAAGACTGGAAATAATCTGGAACCACCTCTTAACTCAACCGTTCCTAGAGACATGGATGAGCCTCCATTGGATTGCTGTTGGTAACCTTTAGCTATGGCTGATGAATAGTTGCCTGTGTAGGTTAAATGGATTGAATAGTTGCCTGGTTCAAGAAAATTTTGAAATTGAATTGCAAACAAATTGTTGGGTCGATAATGAAACGAGTTGAAAATCAATTGTTTCCGCCTGTAATTTGTGAGCAAGTTGATTGAATAAGCTGAAACAGAAGTGATGGACAATTGTGGACCAACAAGAAATAAACAGTGTTTAGTGGTTCCATTCAAAGTAAACCTTAAATCAAGTGAACCTTTAACCATTGATGATGGACTTGGAAGAAACAATAGATTGATTGAATAATGAAAAGGCTTGATGGGTGAACTTGACAATGGACTAAGGGTTGCTTCACTCTGGTCATCCATACTCAATTGGATTGACTTTTTCTCATTTCTCCATGGAAAGCCGTACAGATTTTCATTTATTAACCACTTGAGTACCGAGCTTTTCAAAGGATTGGGCCTTGTTGAAATGGTTGGACACTTTGACTCAATCAGTACGGAAGCTTCAATCTCATATTCAGTGTCTTTCAGTAAACTGTACGCCTTTTCCCGTAAATTGTCTTCTTTGATTGCAAACAATCCTCTAATCAGTGCCGTTCCCTTGATCCCATGCAGATTACCTGTGAGTAAATTGTGCAAAATTGACTCCCAATAAGTAAAGTTATTAAGAGTTGCCATTCCATAGCGAAAGACTACATTTTGCATGTAAACGGGAATATAAGCGGAACTGTCATTAATCCATGACAAGAGATAGTTTGATGCATCTTTCAAGCAATCTGGTACTTTCATTTCACATGCATCTTCAAGAAGCTCGTATCGTAAAATCCTGAAAAAAAGATTTGCTCAGAAATTAATTTTCAACTCTTTTATAGTCAGATGTTCACTTACATTTTGGCATAATCTTCATTGTATGATTTTTGAGTCATTGAAACTTTATGGTAAATTGATTCAATAAGATCGCGACGAAATTCATTCAAAAGATATCGACCTTCACCAAAAGCAGGAGCACCGAAGGGTACTTTGGATGTGGAAAGGGCCAATGAAAGAGAAGCCAGGTTTGAATAGCGTTTAATGTTTGACAGTAAGCTGAAAAAAGTGGACACTTCCATGAGTCCAAGTTCACAGAGATGGTAGCCATCTAGTAAAAGGCCGGTAAAAGTTTCACTTGTAAAGGATTCAGGTTCACTGGAAAGAGCGTCAATCAACACTAACCATTGACTGGGTGAATAGTTGACCACATAGTAGCCCTTTTTGTTTACATTGAACACAACCCAGGAACAATTGTCACATAGCTTGTAATCTTGATGGGCTTTGGTTAACCAGATTAACCCAGAAAAACCATCAGAGGTTTTATATGTTATTGGAATCAACCAAGTAACAGATGATTCATTGATAGACTTGTTGAATTTTGGGGATGAGGAAGAGGAAGATGAGTCAATATGAGGTGAGCTTCTTTCGGGATCGGTTGCATTGATGAGAGAATCGTTAGAATCTGAATTTTTTGAAGCTTCCCTGATTGATTTGTGAGCTAAAGATGACAATTGACTTAAGCGAACAGTTCCATCGTTATTCCAGACAACATTTATTATCGGACATCCAGACTGTTTAGTCCATGAATCGATAAATTCCGTCATATTGATCTATTGAGAGGGGAAAAGTTTAACATGAGAAACTTGCAAAAGAGAAGATTTTTCAAGATTAGTTTCCATCGAGTAAGGGTGAAAATTTACCTCTGAATAATATTTTCCAGCTTCTTCACTGAAATCATTGGTTTCAACATTGGAATCGGCAAATTTGGTTAAATATGATCTCATCAATTTGTTGATGTTATCCGATCCTAAAAAGTCTTCCATCATTCTCAAGATACTGCCACCCTTTTGATAGCTCAGCCAACTGAATGATTGTTTAATTTGATTGGAATGGGTGATTGGAGCAATGGTACGATTCCATGGAGTATAAATTCCTTTTAAATCATAATAAAGCGAGGTTCGATATCGATTGATCAAGAACAAGTCATCACTAGACATTTCAGGATCAACAAAGTCAACTGCTTTGGTAGCAAAATATGTCGCAAAACCTTCATTAAGCCATGTATGTTCCCACCAACGCAGTGTAACCAAATTGCCGAACCACTAATTGGAGTTTAAAAAGACAGTTAAAAATAATGGAATCCGATTCAGCATAAGGTTATAAAGTTCCCTAGGAAATACTCGGAATGAACATAAATTGTATTTTTTAGAAAAGGACTAACAATCTTTATTAAACACTGAATGAATCATTTTTAGAGATTTTCAACAATTTTGACATTTCATTAGATTAAGTTAAGAACGACTATTTACTTTTCTCGAAATTTTCATTCAAATTTGTTTCCATTCAGAGATATTCCTCGACTTGTGCAGCTTTACTTAATGCCAAGACTTTTCAATAGAACAAACTTCGGAGAAATTTGACATTTTTTGTCTTTTTGTTAACCAATTCGATGCTATTTAAACTCAAGCAATAACAAGCTTTGAGTAATGGACTATTTTTCCCATGGTCTTTTTGTACATTGCGTTCAACCTTATTTAATTTGATGCACGAATGTAAGTTAACTTTGTATTTAAAAGTGTGTCAAAAAAGGCCATTCTTTCATTTTCCAATTTGTTATTTTAATATAACCTTTTATTACCTGGAAAAGCAATTATCTTTAAATTTGCATTCATTCAGAGTGTTTCTTTGGGTTCCTTTATTAGGCTCATGATTATGGACATTTAAATATCAATAAAACAGATTCAATTTTAATTTTGCTAAAAATCAATCGCTATAAATTAAACATCATTTACAAAAGTCTATCATCAAGCCTGTTGGACGGCAAGTGCTGTTCAAATTTATTTTTCAGGAAAATGTCTTTTGTTTCAAAAAACTTACCTGATGGGCAATTTCGTGAGCTGTCGTATACAGAATCCATTCTTTATTGTAAACCTCATATTTACCGTCTTTCTGGTACAGAATACGATTGTAAAATTGTATGATGAGGCCTGAATGCTCCATTCCAAATGAAGGATAATGTGGTGCAGCAAAGATGTCTGTAAAGGTTCAGAAATGAAAAGTCTTGATGAAAAAGTTGCCTCAGACAATTTAATCCTTTTTGTGTGCTCTTGCTAAGCATATTCAAGGGTTGGATATTGCAGGTTAAAACTATCTATGGAAACTAACTCAGGCTCTGAAATCAACTGTCAACTTTCATGCATTTATCGACCTTGAACCTTGAGTTTTCTGTTGAATCTTCAATCACGTTTCTTGCATTTAGCAAGCATCATGTTTACAGATGACTTTTACAATTGACTTGAGCTCACCTAATTTTGGAAATTTGTATCCAATTCCAAGGTATTGTTGGAAAAATTCCATACACTTAACTGCAATTGATAAGGCATAATCAGTTTTGTTTGCGTCTTCTTTCAATGTTATTATTCCTAACTGTAAGATAATGGCGATGATGAAAAGAAAAGTAAAGAAAATGAAAAAAAGATATTGAATTTTTCCGCCACATGAAGTACATATTTTTATCTTCTTTCCTTACCTCAACTCCTTGTGAAGTTGAAGCCACAGACCGGTGGCAATCACAAACAACAAGGGCAACAAGATAGGTTGTCATGAGTGGTGATTCTTGAAACTCTGAAATGTGCCAATTATTTCCATTATCATCAGTTTTACCATCAAACTTTTTGATACTTTCCAATGGCATATTGGAATAGGCTGTTAACGATGAATTGTGTTTAACGCTTATTTTAAAGTGAGCCTTCATATCGGGCTCATCGAAACAAGGGAAAGCTTTACGAGCATGAATTGGCTCAAATTTGGTCATATAAGTGTATCTATAGACATAAACGAAACACCAGAAAATTATTCCAACTATCTTATAATAAATATAACCATCTGATGACCAGATTCTGGTAAGAAAATGACTGTGATTGTCCTTTTGATTTCAATGTTTTTATGGAAAAGAAGTGAACAGTCGAAACAATAATTACCTGGGTGTTGGAGTTGTTGACTGGTGAATGAGAAACCCAAAAGTTTGAAAAGTACCTTTGAATTGTATGAACATTGTGATGAGTCGATTATCCGTTACATTGGATTGAGTCTCGATTGCATAAATGTTTGACTTGTCAAGCCAGCTTTTGGAGACAATGATTTCCTCATTGGTATCTTGATAGTTGAGGGAAAGTGAAGTTATGTTGAGCGTGTTGACTTGAATGGCAAGGGATCGAGTCGATGACAGCACAATGAAGGAGACTCGCACTGTTCCTGAAAAGGTTTCAATTCCTTCTGAAAGATCCCAGTAAATTTGATAACGAAAAGGTTTGAAAAGAGAGGAAGAAAGGCGAACATAAGGTTCAACTAAAGGTGACTCTCGACTTGTAAATCGCAATGACATGTTGGACAGACGAGATGATCGAAGAGATTTATTAACAAAATTACGCTTATCCAAGGCTTCTTCGTCGAGATAATCCTCATCTAAATCATCGTTAAAGGTAACCTCCGATTGAAGGGTTGAACTCATAAAATTGAGAACAACTAAAAGGCACAAAAAAATTGTTACATTACACAGGTTGACACTGGAAAGTCGCATGATTGCGAAGTAAATTCAGATCACTTGAGCGGCAAAAAAGGTCGATGTTTACAGTTGAAGGTCAATGTCAGTTGACCAGGACAAAGTGAACAAACTGTCACTTTGAATTCGGCAAAAATGTAAATCAATTTGGGTTAACATCTAATGAAAGGTGGGAGTGAAAAAAGTTGTCACAATCGTGATGGACCATCAAGATACATAAGGCAGGAAAAGACAAGAAAATGTTTGCTTCTCAACTAGATGATGTTCATGTTTCAGGAATAAGTGTGAGATGGTCGTTAGTATCGACGAAAAGACTAATAATAAAAACTGTTGAGTAAAATTGACTACCAACTTGATGTCAGATTACTTTACTTCATCTTTCATCTGATTAACTTCAATTGGGTTTGATTAAGATTGATCATCAAAAAGTGCTAAAAGAGAGGAAAAGAGAATCAAAGAGAAATAAGTTTTACCTAATTATTATTATCATTATTACTTATTATTGATATTATTTATCTTTTAATTTTCAATAATTTTTACCACTATTATCACTTTATTTAATATTAAACATCGTCTTTAATCTTTCCCTTCAAAAGGATATTCGTATTTGCCTTGAGAGAGAAACAAGACGAAATGAAGAAATGGGAAAAGATGAGAAACAAAATTTGAACAATCATGAAGTCAATCGAATCACATGAACAGTGAATGCATCTGGGAATCTCCTTAACCAAGAACAATCTTCCGCATTTGCAAGAGCTCTGCCGATGCCCAGTAAAAGCATCCATTGAAAGATTCAAGATCAAAAGTTAACATTGCCAATGCACCATATTAGATGGTTGTAACCAGTTTCATTGTAATTGCTAAATTTGATCCAATTTAAGTTGAATCTACCATTAATTACCAATCTAGAGTATAGCACATGTTTCAACAATTTAACGATTCTTTTGCTGATTTTTGCATCATCGACTTATCTCCCATAAGAAGCCGATCCATGTGATTGTGGATACACTTACGACATTAGGCTTACACAATTTAATTGTTTCACACCGTAATAATTGCAATCGGCCTGAACTGTACAGTTGAAGATGGATGCAGTTAGGCAAAAAATTTATTGCAATTAGTTCCATTTTTACTCTTGACTTTGCCATTGTTGATGATTGCATTCAATAAAATTGACCGATTTTTGTGCGACTTACATTTTTGACTTACAAAGTGCGATTTTTGATTTTTGTTAGATGATTTGAAGATTTAATAATTTTGTGGAAAACGAAACTTATATGATTTGATTGATATGCTATGATTTTTAAGACTGGAGGATATTAAAATCTCTGCAATAATTATGAGGATTACATGTAAACACTAGAAGGAGACTAAAAACAAAAGATACTTTAACCAGGTACTCGAATGTAATCACACTTTGAATCACCCTTCTACTGAAAGTAACAGTTTGGGTGAAAAGATTGTGCATTCGTCTGTCTTGTAGTTCACAAGTACTTGTGAAGCCCAAAAAACAGGAAAATATCGCGAGGCTCGGAGCTTAACACTTGTCCGACTTTGACTCTCACTCTGATCACGATACAATGTAAAATAGTTGTGTAGTTGTAATGCAATATAAACATTGCTACTAAAAAGACATAATGAGCACAATTGTTCCATTTATTGCACAAATTTACACAAATGCTTAAAGAAAATGGACAAGAACTAGTGCACATTGATTTCTTGCAAATTTGAACTCTGTTGGCTTGTAGGGACAGAAACACTGATTCTATTGGCACCATTAAAAAGTTCCTACGATCAACAGTTTTCGAGAAAATCGAGTCCAAAGTTAAAACTTCGATCGCCGTTTGTACCATTATGGAAGAAGGTTTTTGCATGAAACACATTTTCCTGATACAATAATGTGATACATAATCAGAAAATGCATTTACTTTGAGGAATAAAGTTTTCTGTCCAAAATAAAAGCGATAACTTCGATTTTAAGTTAAACTGACCTTTTTCTGTAACCGTAAGTTTTAGAGAACTGAAACTTATTATGAGTCGATAAAAGTTGTCGGCAAAGATCAAAAATCTAATACTTTTGGGAATTTCTCAATAGTTCTCTCGATTTTGGCCATTGGCCTTAAAACTTTGAGCCTCGATATTTGGAGAATAGTAGCATCCACAATCGTCATTGTTTGACCAAACATTACCTCTCGTTATGGGGTATAACTTGATATGACTGAAAACCGAAGAAATCTGATCCAATTCATTTAATTTATAATATTATCTAAGTAACCATTTACCTTCTTCAACCAAGTTCCAAATCTGACAACCTAAGTAATGCAATGTTATAACTTTTTTTGCAGGATCTTGAATTATCTTAAATTTGAGTATATTATAGTGAATAATGAAATCTAACGTTTGATTAAAGAATGATGATTGTGGGTGATACACTTCTCGAAATATTGAGGTTCAAAGTTTTAAGGCCAATGGCCAAAATCGAGAGAACTATTGAGAAAGTGAAAAAGGTATTCAATTCATGATATGTACAATTAACTTTTATGCACAAATAATAAGTTTCAGGTTGCTAAAACTTACGGCTACAGAAAAAGGTCAGTTTAACTTAAAATCGAAGTTATCGCTTTTATTTTGGACAGAAAATTCTATTCCTCAAAATAAGTGCATTTTCTGGTTACGTATCATATTATTGTATCAGGGAAATAAGTTATATCAAAAAATCAGCTTCCATAATTGTACAAACGGCGATCGAAGTTCCAACTTTGGACTCGATTTTCTCGAAAACTGTTCATCGTAGGAACTTTTTATTAGTACCAATGGACTCAGTTTTTATGCACATACAAACCCAGCAAGTCTCAAATCTTAACTTAAATGTTCGAGCTTTTGACAGTACTTTTTGTAAGTTAAACCAGAAAATTGGTTTATTTATTAAGATTTGGGTTGAGATGAGTTTGCTTTGTTGAATAAGTTGTTTCTGGTACATCAATCACGTAAAAGCCAAGCATCACAACCAAAATGCGATGATATAAAGCAAGTGATCTTGAAGTGGGTCTTTATCGATCAATGATTTAATTTGTATATCCAAATAGACCTAATTTACACAAGCTTTGTAAGACCATAAACATTAGAAAAGCTTGAGTTGCTTTCTTGCCGCTTTAGCATATCGACTCTGTTTTTATGTCCCTACAAACCAACAGAGTCTAAGTTTTGAAGCAATCTATTTTCACCCGCTTTTGTCCATTTGTTCATAAATGTTTATACTATATTTGCGTATGTACCCTCTAATAGCAACAACCGTAAAATAGTGCAGAAATTTTCTAGTGACCAACATCGGTGTGAAATGAGTCTCCAATGCTTGTTAAAATATCAATGTTTCAAACATTTCATTTGGACTCTCAGTATACTTTTTACATTCAGAAGTCAGCCTAAAAAAGGTTGCCGATGTTTTTTGGCGTTTGCTTTAAGTTGATAACTGTAAATTTTGTGGATAAGCTAATTGTGATCAATGAAGCATTGAAACATTGAAAATTAGTTTGACAAGTTCAAACATGAGAACCATGGCTTAACATGGTTAAAGGTGTTGAAAAAGAAGAGGAAGAAGTGAAAAAGGTGAAAAAGAAATGCAACTAATTTGATTCAACATTACAATTATTGTCAACAAGCCGATGATTACAGTTTATAATGAATCTCTTTTTTCATTTTGTATTTTATTGGTGATTTTCTCAATTAATGTCTTGTTAACATTGTTAAACTGTTGGTCAACATCGTTTAAGGTGTCAACTTATTGTGTTACAACTATTAATTTTGTCGAGTATAAAAGGTTAATACGATCACTGGGAACTGGATCAGTTTCAATTCATTTGATCATCTTATAAGGTGATCAATCTTGAGAACGACAAAGTTACACTTTAAATCTTCATTCATTTGTTACCAAATTATTATTACATTTTTACGAGCAAACTTATTCTTTGAATCAACATGAGGATCACACTCGTGATTGCTTTGGTTACGCTTTACATTGTGGCTGTTACCTCTCATCGTCATCATCATCATTGTTGCAAGAAAAATGTTCATCACCACCATAAACATGAAGGAAAGAAGGTTCACCACCATCATGGACACCATCACGGTCACCATCATGTAAGTCATTCAAGACAATTTACTAAAAATTATTACAATTTACTCTCTAACAGCATGAAGTAATAAACTGATAACATCGATGTGACGCACGATTTATAGCTCAGACTATCAAGATTTATTGTTTTAAATTGTATCATTGTTCATCAAGTTGAACAAGGACTGATTTGGCAAGCTTCAATCTTGAGATTTCTAGTGATATTTACCAGACTTTCTGATCTCTATTCACTTATTTCACTGACAGGGTCACAAACACGGACATCATCATGGTCATAAGCACTCTCATGGCCATGGTCACGGCCACAATAGCTGGGGAGGCTGGGGTGGTTGGGGAGGCCACACTGGACACTCTGGATGGGGAGGCTGGGGTGGTCATGCTGCTTTGTCTCATGTAAGTCTAATAAACTAGTCTAGTCTCATTTAGTTTCAATCGACATGCATTTTGATTTTAATATCGATTTTGCTCTTTTATAAAACAGGGTTGGAATGGTGGATGGGGATGGGGTCATCATGGACACCAAGGACATCATGGACATCATGGCTGGGGTCATGTAAGTTAATACTTTATTTGACAATAACTAAACCCATTCCTTGCCATTTTTAATTTCATTTTTTATTTGCTCTTCGACTTGATAGGGTCATGGCTGGGGATGGTGGTAAAAAGGGTCACAATAATTCACAGTTTGAATTCTTGAGAGATCAAAAGTCCTATTGCCAAAAGCCAAGTTAAAACGGAAAACCTAATCGACCAAATCAAGCTAAAAGCTAAATGTTAAGCTTTACACTTTCGTATTCAGTCTTTTACAAATTGAGCTTTTCTAAAAGTATCCTTCGAGTATTTAACTATTTATTCAGATGTACAGATGTTGAAATCTTTCATTCAGCTTGAACACTTTATTGTAACTGTAATTGTTGTATCATTGGATCAAAGTTATTTGTAATTAAGATTCGAGGCTGAGTATCTTAATTATGAATAAATGACGTAAAGTGGTATAATTTTTTTGTAAAACGCAAATTGTATATGACTTGTACATAATACTTATGTTAAACTTATAAAATGTATATATTTTTCATTCAAATTGTTTTTATATTACAACTCTTATTTTATCCATTGGCATTACTGTATTCTGAATCTAATAATGAAGCTAATGTCCCATAAGTGAAGGTTTCTGACCAAAAGTCGAAGACAGTTAATCTTACTATTCCGAAAAGAGATGAATTCAGGGTAAATTGTACATTCATCTAATGCCTTGAATGTTTCGGTTAAGACTGGATCGTAGTGAAAGTCTATTAAAGAACCCCGCTTATTAACATGCCATTATTAAGTGGAGTTTTAACTTTTACTGAATTCCATGCTTGTCTACATTTGATTATTGTTGACTCTAATGGATTTATCGTTATAATGGTTAAATAAAACTAAATACGAGTCCCTAAAATTGTCCGGTAAATGATTCAAGCACATCATTTAACATTTCATTCTAGCCAATTTTGATGCAAAAATAACTAACTATACCTATTTCTTAAATGTTTTCTCACTCAAAAAGTAGTTCTTGACTATTTACTGAATAAGCTACTCGCTTTAAAGTAAAACCTCGCCCAGGTTGTACATGAAAAATTTCATTTTAAAGCGCCGCGCTATAATTCAAGTCGATTTACTACAGATTTTTCTTGCAAATATGCAAATCATTTGAAATAAATAAATTTCATGCAAGTTTTTAAGAGTTTTTATGAATAAATTTATTATTTAATATTTTGAGAGCATTAAACATCAAACATGTAGTATTATAAAGTGCCATTAGCCAATGTGTAGAAGTTGAAGAAACGGAAACTCCACGAACACAATATTTCTGACGAGTTTGAGCAAATTTCAGATCTCAGATCAATAGACAAGAGATTACATTTCTCAACTGAGCTTTAGTTTTTAACGTCTCTGCACTTATAACGGGCAAAACACTTTATTTAAAACGTGTTATCATTTTGGTCATTCCAGTCAATGCGAGGCTTATGGTCATTGTGATGAAACACTTGAGATTGATGATGATAATATGATGTTTCCTGCTGTTCATTGTGTTCATTGTTTTGTCCACTTATAGTTACTCCAGGAAAAGTAACGATTGAAGGTGGCTCATCGTCATGTGGAGATGGAAGAATATCAGCTGAGATTCTGATCGGTGGAAGTTTAAATCGAGGTAAGGCAAAAGAAAAGGGCTGAAGATTGATTCGGAAATTCAAGTGAATTTCACTTCTCACACACAGTAATAAAGCCGATAAAGCCCAGATGCAGATATGGTGAAGCTATCAACGAGAAAAAAGTTATTACATTGTATTAATTAGGGATTAAATTAAACTTTGGTCAACTTACCTTCATTAGTTTATCAATAGCAAAATGTTGACAGTTCGCCAAGATAATTGATCACTCCGAAAACATGACTAGTCAAATGAATGATATTCAGAACACTAAAAACTGATACAAGACTGCGATTAAGTCATTCGATGCAAACTGTTGACTGTTATGATTGTCTCCTTCATTAATCATGATTGAATGATCGTTTACAAACCGAACTTATTTAGCTTGTTTTACTTCATTTTAGATATTATTTAAGTATCTGAATTTTACTGTTCAAAAATCATCAAAAAGTCATAAAATGTTGATATTTTATCGCTCTCTTTCTCTACTTTAGATTAAACGAAGATTGTTTGATTTATTTCCTTAATTAAATATCTCAATAATGAAATTATAATCAGGATAAGACAGAAATCAAGGGAAATCGAAATTGAAAAATCTATCGGTAAGGAATGTTCAATATTCTTATAAATAAATGTTTGTAATTCTAGGAAAATAGCGATAAATAACCATCCTAAAGGCAGAAACTGTCTTCAAGGCTCGGATTCTTAAAAAATCAACTAATTTAATTTGCTTGTCGTTTTTGAAGATTCATAACACACTAACTTGCATACATTTAAATAATTTTTAGAGAAAATAGCTTTTTTATCAAGAGAAAGTTTATTCCATGACATATGTAATTGAAGATTGTGTGATTGATTAAACCACTGACAAATTGAATTAGACACTATCAAGTGTAATACAGTGAGCCAATAGTGTCCATGCAGAATAAAAGTTGACCATTCCAGAAAATCTAGAATAGAGAATAAAAAATAAAAATTAGCATCTTTAAACTAGTTAAAGGTGATGTAGATATTGAATGAAAAAATCAGGTGAAGAAATTGGTTTATGTCATGGTGGTAAACGGCGGAATTTTTTTAAAATTCTTATTCATAATGTCTTTATCATCATTCTGACATGGAAGATGGGAAAAGATTAAGAGACTTACAAAGTTCTTTCACCATGCACCAGATTGCCTGTTCTTGAAATCTCATGTAATTTCCAGCATATCAAAAAACGGGTTTTACCAGCCAAAAACTTTGCTGTAAGTTTCTGTTGTAAAGAAAAGGAAAAGGTAAGAAAATTAGTCTTCACAAAGATTAGATTTGTTTGATGATCCAGCAATGATCAGAAATTCTAGAGCGAAAATCATTAAATCATTGGAATTTTGTATTTTGCATCACCAAAGTAAAAACATATTCATTGTTATAAAACTTACTTTTCAGCTTCTTGCTCTTGAACGTTAGAACAAAATTCCTTCGACCAGCCATGGCCAATTTACACAAGGAAAACTCTGAAAAAACAATACAAAAATATTAGAATAGGCAATCATCAAGTTTAAACAATTATGATATTACTATTTCAGATAGGGGCGAAATTAGTCGATCATAATTTTCAGCTGAACTAAGTAATCATCATTTAAAATTAACTATAGATTACAATTCAATTGAAACTGGATTATAACTTACTGTTGCTTTTAAATCATATCTAGCATAAAATGTCATAGAAGACGAGAATTTGACATAGCCAATCAAACAATAGCTCAACAGTGTGAATCCAGCCAAGTAAATATCCTGCAATGAAAAATATGCTCCAATTAATGACAGAAAAAAATACAATGATATCGTCTTAAGAAGTTTAAATATCAGACTTGGGTTGGTATAAATATCCTCACGGTTGAACTTGAGAGATCAGAGTGGTGCATGTATATCTCATCATAAAATATGTTTAAATGAAATGGATTGAACAAATTCAAGAATCTTACCTATTCATGAATTGGGTTCATGTGGCAGTTTTAACCACGTGTGCCAGCCAAAAACCACATAGATTTCTATAGAGAATAAGAAAGTACAAAAATTATTTCAGTTCATAATATAAAGACAATTGATTGCAATTTTGTACATCAGATCAACTTGTTAGGAAGAAATCATGAAATCATTACTGTGGTGAATTTTTCATCATTCATTAAAATTACATTTAAATATAAATAGACTTACCTAGTTGACAGTTAGGGCTAGCCAGGCAGTTTTGGAATCATTCAACAAAACCAATAAACACACAAGAAATTTACATCTCCATTTAAAATTAAACGAACGTAAAATCGTAAGCATAGTTGTTTAAGGCCTGAATAATGATGAAAAGAAAAACAGTTAACAAGGGTATATTTCAAGTCACAAAGTTTTGTGAAATTTAAAGTCAGGTGAAGAAATTGGTTTATATCATGGTGGTAAACGGCGGAATTTTTTTAAAATTCTTATTCATAATGTCTTTATCATCATTCAATTTGAATATCCCCTAAAAGAATAATGCCTTTAAAACTTACATATTCATTCAAAACAATGCTTCCAGTACAGCTAAAGATAACGAAGGTTGTGAGCCATATCTGTAACGAAGCAAAAGAATTGAATATTAGTATGGAAAGAAATGAACAAGCAAAAGTATTAATGGGCAATTTCAGCGTCGAAGTTAAATAATCAGTAATTTGCTCTTTATTTAAGAAGCAATCATATGTCCCTAACATAGTATCATCATTCTTGTTGTTAGCATAGAGCAATGGGTTAAATTTTACCTTTTTGGTACTATTACACAGCTCCTTCATTCGACATGTTCTATGAATAATGGTAATTGGACTCTGAAAATAAAAAAAAGTCAAATTAGATATCTGAATATATCCTTAAAGAACTGATATTATGTGATAAAAAAATCAGAAACTAATTATAATCATAAAATCAGAGATCTTGGTGATTTAGTTATTGAATTGACATCATGTTTTAAAATTCAGTTTTAATTAATGATCCATTCTTCAAAACTTACCTTTTGAATCAACTAGAAGTGACCTCGTTTAGACCTTCTTGAATTTCAAGTATGCTTCTGTTATAAAATAAAGAGGTAGGAAAATTAGTATACAAATTGAAAATAAGATTTGTTTCATGATCAAGTAATAATCAGAAATTCTAGAGCGAAAAATCATTAAATCATAGGAATTTTGTATTTTGCATCACCAAAGTAAAAACATATTCATTGTTATAAAACTTACTATTCAACTACAAACTTCTTGCTCTTGAACGTTAGAACAAACTCCCTTTGGCGATTCACGGCCAATTTACACAAGGAAAACTATAACGAATCAATATAAAAATATTAGAATAGGCAATTCATCAAGTTTAAATAAATATGAAATTACTATTTCAGATAGGGGCGAAATTAGTCGATCATAATTTTCAGCTGAACTAAGTAATCATCATTCAAAATTAACCAGTTCAATTAGATTGCCATTCAATTAAAAAATTAAACTTACTGTTGTTCTTATGTCGCAGTATAAAATGTCATAGAAGACGGTAAGTTAACAGAGCCATTCGCATAAAGAGTGAACAATATTAATCCTTGCAATTAAATACCCTGTAAAGAAGATGAAACAATAAGTAACAAAGAACAAATACGGTGATATTGTCGCACGTTTAAATATCAGAATTGGGTTGGTTTAAGCATCTTTACGATTAATTTTGAGAGTTCAGTTCTTACGTAAATCTAAATGATTGCAATAGTAATAACTTTTACCGGTACTAGTAGATTGTGTGATTGAATAAATCACTGACAAATTGTATCTGACACTAGCATATGAATAAGCCAATCAGTATGAAGTGAAATACAATTAAGAGGAAAGGAACTGAGGAAGGAGCAAAATGATAAAGTAGTATACAAATTATGGTGTTACTTTTTTGTCATATTAAAGGCTCTTGCCTTACCGTTTGCTTGGTCACTCAATATGATACAATTTAAGATGGACACAGAGATGAATAAAAAGATCAGGATCGAAAAAAGAGAGAGAGAATAAGCTAGGTAGTTATTAAATAAACAAAAAAAGAAAAAAGACTTTATTCGCTGTTCTCGGCTCTTATTGATATCCAAAATTCAACTGAACATGGTAAAAACGTAACTAACTTGAGCTTGCTTTTAGTTGAGTCAGTGAGAATCCAATTTCAAAAGGTAGACCAAATTTGATGATTTTTAGTTTTATTGTATCTCGAAAAAGTAACGAGTCTTCACCTCTCCAGATTGAGTTCAAAGACTAACTTAGTTTCAAAAATGAACTGGATTCTAGAGGAATGAAGATTCGTGTGTTCAAGATATGGTTCAAAAATGAGAAACAATAATGAGTTAATCATTAAAAAGTGGCGATCCGTCCAATGAAGCCTCGGTGGTGCCAAAAGTTAGATAAAAATCAATGGTCATAACCTAATAATGTTTACAGACGAAACACTCAACTAGCAACTCCAAAATTATATAAACAATAAATGGACAAAGATAATAATATATGTATGTTGTAACTTACCAATTCGTCATACTGTTTGGCCTTTGCCTGAATAGTATCCATGCTGAATAAAAGTTGGCTGTTGCAGCAAATCTTTAAAATAGAAAATACAAAAAATTAGCCTCTTGCAACTATTTAAAGGTAATGTAGATATTGAATGAAAAAATCAGGTGAAGAAATTGGTTTATATCATGGTGGTAAACGGCGGAATTTTTTAAAATTCTTATTCATAATGTCTTTATCATCATTCTGACATGGAAGATGGGATAAGATTAAATGACTTACAAAATTTGTTAACCGTGGATCAGATAAGTGTTTCTGAATTTATTGACTTTACATCCATCTCACTGCGGTTAGTACTCTCGATAATACCAGGGAGACTTTTTTCGTGATGGATTTTTTTGCCTTCAGTTCGATTTCTTCTTTGCAATTTAACTTTCAATCAAATACTCTGTAATAAAAGAAGATGAACCAATAAGTAACAAAGCAAAAATACAATGATATCGTCTTAGGAAGTTAAATATCAGACTTGGGTTGGTATAAATATCTTCACGGTTGAACTTGAGAGATCAGAGTGGTGCATGGTATAGATTTATCATCTTAAAATATTTATAATTGCATTAGCCTAAAGTTCAAGAATCTTACCTATTCATGAATTGGATTCATGTGGTAGTTTCAAACACGTGTCCGAGCCAAAAACCTTGCTTTCTATAGAAAACAAGAAAGCATATAAATTATTACTTCAGTCCATAATATAAAAGACAATTGATTAGCAATTTTGCAAATCAGATCAACTTGTTAAGAAAGAAATCACGGAATCATTACTTGTGGTGAATTTTTCATCATTCATCATATTTATATAAAATATAAGTAGACTAACCCAGCCATGCAGTTTTGGGATTGTTTACTAAAACAAATAAAATTTTCATCTTCTTTTCAGATAGAAACGAACGGCATAGGTAACGATGGTTGGTTGAGATCTGTACAATGATGAAAAGAAAACAATTAGCAAGGGAATAATTCAAGTCACAAAGTCTTGTGAAATTTAAAGTCAGGTGAAGAAATTGGTTTATATCATGGTGGTAAACGGCGGAATTTTTTTAAAATTCTTATTCATAATGTCTTTATCATCATTCAATTTGAATATCCCCTAAAAGAATAATGCCTTTAAAACTTACATATTCATTCAAAACAATGCTTCCAGTACAGCTAAAGATAACGAAGGTTGTGAGCCATATCTGTAACGAAGCAAAAGAATTGAATATTAGTATGGAAAGAAATGAACAAGCAAAAGTATTAATGGGCAATTTCAGCGTCGAAGTTAAATAATCAGTAATTTGCTCTTTATTTAAGAAGCAATCATATGTCCCTAACATAGTATCATCATTCTTGTTGTTAGCATAGAGCAATGGGTTAAATTTTACCTTTTTGGTACTATTACACAGCTCCTTCATTCGACATGTTCTATGAATAATGGTAATTGGACTCTGAAAATAAAAAAAAGTCAAATTAGATATCTGAATATATCCTTAAAGAACTGATATTATGTGATAAAAAAATCAGAAACTAATTATAATCATAAAATCAGAGATCTTGGTGATTTAGTTATTGAATTGACATCATGTTTTAAAATTCAGTTTTAATTAATGATCCATTCTTCAAAACTTACCTTTTGAATCAACTAGAAGTGACCTCGTTAAGACCTTCTTGAATTTAATGTATGTTGCTGTTATAAAGTGAAGGAAAGGTAGAAAAATTAGTATTCACGTTAAAAATTAGATTCGTTTGATGATCCAGCAATGATCAGAAATTCTAGAGCGAAAATCATTAAATCATTGGAATTTTGTATTTTGCATCACCAAAGTAAAAACATATTCATTGTTATAAAACTTACTTTTCAGCTTCTTGCTCTTGAACGTTAGAACAAAATTCCTTCGACCAGCCATGGCCAATTTACACAAGGAAAACTCTGAAAAAACAATACAAAAATATTAGAATAGGCAATCATCAAGTTTAAACAATTATGATATTACTATTTCAGATAGGGGCGAAATTAGTCGATCATAATTTTCAGCTGAACTAAGTAATCATCATTTGAAATGCACCATAGCTTACAATCCGATTGAAATTGAATTATAACTTACTGTTGCTCTTATATCCGTCTAGAATGACATAGAAGACGGTAAGTTAACAAAGTCATTCAAATAATGGGTAAAAAATATAAATCCATCCAAGTAAATATCCTGTAATGAAAAATATGCTCCAATTAGTCACAGAACAAATAAAGTGATATCGTCTTAGGAAGTTAAATATCAGACTTAGGTTGGTATAAATATCATCACGGTTGAACTTGAGAGATCAGAGTGGTGCATGGTATAGATTTATCATCATAAAATATTTATAATTGAATCAAATAAAATTCAAGAATCTTACCTATTCAGGAATTGGGTTCATGTGGCAGTTTTCACCACGTGTGCCAGCCAAAAACCACATGGATTTCTATAGAGAATAAGAACGCATACAAATTATTACTTCAGTTCATAATATAAAAGACAATTGATTAGCAATTTTGTACATCAGATCAACTTGTTAGGAAGAAATCATGAAATCATTACTGTGGTGAATTTTTCATCATTGATCAAAATTACATTTAAATGTAAATAGACTTACCTAGTGGAGCTGTAGTGCTAGCCGGGCAGTTTTGGGATTGTTTACCAAATTACCGAAAGTAGTTGTTGTTTAAGGCTAACAATCATAATTATGAATAGCATTTACAAGAACTTGAAGATTAAATTGTCGACAGCGAAAATAGCCATAGCGTGAAGGAATATGGAAAACGTGTAAAAATCCACAGAAACATCATTTACCGGAAATATGAAACGAGATGATAATGGTAATTGACTAACACCAAGGGCTTGTGTTACTTTTCACATTGCTGGTGTAAAAATAGTGATAACTCCACGCGGGACTGAAATACCCGTGATCATCTAAAATAGAAAATAATTAAATTATTCATCACGATCATAAACTTAGCGCGTGGATAAATCGTTGAGTTGGATTTTAAAGGGTTGACTAACGTTTCCAATAAATAAGCAGAATCAGTAATCAATTAATTACAATGAGATAAACATAAAAGCCAGAGTTAAAGATGAAATAACTAACAAAATGAACAGGATGAATTAAGAAACTGTTAAACTAAAAAATTCAAAGTATGAGAAGTACATTAACCATGATCAATCACATTGAATAGAACATGGATGATTTGGATTGCTTTAAATACAAAATAAAATACAGTAACGGAAACAAGAAAAAGAGGGAAATGGGTGCACACCTGCCATCTCACGGATAAACCTAGAGTTAAGTTAATTTCTAGTTCAACATTCACAGTCAAATAATGTTGAAAGTATAACATTCAATTCGTGAGTTTACAATTTAAACCGAAGTTAAACAATTGCATTATTAAAATATCAAATTGAACGAAAGGATAGCAAATTCAAGATCAAATCAAAGTAATGAATAGATCTTACAAAATGGAATGGAAAGATCAAGCTCAAAGCAATTTTTTCTAAATAGTCAATCCTAAATAATAAATTTGAAATGATGAGCATTGAATAGACCAACTGATAAAATAGAGCTAACAAACTTCATAAATAAAGGAAAATTGATTTAAATAGTAATTATGTTGTCAAAATATGTTAAAAACTAACGTATAACAAACAGAAATGGACCGCTCTAATATTGTTGCTAATTGTAACCCAAAGAGGGAAGATAATCACTCTAAATAATATGGAGCTTACAAAATTAGACAACGTTTAATAAAATATTGTAAAGATATTGTTGAAAGGTCTTATTGAAAATGCAAAGGGCAATTAAATTGTCAAATTTCAAGTTCACAAGGACTAATTTCTAGCTAATATAAGTAGATCAACCCAATAAAGCTAACAATCAATATTTGAATCGTCAGTGGTGTGTAAATCATAGTTTCATTAATAATTTGAACAATGTTTTTCACGATACTCTCCAGTCTTGATTTTTGTTTAATTTCATCGCTCTTCTTCAATTTTTATTGCATCAAAGCTCATATTGATCAGCCAAAAGTGAAGCCTAATTTTTTAGGAAGCCAACAACAATCTATGGATTCAATGAGTTCTGGTAAGGAATGGATTGGAGTTAGTGAATCTAATGGATTACGGTTTATGGATAAACAAAATCAAACCAACCAAAAAGTAACCTCATATTTTTTATCCTTGTTTGACCAACAATTGAAAAACCAAAGAATCAAATCAACCAACGATCACTTACAAGCGGAACTCGGACTAAAAACGAAGGTTCGTATTCTCACAAACGGAAAACTCGCCCCACAAAAATCACAATAAACTCAGCTAACCTAGAATTGTATACATTATCTTGTCTGAAAATGTGCTTTTCTTTTAAATCATTTTTTTTATTTTTCTTTTTGTTATGATTATAATTAATATAAACCAGCTCAGAATATGTATCATTCTACCTTTGATAATGAAACTGTTTTTACAAAACTCTCTCACTAAATTTAATATATCGTCTTTCTCACTATATCGTTATTGATCAATAAAGGATAATAAATAATCAGTTATTAATTTGATTTTGACCATAAAATGTATCTCTATTTCTGTTGGTTAAAAAAACATTCCAAACTCTTGCAATCTTATAAAGATTATGTTAGATCCGAATTAACCCGACGTCAAAACAAAGAATCGGTTTAAAATTTTTTAAACATTTTAAATTTACCTAAAATTCTTAATTTGCTGAAATCACAAACTCCTCAGTTTCAGCCATGAGCATCTGTTATTAGATATGAAAAATTGAATGAAAATCCTTTAGCTCCTATCAATTTCATTGAAGTAGAAACATTCTGAAATCGTGGGAAAATAGAGCATCATTGATTATGAAATTGTCGTATGAATCATAATCACGATATGATATGAAATTATTATCATAATTGTTCAACCATAATAGGACGAATTTGAATCAGTTTATGGGTCAGAGGGCAAAAAAACTGAATATAGATTAATGCAATCTCTTAACAATTTAAAATTGTTTGTGAAAAAAAAGTGACTTTGAAAACTAACAATAAATCATAGTCATTCCATGAAATTAGTCAAGTTATATAATTTTTGAAAATAGAAAAAATTTCACTACCGATAATCAGGTGATTTTGATCTTTAACACAAATGAAGGTCGTGATGATATATTTTTTACCTGGGTTAATAATTGTTTAAAGGCTGACTTAAGTTGCAGAATTATCCTTTTTCCTATCTTCTTTCCAGAAAGAATATTGTCAGCATCACCGAATTAGATGGTCATCAACGATGGTCAGCAGTATTATAGTCATCAATTATTTATATTTTTTTTTATTTTTTTGGGATAAACTTGGGATGTTGCATGTGGATTAAACGTTAATTTAACTTAAATTAGGTTTATTTTCCTAGTCCTATTTTCTTGGCTTCAATTTCATAAATTAACAATCTCCACATTTTGACCACAAACACTTCTGCTTCATCGTCTAAAACCATGGCAACGTCGTCCAATATACTCTGCGCTGATGTCTTGGCTTGAAGTTTACTGCAAATAAAGTCCAATAAAGCTTGCTCTTCCTCACCAATATATTCAGTAATTTTCTTGTTGACCCATGGACGAATCCGTTTCTCCATTAGATTGGCATCCACCAGGGACCAATCAATTGTGTATTTGAATAGATCTTCTTTAGTAGTTGGAATTTTTTCGATCAACAGTTTAACTTGCTTCTTTTTCTCCTCTGTAGAAAGGTTAGTTTTAATACTATTTTCCCCAGCCATTCCAGAGGTTGCTGATTTTGTAGTACCACTCAACACACTTTGATTGCTATCAGTGTTGTCATCCATTAATTGCGGCGGTTTACGTTTTTTACTTCGACTTGAACTATCATCATCATCATTAGAATTGAAAACGTCTTGCACGGAAAACTTCTTTCGCTTTTCCCCATTAGAACCTGGATTTGAATTTTCACCAGGACTATTGAGAATTGAATTAGCTGGCTGCTTTGGTCCATGACCCATCTTAATACCAGTGAAAGTAAAGGACTTTACATGCATCTCACTGCGATTAGTACTCTCGATAATACCAGGGAGACTGTTATCGTCATCGATTTTCTTTGCCTTAAGTTTGGCATCATCTAAGAGTTCTCGCATCTTATTACTGACTATTTTGTCTCGCTCTCTATTATTATCACTAGAATTGAGACGTTTTTGAGCTTCACTCTCAGGGTCAGGGTGACCTTCTTCGGTTAACTTTCTACGAAGGTCTTCGAGTTCCCTCTTTTCTTGTCTTCGATCTCTGGTGTCTTCTTCTTTTTCCTTTTCCCGTTCGCGTAATCTTCGAGCCAAAGCACTACCCCTGAAAATGAAATAACAAATAATTTGGATTGTTAGAAAATATTCATGAAACTAAAACCATTCAAAAATTTGAGTTGAGATTCTAGTGAAACTTACTTGTAGTATTTAGCATCATCACGATCATCGTCGTAATCTTCCAGGAATTGTTTTAGTTTACGGACTTCTTTAATTTCTTCTTCTTTTCTCATTTCTTGTTTCATTTCATACTTTTTATAATCTTTCATTTTCCTCATTTCTCGAGCTTCCCAATTTCTTAAACGTTTTTGATATGAAGCTTCTTTCTCTCGAAGTTTTCTTTCGAGTCGTCTTCTTTCTTGCATTTCTTCATCATCTTCGACGATTCTTTCGTTATGTACGTTTTCTTCAGCTCGGTCTCGTTCTCGCTCTCGATCACGATCTCTTTCCCGTTCTCTATCTCTATCACGTTCTCGTTCTCTATCTCGATCATTTCGTTCCATCCTTGAATTGCGATCATTACGCTCGTTACGATCATTACGATCATTACGGTCATTTCGCTCATTTCGCTCATTTCGCTCATTTCGCTCATTGCGCTCAATGCGCTCATGTCTTTCTCTTTCGTATCGATCACGATTTCTGGGCCTTTCTTTGGATAGAGGAGTTCTTTCTCTTTGTCGTTCCCGACGGCTGTTTTCGGAATCAACTTCCATTGATTGTCCACGAGAATACCGATCATCTGAACGATCTGCTCTATCATCACGATTCCTAGAATCATTGCCTTTGGCATCTTTATTACGATCCTGATCGATTTTCTTTTCACTCTCATCAACCTGTAGACAATGAGAAAATGTAAAATTAAGGTTTAGACAATTTATTAAGTTTATGCTAATCATCTAGAATATAAAATATAAAATAGTTAGTAAACAAAATGATTTGATCAGATATTTTTTTTCTCACAACGATCATCATGATGTCACGGTTTTTGTAACAACCGTCTCCGAGCGAATTTCAATAACATTTCAAAGATGACTTGGAGCACGAACGAAGTTTGAGTTCGCTGTCCACAAAGAAAGGAGAAAATGTAAAGATTCAATTAAGTGTAAGAGGGTAAAAGGGTAGGTTGTGCACAATGAGGTTATTAGAAAACGATACACAAGAGAGGCAAGGAACAGAGTTAGAAAAACATGGAAAATAAACAAATCATTGAAAAAAGTATGAAGTAAAATACAATGAAGAGGATGAAAAGGAAAGGAACTGGAGAAGGGGCAAAAATATAAAGTAGTATACAAATTATGGTGTTACTTTTTTTGTCATATTAAAGGCTCTTGCCTTACCGTTTGCTTGGTCACTCAATATGATACAATTTAAGATGGACACAGAGATGAATAAAAAGATCAGGATCGAAAAGAGAGAGAGAGAATAAGCTAGGTAGTTATTAAATAAACAAAAAAAGAAAAAAGACTTTATTCGCTGTTCTCGGCTCTTATTGATATCCAAAATTCAACTGAACATGTTAAAAACGTAACTAACTTGAGCTTGTTTTTAGTTGAGTCAGTGAGAATCCAATTTCAAAAGGTAGACCAAATTTGATGATTTTTAGTTTTATTGTATCTCGAAAAAGTAACGAGTCTTCACCTCTCCAGAGTGAGTTCAAAGACTAACTTAGTTTCAAAATGAACTGGATTCTAGAGGAATGAAGATTCGTGTGTTCAAGATATGGTTCAAAAATGAGAAACAATAATGAGTTAATCATTAAAAATGGCGATCCGTCCAATGAAGCCTCGGTGGTGCCAAAAGTTAGATAAAAATCAATGGTCATAACCTAATAATGATGTTTACAGACGAAACATTCAACTAGCAACTCCAAAATTATATAAACAAAAAATGGACAAAGATAATAATATATGTATGTTTATAACTCACCAATTCGTCATACTGTTTGGCCTTTGCCTGAATAGAACAGAAATGAACCAAAAGCTAACTAATGTAACAAATAATTTTGAATACATATAAGTATGATTCCTAAATGTTTCAACACTTACATTGAGAAATAAACAAACCAACGAAGGATAAGATCACGAGATCTTGAGAACGTAAAGTTAGTCAAGTTCAAAGCTGAATCGAGTTGGTTGAAGAGAGTTCAACTCTTCCGGTGAGGCATTTGATGAAGAAATTGATGATACACACAATGATGAAAAGAAACATTTGAGAAAAAAAGGATACTGGTGTAGGAACATAATGAGTGAGTGCATGAAAAAATAACGGGTAAAGTGAAGGCGAAATAGAAGAGAAGAGAAAGAGAGAGAAAGAGAAATGGAAAGATTGATTTAATCAACTTACCTAATGATGTAAAAGCCTTTGCTTTTGTAAACTAATGACTTTGTAAATACACTCAATAGATCGTTAAAATGAGACTTTATACAAGCTCAACTCAAATCAGATTATAACTCATCTTTAACAACATTAAAGTTAAATTGAAATATTGAGATAACTCAGTTACTCAGCTTAACATGTGACATGGTAAATAAACTCATGAGCGACATCAGACTGGTAAATTTAAATTTAAGTAATCCAGGTTAAAATAAAACGAAAACCATTCAAAAGTCATATAATGGATTCAATTTATGAAACGGAACTTAAATTTTATAGCATTTTATGCGTGATATGCCCTCATACATTGAAAACTTATAATTTTCTTACCTTATAAGTGTCCCTGAATTTATCGATTTCTCTGTGAATTAATGATCTTTTCTCTTCTTCCATATCCATGTCAGCTAGATTCTGAAAAGTCATAAAATTTAGAGTTTGAGATGAATGGGATAACATTGATGAGAGAGTAACAAATAAATGAATTAACTTACTTCAGGCTTAGTAGATTCGCCAGTCCTTTTATCATAACGACGGGATTGGGCTTAAAAAAGAGAAAAAAGCGAAAAATTTAAAACATTTTGATTGAGAACAGAATAATGGAAGGTCAAAGTTAGTAAAAGGAATTATGATCAAGTCTAGTGATGGGATTGTGATAATTCAAATGGAGAGTTGAGTGCACCATGACGAACTGAATTAGAGGGTTACCTTTGTTTGGATCTGGATCACGGGATAGTTCAATTTCATGTTCCTTTAAAATACCATGCAATTGGTTAAATAACTCTCGGTCTTCAGTTTCTTGGCCACTATCACCAAAGTCATTTCCTTTGGGACTTTTTTCTTTTAAATAATTATCTAATTTTTCTTGAGTCTTTGCATCGGCTTTGACTACCAGTTTTTTATCAGCAACTTCAAAATCGTGTAAAAGTCTAATGGCCTTCATTGCTGATTCGGGATCAGAGTATTCACAAAAACCAAATCCTTGCAGTTTACCATTAGCTCCTTGCACTCGTTTCCAATTATTTACAGCACCACATTTGGATAGTAGTTGACGTATCAACATATCTGAAGCTCTTTCCGTAATATTGCCAACAAAAACTGTAATACTAGGACCATTAGATGAAGACTTTTTATGATTACCACTGTGAGAGTTTGCATTATTGTGAGATAATGATGAGCTAGATTTATTCATGTGCCCGGTATTAACGACACCGGTAACAACACCCACACCAGAAGTAGAAGTTAAGGGCTATGACGCAGATAAATAAATAAACAATTAATCGATATTCATACATATATTCAAATGGTTTGCAAAAAGTGAAAAAATCCATAGAAACATCATTTACCGGAAATATGAAAGGAGAAGCTAATCCTGGTAATTGACTAACACCAAGGATAGATGGGTCTTGTGTTACTTTACGCATTGGAGGTGCAGAAATAGTGGTAACTCCAGGCGGAGCTGAAATACCTGTGGTCATCTAATATAGAAAATAATTAAATTAAACATCATGATCATAAACTTAGCGCGTGGATAAATTTGTCTTACATGAGGAACTTGTAAGCCAGCGATAGGCATGATCCCACCTGTAAGTGGATAAAATAAACAATTAGAGTATTTCACGTAAAAATGTAAAATAAAAGCACAATTTTAATTACCCATAGGTGTTATTTGATATTGATTTGGATTCATATTCATCAAAGACGCCATCGCAGATAGATTTGTAAGAAAATGACCAGGAGGTGGAAAAGACATGATAAAGATTCACAGGCTTCTTTACAAATAGTAAATAAACTAAAAAATTGTGCAAACGGCGTATAAGGGTATAATAATTATACGTGCGTAGATTTACGTTTTACAACAAGAGCATAAGGTGTAGAGTAGTAGAGATAGATCAAGGAAAAATATTACACAAAAATGAAGCATACAAATATATCACAAAAAAATTGTTAAGTTGGATTTTAAAGGGTTGACTGACTGGTCCAATAGGTAAACAGAATCAGTAACCAACTAATTACAATTAGATAAATAAAAAAGCCAGAATTAAAGATGAAATAAACTAACAAAATGAACAAGATTATTGAAAATTTTGTCAAAGTCTAAACCCATTAAACCAGAAAAACTACCAGCCATTTTGCTGCTACAGCGTTGCTAGGTAACTTTAAGTCTCTTCTCTGATTATGTCCTGTCTTATTTATAGAAAGCGCCAAATTGGAATAACAAAATTTTAAATGAATGAAACATGAAAACATTAATGAACATTAAAAATTTAATCATCCATTCATCTAAAATAATTTGAGTCATCCACTTTGCTGCGAATAATTAGTTGATTAAATCTATGGGAGAAAGTCAATCAAAAATGAAGTCTGGGAATAAAATGAGAATCAATTGAATGCTAAAATTAGCATTTCACATGCAAATGACTAACAAACGATTAAAGGGCAACAATTAAAACAAGGGAAGTAGAGAATCTATACAACTTTGATAAAGTCACTAATAAAGTCTATTTAAAACTTTAACATAAACCTAATCAATTAGTACTGAAGATATTGAGATTCAAAGGCGAAACAATTGATTTGAAAAAGAAACATTTGTATTGAAATTTTACTGTTTTTATTTTGTTATTAATCAATTGATATTGTCAATGTAATAAAAATAATGTGCCGTCTTAATTGTACTCAATCAACACTTGGGTACCAAAATTGTTGGGTTAACTCAACGGTTATACAAAATTTAAGGAATTGTTTGAAGGAATCATTTTTGATTTCAATGGTTGATAAGATGATGGTAATGATTAAAAAGATGATCAACCCTGTCTGTGACCTTCGTAAGGTAAATAGGGTATCATCTCATAGTTGGGTAAGCAGAATTGGAAGCCTCAAAAGCTTCATGATATACTACTCATCGGAAACCCTAAAAGCTTTGGATATGGAACAAAAAAAAAGTTAAATCTTGAACTATTATAATTTATTATTATCATTATTATAACAGTGGAAATAATAATTATTATTATACGATTATTATTAAAAGAAACGTTCGAAAGCTTATCAAAGCTCTTAATTTCTGTGTATGTTTTTGTTTTTCTTGTGCATATTGTTTAAGGTAGGAAGGAAGCAAGAAATTGGGTGAAACGTGAAAAGATTGAAACTTTAGTTTTGTTGGATTGTAAAAAGATGATGAAAAAAATGGCGAAGGAGAAACCTTTAGCTTTGTCTTAATTTCACAATTTATTTACAATTTACTATCATGTGTAAGTTAACCATTCATGTTGAAGGTAAATATTTTTGAACATATTTTAATCGGTTTGATTTTATTTTTCACCTGAAAATATTCATTTCTCAATGGGTTTTTCAAAAGACGCGGGACTTCGATGGTAACACTGAGCATCTCCATTCAAGTCTCCAGGTAACCCCCAGCCCCTTAAATCAGCTAAGGTGAAAGAGAGAGAAGATAAATTCATTTTTATATACATTTTATTCGATTTTTTGACAATTTAATTTGATTGTTTTTTCAACAATTTATTAACTCTTAACTTTAATTTATAGAAAAGCTACTTCATCCTTATCATCTTCTCTCTCTTTCTCCCCTTTCCCTTTAACTCCCTCTTCTTCTCTTTCTTTCCACTCTCACTTTTTCTCTTTCTTTTTTATCATCTCTTTCCTTTTCTTCTTTCTATCAATTTCTTCTCTATCTATATATTTCTCTCTCTCTTTCTCACTCTATCTATCTGTCTCTCCCTGTCTCTCCTTGTCAGTTCTTTCAGATTCAGTCTCCTTTTAATCTACCTTCGCCTTTTTTTCTGTGTTTATCAATTTCAACCATTTCAACACTTCTCACCAAAAATCACTACTTTTACAGCTACTTCGGCTGCTCCTTGTTTTGTGTTGCCTCTTATTTTGTTTGCAAAAGCATCTCTGGTCTCTGCACTTTTCCTTGTTTTATATATATACATATATATTCATCATCATCTATACACATCCACCATACTCAGCACATCTAACCATCCAAAAAACATCTTTAGTGAATTAACTGATTGATCTACTCTATTGGAAGCTGGAACCGCCTCATCTAACAAGCCAAAATTGGATCCATCTTTTCCAGAATGGCCTGCTGTCTATCAGAGGAGGCCAAGGAACAACGTAGGATTAACCAAGAAATCGAAAGGCAGCTAAGAAAAGACAAAAGGGATGCCAGACGCGAATTAAAGTTATTGCTTTTAGGAACCGGAGAATCTGGTAAAAGCACCTTTATCAAGCAAATGAGAATTATCCATGGAAGTGGATATTCAGATGAAGACAAGAGAGGATTTATTAAACTTGTCTTCCAAAACATTTTCATGGCTATACAAAGCATGATAAAAGCCATGGATATGCTAGGTATATCTTATAAGGATATAAAAAACAAAGTAAGTTATCAGTGAAATTTCGAAAGGATGATTCATATTCGTCTGTGTATTTGTGTATGTTTCTCATTTCAATGCCACTAGTGCACCATCTACTACCATCTAATGTTGTGCTTCTGCTAATCATCAACTCAACTAATTAAATATCAATCTAGTTACCCATTCCTAAGATCTCGAAGATCACATCATAACATCATCAACCTTTACTAAAAATTTCAATGGTCAAGAGAGGATCAGTCTGATTCAATTAACCTAGTAAAGTGAAGCGAGGAGAATGAAAAAATTTTCATTCATTGATGTGATATGCTAAGATAAAAGGTGGATGAAGAGGAGGTAGAGATAGAAAAAAATAAGATGAAGAAAAGAGGAATGAGAAGTTGCACTATGGACCTTCAGATAGATTCTGTCTTTATTTCCACAGATAACAAAATGTTTTATGAATATGCTTTTCTAAATTCTCTGTTTCTCTTTACTACTCTGCTTCTTTTTTAGGAAAATGCCGAATTGGTTCGGTCAGTGGACTATGAAACAGTTACATCATTTGAACCCCCTTTTGTCGAAGCCATCAAAAGTTTATGGGCTGATCCTGGTATCCAGGAATGTTATGACAGGAGACGAGAGTATCAATTAACAGACTCTGCCAAATAGTAAGTCAAAATCGACCTATCAAGTAGAATAATTTTGCTAATCGTACTTCCTATTTCACTATTTTTCTTTAATTTCTCCTCTAGCTATCTAAGCGATATTGATAGAATCGCCTCTCCAGAATATTTACCCACCCAGCAGGATATTCTCCGAGTTAGAGTACCAACTACAGGTATCATTGAATACCCATTCGATTTAGATTCTATCATTTTTAGGTGAGTATATTAAATCAATTCCCTGTTTGATCAGTTACAACTCGAAAATCAGAGGTTAATGATAACTGAACCACAGAAAAACGTTATCTCAGTTTTTCTAGTCTGAATATTTGTCAAAGCTTACTCGTTTCTTAGGAAATATTTAAAATGATTGTTTTCTAATTTTTTTCTCTATCTTTTCATGACTCATTTCTCATCTTTAAACAGGATGGTAGACGTAGGTGGTCAAAGGTCCGAGAGACGAAAATGGATCCATTGTTTCGAAAACGTAACCTCAATTATTTTTCTGGTTGCCTTATCCGAGTACGACCAGATTCTATTCGAGTCAGATAACGAGGTGGTTAGCATCTTTACTTATTTTCACTTTCTCCCCATATTAATCTGTACTTTTTGTTCTATCTCTTTCATGTCTCACTGCGGTACAATGTGTTCATAATGGATAAATGTTTCAATTTCAAAATCAATCCAATCACGTTTGGTTTCAACTCCATGGTTTATATCGCTTGCCTTCAATAGAATCGTATGGAAGAAAGTAAAGCGTTATTTAAAACAATAATAACGTACCCGTGGTTCCAGAATTCGTCAGTAATTCTATTTCTAAACAAAAAAGACCTGTTAGATGAAAAGATAATGCATTCACATCTCGTCGACTATTTTCCAGAATACGATGGTAAGCAAATTGTTTCAATAACCTCATTAGAATTGTAGATTTCACTGTGCATTTATCCACTGTCCTGCCTTCTTCCTTGACCACAAATTTATGCATCTATGTGTATCCCCATATATATATCTATCTCTGTGTCTCTCTTTCTCTCTCCCTCTCTTCGTCTATCTATTTTTTTTCCTCCTTTCGTAAACTCATTGATAAACTCACTACTATCTCTTCATATGTGTTGTGAACAATTTTAATGGCTTGAACACAGCAATAGCACTCACAGATTAATTAATAGATTGAATCATTAGCGTAATTTTTAGTTTGTTTCTCAATTTTAGTCTCTTTCTTTGGCTATTGTATTTACTAACATTCCTCACTCATTCATTCAATAGTTCATTCATATATCTCTTCCCATTCTCTCACACTCTCTCATTTTCTTATTCACACTTTCTTATTCTCTTTCTTATTTTATTTCTCTTTCTTTCTCAATCTTTGTTATCTCATGTTTTCTTCTTTCTTGCCATTTTCTTGATTATCCCTTGTTCATTATCACTGGTCCTCAATCCTTGGCTAAATCAGCCCAGTTCCTCTTATCTAACCTTCTTCCCATGGCTCTATGCTCCTTTATTTTTCTATCATCTATTCCTTTCCCCATTTTATTGCTCACTTTCTTTTTCATTCTCGTCCCTGGTGTCTCCCTCATTCTACTCGCGATTTTCATGCTTCCTCTTTCTTTCTAGAGGTAGTTTTGCCATGTCTAACTACCTCTTTATTGCGCGTGATAGTATCGGTGAGAACTTAGATTCAAGCATTAGAGTTAGAGAGCCACCACCCAATATTTTTGGGTCAATCTATCATGCACTCTGAACAATTTCATGTATTAAATTAGTAAATTTTCTTGTTACTTCATTTCAATTATTTTATTAATCATCATAATTTTCTTGTCTTTAATTTACAGGCCCAAAGAAAGATGCAATTCATGCGCGGGAGTTCATTCTGAAAATGTTCGTCGATTTGAACCCCGACAGCGAAAAGATAATTTACTCTCATTTCACATGTGCCACGGGTATGTACATTCAAATGTACTTCACTTAATAATTTAATCTAATCAAATTTTTTTTCTCAATTTTTTATTTAGACACGGAGAACATTCGTTTCGTGTTTGCTGCGGTAAAAGACACTATATTGCAGCTAAACTTAAAAGAATACAATTTGGTGTAGCCAGTATTACAAATTTCTTCCTTTTTCCATTAAATAAGAATTTAATAAATACCATTCTGTTTCAAACATCCAGGACTTATATCAAGTCCAACAGGTTTCATGTTTTTTCGACCAATCAAGTTTAAAGCTCAGGACTACGATAGACTAAAGATTCAGTTGTCAACAAATTGATACTATCTACTTCAGTTATTGGCATGGTTTACTATTTATGAGATTGCTGCTCAATTAATGAAATTGAAAATATTTTCAAAAGGATGAATAATCAATTCAATCATGAGGCGGGAGCATTCTTTTTGGAATAGGTTCACCTAAAAAAGGATAAATTTGAGTTACAACAAAATAATATCGGTTGATATTTCAAAGTACATCAGTTTTAACTTGAACGATTTTTTTGGTCAGCTAAGGCTATGACACTTCCGATGTCATAATAAGTTATTACTCCTCCATTTCTTTCAATGGCAATATTACAATATTAACCTGAGAGCTGATTAAATCTAAACCAGGGTCGGTTAGTTGCACACAATGATTATCAGATGAAATTTGAGCATCTAAAAATTGAACTAACAAGGTAAGCTCCCCAAGTCATCTCAACCGATTTCAATGATTAGTGTGACATTCAATTCGGATTAGCAAATGAAGAGAGCGTTCGAAAAATGCCATTGTTCATCGGAATACATAGATCAATGAGATAAGATGATATTCGCATATTGTGATTATCCTTTTTATTTCACTAATTTGTTTTTTATCCGCATTACCTTACTAACATATAGAAACCTTGATTTTTGACTCTGCTTTTCTTTTTTAATTTACTAACCGAAAGATTCGAAGGAATTAAATGCATGTACTCATTAAACCTAATATTTCTATGGTAAAAGATCGATCTGCATTCGGATGACTTGAGGTATTTCCCTTTTAAGATCAATGGGTTGATCTGGATCAAGATTTTGGTACAAATAGCACTTTGACGGTAAGAATAAACGAGAACCCGTAAGCTCTCTTTTTCCCTTTCAAAGTATCAGCTTGATGAGTCGATCCTCAAACTGATGAAGATAATCGAATTCAATTAACTTATTTAAGTCTTGATTTGTTTAGATAATTCCATGTCCAACTATGTTAGTTCAGATTAAATGAGATAGAACTGTCGTAGATTATGTTATTTGTTAGCGCTGGTACTTTTATTTAAGTTAACTGAGACTGAAAGTGAAAAGTGATCTCAATGGTTCTTGTTCATCTTTATCAGGCATTCACTTTATTCAGGCTCGAATGACATTGATCATACAAAAGATTACACAAAATTGATTGAATAGTGCCAATATCTGCAAAACATTACCTCAAATTGAAATTTTTGTATTTTTAATAGACAACGTTCCAGAATAAATGTGTTTTACTCAAAAGTTAATATATCAATATTATGATTTAATATCATGATTATCTTTCCCTGTAAGATTCTTTTCTGTTATTATAATTGTAATACGCGATTTCCATGTAAACATATAGTTCACTACAAGACAATGAAAATTTTTCCTGTCAATATTTGTGGATTTTCATGCAAAAAAAGCTATTCTTTGCTATTCGAAAGTTGCCGAAGTTTTTGTTTCAAAAGATGTTAATGAATACCAGTTGAAACAGTTATATTTCCGTTCCATTTTTGGGATCCAATGTGAATCTTTTGGAATTATTTAACAGACAACAAATTTAAATAAATGGAACAATAGAAATGGAATTGGCCAGTGAGAAAAAATCAAACCGAAAAATACAAAAGATTTACAATCAAAGTGTTGACGTATTCAAAAAACAATTGGAGAAAAAACACATTCATTTGGAGACTCTGGTACTGGCACTTGTGGCATGTACTTAATGGATTCTGGCTTTAGAGCATAGACTGTTCATTAACAGTTTTACAGCGATTAATTTCACTGATGGCTACAATCCTTTGGTTTTCAGAGAACTCAGTTCGATACAAATTTTGCTGATTTAAAATATTTGAATGAATTTAAAGATAGCGCAAATGAATTTATTGGAGAAAAATCTGTCGATGTTTCTGTTGTTGGCACAGTTGTTTGGATAAAAGTTTATAAAGATTCTTTGCAATTGGACCAATGAAAGGATAAGATAGATAAATTGTTGCAAATGGATTACCAATAAAACTTGCAAGGCAAATAATCGTCATACCAGAAACCGATTTCACTGACAATTGTGAAGGGATGTCATTCGGGAGAGCATTTTAAGGCTTGAAAAACCGTGTTGTACTTTTTCTGGAAATTGTGTTGTTCCTGAGATATTTGGGTTTGCAATTCGAGCATTTTACGATTACTTCTCTTGTTGAAAAGATCAATCAAATTTGTTACATTAAATTCATCATGTATCAAATTCAAAATCATTGCAGCTGTTTAAAAACGATTTAAAAAATTATTTTTTAAAAAAGAGAGTTATTTTTAATTCAGTAAAATAAAATGTCATGTAAATTTACTAATCAAAAGAACTCAGAACTTAAAATTCAGAAGATATTGTAAAATGATTCATAAAAATTTAATGTAATGTAATAACATCGAAAATATGGCTCGATATATCGAAACAACAATTGTAGAGGTTGGTTACCAAGCCACTCAGCCATACTAAAGCTTTTAATCAGCATTATGTGTTTTGATTGTTAAAATTTGATTCATTTTAAGACAATTGTTTGTTATTAGATTTTGAATTGTGTTTTTCTGATCGATTTTTAAGTCTCATTTCTTGGGTTTATCCTGTTGGTATCACAAATAGAGTTGTTCTAAGCTGTTTACAATATGGGTTCTCATTGTAACATTACCGGTTCGTTAACAGCTTCTCTACATCCATTAGTCATAATGAATATTTCGGAACATTGGACTCGACTGAAGGCGCAAAATAGTGAAGAACAGCAGGTAGTTGGTGCTTTGATTGGTAAACAAGAAGGCAGAAATATTGAAATTATGAATTCATTCGAGCTGCTTTTTGATCGTGTTGAAATGGAGATCATTATTGACAAAACATACTACCTTCAGAAAGAAAATCAGTTTAAACAAGTTTTCCCTGATCTTGATTTTCTTGGCTGGTATACAACCGGAGATACTCCTGATGATTCCGATATTAAAGTACATCAACAAATTTGTGAAATCAACGAGTCTCCAGTCTTATTGAAGCTTAACCCATATGTATGTTGTCTTTTATTTTTATTAATATCTTCTATTTATTTGCTTAAATTCATGAAAATCTTTATTCTTTCCAGAGTCGTCATACAAAATTACCTGTTAAAATGTTCGAAACAATTATTGATATTGTTAGTGGGGAACCTAAAATGCTATTTGTTGACTTAAGTTATGCTATCAAAACAGAAGAAGCAGAAAGAATCGGTCTTGATCATGTTGCAAAACTTTCAGCTACTCCTCAGGTTTGTTTTCATCATATTAATATCTTTCATTTATTATCTGAATGGCAACCTAACTATCTATTCTTTATTTTTCAACCTTTCACAGGGTTCTGATTCTCATAGCTCAGTTATCTCAGAGCATCTTGGTTGCCAATTGAATGCTGTCAAAATGCTACGAGATCGTATTAACTTGGTTTTAGCGTATGTAAAGGACACCCAAAAAGGAGACATCCCATGGAACGACGAGATACTCAGAGAAGCTCACAACCTTTGTTACAGACTACCTGTAATCAATAACGGAGCTTATTCTGAACAATTTTACAACCAATGCAATGACGTTGCTCTGATTACTTACCTGAGTACACTGACCAAAGCTTCCAACACTCTCAACCAATTTGTCAATAAGTTTAACATTCTCTATGATCGCCAAGGAATGGGTCGAAGGATACGAGCTTTATTCATGTAGAAGAAGAAAATAGACCTGAACATTTAAGCCGTCTTTGCTACATCATAACATCACAAACATAAAAATGACAAGAGTTTTATTCAGTTCCAAATTTGCTTCAATTTCTAGACAAATTTTCAATGTATAAATAACTTACATTGATAAATTCCTGCCTATAAAATAACTTACTTTGATAAAATTAATTTTGTCAATTGTATTCACGTATTTGGTATTATGTGGAAAAAATTACACTATTTTATTGTAAAACATGAAAATTGTATGAAAATTGATGCAATACAAAAGTATTGATTGCCATTAAAAATAAAGAAAATTAGTAATAACTCCACTATTGAGAGATTTTATTCATAAGCAATTTAACAAGTCAAGTCTATTCATGATTTTAATGTTTTCATACCATTTTCTTCCATTTGTAATCTTTCATTCTAATAATGAGCTTCTCATTCCAGTTTCAAACTTCCGCGACTTATATCGAGTCAAGGTTTCATGTTTGTTCAGAAAATAGAAGCTCAAAACTCTTTCAGACTACAATACAAGACATAAGATCTAGTTGCCGACCTATTGATGAGATCTAACCCAGTTATCGACATAGTTTGCTTTCTATGTAAAGATGATGACTAATTACTATAAAATTCTTTCCAAGCTACATCAACTGGTTTCAGAATTTCTTTATCTTTCAAATTCACCACCCATCCAGGTTCTGATCCGAAGAAAAGTTTAGGTATAGAAATTTAATGGCAGGGGAAGTATTAATACATTGGAATTTTATTTCAATACTCAAATAGGTTATATTTTGATATACATAATATTTTTATATAATTATTGCACTTAAGCACTTTTGGTGGATTTAGGTTGAACTGCTTCCAATTTGATTTTACCAAATTGATCACCGACAATTGGGTGTTGGATTCTGAAAATAAAAGTGATAATTTTAGTAAATAGTATAACGAGTTTGATTTGAAATCAATTGTTGGGGTTAACTTACTTGACTGAAGCTTCTAAGCTTTTAGGCTTTTGTACTTTCACTGTAACTTTTTCTTTGATTTTGATGTCTGTTGGACTAATAGTGATTTTGGATACAGCTTTGTTTAAAGTTGCTTTACCAACAGCTATACTTCTGGATTTGAATTCAGAAGCAACTTCTCCAATTTTCTTGCTAATCACAACCTTTTGTTTAGCTAAAGCTTTACCAACTTGAGCACCTTTAACAGCACCAGCTTTAGCACCCATCATAGCACCGATAGGAGCACCGACAGCAGCACCAATACCAGCTGAAGCAGAACTCTTGGCAACTGGGAGTAAATGTCCAACAGCTTTTGGTAAAAGAAAAGAAAAATTGACAATTAAAAATAAATCGACTTTAAAGAGTCTGGATCAAACATACCTGATGAAGCAATCTTGATGAGACGAGGATCAATTTTAAATTGTTTTGGTTTAGCTTCTACAATAGAATCGGCAATAACAAAATCTTCCTCACTTTCCTTACGTTTGAATAAACCCTTGAAAGGATTTCCTGGTAAATATGACTTGAGTTTAGATGAAAATCCTTTAACCTTTCCATAGCCAGGAATAACTTCAGTGTATGGAACCTCCTGTAACATGGTAGATCCAAGTACATTTGATGGTACAACAAAGTCTTGAGGAAGAAATTGTGCGGCATTAGATGAGTCAACAACTAGACCATCATTGGAGACTAGTTGACTACCATCAATAGAAGCACCAGAAACTAATGGTGTACCTTCAACAGAAGCACCAGAGATGTGGGGAACACCACTAAAAAGGTTACCAAGAGAAGAACCAGAAAAGGACGAAGCAAAGGTAGGGAAAGCATTTGAAGTTGGGTTGACTGACAGGAAGGTGAGAGCAAGAATATGGAAAACTAAATTTGAAGACATTTTGGATGGAAGATGTGAATTGTTTTCAAGAAAACTAGAAACAACAGAAAATGAATTTAGAAAGTTTAAACGACAAGAGAACGTCTATGACTCGAAAACTCAACTGTTGAAGAAATCACTTTCACTGACCTTTTTATAGTTGGAAAGCTGACATCTAAACCTATGGTCACTAGGCAAATGATTTTAAAGCTATGAATCATTGCCCGACGGTTTGTGAGCAAGTACTTCGCACGAAGCCAGAAGATTAGGATTAAGCCTCAGAGGGTTTTTGAAGTTGGACCCAACGTTTTATTTAAATTTTGAATGCTTAAATCCTACAAAGATTATTTCTTTAGAGCTTAAAGATTTAGTAAATTCATACTTATTTTTGCAACAATATTAAAATATATCAATCAATTTTCCAAGAATATTTTGAGTTACTCTGATAATCCCAAATTAAGATTCAAGTTTAGCTGAAAGTGTTAAAAGTCGAAGGGAATCAGCTCATGATGATCAGTGATCACTCTCTCTAATAGCAAGTCGCCATAGTACATCGATATAAACCTGCCCATAGAATAAATTATCTGATTGAAGTCATTTCAGGAATAGATTCCGTGTAATTTTAAATGGAAGAATTTGAAATAACGAATTACATTATTTTATTGTAAAATACGCAAACTAAAAGTGAAAATTGATGAGGTACAAAAGTATTGATTAACATTAAAAACAATGAAAATTAATAAAACCGTCAAACAATTGAAAAATTTTACAATTCAAAAAAATTAACAAACATGATCACAAAAATTGATCGTTGGATTTAAGTTCTAAATAAAAGCGAAAAATAAATAAACAAATTCAAACATCATTTAAAAACGTATCTGAAGAACCGAGGTAACTTAAGTATCCATGGTAAATCCAAAGAATCCAGTTGAAAGTTTCAGGATTACAAAATCTTGAACACTCTCTAATCATATTTGATGCAAGCTGTTCTCATAGTCGGTAACAGCGATTGCCACTTTTCTTCGAATGTTGTTTACTCGTTCTTCTTGTCGTTTTATTTCATCGTCAGTAATTATTACAGCACCGATTAAAGGTTGTTTAGTATCCAAGTAAGCGCCTGGATTTTTTTCTAAGACAGTTCGACCTGCTGTTTGTCCTGTAATTGGCTTTATATGAAGATGCAAAGCTGTAGCTACACTCCTCAAAGCAGTTTCTGGGCCTACATTTGGTCCAACAGGTTTCATGCTTTTAGGTAAATCGAAGCTTTCATAAAATTCTTGATCGATATTGGTGGCTCTTAAACCTTCTAAGCGTTTCTCCCAAAATACTTGTTTTGGTTTATCCGATGAACTATGTTTTAAATCATTTTTGATTTTGCTATCAGGTTGAGTCTTAATAATGGTAACAGGCTGCTTAAATATAGAAGCAGTTCTTCTGACTGGTATGGCAGATCCTGAATCACATAACTTTACTCCTTTAACTCCATCCAAGGATCCTTTTTGGCTCTTATTTTTACGCAATAAAAGTGAATTAATTTTACCAGTTCGATAATCAAAACTCGTTAGATCAACAGCATCTCCAAGATATTTTGCCAGTTGAGGTTTGCTCCGGAATTTTAATCCATCCGGACTATCAAATGAAAAGGTTTTCAAACAAACGACAAGGTTAAATCCAATTAAACGAAATAATAATTAAACGAAAGTGTTCGTCAAATTTTTTGACAATAAAGAATATTAAATTGTAAATATTTACCTGTAGTAATAGACCTCTGTTTTACCAGTTGATAATCCTGTTCTTCGTGTGACTTCTTCACGTTTCCAGCCATCAGGCAGTACTTTACACTCCATTTGATCTAATCTAATGAAACATTTGAACAAATAATTTAGAGATCAGTCTAAAAGTCAAATTTATGGTTCGCGATGTACAGATGTTTGAAAACACTGAAAATATTGAAACACTGGGAATGACATCTGTTGGCGTCGATAAAAAGTAAGCCAGCTCATTGATTTCTTCAATGTTAAGACTTTTCATTGAATGGCTCTCGATGCAGTCCGATCTAGAGTCTATAATTTAGTAACCATACACTTAAAACAAATTACAAAACATTGAAATTAGTTAATTATTCTAGATTCATCATTAGACGTTTAATAATAGTTTAGTACGAAAATTTGTATACTTTAATTAGCTCTTTAATTTACAAAGAAAAGGCAATTCATACGCGATAATTAATTCTGAAATGATTTCGATTTAAACCTCGACAGCGAAAAGGCAACGAGTTTGATTTGAAATCGATTGTTGAGTTTAACTTACTTGACTGAAGCTTCTAAGCTTTTAGGCTTTTGTACTTTCACTGTAACTTTTTCTTTGATTTTGATGTCTGTTGGACTAATAGTGATTTTGGAAACAGCTTTGTTTAAAGTTGCTTTACCAACAGCTATACTTCTGGATTTGAATTCAGAAGCAACTTCTCCAATTTTCTTGCTTATCACAACCTTTTGTTTAGCTAAAGCTTTACCAACTTGAGCACCTTTAACAGCACCAGCTTTAGCACCCATCATAGCACCGATAGGAGCACCGACAGCAGCACCAATACCAGCAGAAGCAGAACTCTTGGCAACTGGGAGTAAATGTCCAACAGCTTTTGAAAAAAGAAAAGAAAAATTGACAGTTAGAAATAAATCGACTTTCAAGAGTCTGGATCAAACATACCTGATGAAGCAATCTTGATGAGACGAGGATCAATTTTAAATTGTTTTGGTTCAGCTTCTACGATAGAATCGGCAATAATAAAATCTTCCTCACTTTCCTTACGTTTGAATAAACCCTTGAAAGGATTTCCTGGTAAATATGACTTGAGTTTAGATGAAAATCCTTTAACCTTTCCATAACCAGGAATAACTTCAGTGTATGGAACCTCCTGTAACATGGTGGATCCAAGTACATTTGATGGTACAACAAAGTCTTGAGGAAGGAATTGTGCGGCATTAGATGAATCTACAACTAGATCAGCATTGGAGACTAGTTGACTACCATCAATAGAAGCACCAGAAACTAATGGTGTACCTTCAAAGATGTGGAATATCACTAAAAGAAGTACCAGAGAAGGACGAAGCAAAGGCAATTATACTCCGTTATCATTAGGTATTTAATAATAGTTTAGCATGAAAATTTGTGTACTTTAATTAAGTCTTTAATTTACAAAGAAAAAGGCAATTTATACTTGGTAGTTTATTCTGAAATGATCTCGATGCAAACCTCGATAGCGAAAAGGCAATAAACAGCATTCTGTTTCAAACTTCCGCGACTTATATCGAGTCCAGAAGGTTTCATGTTTGTTCAGCAAATAGAAGCTCAAAACTCTTTACAGACTACAATAGAAGACATTAAGATCAAGTTGCCGACCTATTGATGAGATCTAACCCAGTTATCGACATAGTTTGCTTTCTATGTAAAGATGATGACTAATTGTTATAAAATTCTTTCCAAGCTACATCAACTGGTTTCAGAATTTCTTTATCTTTCAAATTCACCACCCATCCAGGTTCTAATCCGAAGAAAACTTGTCGCGGATCTTTTCGAAGGGATAGCATCTTGAACTGGAAATTGAGAAAGATGAAATTTAAATTATTTCAAAAAGATGGATAATTTTATTAGTATAATAAACTAACCTTGGGATCTTTTGTTAAATCAGGTAAAGTATATCCGTATTTTTGAGCCAATTTCAATCTTTCTTTTGCTATTTCTTCTGGATCTGCAAGATATCCTCGATTCTTAGGATTTATATAGTAATCGATACAATCAGGAGGCGGGAGCAATCTTTTTGGAATAGGTTCACCTAAAAAAGAATAAATTTAAGTTACAAAAAATGATATAAGTTAATATATGAATGAAAATTATTCTTACCTTTAGCAAAAAATTTTTTTGGATCAGTTAAGGCGATGACACTTCCAATGTCATAATAAGCTGTAGTTATTACTCCTCCATTTCTTTCAATAGCAGCAATAACTTGTTCACTTGCATATTGAACCTCAATATTAATCTGAGAGCTGAATAAATCTAAACCAGGATCGGTTAATTGCACACCATTATGATTATCAGATGGATTCAATCTAAAATTTGAGCATCTACAAATTGAAGTAAGATCAATGGGTTCATTAGGGTCAAGATTTCCAAGATCAATAGAAAGTTGAATTGAATAGAGCGAAAAATGTGGGTATTGTCTTCGATGTCTGCAGAAGAAAAGAGAAATAATATTAGGACTAAATTGTCTGGTTATGATGAAAAATATTAACTTACAATACATCTTTATAATAATTAGTGACAGGAACTTTCATAAACCATAAAGACGACGATTTAGGATCATTTACAAAGCCTGCCGGTGGAAATAATTGATATTGTGTATAGTGTTTATTTGGATAATGAAGTCTTCCTCCACGAGCATATTGTCCTCTGGGATAGATTCTCTATAGAAATCAGAGAACAACAATTAAAGATTAGAAATTTGCATCAAATTAAGGGATAAAAACAGAAAAATAAATGATAGTCATACCCTTCGAGGGTGAATTGGAGACGTCAAAGAGTTTTTAGCTGTAACTCTTGGCATATAGCGCAAAATATGTAGAGCTTTTTCGGCCACCGAAAACCCCATTTTAAACGAGAAAATTAATAATTAAAAATCAACAATTAACGGGTAAATGATCAGACAAAACACATTAAAGAAATCATAAGTTGTAAATAAAATTTTATGAATTATATCACACATGTTTAAGGTTACCAGGCAACCAGCTTGGTTCCAAGTTGAAACATCTAAACAAGTTGTAAGCTTGAGAAACTTTAACGAGTTTCGTTTTATAATCAATTATTTCATTCCTAAATGAACCCTAATTTCCTAAATTAACAATTGTAACAAATTTTAGATGTAAAACCATACTAATTATCATCTGTTTATATTGTTCTTAGTTTTGTCAGTAAACCAGTGCAGAATACACATTGTATTAAATAAATGAACTTTCCATTCTTTCACCATTATTAGCTTTTTTCATTATTATTTCACCAAGCTAGATTAATCTATATCTATTTCATAGCATTGAAGTTTAAAGAAATAAATTGCTCACATAGTTCAACATTGTGATAATCAACAGGAAATTATTAGTTTACCTTAACTTCAATATGAATTTTGTCAACAGATTTGTTTTTTTAAATCAATTGTAACTGAGTGTAAATGCTTCATGAGTGCAAATCAAACAGTTTATGAAAGCCTTCAGAATGTAAGTAATTCACAAATATAATGAAGAGAGTTGAGGTTGTATTTCCTACAACCTCATGAACAACTGAATTTGATTGTTCATTTGAAAAACCATTCATAAACAGCATCCAAGTAAAGCAAGGGAAGCAATACAATCCGAATCAATCAATCGACATTGATGAATTCAGTAATAGTAAAGTTTTTTTCAATGTTTCTTTCAATTGTTCAGAAAATCTAAATTTAACCTTAACACTGTTTTGATTGGTAACTCAAGCACCTTTTGTTTATAACAATAAGTACAAATCAATCAAAAATAAACTTCAATACTTTCCTTCAATTTCTATTTAATTACAAATTCAATGTTGTTATAAAATGAAAGATTTGCAAAAAACAGTATACAGCTTATTATTATATATAATGTCAACACAAGTTACGGAAAATTACATTGTTTAACCGATTTACCAACAAAATGGATTAGTACATCAACTATCAACCTTGCAATGATTGTAATGGTCGAAAGGATGGGAACAATTGGTTCGAGCATTTTAAGTGTATAAACAAGGAAAAAAATGGTTAATGGGATCTAAAAGGCAATTTCAAAGTTAAATTATTGAGCGATCCAATGGACTTGACGATTCACTTGACTATTGAGGTGATGAGGGTCCAACAATTGTAATACCACAGATTTGAGAGATATGGTAATCCATACAAGCTTGATACAATTGAATTTGAGCGATTCCAGAAGGAAATTGTCCCTCGGCTTCTTTTCGACATTCACCATGTTGACGTAAAATTTGAGGCTAAATGAATACAAAAAAACAAGAAGAAAGTTTAAGTATTGTATTATTACTGCATTCAAAGCTAAAGACTAGAAGACAATAACTTATCATTTATGATTTAGGTAACGAGGATGATAATAATGGTCTTACCTCAACTTCTTGAGACAGTTTCTTGGCTTTTATTTCGCTCTCGGCTTTGTCATATCGATATTTACCATCTTCAGTGAACCAATTTTCAGCATTTAAGGCACATCTGGCTACTTCAGTGCGATGTTTTTCAACCGTTTCTTGGGTCATATTTTCGGGAAGAGCAATTGATTTTAAACAAGAACTAATGATATCTGCTTTAGCCTTTTTGTCACTCTCTACTGGTTCCAGTTGTGGACATTTACCCCAGTTTATTTGAGGTGGTTGAGGTGGACCTTGCAATTGACCAGAGAAGCCACCTTGTCTATTAGGTGTAGCTTGAGGAGCACAGTTACTTGAGTTAACAACTAGAACAATTAAACACAAACTGATTAGGAACATGATGAAAAAACAAAAATCAGTAACAAACTGTTAAAAACAATGTACAAAATGTAACACAAAAGCTGAGTTTGGGTTCTTAGTAAGCTGGTTACTGTTGTCTTGGTTTCGACCGATGATCTAACAGTCAATCGTTGTAAGTTTACCAGAAGAGCTGTTGTTATCTCTCGACCAGACAGCTTTGATTTGAATCAAACTGAAAGCGAATCTATTCGTTATAAATGAAAGCAAAAGTTAATTTTATTTACCTTACAGAGTGAGAAAGTGAGTTTATCATGAGAGAGGGAGAAAGATCTTATGCTGGACGATTGAAAAAGGAGGAGATTTAAGTGCCATGGTGAGAAGAAGATGAATCTGAGGGGGAAATCTAAGTTGTAGTCGTTCTTATTCAAATATTGTAATGTGCATTGTATTGATGTCAAGGAAAATTTTCAATGAATATTAATCTGTCATTTTGATGGATAAAATTTGAATATCACGATATTTTTGCGCTTCTAATTGTGAAGTTTTACTTGATTATTGATCATTGTTTGACTTTTTTATTTGATTATCATCATTATCATTGCTAGATTAGTGTTATTACTGTTCATTTCCCATTTGTTGTTGTTTATTGTCGTTTGGAACAGTAAGGGTTGATGTTTTCAACATTACTTTTGGGATAAAAATGTCAATTATTATGATGACTCTTTGTTGACTATTGTTAAGCCTGGTCCTGTTTATTTGATTAAACAATCCTTTCTCCTTGACATGATTAACGCTCGGTTTAATCTAACGGGTTACCATTTTATAAATTGTTTGACCCAAACAATAGGATCAAAATGTTTCCATCTACAATCAGCTGTTATTTGACTGAAGTACACTCAACTTGTAACAATTGGAATTGCAGTGAAAATGAAAACTCAAGTTTAAACAAACTTCCTCATAGCAAAAAATTTTTCATGAAAGTAACACTCATTAATGACTAAAATTTTCATATTTTTCATTAAATCATTGGTAATTGAAATACTAAAAAGACTCAGTACGATGAATGTATTACAATTTAACATCGCTCATCAGAGTTAAGTCCATTCATCGATAATTAAGATTGTAACAAAAATCAATCCTGGATCAGTAATAATCAAAAAGATCCTTCAACTTTTCTTGCGACTGACATTGCATTAAGCATTGCATTTGCCTTAATATTGAAGTAAACATTTCTGTTTCTTTTCTTTAATTAAATCAATAATAGATAATTTTTCATAAATATTAATCATCTTAACGACTAAAGCTGCGAGTAAGAGCTAGCAAAGCTGGAAGATTTAATGGAAATTTTGGATTTTACCTTGAGTTTACCTTTTGAATCAGTCACTTATACCAAATGAAAAAATGTTAATCTTCGCGCAGATTAAAGCTTCTTCAAATTCGAGCTTAGCGTTAGATCCATTGGTTTTCAAAACAAAAATGTCTTTTGCGATTGAGAGTTTGTTTCTAAAATTTGAGACTGTTTAGGCAGTTTTACTCAAAACAAAGATTCAGACCACAAATTGCCCATCGGGTATCTTAAGAACTGAAGCTATGAACTTTCATTTGGCAAAAGTGACTAATTCCAATCAATCAAGCATCGGATGTAATTTTATAGATTGTGATTATACCTTGAATTAGTAAGTTATTGTTTGATGAAATAAAAACAATACGAAAAAATAAATGCCGGTGAAGGAAAAAGTCCGAAGGAAATGAGAACGAATAATATTGATTTAATACTCACTAAATGTGAATTGAATTTAATTGATATTCGATAATAATAAATTAAAGTAAAATTGATGAAAAATGATCTGGAGTTTGGGTTAACAAAGATTCTGGTTCATCATATTCATTCTCTTTTTTGTTTATTGCCTCGTATATTTCACGGTACATTTGACAAAGGAACTCGAGTGATTTTCGTTTGATGTTGTCTCTAAAATCAGTAATACAAGAGAAATTAGCTGAATCATGAACAAAAAATAAGTCAACAAGCAAAAAATATTTACCTTAATTCCACACTCTTGAGATAGCTTAATTGAGGCAGTTGAAAGTTGTCCGGTTTTGCCAAGAAGAAATCGACTTTTTTCTGTTGACAATAAAAATCAAGAACGGAAATTAATGATTGGTGTGAAAAATGTAAACATTTGAAATGCTTGTGAAAACTTACAGAGCAAAACTGTAAAGCTAAAGCGTCACAACCAGTGATCGATGATAAAGGCAGATTGGCTTCATTTTTTATAGCATAATAAACAGCAGTTAATCCAAAATAGGTAATAATGTTAGAGGCATTTTCATTGATTAAACTCGTTTGGTAGTCGTTAATTTGATTTTCTAGAGCTTCTTTAAATTCATCAACAAATTCACATTTAGAAATTATTTGGTAAATTTCGTGAAAACAATTCAACAGGAATATGGACATCTCAAGACCAGGTAGTTTAGCAGCACAAACTCGACATGCTTGTATTAAAGGTTTAATCACCACATTTACCATTGTAATCATAATTTCTTGGCGATCAACAGGAGATAATATGAATGAGTTTTGGAATGACAAAATTTGATCAATTAGGTAAATTGTCTGCATTAACGAATCAGTTGGAGTCAAGTCAATAGGAGGTTGTTCATTATCACCATCAGCTGATTTACCCAATTTGTAGGCACAATGAAAGTTTAAACTATTAATGAAAACTCGATGTGCTAAGGAATCAATTTCAACCATTGTATAGACAAGTTGAGAGTCGGGTAGAAGTTCTGTTGAGAAAACTTTTGAATAAAATTTTATCAAATTCTTAATCTTAAACAAAACTAGTGGTCCATGAGATTTAGTTGAACTCGGCTCAGACATCAATAATTGTTCGATTCGAGCTTTAATAGGACGATTAAGACTTTCCATGATGAATGAAAGTGAAGTTTTAATGGGGTTAATTTCTTTGAAAGTTGTTGGGTCACATTGCTGAAGAAGTTGAACTAATAACTCTTTTTCGGAGGCAATTGCTTGATGAACCCATGTCAATATATCTCCAACATACCTAACAGGATCGTTAGAGTTGAGATCAAATGGAGGTGGATTACCTCCAGGACCTCCTCTGGTTAAGGCATCAATTAAATTACGTACAACCGCAGCTCTACGTATTGTGCCATATTCATCAAGACAGTTTTTGAGTAGAACAGTTCTTTCAGATATGAATCCGATTGCTTTAAACAGTAAATTGTTCATCTCCATTGAATCAGGGTTGAATGAACGAAGAGCATTTAATGTCCATTTGTAGAGTCGTTCAAACGCTGCTTCTTCTAAAACTGACATTGCATCCATTGTTTCAATTCCCGTTGTTTGTTGACTAGACGATAGTAATATTTTAGAATCCTCGTGGATTTGCCGGCATTTTCCTAATAATTCAAAAAATGTTTCGGTCATAGGTAGAGGTTGGTGTGGATCCTCTTTAGAAGGTAAACCTTTTAATATTGCAATTTCATGAGGTTTAAGATGAAATCTGTCCAAAAATTTATCTACAATAGCTTGCTGAATATCAACAGTTTTCCTAAAATGAAAAAAAATCATAGAATTAATGATCAGACTTTTGACAATGGTTTAATTTACAAACCTTTCATTTTTGAGATAATGAGTCTTTTCAAGTAAATTTTGGTTTTTCGTTTTCAAGTTCTAATAAAAGGAAAAACGTAAGAATTAAAATTTCAGACAAACATATTCAACTCTAACTATGTGCGTTTTAATCATCGACTCGTGATAAATATTCGATAATATAGCCTAACAAATTTCGTCTAATAGATTACCTTGATTTTGTTCATTGTTTGTAGACAGCTTTGATTCATGGAAGTGAGATCTAGATGTAAGCTCTCCATAAGCCTTTTAATTTCTCCAAAACAGGACTGAAAATTTTCAATAATAACAAGGCTTCTCTTTTCCAGAGTGTTGCTCAAATTACGCCGGATTGTTATGGTATTATCTGTGAAACATGATGACAATATTTTGACAGCTTCCAAGGTTTCCTGGTGATTAAAATAGTTAATTAAACGAAATATTAGCCACAAACACAATCATAGATTTTTCAAAAGAAAAATAAAGATGAAATAAATCATATTTACCTTGTCATGATCCAAATCAGATTCCAACAATTTGGCAATCTTTTTATTCAACATAGTATTGCTAATTGAACCATCCATGTCGAAGATTTATAAAATAACTAATTTAAATAATGCTAAATATGAACAAATAAATAAAAATTGGAAAATACTGTTGTTATTTACAGATTCACAATCTGAAAGTTTCTGCTGTGTGGGGCGGGGCTTTATCTGCGTAGAGAGTGGCGGGGAATATGGTTAGGTAAAGGTATTTGGTGATTTTGTTTAATGTCTTAAGTCGTTAAACAGTTACAATTTAACCACTATTGATAAGCATTTACGCACAAAAATTAACGAAGACTTTTGCATCAATTCAAAGTCAGACAATATGTGAATAGAATTTGAAAAAACCGCTTAACGCATTTTCGCTCCTCAAACTAACTGTAGAGTGAAAATGAAAACTCTTTTCATGCAAATTATTCATTAAGTATAATCTAAAAAGTTAACTTATGATCAATAAATTAAACAAAATTTAATGGTTAAAATACTGGGCGTTTTTTTTTCATTTTACGCCTTCATGCAGGCATAACTCACGAACGGTGAGTGCTACAGACTTCAGACGCGAACCATAAGCTTATCCAGATTGCACAACGATAAATTCAAGTGCTCAAGGTTATTCAAGGTCAATTCTTTATTTGACCTCTAATTGACATTGAAAGGTCATTTTCAATTTTCTGACCCGATAGGTTTAGTTACATGTTCATAACTCATACTGACTGAAGGATATTGGTGACCATTATCCCTCCAGGATATCCATTACTTTTTATCTACTTTGAACTGTTGATTCAACGAACAGTCAATTGCTCATATCATCAGCTTTCCCTCACGTTTTTTTTCAATTCATCATATAAAATGGCAGGCAATTTGTCTACCATTTTATCAGTTTTAATTTCAATCAGTGTTGTCTATTTACCATCTTTTGGCCAGTATAATCCAGAAGCGGTTTCCATTAACACTGTTTGTAACAGTTGTCAATACAATTTACAATATTTGAGTTTTCAAGAGAAAAGATATTGCTGTCTATATGGATTCCTTCAATGTTGTCCACTTGGAGAGTTGAAAAACTGATGTAATCCAAACCGCAAATGATGACAGTAAAGTTGAAATCAAGTTACAATCAAACACGAGAAATACAAGTTTCTTTTTTTTCAATTAAAAAACATTTTCTGACCAGATAGTGTTAGTTAAATGTTCATAACTCATACCATTGGAAAAATGGAATGAATTTTTCCTGATCAATTGAATGTTAAGGGATCACCCATATCCTTCAGTCAGTATGAGTTATGAACATGTAACTAACACTATCGGGTCAGAAAATTTTTGCGATTTCCGAAAATGACCTTTCAATGTCAATAGGATGTCAAATAAAGAATTGACCTTGAATAACCTTGAGCAGTTGAATTTATCGTTGTGCAATCTGGATAAGCTTATGGTTCGCGTCTGAAGTCTGTAGCATTAACCGTTCGTGAGTTATGCCTGCATGAAGGCGTAAAATGAAAAAAAACGCCCGGTATTTGCCATTGAAAAGAAGAAATATGTCAGAAAATAGATCAATGATCAGCTGTTAATATTCAATTGTAAATTTATTTCAATATCAATTGATACTGTACACTTTACTGGACAAATTCAGTGATTTTTCATCATTAATGACATTGTCAGATACATTGTCCCACAAATATTAGTTTCACAGTCACCCGAGCAATCAATGGAATCAAGCCAAATCGATTAACTGGGTTACATGGCTCAAAAAATAATTTATCCAATGGAAATAACATGATAAGCAATAGCCAACAAAATCTTAACAGTTTAAAGCCGATTGGTAATTTTGATAAATCGATGACCACTTCAATTGTTCAACACGAATCACCTGGATTAGCTAATTCGTCCATTTCAATGCCAACATCTACAAATCAATCCACAATAACGGATGTAAATTATAATCAAGGAGACAGAAAATTATGTAAATCTTTACCTCGCACTCGAAATGGCAAAGAAGATGATTTTTTCAGTGGATCATTAAGAGCTGGTAAATTACCGAGACGCCCATTCAGGTTACAGTCCATTCGAGTTGGAAGAAAAGAAGGCGAGCTTCGAGCTTCTGTGACAAAACACAATTACTAATTCAAATAATCTGTTCTCTTTTTAAAATCATTCAGGATTAGATCCAGTCAATGGAGTCTCAATGATGTAAAAACATTAATAATTATAAGTGTATGTTGTTTAAGTTTAAATATTTTTAACATTTCTTTGGAATCAATGTTTAATTTGTTTACTGTTGAAGTAAAAATATGACCAACTATTGATTGTCCATTTACAATTGATATTATTTTGAATTGTAAAAATATTTTAAACAAAAAAAAGACTAAACATTCAGCAAGTGTTAAAATTATCCTTATAAGTATCAGAAAACATCATTTCAACCAGATGTTTGTTTTTTGAGTACAAATAGTCTACTGATTGAAAAAATAGACTCAATTTAATTACCTAAAATCAATCAATTTCTAATCAAGCAAGATCATTATAACGGACTTGAGATGTTTTATTAGGTTCGGGTGTTTGCTTTCAAATGGTTACCAAAATAACTTTTACCTTGGAATCTTGACCTTGCCATGAAATGATAATTTTGAACTGTAAGACAAAAAGCAATCTGAGTATTTTTCAGAAGATATTGTAAACAAGGTCAAAGGCAAATCCATAGATAATAAATGAATTATATCTGAGGTGATTAATCTTAAAGTGTTCAGTTTGGTTTCTTTAGGAATCCAAGATCAATAAAAACCTAAAAATCAAAGGAAAGGCTCATTTCAACTAATTCTGGTCCTTCGAATGATTTTTAAAGTGTTTTAAAACGACACTTAAATTATAAACACTCGTCCATAAAACTGTATTATTATTGTTTCAATGATTGTTGAAACACGAAGCAAAACATTCTGTAGGATTTGTCAGGACTAGAAAGATTAGGTTAAGTATAAAGTATTTGTTTAATCCTAAATCGATAATTATTTGAGATTCAAATTACAATTGACAATTGATTTTTGAATTTTAGTTGTTTCTTGAAGTCAAATTGATTACTTTTCCTATGTAAAAGCATTGAAATGCGCTAACTGTAGTTACATTGTAATATTGAACTTGTTTCTTGGTCATTCATACCGGAGTTTAATATCTGAATCCCGCATTTAAATTATGAGGCAAATTACGCAAATTTAACTTGAATTGTCGATGTTTTAACCGGTCAATTTTATTGATTATTGATATCTCTTGTAGTGGTTTTATAACAAGGTTAAGGTTAAGTTTGTAGCTGTTTGATTATAACAACTCAACATGGGAAAGTGAAATGAAAATATAAAAAATATATTTTTGGGTTCAATCAGAAATAAGCTTAACCAGAAAATAAAGAAGCAGATTGAGATACAAGAAGCTAATTGTTGATTGAAGTATTCAATTTAACCAAAACTGATTGTAATTACAGGTTATCATTAAAAAAAAACCTTTCAATCTACTTGAACAAGCTGATCTAATTTAATCAAATCACCGTTGCAAGTTGTTAACAATTGATTATATCGTTCATCTTTGCAAGCAATTGGGTACATTTGTTGTCATTGATGAAAGTAACCGTCTCTAACTGCACATATGATTAAGATGATGGTTGTTGTGTAAGAAGAAAACAAATCAAATTTAATTGTAGAGTATAAAAGTTAATTTCAAAGCTAAAACTGAGATCTTTCAAGATGAAGATGGAAATGAACACTGAAATGAAAGTACACGAAATATTTGATAAGGCCAAGGATAAGTCTGTAAAATTGTTGGAAGGTTGAATCAAAATTAAATCATTACACTTGAATTTTTGGTTAAATGGGAAGCAAATTTAATTCAAAGTTTATGTCAAATCGAGTTGTTAATAAACTTAATCACAGACCATTTGACTGCCGAATCAAAATATTAATAAGTAAAAGAATCAATCCAAACCAATCCGATACAATCCGAGAAAGAGTTAGCGAATCACAAGCGTTCACTTGTTACCAGGTTAACCAACAAACAACGGTAACATTAACATTAAGTAACACTACTTCCACTAATTAACAATTATTTTCCTATCGAAATTTATTCTAGTTTTTTTAAATGTGGTTCAAGATATCACAATCAACAACAAATTAAACCAAATGGATTAATCGGAGTCAAAATGTGAATTATTATGTTATAAATTAAATTTGAATTTTTTGGTTTATTTGGTTACCAAGCAAAGGATAAAACATTTGACCGGGAAAGTCAGTCATTACCAGAAAACCAATGAAGGTAAGAGATTCGCTTTTCTCTTTCTATCTTTCTCTCTTTTGTTTCTTTTTATATTTTCTGGTTGCTATGATTGTTAATGATTTGATACATTTGAGTTTAAGATCAGCTTGTGTCTATTTGATTGTGGTGACTGTTTAATTGTGCCAGAGATGTCAGAATAAGTAATTAGAAGTGCGAAGAGAAAAATGTAAAATACATATAATTGGGACTTGACTTGGCATCTAATCAAATCAAGTTACTCATTTGCGTAAATTTGAGTTTTGTTATTTTTTTCTTCAATTGAGTCTTAGTGTGTGTGCGTTATTTAACTGAAGCTCATGATGAAAATGTTCAAAGAAGCCAGAAGTAAATATCGATCGAGTTTAACAGGATCGTGCGCATAGATCTAAGGTTCAGTCAAATAATGAAGATGGTGATTATGTTGAGATGGTTGTTACCAATTTACCAGGAAATGTCCCTTATATATATTTAGGATCCGTCCTCGATTCCATTCTTTATTTTTCCTCTGTCTGAACTGTTATTTTTGCTTCTTCCAGTTAATTACAATTAACCTTTGTGATTGATTAATTTTGTTTTTCTCCACCAACAAATTCACCTTTACGGAATGTTATCGGGTTTACCATTAACATCAAAATCACCATTATCTTCACCATTACCACCAATGTTTAAATTGTTTACCTGTTTTGATTATTTGTTATTACTTCTTTGACCCTTTTTGGTTTCAAACACACACACAACATAAAAAAACAGGCATCAGAATCCAGTCAAAGGAACCATTTACTATTCTTGTTAATCATTTTTACTGTAATATTATTATTACCCTCTTATCACCAGTTTTTCATCAAGTGTCCTTTTTCAGTTGTTTACAAATCTGATTTCTGAACCATCCATAATAACCATATTGTTATTTTGATTGTGGAAAAAATCATCAAATCATTGTTGATCTTATTTTCTCTATTAAGTTGCTTCAATCTATTTTTATTCATCTCCTAATTTGATTAATCATCAGTTTACATACAATCAAGGTTTGTCATTTTCTTCATCATCTTTGGTTAACTATCGGATCCATTTTAAATGCTTGAAAAATCTGAGTTTGAGGATTTTATTTTCAACCAAAATCAACTTTTCTACTCGTTTTAATTACTCTCGATTTTATCACAATCATCAAAATTCCGAAAAGTATATTAACATTTTCACCTTGATTCCAACATTTACTGTATAATTAATCAATATATTCCAGATTTAATATTTGCTAAAAATGATTTGTCAGATTCTTAACATAATTCCTTACTCTGTATCTTTCTCAGCCTTTTTCAATGGCGATGATAGGCTAACCAACACTAGTTACACTTAATTAAGCTATTATAATTATGGTTAATGTTAAGAATATTTTTTCCCAATTGATGTCTATTCAACTCTTAAGGCCAGCTTAAATACACCAATTAACAACATTGAATCAATAAATTGCATTGATGGTTAAATGTCTAATGTAAATCTGAGTAAAGTTTGAATATTAGGTCAAATAATCATGTTACAGTTGAGATTAGGAACCAAACTCATGACTGGATGAGTAATGTTCTTAATCTTTCCTGTTCCTCCCTGATGTTGCCATATTTTTCCTGATAATTTTGTCACCTTGAAGTAAACCATTTTCAACCAAGAACCCAAAAAATAAGCCAACAAAAATTTCCTCTGGTTCAAGCAATCTTCAAGCAAGCATTTTAACAAAATCTCAATCCCACAAACAATTAGATTACAATATTTAACAATTAGTCTTTATTCATATTACATTACTAGAATTGTTTACCAAGCTTAACCAATCGCATCCATTAGCTCAATCAAATGATAATTAGAGAAATATTAACCATAATTATAGATCAGTTCGACATGAACTTGAGACGCAGAGTAGACTTGATTGTTATTGTAAGAGCACAAAATCAAATTGCATCTTTGAGTTAATTGGTCTGATGATTTACAGAAAGCCAATGTTAAACTTTAATATCCTCTGGCTGTTGTGCGAAAAAAGCGTTTTGCTTTTCTCAATTTCAAAGTTGCTGATAAACAAATTTACTATCAAATTATTTTAAATGAAGGAAATAGTTGCATGTAATCTGAGTTGTTTCAATCTTAATTCTTAATTGACCTCAACAACCTTTCGCTCATTTCATTATCTCTTTCTGCTTTCTGTCTATATGATCTTCTGAGCTCTTTGGAAAAAAATGTGTTCTCACTTTCATCACACATATTCACGAAAAATGAGTTAGCAATTAACTTGATTGTTTTCTCACTCAAAATCTCACATCTTTTACTCACTAATTTACTTTCATTTTTCTCTCCTTTTCTTTTAGCTATTTCAATCTATTGCTTTTCAAAATCAAGCCAATTCAATCAAAGGTTCATCTTTCCAGAGGAAACGCAAGAAACAACCAGAAATATTATCACCATTTTCACCATCTTACTTGCAGTTCAACTGTTACTCTGGAAATCAAAGTAACCACCACTTTAACCCTTTACCCTGCTATCATCTCAACCAACACCTAAACTCAACTTCAGTTGATCTGTCTATTGATACCTTTTGGTTAGATGAGTATAACATGATTGATAATATGAGTTTTCCCAATGATTTGGACTCTTCTTCACCATTGAATCAACCATCTCAAGATCGATCAATCACCATTAACAATTTTAACAACACTGACAGTAATTACAATGAAATCACTGACTGGTGGTCTGAAGCTCCGTCCGCACCAAGTCCTGGTTTGGTTTTGTTTAACAGTGAAGAGCAAAGTGACTTGATATTCATTGTGACCATGGATGATCGAGAAGATGATGGACTCAAATTTCCGGGACATTCATTTATAATCAAAGATTCCAGTCCAATCTTTCAGGATATTGTCAATCAAATTGGTCAACGGCAAAAATCACCTTCCGATTCAAAGCCAATCATAAATATTCAATGTCGCCCGGAAACACTTCATAATTTAATGAGGTAAGATTTGTTGTTGGTTACTAATTAACTTTCCAGGTTCTCACCTTTCATTCATTGATCACAAACCGCTTAAATATAAACGCATATTAATTTTTACTCTCATGAAATTACAATTTAATCATCATTAACTTTCTCCCTTTCTCTCCCCATTCAAAATTAATGATGATCATTGTAATGATTTCACTGATTATAATAATTTCTAGTTATCAAAAAGTAACATTATTAGAAGTGATTCCTTTAACCAAGTAAAAACAAAATGATTAATCATCATTGTGTAAATAGTGAGTGATTTCAATTTGATTAATTGATCTTCTTTTCCACCGATGACAACTTCAATGTATAAAATTCAGCCTTTCATTCATTGTATTTATAATCATTATGTCATGCTTTTCACTGAATTTTATCCTTTTTTCCGAACTAATAACCTAACATTGTCAAGGTTGAGAATCGTAATTTTCACAATTTAAACCTAATTGTTTCAGGTAATCATTGTCACCCTTTATTTTTACTCAATTTAATCCTTTAGAGTATCTTGACTATTTTAATAACAGTTTGGTTGATTATGATTTTGATTCATTGTAAATAAAGCATTATTATCTCATTAAGACAGCTATTTGTCATGTTAATTGTTTACCTGACAATCAATTTCTTTCTTGAAATTTATTCTCAAAATTGCTGCGGAAATTCATTGCATTTATGTTAATTGTCAGTATTTTTACATCTTATTTCCTTGTATCAATTGACTTTTGAGCCATTACAGTTTCCTTGGTCAGCTTTCATGAGAAAGGAAGAAGCTGAAGAAGATACATTTGAATATCAGTTTTGCTTGTAACTCTACTCTTGAACAAGCTGGTTTGTGGTCTACGTTTATTGATTTCAATTGATTATCTGATTCTCATCTTTCTATTATGATTTTCTCTCCTAACAGTTACATTTACAAGAAAGAAGTCCTTCTCAACAGTGTTACCCATTGCTTGAGTTTACTTGAACTTTCCATCAAGTTTATGCTGACCGAGTTGACCAGTATCTGTTTAACATTCCTGTGTAACAATGCAACGGAATTCAATGTACTACTTATACTCAGTTCATTAAGCAAGATTGATTTTAAGCCATTAAAATCAGATAAAAAATCAAACACCATGTCAACCCTGAAGGATAAACCAATCAATGATAATAATCCAGATTCTAATGAAACTAGTGATAACAATGATAATTTGGGTGAATCTGTTGTTGGATCAAGGGTCACAAGATCATCTTCAATTACCAGTGTCATCTATCTCAGCTCGGAAGGACAACAACCCCAATTTGTAAATCACAAAGTTCATCAACATAATCATGATCTTCATGGATCCACTGAGATGGTTCAAAATCTTGTTAATGAGCTAATATCACGGTGTTACTGTATCCTTGATGAGTTTGCTGAATCCATCATTTCCTCTGAAGCCATCTGTAACCTTGATCGAGACCTTTTAATGAAAATTTTATCTCGAGACACACTTAAATTGCCGAATGAATTGGTTGCCTTTGAAGCCATCGAAAGATGGTCAATATGCCAATGTCAACGTCAATTGAAGGAAATTACTGGACCCAATCGAATGGAAGTCCTTAAAGATGCCATTTACTCGGTTCGCTATTTAACTATGCCTTTGATGGTTTTCATGAGAGGACCTTTTGCTTCCGATATTCTCACCGAAATGGATAAAAATTATCTCCAATCTAAACTACTTGATCCAGATACTCGTCTTCCTGCTTACATGGTTGGCCGTCGAATGGATGTTAAACGAAAGTGGATTAAACCCAACACCAAGTCACCAGCCCGGCCAATTTCAACACCTTTATCAGCACCTAAAAAGTCTACCTCACAAGCTTCCGTCTCACCGCCATCTTCATCTTCATCAACTGACAATGGCTATGATCGTAAAAAGAAGCCAGCAATTAAAAAGTTTCTCAACGGATTAGGAGATGTAATGATATTCGTTATTCGAATATTTGATTAAATCTTTTAAGCTTAATTTTGCCTTGGAAAAAAGCCAAACGCACTGCAAATATCGATCACGTATTTTATATCGGTTGTCAAATTTCAATCTCGACCGATCTATTTATCAAGATAAAAGCAATTAAAATCATTGAATTGGCAACATTTGGAAAAACGATATCGCTAATGCACATGGATTCACCTCTTGATTTTAGCCTCATTTTTAAGTTTAAACCTAGTTTAATCAGTCTCCGTTCCAATAGATCACTTTTTGGCCTAAATATCAAATTATCTGTTGTTGTAATGTCACTTTTCCCGCTGAATTGTTTACTGTTATCACTGGCAGCCTTTCAATCATTCACAATGTTACCCACAATTTTATTCATCATTTTTATCTGCGCTATTCAAACGATTCACTCCATTGTTTTTTGTTGTAATTTTTTGAATTATTTTAAACAGACAAAGCAAATTGCTTATTCTCGTATCGTCTATTCTCGCTTTGATTATCTTAATCACTTACATTTTATCCTTTAAATACTCAATATTCCATTTTTTTGTGATTGTTATTTCTTCTTTTAAATTACGATTAAACAAAAATATAAACATAATGTGTATGCACATTAAATTGCCAATCAGTGTTTCCACTCATTTTTTAAACCTAAAACCTTTTTTTAATTGTAAAATTGTTCAGTCAAATTGTGTGAAAGCTCATTTGATTTATGAAACTGTTGGTAATGAAAGTTAAATAAATCCTTATATAATTTTACGATTAATTTCTTCTATTGATAGCCTTGTAGATTGTATTAGCAGTTAATAAACATTTAACAGCCAATTCAAACAATAGACATTCAGCTATAAATAGACAAAAATGAAACCAGATTTCATTTTAAAATCAATTCCACCTTTGTAATAATTGAAGTTGTAATAAGAGTTAACTTTTTAATAAGATTGAAATTGTTATAGCAAGTAGATTAATGAATCCATATTATCCATTCAGCGTTTATTATACATTCATAATCAACTTGATTGACTTTTTCAGCTTCGTAAATTAGTTTAATCATATTAGATGAAAATCATCAAAATCGGCTTTTAAATCATAAAACTGAGAAGTCAATCCTTAGAGTTTGGTTAATTCATTGATTTGAAAATTAGCATTTTGAATTGCTATTTTTATACATTCATATGTATAAAAACGTTGGGTTTAACTTCAAAAATCCTCTGAGGATTAATACTAATCTTCTGGCTTCGTGCGAATTACTTGCTTAGAAACCGTGAAGCAAGGACTCATAGCCTTAAAATCCTAGGGGCGCTAGATGTCACCTTTGCGACTATAAAAAGGTCAGTGAAAGTTGTTTGTTCAACAGTCAAGTTTTCGAGTCATAGGCATTCTTTTGTCAAATAAACATTCTGAATTCATTTACTACATTATTCCCGTCTTCTAATTCCCACTTCACAACACACTCACACATCTAAAATGTCTTCAAATTTAGTGTTACCTGTTCTTGCTCTCATCTTCCTGTCAATCAACCCAACTTCATATGCGTTTCCTGCCTTAGCCTCATCCATCTCTGGTACCTCTTTTGCTGAAACTGATTCTCCACTAGTCTTGGATGCACTTGAACCCAGCATGTTACAGGAGGTTCCATTCCCTGATGTTATTTCTGGCTATAGCAAGATGTCCTCTAAAATCAGGTCATACCTACCAGGAAACCCTTTGAAAGGTTTATTCAAATCTGATGAAGATTTTGTAATCGAAAAACCTGAACAAAAACAATCAATAATTGATCCTCGCTTCCTCAAGGTTGCTTCAGCAGGTAAGTTCGATTGTTACTTTTGAAGTAGATTTATTTTCATTGTTGATTTTGCTTCTCTTCCATAAGCTGTTGGGCATTTATTTCCTACTGAAAAGAACTCTGTTCCTGCTATTGGTGCTCCTGTCGTTGCTCCTGTGGGTGCTGTCATTGGTGATAAAGCCAGTGCTGTTACAGGTGTTCCTGTCGGTAAAGCTTCATCTAATCAAAAGTTTGACTTGAACGTTGCAAAAAAAGTTTCAATTAAAGCAAAGAAGCCCAAAAGCTTGGAAGCTTCAGTGAGGTAAGTTGTTTTCAACAGTTTTAAACCTTAATTTTCTCAATTTATCTTTTCTCCGATTTCAGAATCCAACACCCAGTTGTCGGTGAACAATATGGAAGAATTGCATTGGAAGGGATCAATGGTCAATAAAGATAGCCAACAATTGGGTTGATTCATTTGAAATTAAATTAATCTCAATTTTTTCTTCTTTTTTGCCAATCAAATTGTGATTCCCTTTTTGTCACTCAATTTTCAAAATGATAACAATGTCACAATTATTATTATTATTATTAACATTTTCTCATTTCAACAACAATAAGAGTTTTGACCACTACTTTAGGTTGATGTTCAATTCTGGTTAGCTGTAAGCTGACCAAACCTCTCAAGTATTGTGTTAACGAAAGTTGCTTGAAATGTTACGATGTAATTGGAAGCCGATTTAGTCAAATTAAAATTTCAATAAATTATCATTAAAATGAAACCAGATTTATATTATTATACATTCATAATCAACTTGATTGACATTTTAGCTTCGTAAATTAGTTTAATCATAAGATGAAAATCTTCAAAATCGGCTGTTGGATCATAAAAGTGTTGGGAAGTCACAATTATTAAGATTACCAGAAATTTCCTGGTTATCTAGAACAATTAAAGTTGTACTAGTTATTAGGTAAATTGTCATGATAAACAATGAATGTTGATCTAAAAACATGGATTTAGATTGAATATTGAAATGGTTTGTTAACCCATGAACATTTTACCAAAATCCATGAAAGGTTTGAGAGGCGCAAGCACGATATCACCTTCAGCTTTGGCTATTCCAGCAATGAAATCTTTCACGGCAGTTGAAAGTACATGGACTGGGTTAAGATCCTCCATTACCGAAAAGATTGACTTGTGGCTTTCATGGTACTGATAAGGTCCCAATATTTCGGTAAAAGGTGACTTGTGCAATATCTCATGAGTACATAATCGAGTTCGATCTGTGATGGAAACAAGGAAACAAGGAAAAATTGTTAAAAGTTAAAACTGTTTAGGTTAAAACACTAGATTCAATCAGCTTAAATAAGACACTTCAATCCTTAGAGTTTGGTTGATTCATTGATTTGAAAATTAGCCTTTTGAATTGCTATTTTTATACATTCATATTGATAATTTTATACAACCTTATGTTATACCCAAACCGTTAACAGGCAAGTTGATCACTAAAAGATTTACTCTAACATGTAGTTGGACTTAGCCTGGAAACTGAAGGGTTAATCTACCAGCTTAAAACAAATGACACTGACTTGTGATTACTTGACCGAGTGTAAATTTTAAATTTAGAAGTAACTGTCATTAGCTAATTTAGTGTTAGTAAAATTTAGATGTTTATGTTTGTTTACAATTCCCAATTTAGCTTAGCTTGTAACTTGTCTGTGTAACTGTTACAATCTTTGGGTTTAAACATTTGGCAATTTTGAACAGTTAATCAAATTACTTACCACATGCCATTACAGTTGTTTTCTGGAGCATGGACCTGATTGGTTGCATCAATGGTTCAAGTGGTCCAAAATTGGTATAAGATGAATGCTGGGCGATTATTTCGGTTCCACCATGTCCTGGTTAAGAAATGAAAAATCAGGTTAATTTGTTCTTCGGGTTTTAAATTCACGATTTTATCAACATTAATTGTCACATCGTTGTTGAAGGTGAATCTAATTATCTTGATTTCATATTAAAAGTAGATTTGTTACCTTGTCTGTGGCCTATGTGTATTGAAGTTGAATGGACTCCATAAGCTAAGCAAAAGGCGAGAAACAGTTGAAGAGGATTCATCTTGTTACTTATTATTTAGTTTATTATCAAATGATATCCAACACGAAATTAAACAATTTAGTTACGGTTAGCCGATGTTGAAAGACAATCAAATAACTAGAAACAAGGAAATAAATATGATTGTGATTCAAAAATGGTTTTATAAATTGTTTCCAATCGCTTTAAAACATTTTACATTTTACATGTGAACAGTCCCTTTGCTCAGTTTCATTGATAATCAAAACTAGTGATTGCCTAAAGTTCATTACAATCTGGTTTAGAATTACATTGATTAATGCTATTGTAAAGCGCAAATCAAATGCCAATGTCAATTGTAGAGGAAAACCTTTGATGTAATTAACTCGGGATTGATAATTATTCATTTTGGATGTACGTCAATCCAAAACTGATCAAGTCAACTTCATTGTGAAAAATATTCATCTTTGCATTTCACTTTAAAATAAAACTGATCCTGTTAACACTTATAATTAAAGCGAATTAGAAAACAATGTTCAAATAGATTTGATATTTTTGTGTTGATTGCTCAGAAAATTGCTCGATTCAGTCAAACAGTCTTTTTATCGCTCGATTTTGTACTCGTTTATGCTCAACAGATTCGTGAATAAAGAAAGCAATTCAAAATTTATGATTTTATAAGGTTATTATTTTTATTTGTTTGATAGTACAGTTTTTTATTACTCTTAGCACTGCTACTGTTGGTTGATCATAAGACGATGTCTTGCGATCGATAAGATGTCAAGCTTTTAGCTTCAATTTTGACTTCTTGTTAGATGTTGTTCAGCTTTTCATATTTTCCAGAGTTGACAATATTTCGTCCATGAAACCATCGTATCCATCAACAGAGTCACTTTTTGATTGACTTGCTATTTTACTTCCCTGGTTAGCATTTTTCTTTGGATCCAACATGATGCGAAGCATTTTATCGCCCATACCTTTGACAACCTTTAGAGCAGACATTGATTGATCAGGAAGAGATGAGGGTTGACCTGATTGTTCAGGTTTCTTAGGACAGCAAACATAAGGTTCACTGGATTTAAAATCAGGCTGACACGAAGTTGCGCTAATTATTGACCTTTCAACTGGGTTTAAAAGCTCAGGTTGTTGACAGGCTGATCGAGGAACACAGTCATAATTGGCTCGACAAGACGGTAACATCTCATCCAAAGTTGATCTTCTGAATCGCTCAGGATTCCCGTTTTGCCCATTTATTCCAATTTCATCACCTTTGGAAAAATTAAACATTTAAATTAGAAACAATTAAAAGATTTGATGGAGCCAAAGTCAAACTTAAAGACTAATCAATCAAGACAATTTTGAATAAAATGTACATTACCTAAATTGAGGACTCCGAAGATCATGGACATGAAAAATTGCACTATCAATGAAAATATCTCGGCCATGATGAAACAAAATTATGTGATTAATAACAAATTGTTTGGTGGTCTGTTTAATTTTATAAGTAACTTGTTAATTGAAACGTTTTGACTCAAATTCAGCTGGCTACTTATGTTGCACAAATGTTTAGCTGTTGATTTAACACTGAACACTCAACAATTGGAAAGAAGAAATGAGTTTCTTTGCTTTCGGTCTTTCTTTCATGGTAAAACTATAGAGCTGGATAACAGTTGGAATCATCTAAAAATTATAATAATTAACATGCCCGTCAGTGGTATTATCATAGTTAGTAACACAGAGAATAAATCACTCGAAGCTGATTATACCGGAAACTCATAAATCCTTTGAACTGAAGTAATAGCAATGCAAAGTTAAATTATGTAACTAACGATCAACAAATTAAAAAGAATAACAAAAGGCACAATAACATGAAATGTTCATTTGAGTTACGATAAATAGCTGACAGTAAAAACATTCAGCCGACGATCGATGCAAAGGATAATAATGAAATATATTGGCTTTTACTGTTTACATCTCGTCAATAAACCAAACTTCAAATTCGTTTCCTACCTTAGCTTGGTCCTTCTCTGGTGCTTCTTTGGTACTCTATTAGTCTCTGCCACTGATGCTTCGTTTGGTGATGCTTCACTAGTCTATAACACTGATCTGTACTTTATTATGAGCTTTAATACAATGAATTTTAGCATAGTAACAAAAAGTAGCATAGTTTTCACTAGAAAAACATAACTAACACAATTGTAACATTTATGCACAAATTGACACAAACACTGAAAGAAAAATGGACATAAACTAGTGAAAATTAATTTCTTCAAAGTTTGGACTCTGTAGGCTCGTAGTGATATAAAAAATGAGTAGATTGTCGCTATTTAAAAGTTTCTCTGATCAACAGTTTTTGAGAAAATCGAGTTCAAAGTTAAAACTTCGATCGCATTTCGTGCAATAACGGAAGCAGATTTTTTCATCAAACTCATTCCATTTATGTAACTTTTTATGGCAAACCAGAAAATTTACTTATTTTGAGAAACAAAAATTCCGATTTTCCGTAAAACGGATAAGTTCGATTTTCAGTCAAACCGACCTTTTTCTGTGACCATAAAATTTAGAAGGCTGAAACTTATTATTCGTATATAAAAATTGTTACTGCACATCATGAGTTGAATATTTTTTTCATTTTATCAATCATTCTCTTGATTTTGGCCATTGGCCTTAAAAGTTTGAGCCTTAATATATCGAGAATTGTGACACCTGCAATAATTATTCTTTCACTAATCATTAGATTTTATTATGCGCTACAAGAAGTTATGATATAATACAGCATAAAATTCATTTAACGATGAAGATCTTTCTAACTTCTAAGCCTTGGGTTTGAATAACAACATGTCTTATAAAATAAAGCTAAATCTGGTAACATGAGAAATACAATGCTATAGCTTTTTTTGTAGAATCCTGAATACTTTCATATCTCAACAAATTAAAGTGCATAATGAAATTTAATGATTGGTGCAAGAATGATCATTGTAGGTGTTAGCATTCTCGATATATTAAGGTTCAAACTTTTAAGGCCAATGGCCAAAATCAAGAGAATGATTGATAAAATGAAAAAAATATTCACCTCGTGATGTGCTGTAACAATTTTAATAAACGAATAATAAGTTTCAGCTTTCTAAATTTTATGGTCACAGAAAAAGGTCGGTTTGACTGAAAATCGAACTTATCCGTTTTACGGAAAATCGGAATTTTTGTTTCTCAAAATAAGTAAATTTTCTGGTTTGCCATAAAAAGTTACATAAATGGAATGGATTTGATAAAAAAAGCTGCTTCCGTTATTGCACGAAATGCGATCGAAGTTTTAACTTTGAACTCGATTTTCTCGAAAACTGTTGATCAGAGAAACTTTTAAATAGCGACAATCTACTCATTTTTTATATCACTACGAGCCTACAGAGTCCAAACTTTGAAGAAATTAATTTTCACTAGTTTATGTCCATTTTTCGTTCAGTGTTTGTGTCAATTTGTGCATAAAGTCATTGTTTGTTTTTAGCAGCAACTTTGATTAACTGACAATAAGAGTTGAATTTAAAACGAATGAATTTAGAAAGTTTAAGCCTGGCAAGAGAGATTAAATGACTTTAAACTCGACTATTAGCTTTGCCTGAAGCCAAAAGATCAGGATTAACCACCAAAGGATTTGTGAAGTTAAACTCAACGTCTATTCTGGTAAACTGCAAAGATCAAGAGCTTTTAGGAATCATCTCTTGAAAGTTTGGAGCATTAATGAAGTTGAACCAACCCATTAGAAACGGACAGTTCCTAACACCGTGCTCTCTCTCACCACTCTCTGGTCGTTAATGTTGACAGTCTTTGGACTAAAGTTTCTCATTTCAAATCTTTAAGATCTTGTGTTTCTATCGTTTATTAACATCAACTTTTATTCATTTTTGTGATCAATTGTGCTGTTTATTTCGCTAATTTTTGTCACCTTCTGTGTTAACCATTTCAACGATGGAAAGTGAAGTGTGTCAATTTTATGAAAAACGTTCAGTTCTAGTTACCGGTGGCACTGGTTTGATTGGGAAATGCTTGGTCTACAATTTGCTCGCCAATTGTCCTGATGTCGGTACTATATATCTTTTGCTAAGAAAAAAGCGTGAATTTAGTTTTGATCAGAGACGTGAACGTTATCTTAATTATGATATTTTTAAAAATCTTAAAACACCCAATCTATTGAATAAATTAGTTTTCATTGAAGGTGCTGTTGATGCCAAAAATTTAGGTCTATCAAATGATATTTTGTCGAAGGTTACAGCAGAAGTCTCAATTTTGTTCCATTCCGCTGCTTCAGTTGGACTGGAAGCTGGTTACAAAGGAGCCGAGTAAGCATTCAATTCGATTAATTGTTGATTTATCCCAATATTTATAACCTGCTAACCACAATGTGTTTCTCTTCATTTTAATAGACAAGCTGCCAATTCCAATCTCCGTGGAACCATGAATGTCCTCGAATTATGTCGTTCAATGACGAACTTGGCCTGTTTAGTTTATGTTTCAACGGCAACAGCTTACCACTTCAAGTCTCTCATTGAAGAAAAAATCTATCCAGTCCCATGCACACCGGAACAATTTTTATCAGTCATGGAATCAGGTGATGCTAAGGCTATCGATAAATTTTTACGTGAAGACATGAAAATGTTTCCAAATGCTTATACATTAACTAAAGCCTTGTCTGAAAATTTATGCCAAGCTGAGAATAGCAATATTCCTATTTGTATTGTGAGACCACCAATAGTGTCCAGTTCTGTAGCTACTCCGGTTCCTGGTTGGACCAATAAAATGCAAGCCTTTAATGCTATGATTCTTCTTTGGGTCATGGGCTTGAGTCGTTGTTTAACCTGGGACCCTGACACCCGAATCGAGGTGGCTCCAGTTGATTATGTTTGCAATGTAATGATCACGGCTGCCTGGTTTACTGGACAAAAAAGGCCTGTAGACACTGTTCCAGTGTATAATGTGGTCCCTTCGGAGGACAATTCAGTTACATGGAGAAAACTATTAGAATACTCACTAGACGTTGTCTTTGAATCGCCCAGCATTAAAGCAATTCGATGGCCTGGAAGACAAATGATTTCACCCAAGACACCATTTAAATTTTTATATTCCATTATATTTCAACACATTATTTTTGCCATCTTTTCCGATTTATTTCTGATTTGCACTGGTAGCTCACCTCAGTAAGTTTTGTTTACTTTTCATTTTAGTTAACCTTCCATGATATAATTCATTTCTGATTGATCTGAAGTTCTACAAGACCTTTTCTAAAATTGAACTTTAATTTCCAGAATTTGTGCGCTTATGATCAAGATGGTGAATACAATTAAATCAGTGCGATGGTTTTTAACTAAAGACTGGCATTACATCAACACAAATTATTTGGCTTTAACGGACCATCTTAATGAACATGATAGGAAATTATTTCCAATGAGTATGAAAAATATGGACTGGAAATCTTATATACATACTGGTTATTATGGTATCAGGAAGTTTGTTTTACATGAAGATGACGATAACACGAAAGCTGCTATTGGCCGATTGAGAAGGTCAGTCAATTTGATCGTAAAATTACTCATAAAAAGCATTATCTATCAATTAAAAGCCACTAATTCGATTTTTTTTGTATTTCTTTCAAACAGACTAACAATGATAACCAATGGAGCAGTTATATTTGCTTTCCTCATGATCATCTCTATGTGTTTTACTTTATTTTTGTTTCTTCAATACACTATTTTGATTCACGGTCGCTACTAAAAAGACGCAATTAACTCGATTTTGCACAAATCAACACAAATACCGAAAGAAAACTAAACTTGATTTATAAAGTTGAATGATGGATTAGACAAATCTTGTGCGTTAGAAGGATATTCATCATTATACGAACTCAAATTTTATTCTGTATTATGTCATAATGTCTTGTAGCCCATAATAAAATCTAATGAAAGAATAATTATTGCAGATGTCACCATTCTCGATATATTGATGTTCAAACTTTAAGGCCAATGGCCAAAATCAAGAGAATGCTTGATAAAATGAAAAAAGTATGAAATCCATGATGTGTAATAGCAATTTTTATGCCCAAACAATAAGTTTCAGCTCTCTGACTCTTATGGCCATTGAAAGCGGTCGGTTTAATTTAAAATCGAACTTATCCGTTTTACATAAAAGTAGGATTTTGGTTTCTTAAAATAAGTGGATTTTCTGATTGGGCCTCAAAAGTTTTATGTATGGAATGAGTTTGTTGAAAAAAACTGCTTCCGTAATTCAACCAGAAAGTTTCAGCTCTCGAATCAAATGTTCGCGTCATTGTTAGCACTTTTTGCATTTCATTTGTAAGTTTAGCCAGAAAATTGGTAAACTGATAAAAGATAATATAATGATTCAATAACTGATAAAAGTATTAATTCATGAAGTTAACCAACAATTTTGATGTACGAATGTACATGAATTAAAAATATTATGAAATAATGCTATCAGATGGCACTACTTGGATTCAATAAAAGTTTTCAATGTTTATTAATTCAGATACATGTATTAATAGTTTGATTACAATTGTTTGTGTAAATTATTGTGCAGCATTTTATTATTAAATTTTGTAGTTCAAGGTTTTGTCCATCTTGCACATTTTAGACCAGACCACATCTATCAATAAACCTTATATCGAGTCATTTTCGTTGGGATAATGTGTCGTTGATATTGTGAAAAAGGAGAAGTAAAATGGTTTTTTACAGTTTTAAATTTATAATAGTTTTAAGTAAATTAATATCGACTAATTTTTCTTTATTTGTGTTTGAATAGCACTTTAATATTCAGATATCCAAGGATTGAATCAAACAGTCCAAATTTTCATTTCTTTGTACTGAAGACCCCCAAAAACAAACATTGAGTTTCAATGAAATATTTGAATGTTATTCTCAATCAATCCTTTTTCTGGAAATGAGCTCTTCTTAAAGATTGATAAACCAGAAACAGTTTACATAATTTAGAAAGGCTTTTTACTGATTATGTCTTAATTACTGTCTATACTTGATGTAATCTATTAGAGTAAGTTACATGACCAGTGATGATTAATACTGGAGGAAAGGAAGAATTGAAATCCTTGATTGCTGGTAAGATATGATCAAACCTCATTCATAAATGAAGCAAAAAAATTGAATCAACATTTTCAATATTCCAAGTAAAGGTCAGTGACTTTAATTCACCTTGGTTAAAGTTGATTTATCAAATAATCATCTTATTAAATGTGAGTCAAGTTTTGTTGGATGCAACAAAATAGAGGAAAAAAAGTTAACTATCGCAGTGTTATCATGTAATAATGAATCTCTTTTCACTCTCTTTTCCCAGCCTGTCTGTCTTTCAGGTTACCTTTTGGAAATGTGAATTGAAGCCTCTTTTTGGTTACTGGTTTTGATAAAGATGTAATTTGTTGGCGGTGTTGAAAAGCCGATGCGCTGTTTGGTGAGTGTGTGTTTAAAGAGGAAATACTGGAAATGTGGATCAACCTATTGAAAGGTTGAAGCAAATCCATTAGCAATAACCAGGAGAAACAAGATGGTGTTGATGGTTATGGTGTTGGTAGTGTTAATGGTGATGAAAAGACGAAACTTGTAATGCTCAGTAAATCATCTTAAATTAACGTCTTTTAGACTGAATGATTGAGAGTGTGAACTGATAGTAAAGCTTGCTATTTACTTATTATTATTGCTAACACTATTTTGGGAATCTTGTTATTTCTGGTTATTTAAGTTACTAATTAACCCGACAATTTGTGCTTCTTGTATTTCTACCTCTCTCGCCATTCACCTTTAATTATCGCAATTATTTCATTTCTCTTTGATTACTCAAGATTCTTTTTTAATTACAATCCTTTCTTTAGCACTGAATTAAAGGTCAAGTTGATTGTCATTAATTGAAAAACATAATTAAACTCATGATGGATGAGTTGTTTTGGCTTCATCTTCATTCCAACCTTAAGCTAACAAATGTTTAGCTTTTCAAACCAACGGAAAGATTTTCAATCAATTAATTTGATTTTAAATCGACAAGAAATTAACCCGATCTGGTATTTAATTTCATTAGGTAATGAAAAGGTTAATTTTGATTAAGATTTACAAGATTTGTTAGATACAAAATTGTTACAATGTTAACCCATTGTTAATTTTAAACATTGCGCTCCAGATCATTGGCTGATTTATCCAGCTGTAGATTTGATTGGACTTTGGTTTTGGTTTTATGGGTTTAACCAGATTTAGGTTACCTCGAGAGGTTACTCTTTGGGTTTGGGAAACTGGTTGAGATGGTGTCAGAGACACGCAAACAAATGATAATCAATTGACTTTCAAATTTAATCATCGTTTGAAACATTGAAACAAATTTTTTCTCATTTCATAATCTTGATAACTTCATCATCTTCATGAATGGAAACACTGAGTCACGATCATTATTTAAATGTGAATGCTTGTGATGGGTTACATGATTGAACTGGAAACAGTTAACTTTCTCATCTCTATTAGAGTTGATCATTTAGATTTAAACAGATTATCACTTGGCTCACACTGATTTTGGAATAAGAAAAATAAAATTGCTATTCATTTTCGTTTGGTTTCACATTCAATTTTACATTCTGTCAATCTTAATCTTAAATTTTCTCACCTAATTCATATTCCTGGTGATCCTTTTACGGTTAGGTTAATCAATTTAAACTTATTGAATATTTAACTGTCAGTTGAATTGGTTAAATTATATCTAAACTCCAATAGCTAATAACAAGATTCTGTATCAAGTATCTCTCAATGATGAAGTACCTTTTTGTTTGAAAAACAAAAGCACACTTGGAGACGATCTTTACCTTTACATTTATAATTATTGTTGATTTGTTTGCTTCTATTGGGGTTGATTAATTGTAAATGATGATCAAGATGATGGATGTTTAAGATTAATTTAAATGAACATTGATGATGATGTATTGCGATGAGAATTGATTTTAACATAACCTTATTACTTCAGATATAACAAGTTGTTATTGCCAACTTTTGATGGATATTATAACAATAACAATAACACATAGCAAATTTAACTGTATTTAAGTCTTTTAAAACAGATTATCAGGCAAAATTTTCATGATTGATGGTTTTTTAAATTAATAAAGTAATTTGATTTTTAATAAGATTCATATTTATTTGATAAACAACAATTACGATTATTAATAAACAAGGAAACACAGACTCAAATCAATTTGATCCCGATACTGATCAAAGTTGTCATTGTTTTTTGGTCAACTTTATTGCCATCTTTTTGTCAATAGCATAACTACAATTATCACAGCTGATGATTATCACATCAGTTAATTGATTATTATTTTGACCGTTTTTAATTAACTTTATATTCTTTCTTTTTTTGGTGATCTGTTAATTTCAATATTACTTTTGGTATTATTAAGCTTGGTGTATCTTCAGGATTATTTTAAGTCAACTAATGACCATCACCATGACCTGCCTTTATAGCTGACTGAACATAATCTGTCAATCATTTATGGCTCACAATACTCATCATCTTCTTTTATCCAATCATTGGTCAACAATTATTCTAACCATTTGATTTAAAGTTAAGGCCAGTTCATCTTCAAAATGGATGCTGACATCTCATGACTTTATGATGATCACACACAGTAGACAATTATAATTAAATCTATTAATTGTCATTTCCAATGGAACCTGAACGCGTTTGAGTGAATTATGACCCTATTCACCGATCAACTTAATGGTCATGATGATGACAATCAAATTTAACCATCAAGGTAAATTAAGTTGACCAGTCACGAGAAGTGAATATAAAGTATACGCTGTTCAATGCAATCAGAAAAATTGTATTTTTGTTCAATAACGTTTACTTATTTCTTTTTGCTGGTAAAAAGGCAAAAAATAAATCATTCCTAATCAACAACAATCATGGTAATCATTTCATTTTTCAATTGTGTTTATTATATTAGGTTCAAAGAAAAGTACAGATTCATTTGCATTACAAATCTACATTTACAATTGATGGAGCCCACGATGAAGTTACAGAAAAAGATGAAGCGTAATTATTCATTATTACGGGTTGAATCAAGTTGAAGATGGCAAACAATTGGAATAATCTCAATTTGACAAAGAGAGATCATCTATTATTAATGTTTCAACTATTCAGATGGCTGTTCAACCTATCAAGAATTGTTAGAGCTGGAAATTAATCATATTAACAATTGAGAAAGTGATTGTCCTCTAATCAATCCAAGGACAATTCTGTTTTGACGTTGGAACCTTTTTTGTTGCTCATTTTTTGCTGCTTTTTCTGCTGCTGTTGAGTTTATAGTCGTAGGTGATTATTAAACTGCATATTCATGGTTCAAGATTACAGTAACAAGAAAAATATGATTATTATTATATCGTCTATGTCTGTTTAAATCTTCATAAATACACACATACATGCATTATGTGTATTGTTAGTCGTGTACTTTGACTGCTTGATTGCCGATGCAGTTAATGTTTATTCTCACTCAGTTGAAACAGTTGCAGTTGGCTGTTGCTGGTTCTATCATCTTTGCTTCATCGTTTTGCTCCTTTGGATGTTCAGATTCAATTTATCATCAGGATAAGAATCCAAAAAAGATATGAATTTTCTTGGGTAACATAACCTCTGCTAAAAACAGCCAATCTATTGTAACGGGTGTGAAGTTAATTTGCACACAATGATTTTCAGCTAAACTAATCTGTAGTTGATGATCAAATTTCGATTCCAAACATCGTGGAGAAGTGTGGCTTATTCAGACAAATGGTTAATATTATCAACAAGAATCTGAGTGGTATTATGCTAGAGACGAATTCGATACCGCATATTATTCAACAATCTATTATAAAACTTATTCTTTCATTGATCGTCTCCAAGTCAACAGCATGTTAATTGACAGTTGGTAAAGATAGTTTGGTCCAGCTTTACCTTCGCTTTAATCTTTTAAGACTCAAGATAAGAATTTATTTCAGAGAAAAAATTTGAGTCTGAACCAAAATAGCAACATCTAAATATTCAATCAAACTAATTTAATTATTCACATATAATGTGTTATATTTTACATGCTTATTATTTAAACGTATTTACGGTATTATAGCTGTTTTCATGTGCTATCTTGCTTCTAAGATATTGTTCAAATCGGTATGATAGCTGGACAGAACGCTATGTAGAACGAAATCCATGCTTTAAATGTATTTTTGGCAAAACATCAAAATAGTCAAACTTGACTATTCTTATTTCAGCCTGACAATTGGTTAAACTATCCAGATTTTGAAATGAATTTCCCCTAAAGCTAAAGGATTAAAGGATTTGTCCAGCAAGAATAGACCCAATGATTCATAGCTTTAAAATCATTTGCCTAGTGACCATAGATTTGGATGTCAGCTTTCCAACTATAAAAAGGCCAGTGAAAGTGATTTCTTCAACAGTTGAGTTTTCGAGTCATAGACGTTCTCTTGTCGTTTAAACTTTCTAAATTCATTTTCTGTTGTTTCTAGTTTTCTTGAAAACAATTCACATCGTCCATCCAAAATGTCTTCAAATTTAGTTTTCCATATTCTTGCTCTCATCTTCCTGTCAATCAACCCAACTTCAAATGCTTTCCCTACCTTTGCTTCGTCCTTTTCTGGTTCTTCTCTTGGTAACCTTTTCAGTGGTGTTCCCCACATCTCTGGTGCTTCTGTTGAAGGTACACCATTAGTTTCTGGTGCTTCTATTGATGGTAGTCAACTAGTCTCCAATGATGGTCTAGTTGTTGACTCATCTAATGCCGCACAATTCCTTCCTCAAGACTTTGTTGTACCATCAAATGTACTTGGATCTACCATGTTACAGGAGGTTCCATACACTGAAGTTATTCCTGGCTATGGAAAGGTTAAAGGATTTTCATCTAAACTCAAGTCATATTTACCAGGAAATCCTTTCAAGGGTTTATTCAAACGTAAGGAAAGTGAGGAAGATTTTGTTATTGCCGATTCTATCGTAGAAGCTGAACCAAAACAATTTAAAATTGATCCTCGTCTCATCAAGATTGCTTCATCAGGTATGTTTGATCTAGACTCATTAAAGTCGATTTATTTTTAATTGTCAATTGTTCTTTTCTTTTACCAAAAGCTGTTGGACATTTACTCCCAGTTGCCAAGAGTTCTGCTTCTGCTGGTATTGGTGCTGCTGTCGGTGCTCCTATCGGTGCTATGATGGGTGCTAAAGCTGGTGCTGTTAAAGGTGCTCAAGTTGGTAAAGCTTTAGCTAAACAAAAGGTTGTGATAAGTAAGAAAATTGGAGAAGTTGCTTCTGAATTCAAATCCAGAAGTATAGCTGTTGGTAAAGCAACTCTAAACAAAGCTGTATCCAAAATCACTATCAGTCCAACAGACATCAAAATCAAAGAAAAAGTTACAGTGAAAGTACAAAAGCCTAAAAGCTTAGAAGCTTCAGTCAAGTAAGTTATACCCAACAATTGATTTCAAATCAAACTCGTTATACTATTTACTAAATTATCACTTTTATTTTCAGAATCCAACACCCAATTGTCGGTGATCAATTTGGTAAAATCAAATTGGAAGCAGTTCAACCTAAATCCACCAAAAGTGCTTAAGTGCAATAATTATATAAAAATATTATGTATATCAAAAAATAACCTTATTTTGATAATTTAAATAAAAGAGTATACAAAAGAACAGACTTTTGAGTTAAGATTTCGACAGTTCTCTTGATTTCGGCTATTGGTCTAAAAACTTTGAACCTCAATATTTCAATAATGGTAGCACCTAAAATCATTAATTGACCAATCATTAGACTTCATTATGGGCTATGATATCTGGAAATTTTAGTTGATTCAAGAAACATCAAAAAAAGTTATAACATTGTATTACTTAGGTTGTCAGATTTGATACTTGATTTGTACCAATGTATTAATACTTCACCTACAATAAGATTTCTTTACCTTGAACTTTCACTACTCTATCAACATCTTGCGAGTTTCCACCTTTTCACCTTTACTTTTAATACTTGGGTCTAATCGCGTGCTTTTCAGCTTATCTGTCGTAGATTAGGAACATTATACAGCTAATTATTCTGTATGATTCACTTTGCATAGAATCAACTCGTAAACAAACGAATTTCCTTGTCCTTTGTCCAGTAAAACTTGATTTATCAAATTTCAACTTGTCAATGCTTTGCCAAATTAATATGAATCTATCTGAATAGTCTTGAGGCGACGTTTGTTTTCAAAGGAAAAAACATTCAACATTAAACGTCGACCTTGAGTCAATTGGATGAAAGAAAAGACTTGCTGTTAAGTAAGATGTAATCTCAGCTCTTCTCGTTTGATTTGACTAGATGTTGCATAGTGATTTTCAGTATGTTGATTACCTTTTGTTGGTGTATTACATGCACTTGTTTGTAGTTTAGTTTAAAGTATTTTCCTTTATAATATTGTTACTTTCATCTACCTTGTTTAGTTTAATTTTTAGACTTCAACTTCATCTTCATTTTTCACCATGTTGGTTGAAAAAATTATTTTCACAGTTCTCTCCTTCTTCTATGGGTTTGTGGTTTCCCTTATTCTTATCGGCTTTCATCTCTACACTAGATTCAAACACATTCGTAATCCAGACCATTCTAAAAGGCCTGCCATACTCGATGACCCAAAATACGGAAAACATCATACTGTCAAAACAAATGTAAGTCTCTTTTCACCAATTTATAAAAATAGAGAACATTTTCTGTCTTTGGTTTTATGTTTGTATTTTAACCCATGATGTATACTCAGGGTAACCACTAGGTTACCTCCATGGTTATTGTTTATACACCACACTGGCTCGTCAAGTTCAACAGCTTTTTAATATTGTCAGTAGCCAAATCCTCGAGCTCTTCCCTCGGGCTTAATTTCCATAGCTTCTCGGACAGTGGCTTAATCTAATGTATACTCTACCCTTTCTTGTTGATCCAAGTCTAAACAAAGATAATCTTTCCAATAGTCGTTTCTTTAGAATGTCCCAAATTTACCAGAAATTAACCAGAAAAAGAACCTAAAAATTCAGCAATCTAGCAATGATTTCCTTCGCATTTTATTTTTGACTTTTCATCAGCTGATCTATTCACATGATATTTGAATATTTTTTGCAGCTTGATCTTTAAAGATTTGATTTTCTTGATGCTAATTGTACAAAATGTACATTATGTACATGTACATTATCGAAAGCCCAAGTAATATCGAAACGTATTAATTAATCTATTTTAATTTTTAAATATCCTTAATTAGAATAAAAGTATTCATTATGTTGCCAAGGGTAACCCAGATGATCCGATAATCGTTTTCCTCCATGGATTTCCTGATTTCTGGTTTACCTGGAGGGATCAATTGGTTGAGTTTAGTTCCAAAGGCTATTATGCAGTTGCAATTGATATACCAGGCTATGGTGAATCAAGTAAGATCTTGGAGCCTGGACAAAGGAGAATAGACATTCTAGTGGAAGATCTGGTCAAGGTGATCCAAACTATAACTAAATCACCAGAGAAAAAGATAACTTTGGTTGGTCATGATTGGGGTGCAGCTTTATCCTTCTACTTGGCACACGATCACCCGAATCTGGTTGAAAAATTAGTGATCATTAATGGACCTCATCCAGTACTTTTTAAAAAAATGCTCAAATCCAGTCTGAAACAATTTCTGTGTTCTTGGTACATGATGTTCTTTGGATTACCCTACCTACCTGAATTTGCTTTCCAAACATATGATTTGTATGGCTTGAAGAAGTGTTTTGTAAAAGCCGATAGGTCACAGATTATGAGCGAAAGTGAAATGGAACCGTGGAAGTACATTTACAGTCAACCAGGAGCACTTACCTCGACAATAGGCATTTATCGTGATAATATCGGAAAAGATGACTCTAGGTATCGTGGTGATTTAAGGATAAGACAGCCTCTTATGGTTATTTGGGGCGATAGCGATTTCGCCTTAACAACTGATTTGGCTTCTGGAACTGCTAAATATGCCGATAATCTACGACTAAGATTAATCAAAGGTGCTGGTCACTTTGTGCCTCTTGAAGAGCCTAAAAAAGTCAATTCTTGTATTACCGAGTTTCTCAATGAGTTTAAATGATTCTAAATTAATTACTAACCATGGTATGATTTCATTATAATTAATAAGACAAGCAATTGTTTTTAAATTCTGGTTTCTGTTCAAAGGTATTATACAATTTAACAACTTTCAATTTTATGTTTCCACTTCATAAGAAGCTAAAGGCTTGGCATGAAAACAAGTGTTATCGCCATCAAATTTTGCTATTCCATCATCTATGTGATTAATAAAGTTAATTTACCAGAATCCAAATAATTTATTCAACAAATTATTATTTCCCTTCGCTTCCCATAAAGTTAACCCAAGGCACTGGTCTCGCCCGATTGTGGTTAATTACAGTAATCAAATATTCACGATCTTTGAAAATTTGTTCCCAAAGAATGTTACTAAATCACAGAATCACTGAGTTTCATCAACAAAATATCCTTGTTCAATTTATCTGACCTATTAAAGTCTAGTTATGTATTCATTTTATAAATAATGGCATTACAGATGTGTTTCAACAATTCAGGCTAGTTTTTGGGATATCCTTTTCTGGTTGCTTTTGTTTGTTCCATATGCTTTCCCTGAATCTTGAAAATTTATTTCCCTCATTTCATGCAACAAACTCTCGTGTTGTCATTTCTGTTCTGGACAATTCTAGACTAGATTTTCATAGCTATTTTTTAGATTGAACAAGCTTGTCCTTCACTGTTCCATCAACCGCTTATTGAACCTGTTCACCCCTTCGACCCTTTCCAACACCTTGATTGCACTTTTTACCCTAAAGGAAGCAGCTGATGCCTCAATTAAAGGAAAAGTCACTCAAAAGTGAATGTTTAGTTGGTTATGGTTTTTGTGTGTCTACATTCAATTTGCTTTCCTTTACACTGAAATTGTTAGTTACTGGTGTTGAATAATCAATACTCATTATTATTCAAGTGTACCTATTTTACCATCACCATGATTGTTAGATAATTTGGTTATTAATTGTTGAAACCAAGAATAGGAAAGGATGACAAAAATGAAAATGATAACAGAAGCTTATTAGAGTTGCAAGCTCTAGAAGAGTGGTTAACGATGAATTGCTGACAATTATCGGGACAACTGGACAAGGATTCCTAATGATAATGAGGATAATGAAAATTAGGATGATAAAGTATCATACATTGAACCATTATATAACCAAAAGTCAAAGGAAATTATCTTCTCAGGTCAAAGGAAGAAGGAAGAAGAAGACAAGGGAAAGATTAAGAGGATGACGAGAACAAAAGAGACTAATGATTATGAAAATAGTCTCTAGATGTAATGTTATATATTTAATGTTGTTGTTCCCCTTTTTGTTGCGTATTTAATTAGAGGTCATTTTGTTACTTAATACCTTGCCCAATGTTATGACCCTTTGTCCGTAAAATAGTTTTACATTGAAGCCACTTACAACTGAAAGATGGAGGAGAATGATGATCAACAAAATGAAAGATGAACGCCCTTTTGAGTTACCTTTACATTAACCCAAAGCAAGACGACCTAAGAAACAGGAAAAGGGCAAGAAAATGACCTTAACCCAACAGAGCGGAAGGGTGATTTGACTTTTTGGGTTTAACCATTTCAGTAGCTGGACTTTTACCAGTTTCCAGTTTGTAATCAAAAACCATCTAAATACAGATTTGTTTTCATGTTTACCACAATTTAACCAATCATTGAACTGTCAACTCATTTAATATGAATAATCACAATCATTTACACCAAATCAATTGGAACCAGAAAAATATTTACTTTTCAACTCAAAACCCATTTTAACCCAAAGTGTAAAATGAAATTTTAGCTTTCAAAGGTTTTTTTTCACCAATCAAAGGTTACTTTAGTTTGTTGATCAACAAATTAACAAAACCTTGAAATTATCTATTAAAATGATCTCAGCGTGATTAAATCAAACAGGAAATTAAATTGATTCAATCTTTACTCAATTGTAATAACAATAAACTCAACAAGTTTAATCAAATTGAAAAGGTTAACCCGAAAATTTAAAGCTCAAAATTGAAATAATGTTTTCATCTCTTTATCATTTTCAACATTATACAAAACCATACTAAATCATGTGATTAACTATGAAAAAAGTCTGATTCTTTAGTTGATTATTTCAATTGATAATTATCTTCATTCGTCCAGGTCAATCAAGGTAAATTCAAGTGAATATCAGGAAAACAAATAAAAATCATTATCAATTTACCAAATGACAATTATCATGCAAGGTAAACAATTAGCTTTGCAAAACAGTCAGATTCAACCAAATCAATGATAACCTCAATGAAACTTCAAAGGTTCAATATTTATTGTCCAGTAAATCAATATCAACTGAACCTAATAAAATGTTTATTGCCTATTGTAAAGCAAAATTTCAATGGTCAATAAAGATGGCCAACAATTGGGTTGATCCATTTGAATTTCAATTAAACTCAATTTTTGCTTCTCTTTTTTTTACCAATCAAATTGTGATTCCCTTTTTGTCACTCAATTATCATTCATTTTCAAAATGATAACAATGTAACAATTATTATTAACATTTTCTCATTTCAACAACAATAAGAGTTTTGACCACTACTTTAGGTTGATGTTCAATTCTGGTTAGCTGTAAGTTGACCAAACCTCTCAAGTATTGTGTTAGTGAAAGTTGCTCTTAATGTTACAATGTAATTTGAAGCCGATTTAGATCAAATTAAGTAAATTTCATGCAATTCATTCATACTCATCATTGTTATTCCCAAGGTTTACCGATAATTATTGTTCAATTACAATGATATCACACAATTAACATCAATTGTCACTGTTATTAGCAGCCTATTATTTGTCAATTATAACCATATTAAGCTAGTACAGTAGTAACGGGTAAATTTCAAGGATATACTGTCTACTCATGGCTATCATTGATGAAATGAGATTTGCATGAATTGATCAGCATGAATAGTCAACATTACAATCAATCAATGATATTAATTACAGGCAAAAAACAAGCAAAGCAAAAGGTTAATATTACAAAGTACAAAGTACAAAGTACAGTGTAAAGTGAAGATTTGTTGATTTATTTTCTTCATCAGATAAGTAGCAATAATATTTGATCATTTATGATGATTATGAGTTTAGATTGGAATCATTTCAAGATTTGATTTTCAGGTCAAAGAGCGTATTCCTCCTGAATCTGGAGGCCTCTTCATATTGTATGGTCCAAGGGTTGAGGCTTACATTGAAACCGTAGACTTAACATTGAAACCCAAAACATTGATATTTCTGGTTAACAGTTGAAGCTTTTTTTAGTCTCACTGGTTGATCATCAAAATTATCATATCTTAATAGGAAAATATAAATCACAATTAAAAACTGAAATATTGTCCTTAGTTGGTGGAATAGGGAAACGTGATTAGAAGGCCAAAATTAACAACAATCGAGTTAAAAACGCAATAAAAGCTGCCTTTTTTTTTGAGGCTCAACAATACGTTTACCAAGATGATGAATGAACACTTATAATGATTACGATGGTTATAACACAATGGAAAGGCTGAAATAGAGAAAGCAAAGTGGATAAATGGTCAGGAAGTGACCTTCGGATAACTCTTGTGTTTAACAGCAACAGCATGTTGTTCAGTCACCATTTAATCTTCAGAGTTAATCTTTTCATGAGAACAATTCAGTTAATTGTGATTAAGGAAAGCATGAAAGAAGATCAAATGACGTCTAATAAGGTAGAGGTAAAGCTAAACGGTATATCCTAGGTTAAGACCAAAGCTACAATTATTAGGTGGATCATCAATATGATCATTAACGTTTTTTTTAGTCCATTTAGTTGTCCTGCTTTTGTCAACATCGTGAGAAGACGCTTTTTAATGGCACTTTTGCGGCCTTCTTTGGCTTTATTTATAAATATTGAGTCCTTTTTATATCTATTTCATCGTCATTGACATCTTTCTCCGTCTCTTTTCTGGATCATTTTGATGGGTTGACTTGTGTTAACAATGGGGTTATGTTGATGATCATCGTGACAATCATTATTTTACAATGTTGATTCCTTTGCTGGTTGGATTATTGCCTTAATATTTGTGTTTATTTTTTAACCATCATTATTAATTTAGCATCATTTTCATGGTTCCTTGTAGATGATGAGTTTACTCTTTTCTTTTCTTCCTATTCCTCCATGTATATTGGTGAAATAGAGACATATTTTAAGTTGACATCACCATTAACTAATGATTATGATGATCATGATGTTCAATTTGACAACAGTTTACATTGTAAATGAGGAAGTAAAAGGTTAAGTGTTGTTTAGTTGCACCGTGTTTAACCATTAGGATAAGGTTAATTTAGACAAGACCATTAAAAATTTAAAGAAATCATCCAAATATGCTGTTTCTCACAATCTCAAGGGAAACTTATTTAATTTCATTCAGAATAACTATTCCGGTTGGAATCATCAGGAATTTCAGATTATTTGTTGCTACAAAAGAAACACAATAATCCTACAATTACATTTGGAAACAGAGAAAAGCTTAATTGTTATTGAAACAAGATATTTTTAGGGATGAGTTTAGAGTTTAGTTTATGTTTGTTTTATTTCTTGCTGTTTTCACAAGATTTCAATTACGATTAGCTTTAATTAGCTCTAGTAATAGCCGCTTGACCATTAGCTGACAAGCTTCCTTGTACTCTCATCATATAATCAACGAAATGACGATGATAATACGCTGTGCAATAATCGTTATGGCCCATATGTTTGATGTTGTGTGATTTGAAGGACTTTGTTTTAGGCTGAATTGAAGATTGTGATCCGTCCAATGTTGACCCATTTGTTACCAAACAAACACTTATATTTAAATAACGAGCTATTTTCATGAGTAAAGTATCGTATTTTCACTTTCAGGTAAAAGCAGTAATCGTGTTATCAAATGTTAGAGGCGATTCAGACACCAATCCATTAGCGTCACAGACTCAGCGCCCTATCTCTACAGACTGGTTTGCTGTTGATCTTTCAATCCAGAAAACATTGCATGAGATAAAAGGATTGGACGATAATATGGTCTCTTAAACATGCTTTCACTGGCATCCTTGAAATCTGACATGAAAGATATGAAAATTGCTTTACATGCATAAGAAAAAGATGGACAAGAAATCAAGTTGTACCTTTGAATAGCTAGTCAATTATTTTCAATTTCACTTGTCAAACCATTACATTTGATTACACATTGGAATGACAACTGATGACAGTCTAAGATAACCATTATCAGCAGCTAGAAGTTTTGGAAAAAGTTCACCAACTTCTGAGTTTATGTGTTTCCTAAACACGGAACATAAAAAGATGAAGACTTCGATCAACTCTATCAACAAACAACCAAGCTTATACAATAGCATGATTTGCTATTTTACCATTTTATTGATTCCAATGTTGTTGGTGTGTAAATGTTTTCCCTTTATCATTGTAAATTGCCTCAGCTAGTAATCCTTTGTTGCCCTGTTGAGGTAACTTTCATGTTCCAATTCAATTTGAGTATAAATCTCAATCATTTTCAATTCAGGAAGCCTCTTGCTTGTTGCTCATCATCGCAAAAGTCCATTAAAGCTGATATAAACATAGCAAGATGTAAAAGTAACGGTTAAGCTTTGTAAGCATCAGCTATTCCTAATACTTACGAGGATCCTCCAAATTGAATGCTTCAAAATATATCCAAGCTTTTTTATCAACGCTTCCATATCCATATGTATATCTCACGATGACTTAAAGACTTAAATATTTAACAGGCACTTTGATTAAATCATTTAATTTTTCTCTAAATGAACAAAAGAAAGTTTATATCAATCTCTATCATGTAAATCATTGAAATAAAAATGAAAAACTCACCCAAATTCCCAACGTCATTCCGTTCCATCTTTGTTGAATTAAGCCAAAGAGTAAGAGCTTCTTTGCTCTTTGATTAAGCCTCGCTCAGATGATCAAAGAGTGCATTCATTGGTTGTCTAACTTCACCAATCACAAGTCACACTGCAACAGCTGGATTATTTGAAAAAATGAAAATCGCTCAACAAATATAAATAATTTGGTAAACTATTGACTCTATTAATTGTTTTTAATCTTAATTTCAATCATTTATTTAATCGTGTGGTAAAAGTGATTTACTTCTAATGACCTGTAACCAAAAATTGGAATCAACTTGATCTTGACTTTTCTTTTAATGCTTGGCTTGGTCAAAGGCAACCTAACAAGATAACAAAACCTGACCAACAACCAAAATAGACACTAATCACTATAGTAAATTAACTATTCGTGATTATAGTAATCCTCTACCTTTGACCAGAAGTTTGGAAATAACATGCAAAAAGGAAACGTTCATTAAAACCATAAACAGTTAGCAATTAAAGAGGTAAGTTAATCCACTTTTAATTGAACCTGTTTCAACTATTGTTTCAATTGTGTTTATGTGTGTGTGTGTAATACATTGACTTAAAAATATTACTTCTATAAGAAAGTAGACACAAAAAGTTGCATGCTCATTTAATCCGCAAGACTTGACCTCATCAACCTGAAAGTTCAACACAAAATCTAATCATCTTTTTCTGCTTCCACCCTGTCTACAGGTATTTGTTTTTTTCTTCAGCTTCTTACCGGTGACAGAAGAGGACATAAAAAGGCCTGGAAAAACGTCAGAGTTATCATGAAGGAGAAGGTGATAGAAGCATAATGAGTAATGCTTTTCTCGTGAGAAAAATTTATTCTAATGATGATGGTGTAAAGAATGAATAAAGCGTCAAAGCATCACCCATAGCTTTCTTCAGATGAATATATTATTACCCCTGATTTGGTTAATGAATCAACTCAACAATCTACAATATTCATAGTTCCAGTAAAAGCTGCCAAATGTCAAATGCGTATTCATAACACTTGAAATGTTCAATCATTTTGAAATGGGTTCATTGAAATGAAATTTTACAATTTCATATTGCCATTTGAACAGTTGAACTATTCAACGGAAAAATCTCAACGAGATTGAATAATATTAATATACAGTAGAGTAAGTTAGTAAGTGAGTATTTCATTGATGTATTACATGATAACAGCAATAATGGAAATTAATGATTTCTTTTTTTTATACTTAAATTGAATTGACCAGTTGATGAATTGATGACCGTAAAGCGTTTCCCCAAATTAATTGGTTTGCCGTGTTACAATTAATCTTGAAATGTCACGAGGCCAAAGATTATTTTGCCATTTCTGAACTGAGCTTTCCTGAACTCCTCCTCATCAACACTATCATCAATCTGATTCTTCATTGTAAGTCACCTAATTCCCTTTCGAATTGGATTAATCATGTTTTATTGTTTCCTTTCTTTAGACTTTCATTTTTCCTTTTCTCTTCATTTACTGGTGTTGGGTTAACCAGTATGGTCAATCTGGTGGTACCATTTCTGGTTATCTGTATTCATGGCTTCATCTCATCTTCTGTTGCTGGTTAGATAGCAAATCATTGTAGACACGAAATGTTGAAATTTACCATCAGATTACCTGTTGATTCTGGCAACAGTATCTTGTAACATTTCATGATGAGATTTTAAATTGTTACAGTTATACCTGTTGCTGTATATTGATGTTGTTATTAACAGTGTTAATCTTTGATCGGATACAAAAGAAACACTTTTCATTATTACAATTAATAAGCTATTAATATACACACATCATAAACATACAACACACATACACGTACAATTTAAAATTTTCAGATCATCAAATCATAATTTTTACTCTTTTTTTTGTTATCTGTAAACAAAGTCTATTGAACTGATTGTTGTTCATAACAATAGCATACAAGCTATTCCAATTGATTATGAACCTATTAATGAATCAGCTTTAAAAAAGTATGAACTAAATTTTGATTAAGAGTAGGAGGATGAAAGGATGATGATGATGAAAACAGATTAACCATACAATTCATTGTAATTTTGGTTGGTAAGACATGAATAGAGATGGTCAAGATAGATTTAGTCAACTCTCATCTTTATACTGGTTGTGATTAAATTTAACAATAAGGTAAAATTGAGATTATTAGATATAATTGTCAGTGTTTATAATCTCAATTAAGTTACCATGAGTACAAAAATAGCCTTATTGGGTTCAATAGATATCAACTGAAGAAAGGTGAAAGAGTTTCTCAACATCCAAAACTTTGTAACCTGGTTTCTGATTTGATTAGTTTTTGGTGCTTTATTTGATCAGACAAATTGATTCTGTGTTGATTAACATGAAAGCGATCAAAATTAATGTTTATCCAATGTTTAAAATGGTGGCGAAAGCTTACAATTAGTTGTAAATTGTTATGACTGGCTTCAATCTTCAATACCTATGTGAATCTGTGAAGATGTGATTGATGCCATTCAATCTGAAATACTGTTATTCTTGGATTGTTAGTGTAAACGGTCAAATTGTTCAGAGTTAATATTAAACCTAATGATTAGTTTTGATCTACTTTATGTCACTTTGTAACCAAACCCATCAATTAAAATTAAAATTGATTACAGTCTTTAGCCATTCGTAAGTTTTCCATCTTTAGCATGTTAAAATCATTTCTCAACCTTTCCTATTTTTTTCTTGATTAATACAGTAACCATTCAATTGTTATCATCATCTTCATCTTCATTTTACCTCCCTTTTGGCTTTTAGTTTTGTACTCACCATATCAACAATCATAAATACATTCACTCACATTATAAACATGCAAACAACTCAACATGCAAGTTCAATTCAATTTTTTTTCCAGCGAATCAGTCGTTCAATTGTAACCATAATACAACAGGTAATAATGTGAAACACTCTTGTTGCCAAAATAATAACATCTTGATTAACATATATAAGAATTTTATATAAATGCTTCAAATCATGATGAGAATGAGAATTATTTTTGTTACCATTAACCATGTTATTTACATAATTTGTTTTTACCCCATTTTATGGATCGAAATAATATCGTTCTTTCTATTCTCATTTATGTCGAGACTTGTAGCTGATTCCTAATGAGGCTTCATTAAATCACTAATTTAATTGGAATTAGATGTTAACTTTTTTTCATCCTGATGAACCAATTGTTGAGTTGAGAGACAGCAAATGTTGAAGATGAAATAGTCTGGTCAAAGATTGATGGAGTAATTACTGCTGGTTAACGTACAACAAGTTTGAATGTGAAACCACCAAATTTGATAATTGTTCAACATTTAATAATTTGCTTGTTTCCAAATGCTTGGTCAAGTATAACTTTGAATGCAGGTAACTTTGAATGGTAAACAACGAGAAAAATGGAGAATGGCAAATTGTTCAGATTTACAGTTGGCTCATTAAAGTGAAGATGGTGAAGATGGTGATGATGGTAATGATAATGTTGATTGTAGAGAAAATAATGGATCGGAACTGTCAATTTTGACTGACATTGAATGAAAAACAAGCAAATTAAATTGAACAGTTTCATTTAAATCAAATTTTTCCACAGAAATCAGGGTGAGGTTCATTTGTTAATACTTCTTCTCCCCTTCATCTTTTCATCAACAGTCTGGTTTTCCCTCCCTCTTAACCAAGAAATCTTGATGATGATGATGATAATAGCTGATGATCAAGAAAAGGAACCCCAAGGGACTAAGTTAATTGTACTCCAATCTAAAATAATAAAGAGAAAAAAGTGAAAAAAAATAAGAGTTAACATTAAGTCTCCTTTCAATCGATAATGGAATTGAAGATGAAAGATGAAATATTAAAGACAATGGGAAAATATATATATTTTTTTCATTTTGATGCTTTAGTTTTTTTTTCAAAATTCACTGAAATTCAGACGAAAGGGAATTTTTCACGCACTAAGAACCAGTGAGAAAGAACTAAAAGCAACCAGGCAAATAGAAAGACAGAGAAGAGGGTGGAAGAACGTGTATAAAGAATAAGAGAAAAAGGGAAAGAGATGATTAATTTTATTCACCTTCATCACCAAGCCATGGAATATGAGGAAAGGGCTTCATGATGATGATGATAAAGATGATAGTGAAAGAGAGGAAGAAGAGATGGGTCGGTCTTGAGGCGGAGATAAACAGCCAGAATCTGGTTTCTGACGGAGAGTCTATCTTTCTCTCTTTATCTCTCTTTCCCTTCTACTCTCTCTTTTGATTTTTTTACATCGCAGACGATATTTTACTTTTCACCCTTGTATATTCAACAACTTACCTTTTTTCATGACATCCTCCAGGAATCGAGGGAATCCAATAATCAACTAGATAATTGGACAAATTTTGTAAAAACTCATTTTCCTCTGGACCCAACTGTAAAAAGTAAACTGTTATTCATCGACCTTTGACTGTATCGGAGTGATACTTTTATATCTTGATATTTGATCTGCTACTAAACGGATATTAATCCATCTGGTTAAACCATTCCTTCATCGATCAACTTTCACCATTTCTATTAACTTTTATTTAATTTAATCAGCCAAAGTTGACTTGTTTAATTGTTCAATTGGAATTATCTAATCATCTAAAGTCTTATCGTCATACACTTTTGTTGTTCCGTCTAGGAAGTTTCAATTTTATCTTGTTAAGGAGACTTTTTTGATTGTTTTTTTGTGAGTGTTCATCTCTTTTATTCTAGGGTCATCTGCATCATGGCCCTTACTCCAAGAATTAAATCAGCTATCTTCTTCACCTCTGGATTTATTTTATTTACTGTTTCAGCTATAGTTTATACCATTTATAATCACAAAACTCATTATCAGGTAAGCTTGCATTTCGCAAAGTTTATTAATATTATCCAGTAAATCTAATGAAATGTGATCACTAAGATATTACTAATCATGACTTTAAGATACGACTCATCAACTAATCAGAAAGACATACCACACTCTTCAAGCCCAAATAATAGTATAATTCTCATGACAACGCAGTTGCTTGAATCGAGTTTGTCAGAATAAACTCAGCCCGAAGAATAGTCTACTAAGAGTTCAGTTAAATACGAAACTTGAGCTCTAATTCATCATTGCAAAATCTCAAGATATATGTGACTCACAATTCAAAACAAGAGACGATTCACTTCGAAAGCCAACTCGAAATTTGATAATTTCTACTTGATCCTTTACAATCGACTCAAATTTAACACGAACTTTGTACTTCTAGTTTAATTAATTTTTGTATCTTCTATTTTTTCTCGTCAGTATGGTGTTCTTATTGATTCAGGTAATCCAAATATAACAATCAGTTTATATCGCTGGCCTGTTGATCGTTACAACAAAACTGGCCTCGCTGAATTAGCAGAAACATGCATTTCAAATGATTTAACCGAGTATTTGGCTAACTCTAGTGATTTATCACCAGTATTTCAACCCTGTCTCTCACGTGTGATTGGGTCATTGGATAATGATGAACCAACATCAACATCTTCTGCTAGTCAATTATTTTTCACCGTTTCAGGACCATTATTCTTACTCAACATGACATCACACCAAGAAGTGTCGTCTTTGGTTGATTCAGTCTCAGCCTATTTATCCAACAATACCAAATTGAATGTTCAACCAGTTACCTTCATTGGCGATGAAAACGGTGCAATTTATCCATGGATTGCAGTCAACTCTCTTGAAGCTCGAACCCATTCAGAGTCAATCGGATCACCTAAACATTCTGGAGTAATTGAAATATCATACACCGAGTCATCTATATCGCTTGAAGTAAAAAATAAATCGCTAATTCCTTCAGAACAAGTTAATTCTTTGGTTGATATCAGCTTGTTTGGTAAAAACCATTCACTGTATGGCAAGAAATATTCCTGCTTTGGTAGTGATAAAGGTCGTCTTCGATATATTACCGAGTTGATTGTGGATTCTCGTGAATCAACACTCGGTGATCCATGTCTTCCAATCGGTGTTAATCAAACAATCAACACACAGGATTTAATACAAATGCGAGATCCATGTTTGCACACTTCTAAATCAATGGAGTTGAACAAGGAATACACTTTGATGGGTAAAGGTGATGGACAAACCTGCTCAAAAATGATCTCAGATTTGCTTGATAAATCAAAATGTGAAGATAATCCTGCCACTTGCTACAAATCACCTTCCATTGCTCCAGATGATGTTGTATACACTGCAGTAGCTGACTTGCTTTACCCCGTAACTGTCCTCAAATTACCAGCCAACCATTCAATTGACGAGAACGATTACTTCAATCAATCCATCTCTTTGTGCGGAATGTCTCGAGATGATTTACTAATTACATCAGGCGGTAAACTTGCTCCAACCTCTCTGTGTTTCCAATTGCTCTACAATTATCACATAATCCAGGATGTTTTTGGTTTAAAGGGTAATTGGTCCAAAATTGTGTTTGATCCCAGTTTGAGAGGAGACAGTACAATCAATTGGTCAACCGGATTTATGATTAACGCAACCTCATCAATACCCAATTTAACGGCCCCTAAACACTGGATAAGTACAATCTGTTGTATTGTATTAATAACAATCGCCGCAGCTTACTTGGTTTGTGGCTTCTACTTCCTAATTGCTTCATTGAGAGCTCAAAGAGTACCTAACAAGGAAATTTATCAACCAATTCAACAGCAACCTCAACCATAATTATAATTAACTATTAAGAATTTTTTCTCAGTGTTTTTGTGCATTTATTTTCCACAGAGCGTTTCTTTACCAATTGTGTATCAAAACAAAAAGAGTACGATGTCTAATGTCAATATATTAAGCAAGAGAACAAGAAAAGTGACAATACAAAGTTATCATAACTATCAAATTTAATTACAATCTGTTCATCAATCTTTTTTTTCAATTCCGTCTCATCTTCACAATGTAATAACAAAAAAAAGATCAATTTTTGCTTTAATAATTTCTATCTCCATATTTTTGGTAATTAAAAGAGATTCATATTTTCAAATGTATTACTACAATCAATACAATTCAGATTCATGTGTATTCAACACCTAAAAATGGATCCATTCAATGTAATTCAATATTAGACATAGCCATGGCTAATGAATGATTAAATCCAGATTAGGTCATTGGGAATTGTTGTATTGTATAACCAATACATAACATCCATATTATACTCTGTATAACAAGGGCACTTTTTTAATTGATCAACAGATTTTATTCTAGTGATTGTTATAAAAATGAATAAAATACCAACACCCAATAACAATTGAACATTCAATCAAACTCAGCATCTTTCCTATTCACATGCTCTTTTTTACCTTGTTTACCTGTCATTTATGCTGACCCAAGTTTACAAAGAGGTTTGAAAAAGCTTGTTAGATTCATGTTCCTATTCAATTCAATTCATTGTTTGTTTCCCCTTGCCATGAATTAACAATTTGATCAAACTGTGAGAAGAAACACACTTTTTTACCTTCTCTCTATCAATTGGATGAGTAATTGTTAACAAACAATCAGTAATCATCAAATGTTTGCCTATCAGGATTAAACAGACACACACAAAATAAATCATTGGGAACAGGTTGAACCCAAAATGCTATTAATTTAACTGTAATCACTCGTAAACATTTGGTTTTTGCTATTTTAATGCTTCATTTCCAGACTAAATTAACAACCAAATTTTTGAAAATTTGTAGTCATCAAATCACTTATTATTTAGCATTCATTTGGTTATTTGTATTGTTTGGGGGAGTTTATATGCCAATCAATACATGAATGAAGGTTTGTTCAATTGTTAAAACAAGTTGAATAGTTGTTTATTCACATATAAAGCGAAATAATAAAATCAATAGAAAACATTATTTGTTGACAATTAACTCATTGTTTAACTTTAGCTATTAAATCAAGCCAGCAATAAAAAAGTAAACCATAAAACAAAACAAACGGTTCAACAGTTGTTAAAATTATGGAACGCAAAGGGTCCGCAAGAAATAGTGGGAATGAACATGAAATTAATTTTGAGAAATTGAAATCCATTTTTTGAAATTTTCAACGTTTTCGACTCAACACCATTCATCAGATTAAGTCCAAAAAACTATTAATAGCTACTTCAATAGTTATTAGTTAGCAACTTTAATACTTTCTTATGGTAAAGTTTTCCTAAATTTTTACTGACCGATTTTGCTGTTCTGGAAAGAATTTTTACCTCTTGATATGAACAAGGATCGAAACACTTAATTTCATCATTTTGCAGCTTCCGTCTCTGACATCGAAGGGTTATCCGCATAAAAATCTTGCACCGCAATTGAAACTTCTGGAGTCATTATTTTCCCCGGTCGATCTGTGGATAAAATTGTTTCACTCTTTTTTCATGTTTATACCTTTTAATGAGGTTAAATGCTGAACTTGGAGTTCCTTCTGTCTTGAAGTGTTGCCAGGTCACTTTAGAGCCAAATACACCAGAATGACAATAAAATGAAAACACTATTTTTACGAGAGCACCGCGTTCGACCTTATCAAGTATGTTTGATTCACGAAAATAAGTCTACTTTTGGTATCAAATTAATCAAAAGTGTAATCTTTTATTTTATAACTTATTTTTAAATATCCTTGTTTAGTCCTTATTTTTACCTTTTATACCGAAATTAATTCCCACTTTTAGGTAAACTTTAAAAATCAAAATTAAAAAGCGCTCAATTTGAAGCTCGCAATAGACATAAATGGTGAAGTCTAAATTAACCCAATTTAATTTCAATTGAACTGACCGTTAAACGAATGATTCAACAGCCAATCTAATTTAATTTCTGAAACAAGGAAAAATGGTCAAGTTTATTGGATATTTGAGTTGTGATTAGAATGATGATGAATGGAAACAAATTAGCCAATGATTAAAACGATAATTTACCTTTTAATCATGTTTACATGTAAGTTGTTGAGCTCTAACTTTATAATAAATATTTATTTGTTAATAAATCATTTTTGTGGAACTAATTTTTTAGATAATTGTTTAAATGAACAACAACCAAAAACGGGATGGAAGGAGAATCCAATTAAATTAACAATTACGCCTGAAACAATATAACATTAACAGAGAAGAATCATCATTACAATTGAATTGTGTTCACCATAATTTGTTTTACTTTGAGTAGTACCAAAAAAAAAGGTGAAAACAATAGCAAGAAAATGATTACCTGATTATCCGAAAATAATTTGCTCGCATGATTTTTCTTGCTGTTTACCTGAGCAAACCTTTATGCTCATTGATACACTATCTGTCATGGTTAATTGTTTCAACCAACTAATAATAAGCTTTCATTTTCAATCAACCACCCAGACCTGATAATCTTTATTAAATTGTCCTTGTTTATAAACAATAAACTCCTTTAGTGATTTTAATTTCATCTTAACCTTGGTAAGACAACCTTAAATGTATTTCATATCGACTTGAGCAACAGATCCATAGAAACCTATTGTTGGTGTAAAAAACTGCAATCTAATTAGTATTTTAAAATGATTGCTGACTGATTGAGATTTTTCACCAATAATTTATGTTGATTGAATGCAGGAAAACAGCTTATTACCAATGAAATTATGGATCTGCGGTTGAAAGCCTTCTTTTACTTTCTTGGATTGTCCCAGCCTTTTGAATAATATTTGAACATAAGACCGATTGTTTGCTCTCCATTAGAAACCTTTTGTATTGTGAATAAATAGTGGATAAATTGCTCTGTAATCATGATGTCAACGTATCTTTATGATAATTGTAACATTAAATGGTAATTTAGGGAAAAAACATTTGCATGGTTCCATTCCAATGAATCCTGGCGAGTCTTTTGTAATGTTAGTCATTTTCATCAATATTTTACTGATGACATTTTTTTGTCTTTACTTTCTTTCATTGTCTCCCTTTTGAATTTTTTTTGTCATCCTTTTCCCTCCTCCTTTACCTCAACCAGAATATTGTGTGAGGCGATCAAATACTAGTGTTGGTGAAAGTAAAAGCTAAAAAATAGATGCAATTAAACTTCACTTTTGAGTAAACAGATTGATTGTCTTTGAAATTGTATATAAACAATCATTTTATGGATCATCACTAACATATTTTCAAATCTATCTGAGGACTTGGATTTATAATAGATGAACAAAGTCTGCTATTCATGAAGGAAGAAATGAAGTCACACTAAATTGTTAACAATGAACTCTAAGTGCTTTTAAATTTCAGAGATGGATCGCTTAGATACAGATGTGAAAGACTCTGAATTTGCAAATACAAATAACAAGGCGGCTGAGACTCGAGCTCGAGTCATCATTAGTTCAATTGTATGAGCCCATTCAACGTTTCCCCAAATACTTGTTTGATATTCAAGTTCTAGTCTTGATAAGCTTACAGCTTCACTAACGGGTACATGTTTATCGATGAGAGCCAGAGCAAGTATTACTGATTTCAGGGATTCGGCTATTGATTGGATACCAAAAAGTGACCAAAGATCATAAGAATGCAAATGCCGTTGAATAGTTGTCTCGGTATGCTTTGGGATTGGAGGTAAGAAAACATCTTCAGTGAGAGGAACTTGACAATCGTATCGATTTTTAAGCCAATGTATTATTGGATCCCAACGTTGGCTTTGTAGTTTATATAAATCAATTGGTTCACGGAATCGAAAGCAAATTGTATCAGTAGTCAAAAATTCCAAGATGGATCTTGTAAGCGATTCTTTGGTGTGATGCTCAGGATTATCAATGGCACAGTTGGTTAAATTTGTTAAATGCATTTCATATGATTTAATAGTATCTTTCTGGTACTTCCATTCATTGGCTAACATCAAGGCTAAATAATGTGATTTAACCTGAACTACGTTGTTAAATGGGGTCTTTATACGTTTACCATCTAAACAGATCTCGTATAACCCGTCATTATTTATAACTGAAACATCTTTGTAGAATCGTTTACGGTTGGCTGGAATAAAATAGAAAAAACAATTTTTTAAGAATCATTTTACAACATTCAAATATCAACTTTTCTTTTCAGTTAATTGAACTTACTTGAATAGAAAGCTTTGTGGATTTCAAAGAATCTTTTCTTTTGTAAAACTAGGATAAATCTTGATTGAGACTGAAGAAAACCCATGATTGCCGTTTGAGTCTTGGATAGATGATGAATCGGCTGCCCACAATATTAACCTATGATACAAAAATGGTAGAAACAGTGAAAATTCATGAATTGGTTACAGTTTTTACTGGGTTAATTTTTTTAGTTTAAACTTGATACCAAAAGCAATGCATGAAATTTTTAGACAGTTTTTTCACCCAAAACTTGGCCACTAAGTAATGAGTATAGAGTAAAAATGAACAATGCATAGGAAATCCGTTGGCACTTGACACCTTTTAAACTATAAGAGAAATAATCAAGCCTTTTGTCAGTCAGGGTCATTTTTTGTACATCAGCAAAATGGTCGGCAAGCAGTATTTTCTCCGGAATAAAATAAGTATGCTACCAAGTTGATCAGTGAATATTAATAATTGTTGTTGTCCTCCTAACCATAACATCCGTTACAGTACTTACAAAACAAAACAATGTAATGATGATAGTGTACCCAGCCAAAGGTTTTTTAGGTGAAGAGATATTATTAGAAGATAATAGAATATGAATCTAAACATGAAAATATGAGAGGAAGTAGACTCTTTTCAAGTCTCTGAACACTTTTACAAATCATAATAAGGATGCTCCTGAATATGATAACATTTTTCTTTCTTACCTGAATACTATTGAAAAATGGACGGAGCAAATGTTTTAAATGGCACCAGAAACACCATCACAAGTAAACTCTTTTTCTTGTCAATTTTGAGAGCTCAGTTAGTTAAATTACAATACAAGTCTTAAAATTATCACCAATTTAAATACAAAACATTCACAAATTTAAACACATGTTAAAGAGGGCGCTAAGATCGAATGCAAATCGAGACTGGTTAACAGGGTTAAGTATGAATGATACTTTTTTTAATCAATCTGGCAATCGACAAATAAAATTGATAAAATGTACATTTAAAGTGAATATAAGATGCAGTTTCAGTAATTTGCTATAAATTATAATATCACGGATGATTTGATCACTATTTGATACAAAAACTAATCAACATCCAACAATTGCTTTACGGAGATCTACTCTCAAAATATAACGTAAGGTCCAGGCTTAATCAAGTTGAAAAAATTACTTGATGCTTGATACAATCACTGTTACAATTATCGTTTCACTCTGAATGAGTTTTGGTGAATAAAATTTTAGTATGGCTTCCTCGAGCAATTAATTTACCATCGTTTTTATTGAATAAGTCAACACTCAGGTAAGCCATTGTCCGTCCTCTATTCAGTGTATTACACTCGATAAGCAATGTTTGACCCACAGACACTGGACGAATATAAGTAACGTTTAACTGGACAGATGCAGATGCAGATTCTGTAAAATTGTTGAGATCAGGTGATGACTCGACATCTGTTGAAGCTAAAGCCAAAGTTGATAGGACATCAATTAATGTAGCTATTAATCCACCATGAATATTTTGACTTCGATTAGAATGTTCCTGGCCAACAATCATTTCAGCCGTCAATTTGCCTTGTCCAGCATTAGTAATAACAACCTAAAATAAAAAATTAACTCAGTGACAATTTGTTTGTATAGTATGAACAATTTGGTAACCTACCTTTTCTAAAATTTTATCAAAGTTGTCTCGTTCAATTCTTTTTTTCATCAAAGTACGGATAACTGATAAAACTGGCGTTGACATAATTGTATTATACTTTTAGATTAAACTGTTAACGAAAATTATGATCACAAAATATAAACTTTGTTTAAATTTAAAGGAATTTTCTCATTGAGTTAATAAACAGAACAGTAAAATTGGTTTTTAAATCATGTGTTCAACTGGAAATTAGACGTGGCGGTAAATTGAAACTAAATCTTGTTTTAATCTTATTGAGTCCAACTAACTTAATAATTGTAAAAATAAGGCAATATTTGATAAATTATTGATCCACGCATTATTCTGATTTAATATCTAGCTTTAATATTATGATGTATATAAACCAAGAAATACAATTAATTGTTTCACGATTTGAATAAGTAAACCTTATAAATGAGCTATAGAAAACTATCAACAAAATGAGGCAATAAATAGATTTGCATTTGGTTTACGATTGAATGATTAAACCTTTTAATAAAAGGCTATAATTCTCATATCAATGGATGGCTCTATATTCTGGAATCAACAGAGCCTTCGACGGAAAACAATTTGCTAGGTGGATTGAATATTGGATTTTTGATGTTAGTAACGATAAAATGACACTTATAAAGTGATCAAACAGTGATGATTCCACATTTTATTTCATTTATCATCGACATCTCGACGAGCCAAGAAATCATCTAGAGCGGCACGATTTAACCTTTTCGTTATAACTTCTTTTTCTTCTCGTTCTAATTTTTCTCTTTCTATCATGTAATCTCTGAATTTCATCACGGTTGCTTCATAGATAATAGGTTCGTTGTAGAGGGCAAACATTGCAACTGGAAAAAATATGTAAAGAAACACACGTCCAGCTTCTATCTTCCAACCGGCCATCCTTATTTTACTGGAGCAAGATTCAGAAAAACAAAAGATAAAATCTCTGAATATTGAACAAATCAAAGAAAGATACAGTTAGCAAATAAATTGCCACATATTATAAGTCAATATATATAAGGAATAATTTAATACTTACATTAAGTCCAAGACAATTAAAAAAAGTAAATTGCAGAGAAAAACTGAATGTAAAATCTAGAAAAAAAAGTAAACAAAAATCCGCGTGATTGGTAAGTTACTAAAACATACAAGTGATGGCGTTGTCAGCTGAATGTGAAGCGTTATTTTTCTCTAGATTTGATCTGTCATTTAGTTGAATTTGTTAATTATTATTATTGGTTTAAATTATATTAATTAAGGTAAGATTATTAAAATTTTCATTCTTTAATATTAATCTCTATTTCTTTAATTTTCCGAAATTACATTGCAATCAGTATATTGGTTTAATCGAGGTGACATCTAAATAAAACTGGGTGTACCTAGATGACATTGAGATACTGGTTCAATGTTAGTGATTACTGTTTTTACTAGCTAAATAACGTCTATTTATTCTTATTTATTTATCTCTTGTGTCCTCCTCTATAGTTTTAACCTTTAATTTATTTAGTGTTGGTCGGGTCCTTCTCCCTGTGTAAATTTGAATTAATATGGCAAGTCAATCTGAAGGTATACGAAAGCTTCTTGATGCCGAGAAAAAGGCTGCTGAAAAGGTAATCATATTTATTTTGTTAACAATATCAATAACCAATGAATTGTAAATTATTTGGCAATTCTTTTACATTTAACATTTACTGAAAATAATTTTGCTCTATCTAAAAAGCTTGGTATATATTAATTACTGAAAGTTACAATTGCCCTTTATACATTTACTAATCGTTGTACAATGTCTAACTGTTTTTATCACTTTACCAGGTTGCTGAGGCCAGAAGGAAAAAGGCAAGAAGATTGAAGCAAGCTAAAGAGGAGGCTATCATTGAGATCGAAAAATTCCGCAAAGAAAGGGAAGAAAACTTCTTAGCTTATGAGAAGAAACATATGGGCTCAAAGGACGACGAGCAAATTAAAATTGAACAAGAAACCCGGACCAGATTGGATGCTATGCACAAAAAAGTGGCTGCAACCAAAGATAAGGTTATTGAGGAGCTTCTTCAGATGGTTATTTGTAATGTCCAGCCATCGTTACACCGTAATTTAAGATTATAATCGAATCATATCTTGGTTTTTGAATTTCAACTCTCCTTTCTCCTCACTTTAACCTATCTTTTTACCATCTTTTGCTCTGTGTCCATGTTTACTTGTATACTCTTGTCTCGCGACAATGCGTCGCCAGGATTGAATTGGATTAGGTCTTGGTCAGACTCTATCGATAGTAAAAGACCTGGACCTTACTTTTCTCTATTTTCTTCCTTCTTTTTGTCATTCCATGCCTTTTCTCTTTCTTCTCTTTCTTCTGTTTACCTATTTTTCTCTTTTTTATTTAATCGTGATTGTTCATTGCCAATTTAAAAAAAATGAAATGTTTATTGAAGAGTGATTTTAGTCAAGATGAAATAAAATTCAATGTTAACCATTGATAAATGAAATTCATAATTAATTTAAACAAAGCAACAAACATAACCTTAAAATGGGTAAAATAAGTGACTGAAAGAAACAAGACAACTGACTTAAATTAACTGCAACCTGACTCACTGCTTCTGCTGAACCTAAGTATACAGACTCATAATTTAGTAATGATCTTTTAATTTTCTAACCAAAAACCGACTAATCTCAGCTTGTTATGACCGAGTTATCCTTTGACCGTTGCAATATTTACATTGTATATTGTCGAGTCGGGGTCAAGCATAACTATACACCTGAATGCACGGAAACTCTACCAAAGAACATAACATTCATTTTCTAACCTTTCTAATGGCAACAAAAAAGATAGACAATTAATTTTAAATTTAACAGACGAGTGACTCTTTAGTTAAAAAACAATCTCCAAATTTCATTTGGAAACCTGGAAACCAAAGAGGTAATCGCGATTGATTAGCTTTAAAAACAGGTCATTACCTTTCGTAAAGTTGAACCTTAAAATCTTGCTGTTCATAAACTGAATCCTAGACCAGTTATGGACTATGATTAAGTGGTCAGGATCCAACTAGACCTTATCAGCTAAAAGGTTTGTTTTCTTGTTTCGCCCTTCTCTCCTTTCATTAGCATCCTAATCGTCTCCTTAACTTCAAAGATTGGCTCTACATCAATCACTGTCAAAACCTTTTAAAAGGTACCATTGGCACCAATTAAAAGTTATCCAATCAAGTGATCAACAGCAAGAAATCAAAATATATATTTATAAAAAAAAATGAAGAACTGAAAGTATCTATTTTAGCAATTGAAGAAGCCAAAATGTGGGTCAATTTAAGTTGTGATTTAATATCAGGATTAGTGCGAAAAGTAAAAACTTGCGTTAATTGTAGTCTTCCAAATTGTTGGCCTTTGCCAAGATGATAGTGAATGTAAGATTAGATTTGCAAAAGTCACTCGCCCGAGTCAAATAATACAATAGTTTTTTGAGCACCTTTTACCTCTAATAATGATGATACTTGATTTCATAGTTGAACATTTAAACCGGATTGTTCTGATTTTTGTTTGACAAAAAAAATGTCATCGTTTCATCATTTAAGGTGATTCGCATGAGTATGGCCAAGGATTGTTTGAATTAAAGAATCAAGAATCTGCCAATCATCACATTCAATATATGTTTTTGCTGTTGATTGTGAAAAATTACCTTGATATTGAAGAAAAGGACAATCAACAGTAAATTGAGTGTAATAAGATAATGAATTATCATGTAGAACCTTAAGAATTATCTTGGGGTAGGTTGATTAAGAGAGTGGCTCAACTGCAATAAAAAAACACATTGTTTAAAGGGTAAATATCACAAGCTGATTGGTAAAGATAGTGATTGATGTCAAGGAAAAAGTGTTGTAGTACTGACATCATTGCTATTTTAATAATTTGGGTTAAAAACAGGTTTAATCCAAAATAGCCTTATTGATTGTCCGACGATGAATCATTTTCAGGTTTGCCATGCAAGTTGACAGATCAGCTAGCACCAGTTTACAGCTGGCTCAGATGAATTGGATTAATAAAGTTGAGCCAAATGGATAATTAACACAACAAAAGGTCATTAACTTTTCCCTTTCAAACAAACACCAAAACATATCACTAACCGTGTTGTGTGAACATGGAAACCCTTTTTATAATAAGTTCAATATAATGAGCGCTAAAATTGAAAACCCTTTTAATATATTTAAAAATATTTCCGCACTGAAAAGAAAGTAAACTCATTCAGCCGATAAATATTGACCTTTGTTGGTTTTACAGCAAAATTAAATGGTTAAATCAATTCTAATTTATTAACTGTGTCCAACGCTCTTAATTAATGCTCTTGGGCTGGGTTAGTTAAAGTCCACTTGTCAACCAAAAAGCATTGACCACATAACAGTATATAAATGGCCATTTCTTTAGATTTTTTTGCTCACAAACAAAACATTTTACTTTACTGTGAACACCATTGTACAAAGACAATAAAGTCAACAATCAATATTGATCATGATTTCAAAAAATAATGTGAGTAATTTAATTTCTTTTAATGTTGTTTCCAATATGACTTAACAAAGACGAGACTTGAATTTACTAAATCTGGATAAGTGCTAAACATTTATAATCTAAATGTAAACCTTATTCAATTTAAAAAGTCAAAATTGAATTGACAATTTAACTGTTTCTGTCTATTTTAACTTATTATTTTACTGATTATACTAGGCAATCATCAACCTTTTAACAATCATCTATTTGATTGTAATCTTTACCATTGGATCATCATCAGCTTGGAGCATTGGATACTCAATGTATTTCCCTTATTATGGTTACGGTGGAGGAATCGGTTTTCGTCACCCATCTCCACCCATGTGGGGAAGATAATCAGTTAAACTACATTTGTATCAATAACTATTCAAACAGTAACTGTACAATTTGAAAAATTAAAATATACTCCTATTTATAGTTATAAGGAATAGTTTCATTTTTTTAAACGCGCTGTAAGTAAGAACCTTAAAACATTGTTTTCAATAAGCAGTTTATTTGATTTTACATTAGACATTTTTAATAAATAAACTGATTTTTGCCCTTTTAACCCTGAATCGATTGGGTTTAAAGAGTTTTGTGTCGGGAAAACCAAGTTAAGCCGATTCCCAGTCACCAGGATTAACGTCTACAAATCAGGATCAGACAACTGGTTAAACCGGGATTACAAGAAAGGTTTAGATTTTTGTCTTGAAAAAGTCAAATTGTCATTTATTACCAATACAACGTATTTGGGTATTATTGGTGGACAAATTGTATCCAATTTTAAATTTGATTGCTACAAAAAAATGTAAATTCAACTGAGCATAAAACAAAGCGTACTAAATAAGCTGACGTTGTTTTTTGTTGCTTCAAGCTTCAACTATTTAAACCTATTTCATACAATCTTGTTTGTTGAAGAGTGAAGATGAAATTTAGTATTACAACGTCAAGAAAACAAGTTAATTGTTTGACGACATTAAGGTTTTTTTTAAAAAATGAGATTGCTTGTTTGGTGTACAACGATCAGTTAACATTCAATTGATCCAATCTTCAATGTTTTATCGCATTTTAATCAATACAACTAATGCGATCAAAAGCCAATTTACTTCAGTTCATTGTCGATTTAGGCCTACAATTAGTTAAGCCTGTTAGATTTTGATTAGATAGATGCTTTGTTTAGCAAAAAATGGCTCAGTTTTAATGAGAATAAGTCTTTAAAATATAAATTTGGGAAATTGTCCCATTTTGAGATAAATCAACTTACAAGTTTATTAATTAAACGATTTTTATTTACAAAGATGAGTTATTCAGTCGATTTGAGTTATTATGATGTAAATGACAGAAATATTCAGATAATTATTCAGATGTTCAATGGAAATACAAATCACTTACAAAATTATGTAACAGGTTATTTTACAAAAATATATATACAATATTTTTCCACTTATTCATATGGCCTTCTAACGATTCCAATGAAGAGTATAACATTAGTTGCTGTGTCTCTAATCAAGAAAAGAAAAGGTCGATTAACAACAAACCGTGTTGGAAAAGCAGGTCGACCTGATCGAGCGATAAGGATGGCTGTTGATGCGGCAGCTTCGGTTCCTTCTTCATTAACTGAAACATATACTTTATGAACAACTGAATTGACTGTAATCCCCTTTGTTTGTAATTCATGAGTAGTGTTTTTGTTCTTGCCATTTTTGTTAGCAGACGCTGGCTGGAAGAAACCAGATAAGTCGGCAAATCTTGGGTCAAATAGCTTCATAATTCCCATTGAGTATAAAGGTCCAGACAGTTCAAGCTCTTGTTCTGCTTTAAATTTAGGTAGAACGACAGATATTTCATCGTCAAACATATTGGCCACTACATCCTCTAAATGGCTGGGCTTCAATTGGCGAACCAATGAGTCAACACCTTTACTTGCATCCGGGAGAAGAATTAACATTGAGAAATCTTGATTAGCATAAGGTAACTCAAGTACAGTACATCGAAGCGCTTCACTGACACCATACATTAAATTGGCGGTTAACTTCATGAAAGGAATCTGAATAGATTCAACAGGGGTAACATGGAAAGTGCCTATTTCAGTTTTTGAAGCATCAAACTGGTTGTACCATTTAGCATGGAAATAAATTGCATTGGCAATGATAATTGTTGTCCATTGGGTCACACTGCCAGGTGGAATGAGATCTTTTATTTTACCGTGAGTTTCCTCTTCAATCCAAGAGTTGATTGCTTTAAGAGCACCGCCCGGGTTAGATGTAAAGTCCATAGACTCGGCTTCAGTCGCAAAATGTTGCTTGATGCAATCATTGAGGGTTAAAGCATCATTGATGAAAATTTTATTCGCAATGGAATAGGCTTGTTTTTTGGAAGTCTCCTTGGTCACTAAAGAAACGTTTCTCTTCAATTGGTACCAAAAACGTAATCCCTGATATGCCATACCCACAGCATGTTTAGGAACATTATTTAAACCAAGAACTGACCTTAACTCACGATCAGTTTCATGACGAGCTCCCATGTAAGAAACAAGAAGAGCTGACCAGATTGAGAACGGACTGAGAATTAATCCAGGGGACGAATCTTTAGATTCAAAGTTGTGAAGAGAACGCAAGATGTCAATTGAAAATTTATGTAAACCAGAAATCAGTGTTCTGGAATATTCAGATGGACTATCAGAAAGATGTCCATTGGCAACATCATCGTCATCGTAACATTTTTCATAGGAACCGATTGACGATGGTTTAGATGTTGGTGGAGAAGATCCAGAAGACGAAGGTAATTTAGGGGCAGATTTTGGTGATTGTTGTGGTAGGTTATAACTTTTGCAAACTTTACACAATATAATTAATAAAATTATATATTTGACTGGAATAGTGAATGATGTCAACATATCGCGTTTGAACGAGTTAAAGATGGGTTAAGTTGAAATGCTAGTTTTGTAAAGTTGACCTTGTTAATCCTATTGGAAAGAAGAGACTAAATCGACTTGTTTCTCCAACTTACTTCAAAAGTTGTTTTGAAATTGAGCATCTAAAAGATACTAATAATAGTAGCGATATCAGTATCTTTATCCAACTACTTTTGAAGCGCCTTTTTCAATTTTACAACAAAAAATATAAAAATCGCAATAATTAAATCAAATTTATATCAAAACAATTACTATTCTCGACAAACAACTAACACAGCAAAGTTAAAAAATTATACTCACCATAGAACCTACAATTCAATACATAAATAGGCAATATAACAATTTACCTCTGTAATTGATCACTAATTTAAGTTTATTCACTCATTAATATATTTGATAAATTGATGACAATCGAAAAATTTTTTAAGAGTATTTACAATGATTAAGTATTACAATATGCCGACGACAATTAATGATTGTGCTTACATCAAGACTGGAGATGTTGTTAATTGTCCACTGATACATAATACAAGATTGATTTGATTCACGGTGATAAAATTTGTAACGATGATAAATTTATACGAAAAGTGAAGAGCTCTTCAAAGAAATGGTCATTTACATATTATTAATATTGAATGTATTACTGTTTCTTTGTTTTATGATTACTTTTTCTAGTAATATAATTAAGAAAATTTAATATCAAGGAAATAAAATTAATTTTTAATGATGGGTATATCAATAATCAGAGTTTTCCTCAAAATATTATTACTTATCTAATAATATCACTAAATTAAGAGAATATAAATTAATCTGGGAAACAATGTTTAGATTTTTGTCTTTTAATTAGATTCTAGGTTTGATTTGATATAAAGACAATTGTATTATAATGATGAATAAGATGGAGATAAATAAGAATTGAATGTTTATAGAAGATGGAAGTGAATAAAAGATTAAAAATTTGGGATAAAACTGGTACCAATGAATTATAATTAAAGATTAGTGGAAAGATTTAAGCTCAAGATTTCAGCTTTTACCATTAGCTAGATACATAAAGAGTTGTTTTTGCCGAATGCTAATTTTGATGCTACGAATGCTGTAAAGTACGAATTAACAGCTAACGATAATAAAGCAAACAGACTAAAAACTAGCAATACTTCATGTATTTGTATTCAGTAACTCCACATTAGTACCATTACATATACTCTGATTATGTCAACCATAGCTGGTAATATAAGGAATCATTGAACGGAAAGGAATTGAAAGGAAAAATGACAAATAGCGTGAAAAGTGGAACACAACTGATTAATTAATTTTATAAAAGGTTAGTTTTTACTTGGAGTAGATAATAAGAAGCAGAGATAATAATGCTAATAATTAATTGCGAAAATTGGTAATGAGCACTTTTATTGTGCTTTCATAAAGACATTAACAGTTGTACTCAAATCTATCAGTCCTTTAACCAATCCATGTTTATATGATGAAATCTGGACTTGCCTTATTGTAATATGTTTCTCAATTGTTCATTAATCAGTTACTCTTAAATATATCATTGGTGCAATAATTTAACTTTTTTATTCGGCCTTGCTAGCTAGATGAATTAGTCCGGACAAACAATGGATCGATATGTATTGAACGTACAAAAATTGATTATTTGATTGATGAAAGAAATGTGGGTTGTTGAGGAGGAGGATGAGAAAAATTAGGTAAGTTGAAGAGAAGATCGTAATAACATGTGATGAGGTATAATAATCATATTCATGAGCCATATGATAGAGAAATGAATGAATTTTACTTCAAAAAAGGGACAAAAGAACCTTTTTGGTTTTCATTTGTGAATTAAAATGAAAATCTTGATTCGATTAACTGTTAATAAAGATATTTTTCCCTCTTATTTCTCATCATTACTATTCTATAATGAAACCTTCTCCTCCGGATTTCTTCCTTATCATCACCATCCATAAAATCCTTCAATATTTATCTCAGTAAATATTATCGCTAATGCATCCAAACTTAAATAATATAATTTTGAAAAAGGAAATAGGCTAATGCATGATGAGAAAGAAAGGAAAAAGGATAAGCGGCAAACTTGTGGAAGACACAAGGGAAAGTGGATGATAGTGATGGTGATGAAGAGAAAGAAAGAGGATGCTGCATAAAATCGCCTCAATATTGATCGAAATCACGCTCTCATTTCACATTGCGGTTGCTCAAGATTCGAACTGTTACTCTTTGCTCTTTCTCCTCTGTCTTCCTTCCCGGGCAGTTAAATCGATGAACCGAAAGTAATCTGGAAAGAGGAGAGAAAAGAAGAGAAAGATTGAAGGATAAATTGTCATCACAAATCGATACTTTACTGTAATAATATACCGGTAGATTGCAGTGAATTAAATCCTATTGAATCCACATTGAATCGAACAAATGCAAGTCCATCAGTCTTTGTACAATCAGTGTGGTGAGCAACACAATCCATATTTTCAAAATAAACAGTGAAGTAGATAATTGAATACAGCTAAAAGGCCATTTTCATCATCAACACCATCTTTCCAACACCAAAAAGCATTTTGTTAATTTCAAAAATGATTAAAAATGAAGAAAATTGTGAGTAGTTTTTATTTCATTTTCAGTGAATATTTAATGAAATCTCAGTTGTTCATTTGAATCTCATTTGTTTAGTTGATTAGACACGTTTAAAGCATCTCAATCCCCATCAATATCAGTGTACCATTAAACGCAAAATCTTGGCACATTTGAGTGAAAATGCATAATCGAAGAGATGGTCAACAGGAAAATGGTGAAAATGGTATTGATGGATCTGGAATGATGGGCGGCGGCGGTGACTTATCCAATTATGATTGGAATGGTATGGGTTTCAATAGTAACTCAGGTAATCCTGATTCTAATGGTGGTTCCGAGGATATGTCACGAGCGTTGAATTCATCTCGCACTCAACGGATTAGAGCGGCAATGTTTCCAGAAACGATAGATGAAGCCGGTGAATTGCCAGTAAACAATGGTACCAATGGTAACCACACAAATGGTAATCATACCAATGGTAATGCAAATAATATAAATATGAATAATTTAACACTAAACAATTCAAGCTCTGTTGTTAATCGACTTGCTGAACCTGCTCAAATGTTGAAACACGCAGTAACTAATTTGATTAATTATCGTGATGACGCTGAATTAGCAACTAGAGCTTTACCAGAATTAATGAAATTATTAAATGACGAAGATTCGGTAGTTGTAACTCAAGCATCAATGATGGTTCATCAATTATCCAAAAAAGAAGCCTCTCGACATGCACTCATGAACTCTCCTCAAATGGTTACCTCTCTAGTCAGAGCAATGGCGTCAACAACTGATATTGAAGTGACAAAAAATGCTGCTGGTATTTTACAAAATTTATCCCAACATCGACAGGGTTTATTAGCAATATTCAAATCAGGTGGGATTCCTGCTCTAGTCAAGCTTTTATCTTCACCTATCGAACCTGTTGTATTTCACGCCATCACTACTTTACATAATCTTCTTCTGCACCAGGAAGGATCGAAAATGGCAGTCAGATTGGCTGGTGGGTTACAAAAAATGGTTGCACTCCTAAATCGTAATCACGTCAAATTTCTAACTTTGGTAACTGATTGTCTTCAAATATTGGCTTATGGAAATCAAGAGGGAAAATTGATAATCCTAGCTTCCGGCGGGCCTCAGCTTTTGGTCAACATAATGACTACTTATAATTATGAAAAGTTATTATGGACAACTTCACGTGTTCTAAAAGTATTATCCGTATGTTCATCTAATAAACCAGCGATTGTTCAAGCGGGAGGAATTCAAGCTTTAGCGATGCATCTTAACTCAGAATCGAATCGACTTGTTTCAAATTGTTTGTGGACTCTGCGAAATCTATCTGATGCGGCAACCAAATTAGATGGAATGAATGGTTTATTACAGAATCTGGTTCATCTGTTGTCCACAAATGATCCTGGATATGCGATTACTGCAGCAGGAGTATTGTCCAATTTAACTTGTAATAATCCAGTTAACAAAGCAATCGTTTGTCAAGTTGGTGGAGTTGAAGCGCTGGTTCGTGTTGTTATTCAAGCTGGTGATGCTGAAGAAACGATTGAACCAGCAATATGTGCATTGAGACATTTAACCAACCGCCATCCAAGTTCAGAAGTGGCTCAAAATGCCGTGAGAATAAATTATGGACTTCCAGTTATTGTCAAACTTCTCAACCCACCTTCTCGATGGCCATTGATCAAAGCAGTTATTGGGTTAATAAGAAACTTATCCTTATGCCCTGCTAACCATGGACCATTACGAGAACAAAATGTACTTCAGAGATTGGTCCAGTTGTTGTCCAAAGCATTTCTTGAATCACAAAGGCACAAAGCATCTGTAGCTGCTGCTGCTAATGGTCCAGGAGGGGGCAGTGGAACTGGGGCAGGAACAACACTTTATTCAGAAGGTGTAAAAATGGATGAGATAGTTGAAGGAACTGTGGGTGCTCTTCATGTTCTTGCAAAAGATCCACACAACAGAGCGATAATACGAAGTCTCAATGTTATACCAACCTTTGTTCAACTGTTGTACAGTGAGATTGAAAATCTTCAACGAGTGGCGGTTGGTGTCCTCTGTGAATTGGCTGGGGACAAAGAAGGAGCTGAAATGATCGAAGCAGAAGCAGCCACAGCACCATTGACCGAGCTTCTTCATTCACGTAATGATGGTGTTGCTACTTATGCAGCTGCTGTACTGTTCAGGATGTCAGAAGATAAACCATCTGATTACAAGAAAAGACTATCAATGGAATTAACTTCGTCTTTATTCCGTGAAGATGCAAGTAACTGGGTGGCTGGACCAGGCGAATTAGATATGAACTTGATAGCAGTTGATGATGGTTTTTCAAGTCACCTATTTTCTGAGCCCTTAGCAGCGGGAGTTGGAGGAGGTTCAGCTTCAGTTCACTCAACATTATCTCGATCTAACCCTTACTCAACCGGAGCCGGAGGTGCTGGTGGAGCCGGATTAGGCCCAGGAGATCTAATGACTGGTATTACAAACAGGACAGGTTATCCAACTAACACTATGAATCCTTCACTAGAGTCAACAGTTACTTTTGATCCCCTCATGACCAACGGACAGCAAAATCTAGGTACTCAAGGTAATCAGGGTACAACGATGAATCCTTCAGGTCAATCATTAGATAATACAATGGCAGCTTGGTATGACACTGATTTATAAAATTCAACTCTTAATCATTTATGTTAACTTCACATGTGTCAATTTTTCATTCTTCAACAATAACCTCAATGACTCATTACCATATTCATCCATCATAATTTAATAGATCATCCGATAGATGTCATAATCTCATCTTAAATCAACTCAATATCAGTTGAAAAAACACAATCAAGTGAATCTTTGTGAATAATTGTAAATATTAATTGAAAGTAACGAAAAGGAACAAACTTAATCATGGAAAAAAGAATTGAAAACTTACTCAATTTAAACTCGATTTTCAGGAATCATTTGTTTGCAATAATCAGATTAGTTAATGAACAATTTTTTCCCAAATCTTGGTAAAATTAAATTTGCAAAAATGTTCATTTTCAGCTGAAAATTATTTTCTTTTACAAGCAACTTTTGTTTAACTCACCAAAAGCAAATCTTCTTGAATTATTAATCTTAGCCTGGTTATCAATAATCAAATGAATGATTCCAACACTAAATCCATTTTAATTGTTGTAATTTCACCTACTAAAACTAAATCAATCAACTGTCGTCATCTGATTACGAACCAAAACAATTGCAGAAATACTCTTCTTTTAATCAAGCTCATAACTCATAATGATTGAAGAAAACTGTCATTTATTGAATTTTAAATTATTTGATTAACTCATAAAAATGTCTAATTTAACATCAGATTAAAATATTAATCATAATAAAACATCTGAAATCTTTCGTGACTACAATCAATCCGAGACCAAAAAATTTCAAGTCAATTTGTATTCCCAGATTAATGGTGAGAGAAAAATTGATTGTCCTTCAATTTTGAGTAAAATTAATGACAGAATAATTTTGAATAGCAATTAAATGGAAAGTGAAACAAGTAATTAACAAATTGCACCGAAATCCTAAATACAGTGAGTACCATTAACGTTACAAACCATTTTTACAATGTTATCAACCGAAATCGCTGAAGTATCAATTCAGATTGAACTTGTAAATTCAGAAATAACATTTGTTTGCATTTCTATTGAGCTAATTATTGGCTTTTCATATCACAATAACAATATTTAAATTTGATTGTTTCAATAAGAGGATTCTGACAATTAAGATCAAGGTATTGCTGCAAATAAGATTCATGTTTTTTCAATGTTTACAAGTTAGCATTGGCTATTGGTGTTACAATCATTACTATTTCGAGACAAATTGCGGTTAAAGTGAATTAATGTTTGATTGTAATGATTGATGAATAGTAGGCTTTGACTATTTGACTTTTTTTGCCGGTTTGATTGGAAAGCTGTTTTCAGGAAATTTATTTTCATTCCACTTTTGGGAAAACATTGTTTCAAATCAACCTACAATCAAAAATATAAAAATCGTGCCCAACGCTGATGGCCTAAGAAATTTACGTCAAAACAAAACAGGAGTATTTGATTGCTGTTATTAGGTTTTACCTTTTTCATCAATAAATCAATCACAAAAATGATGAACAACAAAAGAAATGTCTACTTCTGAATCAATTTTTCAACCTAAAATTACGAACCTGAATTTCACAGATAAACGTCAACTAGCAACTTCCTAATAACAATTAACTGAAAAGTCGTATTAGGGAAAAATGAAACTGATTTTGTTGTAAAATAGACTAAATTTGAAGATCTCAGTTTCTTGCAAAAATGGCTTGGACTTGATTTTCAAACCAATTACACGTATTAACAAGTGTATAACCATGGTTTAATTGTGAAAATTTAGGAAACAAACCGCAAAGTCAATCGTATAATTAGGTTTGTAAATTATGAGTTGCAAGTTGATGTGAAAGTGGATTGTCATCGTTGTTAAATTGCTTTGAAAAAAGCAATGTTTTTAATTGTTTCTCTACATTAATGACAATTATTAGACTGTTGGAAACATTTAACAAATTATATTTCTTAAAAGGGAATGTAAATTGTTTTTGTTTCTAGAAAGATAATTGAAAGTATTGTAACGATAATTATGTATGAAAACATGTCTAACTGTGTGCTTGTTACAGCTTTGTAAGCTATAGTTTGGGTTAAGGGAAAGAAAAAGGTAAATGGCGAAAAATTTGACGCACTTATTTCAACATTTTATTATTATTCTGAATTTATATCCATTTGCCTTTATCGGGAAATTGGGTGAAACAATAGAAGGTTGTTAAAGGGTACGAATTGGTTCTACATAACCCAAATTGTTTATCTGGCCTTGCTTGCTAGATAAATGACCTGACTACCATTGGTTGAGGTTGTATTGAAAAAGAGACAAAGTTGACTTTATGCGAATTGATGAAATTAAATGAATAAAAATGAAAGATTAAGAGTGTGGGGTTGAAGAGGAGGAAGAAGATTAAAGGTTAAGTAAGTGGAAGAGGAAGGTCGTAATAACATGTGATGAGGTGGAACAAAATATGAGCCAAAAGATAGAGAGAAGAGCGAACGAGCGAGGAAGGCAGAGAAAGGGGAAAGAGTGTAAGGAAGAGCGAATAAGTTGGTAAAATGAGAAACAAGAAGAGAGATGTTTGTTATAATGTGAGGTTGACTGAGCGTGAGACAAGTAAAATCTTGAAATTCCTGTTGATTCTCATGTTGCAGTTATAAAGTCAACACTGACCGAGTTTATTTTCCCAATCATTTTTGCCTTCAAGCATTACTTTTGTGTTCAATTTCCGTTATTTTCTTGTGTATTGTTTAACTATTAGATGCAAACGATGACTGGATATTGATAACAACAACATAAGTAAACAAGTCTGTTGATCGTTTCTTTGTTAACTGTGTGTGTATTTTTTGTTCAACTTTAATTAATATAATTAAACCATGTTATCACCAACGGATTTGGATGTTGATTCGGTTATAGAGTGTATTCCAGATTGGCCAAAAGGTCCTCTTGACGATGCAAGAGCAAAAGCAACGTTTGACTGGAAAACAATGAGACTGGTTCTTGATGGTGATACAGTTGTTTGTTTCAAGCATAAAGTCTGGTCCGTTTTGGCCAATGATCCAATCTTCAAGCGAACTCCTTGGGAGGAATACAATAGAGATGAAGAGAGAAGATTGACCTTTCTTCGTTTAAAGAGGTTGGTCGATTACAAATTGGCCTCTGAAGAGGAATATCTTAACCAACCTCACAAAATACCAGCCTTTGTTCAAGCAGTTGGTCAATTTTCTTGGTCTCTTATAGTTAAACGAGTGTTGAGTTATGAATATTTTATTGTTTCCTGTAAAATGGATAACGGTGACCGAGATAATAGCCTTGTCGATGATATCATGAATTTCAATGCGCTTGGGGCTATAAGTATAACTGAATTAGCTCACGGAAGTAACACGAAAGAGCTTCAAACAACAGCAACATATGATCCGGTTAATCAGACGTTTATCTTGAATACTCCTCGATTGGAAGCAACCAAAGTCTGGTCCGGAGTTTTGGGACAAACAGCCACTCATGTAGTCGTCTTTGCTCAACTGTACACTCCTGATGGAGCCTGCCATGGACTTCATTCTTTCATGGTTCCAGTTCGAGATGCGAAAACCTATGAACCCTATCCAGGTATAAGGATTGGTGATATGGGAGGAAAAGTTGGCCTCAATGGATTAGACAATGGATTCATGACTTTTAAAAATTATCCAATTCCTAAGGCAGCCTTAATGAATCGTAACTCTGATGTTACCCAAGATGGAAAGTACACTTTAAAGGTCAGGGATGAATCCAAACGGTTCGGTATAACTCTCGGTGTTTTATCTTCTGGACGAATATTCATTATTTTATTTAGCATAAGCAACTTGCAATCAGCTTTAACAATAGCTGTCCGCTATTCAGCTGTTCGTCGGCAATTTGGCCCATCCAATGGAGAAGAGATACCGGTCTTGGAATATCAAAGTCAACAATGGCGCTTGATTCCTTATATTGCTGCTTCTTATGTTTTACAAAATTTTTTCGGCTCCTTGTTTCTTGATTATGTTGACTTTTTTGTGACCGCTTTCAATGCAACAAGTGACGCTCAAATGGACATGGGAGCTGAAATTCATTCACTATCTTCTTGTGGTAAAGCAGTGGCTACTTGGATGGCTCGTGATGCCATTCAAGAGTGCAGAGAGTGCTGTGGTGGCCATGGTTATCTAAAGGCAGCTGGATTTGGTGAAATAAGAAATGATCATGATGCCAATCCTACATATGAAGGTGATAACAATGTACTCCTTCAGCAAACCAGCAATTATTTGATCAAATTTTATAAGGAAAAGGTTGAAGAGGGTCATTCAATTTCATCGTACTTTGGCTCTGTCAATTATCTGGATTCAATAGATTCCATTTTATCGACCCAATGTTCAGGCAACCTTGATACCATACCAAAAGTGTTGGATGCCTATCATTTCATTGTTTGCTACTTGTTACGCTCAAGTTATCTTAAATTGGCGAATCAAACATCAACTTTGGGAGACCCTTTTAGTGCAAAAAATGCTACCCAAGTCTATTATTTGCGTAGTTTGGCCATTGTTTTCTTTGAGGCTGAAGCACTTGATCGATTCCAACGGTTTATTGATGAATTCCCTGCACCAGAGGAAATATCTGTAGTCTTGAAACAATTGGGTTTACTTTATGGACTTTGGTCAATTGAAAAGCACATGTCAATTCTTTACGAATCAGGATACTTTCCTCAGTCATCTGTCAAATCATCACCACAATCTTCACTATTAATAGGTCCATCAACACATATTAAGGAAACCATACTTCGACTTTGTAATGAATTAAAAGATAACGCGGTTGCTCTAGTGGATTCATTTGCTCCTCCAGATCATATCCTTAATTCATCATTAGGTGCCTCTGATGGTAGAATCTATGAAAATATATTTGCTGCATTGGAAAATAATACTGGAGCTTTCATCAAACCAGAATGGCTTGAACAAATATCTAAATCAACATCTGCCAGTCTCAAGTCAAAATTGTAATAGCCTTGATCATCATAATTCATAAGACTAATATATTTTTCAAGACCTTGCTTTCCATGTAAATAAAAAATTATTTAATTTTTGTAACTTGGACTTCATAACATCATCTCAAGATGAATTGATATTTTTTGATGATCTGTAAATTTGTTAGGTTGAACAAGTTTAGGTAAATTATTAAGACAATTTGACACAAAACCTGGTTACGCTTTATTTATAAGAGTCCTTATTATGCATAAAAAACGGTTTTATGCATCATGAAAAGCATAAAAAAGATATTTATTTTTTAAATGCTCTAGAAATGCTCTTTTCATTTCACTAATTTACATGGATTAGGTGTAATTCAAAACAGAGTAATAAACTAATCTCTAGTAGATTATGGGAACACATCAGACGTAATCATGAATGAAGAAAATGAATAGAAAATTCGCATCAAGCAATAAAAGTGATTAAAGCAGAACAATCGAGTCAATTGTATTTTTGAACATGTAATGACTCATTACTAATGAGGCTTGGAAGATTTGATAAATTCTGATTAATTTCTCTGTAAATATCACCAAACTAATGCTCGGACAATTTGATCACACCATTCATTCAGAAATTACTCCTTAAGAAATATCTTGCATTAGAATATTGAAAAATTGATTGAAATGGAAAATTTTCAAGCCATTCTCCGAGTATTGCTTTATCACAAGAGGTTTTGTCGCTCCGAATTCCGTTTGGATGGATAATGTGATTGGACTAGGTTGAGGTTTCATTAGTTGTTTTAATTATTTGCCAAGTAAAGTCGAGTGCCAAAACTGTTGGTAGCTGAAATCGTCCATCTCTAATCGATTAAAGTAAAGACCAAATTTGATTACAAACAGTAAATATAATAATACCCAATCTTATTTTTGATTTACTTTATTCAATCAAAAACTTCCAAAGAGTACCACTTATTAATATTTCCATACTTTGATCCAACCTCCAAATGTCAAGCGAAAGTCTGTTTCAGAAAAGATTTCAAGTTGACTGATGCGATTTGGTTACCAGGAAAATCTCGAGTCTGTGAAATTTGGACGCCACTAAGATGCCTCAACCTGCAATTAAAATCAAATGAGACGCAAAAAACTTGTAAAATTCAGGACTTCAGGATAATATTGGTTCTGTCATTGTTGTAAATATTGCACTTTGAGACTCTGGCTGGTTCCATGGATAATCAAATAACTCAGAACAGTGGCACATATTCGCGTTGGCCTTATTGATACATTGTAAAGGTTAACTTGGTACTTTAACTATCCTAATACAATGGACAATTTCTTAACAATACCCTTCTTCCGATCTTCTAATCTCTCTTTAAGACTCCTGTTCATTAACTTTCGCGTTTTTTACCATTATAATGGATAATTATTGTCCCTGAATCCATAATACTAATCATGTCTAAGCTGTACATTGTGTTGAAGGCGGCGTCTTATAAGCTGCCTGCGTTAGTTGTAAAAACAATAAAGATTTGAAATCACCTTAAAAAACTACTAAAAACACCAGACTAAAATTGAACAGCAACAAAAGGCTGGTTAAATTAAAGAGTAACTCAATTCATCTTCTCAATATTTACCTCTTGCTAAAAAATTTCATGATTGATATAAAATGAGGCATAAAAGGTAAACAGTTTACATTTTATCAATTGAAATTGATCCAGCTGTTTTTGAAACTGATGCGCCTTGTTTATGAACACGTATTTGAAAAAAAATATCTAGTCATAACTATGACTTGAAACCGAAATGTTGTATTTCAAGGTTAACAATGTAATCCTTGGGAAGAGATAGAGATGAAGAGAGGGAAACTTTTGAAACCCTTCCAACTGCAAATTAATAATAAATTAATGTTGATTGAAGTGACTTGGTTGGTATATATTTGTACAAAGCTAGTTTCTTGACAAAAAGATGGTCAATGATAATATATAAAAAAACATGATGTAACTGATTTACAGAGTACTTTTTAAAGATCTGAAACATAATCTGGAATGAATGGGCTTCACTTTCAATACATCAAGATATGCAGGAGGAGGAAAAAAACAGAGGAAAGCTACAGAGTTTTTAATTGCCATTGGCAAACTATTTTGTCCATTTGTTGCAATCTGATGATTCCAAGTTGAAGCCCATTCTTGATTATGTTCAGGGATAAATCGATTTACAAGGAGAAAACGGAAAATTTAAACATTTGCGTTCACTTTACAATTGAATTTGAAGGAGTTGCTGTGATGAAAACACACAGTTAATTTCATACAAAATATCGCATATCTAATACAGCAAAAAGGAACCATCCATTTGACAGTGAATGAAATCCTTTTCATTGATTCATCATACATCATCAAATTTCATTAATTGTTACAATTGCTTTCATTACTCCAACTGACTTTAAACATGTGAATCTTTTTTGTGTTAAAACCAACGGGTAAAGAGGATATTCAGGACTTTCTGGTTTTCGGGAAAAAGTCCACCAGTGAGGAAGAAGAAAAAAAACAATTGGTACAGTTTTATTAATAAAATAAAAATGGTTTTCCAAACTTTTTAGCTTGACTGTATATATATTTATCTATATTTTTATATATATATGTTTGACATTATATATTATCATTATTATTATATTTTAGGAGAACATGATAACCGAATTAGACGAAGATGGATCTGGTTTGACGATTTGGTATGTTATAAGGTATTCAGGGTATGCTTGTTCTCCTCTATATACAACATATTCTGGATACGAGAGTCCACCTCCACTGGGTCTGCCCACAACGGAATGATGTCCCGGCGGGGCGTGGGCCATTTTAATGGCACTAAAGTGATAAAACGATTTACCCAGGGCAACACGACAAAGAAGTAATTGACGTTTACATGAGTAACATGATCGATCTTTATGGGCAGTACATCCGTTTCCACCCATAATACCATTAACATATTGATTACTTTTGGATGAATTTTCGGCAAAATAAATGCCAGCACCAAACATACCGCCAATGTAGGCATACCTTTCATCAAAACCTTTCTGAATAATGGCATTGATAAAAGGTGATCCATGGAATAGCATTCTTTCATTGGCATACATGTGATTCTCTTCACAAATTTCTTGTCGCCGGTGAAGGTAACGTTCCCACAATTTGCGATTACTTATACGTTCAATTTTAATTATATTATAACGAGTATAAATGCCTCCGGAGGCTCCACCATCTTTATGTTCCCGAATACTAGATTGCATTTCATCTTCAACCAGTTTATATTCTGAGTCTGTAGAGGAAAGATCAACCAAAATGGTTCCTGAAGAGGCTGGAATCATGTGTTGAGCTGAAAAATGGGTTGAAAGGAGGAACTTTTCAATTCCTTTTAAAAGACGATGACGATGTCCATAGGCATTGACCCCAATTTGTTTCAACTCTTCATGGCCCATCTCAGCCAAAATATCGGTGGTAATGTGTTCCTTTTCAAAAAGTTCAATCAGACACTCAAGTCCAAGGTTAGTCAAGAATCGACTTATACAAATCTGTGGCGTCGAGCCAGGCATAAAGTTAGATAGAGAAGGAACATTTTTCTTTAAATTGGTTCCACCATCAGCCTTGGGTCCCAGAGCAGAGGAAACATCACCATTGACATTGGCAGAATTACGCTGGGAAATAAGTAGGTTAAGGGCGGAAGGCACATTGTAATCCAACTGAGACGTGGAAACTGGAGTTGGTGAGGTTGATGAGGATGATGATGGGGATGAGGATGTTGGTGAGGTAGAGTGTAATCCATTTGATGAATCCATAATAATAATCGAAGTACCATTGACAACAGAACCATCAGAGATATTTTTGTTACAGACAGCTTTTCCATTGCCATTACAATTGATACTATTATTATTATTATTGTTGTTATTATTCGTAGCATTACTGTCGTCAATCAGACTATTATTATTGTTGTTATTATTAACAATACTGTTAAGGTTGCTAGCGCCATTTATACTTGTTAAAACAATATCACCAATTGCTCCAGAAACTTGTGAAATAACACCATTTGTCGGTGACGATGTTATAACTTTGGATACTGGATCGGTTTTTGCAGAAGTCACTGCCGTATTGGTTGCCATTGCATCCATAAGTAAACAACGAACGTCTTCTGCCGTCGCCAAATCAAGAGCTGTTTGAAGTTCGTGGTTTTTCAAATGTGGATCAGCTCCATGATTTAGCAGTAAGGCACACAATTGGGTTCGTCCTTTTTGGGCAGCCTCATGTAATGGTGTGAATCCCCATCGATCAGTTGCATTCACTTGAGAATTATGTTTCAATAACAATGCAGCAATATCTAAATGGCTATTAAATGAACATTAAAAATAGAAATTATTAAATTAGAAATTTGTTTTCCAACATTAACATTTTGTTTACAAAATTTATTGGCATTGCAATCAATTTGAAAAATATTGATAACTTCAATTTGCGCTCAAATTATTGATATGATTTTGGTGCTTTCCTTCAGCTTGAAACATTTCCTTTCAACTTTTTTGCCTCTTTTTTTTTACCTAAATTTCATCTTAACCGTCTTCTTGTTACACAAAGAAAGAGAAAGCTGAAGAATGGATAGGCAAGGAAAAGAGAGAAAGAGACAGAGAGAAAGATGATGATGATGATGATTATTATTATGATGATTATGATGATGATAATAGTTAAGGAGAACCTCGAGAGAGAAAGAAAGAGAAAAGCCCCGAAAACTTGAGCAACTACTGATGACCCCTGGAAAGAGCCAGAGCCTTAGGTGAGTGGTCCCAACCATTTTAAGAGTATCTTTTCTCTCTCTCTCTCTTTCTCTTTGGCTCTGTTTCTTCCTTTCTCTTTCTTTCTCTCTCTTTTTCCTCTCTTCCAAGACTTTCTATTGCTACCTTTCTGGTTAACTCTTATCTCCTCTTGCTTTCCCTCTTCCATCTCCTTCAATGTTTCTTACATTTTTTTTTACTTGCTTTTCTTATGTTAGCTTTTCGATGTCTTTTCTATCTTTCTTTATCCTCTCTTCAGACTAGGCTGGTCAATTTTAGGTTAAACGAACGCCTTGTTTTCCTCCATCTTAATTTTGCTTACAAAAAATATTAGAAGAGAAAAGAGGAAAAGCTAACTGAGGTGGAGTCAGATTCGATTCACAATACTTTTTTTTTGCTAAGTTGCTCATCTGAAGATGCATACTCAAAATGGGTAAATGATAATAGTAATACAAATTTTGGAGGGCATCAGGGTGAGAGTGAATAAAATGTAAATGCAAAGTTCAAATAATGAAAATAACAATAATCATAATGATAATAATAATAATAAAAGTTAATTTTTCTTGGAAACGTCAACATGAAGCAAAAAAGCCAGCCAAAGCAAGACAAAAATGGTTTTACTTTGATTTATGATTACATTAAGTGAAAAGAAGGCAAGAAAGATGAAAGAAGCACAATCAGGCAAAACTTGAGCTGATGAATTGAAAATTTTGAGAGATATAAAGTTGAAACAAATTGGAACCATCAAAAATTGCATTGACACTTGAATGAAAGAAAGCTTTTGTTTCAATGTGAAGCTTCCAAAAAACAAAGTAACAAGTTGAAATAAATTGAACATGCTGAGCGCGTGTTAATACGTGCAAGAAACATAAAGAAAGAGATGAAGAAGATTGGGAAGAAGAGAGAGAGAGAGAGAGAAGAAAAACCAGCGAAAAAGAAAGAAAAGCATAAGAAAGAGAGATAAAGAAAGAATAAGATGATAATGATGATAATAATAATGATGATGATGATGAAAAAGAAAGAAAGAATAAGCTGTAAACATTCCTTAGCAAGTTGAATGGATTCATTGAGCGAAGCATAAAGAGCCAAAGCTAAGTGAAGTTAAGCCAAACAAAAAACACGTTGGCCTAACCCAATGAGATGGATTGCATGATAGGCCATATCTGGACTCTTTTTTTTATAAAACAAGATGAAGAAGAAGATGAAGAAAGATGAAGGAATAAGAAGTAGGGATAAAGAAAGAGAAGATAAAGCTAAATCAAATATCAAGGGTCAAGGAGAAGAAGAAAAACAAGAATGAAATAGCTTTTGCGTAACTAAAGGTATTTAGGTGAAATGGAGGATAACACGAGAAATACATTTACAACTAGGACCATTGACACTCACATAAACATATGTGATGCACATTTCAACATTTTTCAAATTGTCAAGTGAATCAGAGAGATACAAATATCATATTTACATTCCAATTGGAAATACTTTTCAACCAGTTTCACTTTGAACTATAAACTTTGGACAATAGAGTTCATTTTGGGTTGAGACAACTTTTTTATTGACAATTTATCCATTGAAAAATTGGTTAACCTTTAAAAATTTACGCATTTTTTGTATCTTTTCATAATAATGAGATTATCATCAATATTTGTATGCTTCTTGGCTAGCTTTTTAAGGTTGAAAAGTTGAAAAGATTTGCAGCTTTGAAATGGTTTGAAAAATGTATGAACAAAAAAATGAAATCATAATAATAATGAAACATTTTTTTCCTGCATTTTTCATCAATCAATTTGATATGCTGATCAATTGTTTCTATCAGATTTTTACAATTCCTTGAGATTACAATATTAATTATATAAGAATAGTTGAGCTTATCTCATTAGCAAGGAAATCCAGTAATATAAAGAAGGGTTTATGAATGAATGAATGAATGAAAAAAAAATATTATTCATAATAAGGTATACATTTCATTTTGATGGGTTTGGAATGCATGAGAATTATCTCATGGTCATGGATAGGATGGGCTGAAAGGTATTTATAATAATAGTAATGATGGCGATAGTAATCATCATGTTAATAATAATGGTAACAATAATTTTACATGTATCATTGTGAGGAAAGGGCCAAAATTATATCACCAGAAACAACTACAAACTATTTCAAGTATTGTAATAACATTCAAGTATCGCTATTACAATTTTTTTCAGCTTAACGCACACTTTTCTGTGAATCTATCTTTTTTTGGTGGACTTGAGCAGATGATAATGACGATGATTATGTAGACATCATCTTTTCGCACGTTATTACATTTAGCACATAACATAAAAAGGGGTTACCAACTTGACGCTTGGTTACCCATTGATGTGAAAACTGGTTGTTATTTTTCCTACGGAAGCTAATATCAGAGTGTTGATTCAGTGACTGATTAAATGTTACAGCCAGTCTTTTTTTATACACTTAACTCACTCTCACAGTGAAGACCCAATTGAAAAGTTAATTCATTAGTTTGTGGAAAATGCAAACAATTAAATTAACACAGGGTCGAGGAACCCAAAAGGTAGACAGTTGAATGAGCATTTGTTGTTACTGGTGATACAAAATTAGGATGGGAGGAGGAGGAGGAGGAGGAGGATGGATGAAGATTGAATCAAGATAAGGTGGCATTGGTTGATGATGAAAATGCAATCAAAATAAAACATCAACCTTTTTCCTGTTTGCTTGAGTCTTTTTTTTCAAGTTGTCCGTAAATGACTGTTTTACCTTCAACTGGACACAAGAGGATGTTGATGAGGGTCAGTGAGGGAGTGAAACAAAGGCAAGACAGGAAATGCTTGCAGCCTACAATTAATTAACTGGCAAGTTAATTAAGAATACAGAATATGCGTAACTGCCTAATGATAGTAATCTTGAAACGATGATGATGATAAGCATAGTTGTCCATTTATCATTTTAAAGCTCTTTTTTTCCTCCATCTTTTTCATCCTCATCTCAAGGGCAATTAAGATGTTAACAGATGAGAGAGTGAATAAAGAGTTAGGTCAATATCTTCTTTTGGTGTTCAAATGGTTGAAGCATCAATTGAAAACGGAAGAGTTGAATTATCATTATTATCTGTTCAGTCAACACAATTTTTGTTCACAAGATTCGCAAAATAATTGGTTGATAACATTTTTTTGGATCCAATTTTTTACAGCAAAGTTGAAACATTATTTGCGTGCATCGCCATCATTATGTTAGTCTGGTTATTGTTATTAATAAATTTGTCAGTTTCAATGGTTAAAAGATGTATATTGTGAAAATCAACTCAAGTGAAACATTAAACAATTGTTTCATTTATACGTTTGGACGTTTTATTTAGACGCAAGTGTCCCGATTTTCATATCAACGATGAAGATAAAAAAATGTTTAAACTAGATCATTATGAAAAGGTTGATTGTTGAAAATTTTAATCAGCAAAATAATAATATTCATGGAGAAATTATTAATGATGAACCGTGATTGTTCACAAACAACGTGATTCAGTTTAAATTGAGTTCATCTTACAATCAAAATGTTGATTAGAGCATCAAATATGATGCTCAACAAGAGCATGATTAACCAAAATATCTGAATGACCAGTAAACAGACAAAAGTTTTGTTAATATCAATAAATCAAGTGAACAAAAGAGATTGTCCAATTGAAAGGGTGTTAACACTTGAGATAACGGATCATGATAGATAAAATGAATCGACTGAACAAGTAAAATAAACAAGCAAAGAAAAAAGGCATTATCATGATTTCATGGTTTACTGATGTTGCTAATTCAAAGTATCTCATCATTTGATTGACACCTTCATCCTTTTTTTTGTCAAAATAGTCAATTGTAAGCTGAAAAGTATACAAGAAATATTCATTGAGAAAATGTTCAATGTCACAACTCTTTCACCATTCATCTAATGAATTTGGCGTCTTCTCATTTATCAATGTTCAGTCATCATTTCTCTCCATCCTCTTCCTGTAAAACTGACATTTTCCGTCTGTCATGTGTCTACATAGATACCTTGATGCAAGTTTGAGTTGCCAAAAAAAAGTAAAATAAAATTAAAGCAAGTTTTGAAGCATCAAAAATAGACTTTAGGAGGAAGAAGACTTTGTAAACATTGTAATCATCATGATGATGCGTCCTTCAATGAGCAACACACGCTCCTGGAAGAGGCAATGACAATCATCATCACGTCAATGAACATGTGTGTATATGCACAACAATGATCAAGAAAGTCAACTCAAGAATCTACTGGCATGAAACCAATGAGTTTGTTTACTTTTTTCAACATAATTGTAGGTCGACCTTCAAATTCCTTGCCAGGTCGAATCTTCTCTCTCTCTCTCTCTCTCTCTTTATCATCCTCCTCCTCTTTCTTTCCTTTCTTTCACATCTTCTCCTCTTTCACATCTTAGTTGACTCTCTTTCTCTCTCTCCCCTTCGCTTGTGTTTCCCATGAGAAACTGAGATACAAAATGATGATCAATCTTCCCTGATCATTGGGTGTCCCTTTTTGAACGTAGCCAATCCATCAGAGATGAACGCA